GCGGCTGGTGACTCTTCGAGGACTCCAGCCTGGGGCGGCGCCTCTTCAGCGAGAAGTAAGTCTTCTATCATTACCATTCATCTAACGACGAAGCTAACCAGATTTACTAGCACCCGCCTGGGCAGGTATGGGTAACAGTTCCCGGACCCCCGCGTGGAAAATGGACGGGGGGCGCACGGCCTATGGTGGTGGTGGTGGTGGGATGGGTTCGCGTACGCCCGCCTGGAACGCCGGTGCCCGCACACCGTACGGCGGCGGCGGCGGCGGCAGCTCCGGCGACGCAGGCTTTGACGCCTTCGCATCAGGGTCCCGGACCCCGGCCTGGGGCGGCGGTGGCACAGGCAATCGCACACCAGCCTGGACAATGGGCGGATCGGTCAGCAACGGCACCAAGGACTCCCGAGGCTTCGACGCACCCACACCAGGAGCAGCCTACTCAGCGCCGACGCCCGGCGCATACGGCAGCGCACCAACCCCGGGCGCATCAGCTCCCACTCCAGGCGCCTGGCCCGAGAGCGCCCCAACACCAGGCGCATTCAACGCCCCGACACCGGGTGGCCCGCCGAAACGCCCCTATGACGCACCGACCCCAGCCGCATGGGACAGCGGCAGCAGTCGTCCTTACGACGCGCCGACGCCAGCAATGGGCGGCGCCGCTGCAACCCCAGGAGCGGGTTCATATGGCGATGACGGCGACGCGGGACCGCGATATGACGAGGGGACGCCGAGTCCGTGAAGACATACATACATACATTATCTGGTGCATGTAACATGGTCCGTGGGGGGATGTGTAAGGGGGGACAAGGACAAGGACAAGAGGATAGCGCTCCTCAGGGCGATTTCAATCATGGAATATGGGATGGGATATCCTTTTCTTCCCTTTTGCCTTTGCCTGCCACTTTTGTATTCCATTTTCTTTATTATAGCATATCGTATTATATGTATTTCATCTGGTTGAATTATTATTTATTTTATTCTTATTTATTTATTTATGTGGCAATATGGTTAAGTAGGGTGGATTGATTAGGGTAGATTTATTATATTACATTGGTAGGCACGGAGTACAACATGATCGATTCTTGTATTATCTCGCCGGTTCTCTTCTCGCAAGCAATTAATTGCCATTCATACATACAGAGATACATGCATGTACATGCATGTACATGCAGAAGCCAGTACGAAGTAGTGGGTAAATAAGACAGGTATCATTATTATACTAATAAAGCCATTTGAGAAGGGAGAAAGAAAGAAGAAAGAAAAAAGACTCAAAAAAAGGAGGCCAATACATGTCCTGTCCTGTCCTGTCCTGTCCTGTTCCATCTTTTTTGGTTTGAAATCACACGTTGACTGGCATAGTGTAGTATACTAGATGAGGTATGAAGTAACAGTTTGCTGATTTTTTGTCCCCTTTTTCTGTCTGTCCCATTTGACATGTTTGTCCTATCGCGGTACCGTTCTATCGTAGATAATCAATCAATCAATCAATCAGTAATCAAAGAGAAGAGAAGAGAAGAAAAACAAGGCTGGAAGAGAAATAAGGATGAAAATAGAAATATGTAGATCAAGAGAAATGAGGTGAGATAGATAGATAGAGGTGTTGAATGAAGTTGAAGAAACAGAGGAAAAAGAAGTCAGAAAGATAAAAAGAAAAGAAAAGAAAAAAACCAGTATTATTCAAACGTCAATGATCAAAAATCCCGTGAATGCATAACTCTGATAATAAAAAAGATAGAAATATAAATAAAAAAAAAATATCAAAAGAATGAATAATCCTTACGGAGGAACCGCACGCGCCAATACCCTTATGTTATCCACAAACCCTTTGACCAGGTCTTCGTACTGGTTCTTCGGATCGCCCGCCATAGCGAGCTGTCCCTGTCGACGGATTTCCGCGGCGGAGATTTCGACTTCTAGCTCGTGTTCGAATTCGCCCTTGGCTGACGGCTAAACATTACGGAAGGTGCGTTAGCTACTGGTTTTCCAAGCCTGAACCAAGCACAGGGGGCTATGCTATGGACATACCTCTGATTTGGCAACCTGGGTCAGATCGACCTGGTACGCCAAGTGCCGATAACTCATGCGGTCCTTGTTGCGCTCGCCGCCCCGGCCGTGCGTCGTCTCCACCACGGGCAGATGGCTGACGTCTCCCTCGTAGTTGATCTCGAGGTTGACGCTGAGACGCCAGTCGACGCAGGTGGAGGGGCTGTAGACGTCCAGGTCGGCGACGCGGCACTTGACGATCTTGGCGAGGATCTCGCCGGTGCGTTGGTCGACCGTCACGCGCACCTTGGGCTTGTGTCGTGGGTTGAGATTCTGGCGGATGATGGGCGGGAGCTCGCTGGGGGAGACCTCGTAGAAGATATCGCGTTCCTTCTTGTGTGCGTAGGAGAGCGGGATTCGGCCGGGGTTTACGTGTGGCATGGACGCCTTGACTGCTTCGTTGAGGAAGTTGTTCATCGCGCGGTGTTGGGCCTGACACGTTAGCCTCTATCGTGGGGAGGATAGAATATTGGATGAGGATGACTTACCACTGTCATGGTGCTCTCGAATGAGGTCCGGAACCGAGAACCCTCCTTGTGGAGAACGCTCTCGCTCAGAAGCGGCAGTTGCAGACGGTCCCGGCGGTCCATGTCGATCAGCTGTCCCAACTTGGCTTCCACTTCGATGATGGCGCCTTGAGCCACGGCGGCGCTGCCGGCTGGGGCCGCCACGGCATCGTTTCGTAACACCACATGACGGAATAGGAAGTCACAGACGGTCTTGGTGACCTCTTCGTACGGGATGTAGCCCGTGATGGAGGGCTCCCACGGGCCCAGACTGCCGGTCGAAGCCGGAGCCGGAGCCGAAGCCGGAGTCTGGGCCGGAGTTGGGTCGGGGGGTTGCGACGCCGCGGGTGGCCCGTCAACCGGGGAGGGGACAGCGGAGACAGCGGGGACAGTAGGGGTAGTAGGGACGGCGGGGCGGCGGGGGCAGTGGGGGTGGCTTTGGTCCTCGCCGGGGACGGGGTGGCCGTCGCCATCGGGTCCGGGACGGACAGAGACCGCTCGCGCACGAGCCAGGGGTTCTGGGGGGAGTCGCGCGCATGTTTGGGGACGGGGGGAGCGGATTGGGGATGATCGGGCATCGACCTTTGGTGCGGACGGCACGTCGCGCGAAGATGGGGGGATCGTCGAATCGTCTCCGCTTGCGCTTGGGCGGCCGGGGGGCGGTGGTCTGGACGGTGGACTCGGGGCCCTGCTTCGGTGGCATCGGCGGGGGTGGTTCGACGACTGGGGGGCTTCCGGGACGAGGGACCCGCGCGACGACGGGGGCCCATAAGACCCGTTCTCATGCCTCGGGGCGCCATTCTCGACGGGACTGCGCTGGGGAGCGGCCGCGCTTCCTTGCCGGGAGCCGGAGCCGGAGCCGGAGCCAGGCGGATAGGCGGTCTTGGGACTGACACTCTCGTCCGACCCCCGTCGCTCACTGCTGGCAGAATACGGTCGTGTGGTATAGTCCATGGGCCCAGAATCGGCTCGCGACGCGCGCGACATGGCGACTGGGGAGTGGTTGGGCTGCGCCTCGGAGCCTACCCACGGGCTCGACGATGGGTTTGAGCGCGAATCATACCCGGAGGACTGCGGTCGCGCGGAGGGCGGGGTCTGACGGGAATAGAGGGGCGCCGCCGACGCTCGCGGAGTTCCTGGCAAAGATCTCTGGGAGGAGGAGAAGGGTTGCGACGGATAGGCGGTGGTTGCGGACGGGCTGTTTCTGGGAGGGTATGAGTGGGTGGTCGGGGAATGGGGGATCATCACCGACTGGATGGAGTGCGACCGCTGCTGCTGCTGCTGCTGCTGCTGCTGCGGAGCCGGTGGGGGATAGTGCTGGGGATGAGCGTAGGCGATGGATGGGGAGGCATACACGTCACGTCCCGAAGAGCCAAAAGGGGGCGGCGGCGGACTGGGACCGCGCTGGGATTGCGCGCCGGGGGCGACGGCGGTGGGGGATTGGTATTGATAGGGCGATTGGAGGGAACCGTATGAGGAGGAGCGTTCGGGAGCCGTCTGTGTCCGTTGCAGCGGTGGTGGATTCGTGGGATAGGCCGATGGATAGGTGGGCGAGGGCGCCGGATGGTGTTCGCGGGGAGGATAGCTGTTCGGATCGGGCGGTGGTTGCGACGAGGGGGATTTCTGGGGTTGCGAATTGGCGGTGCCGGCGGCATCGCTATTCATGATGGTGCGCAAATCCATGATGACCGAAGCGCCGAATTGTTGGGGAGCAGAAGTAGACTGGGGAGGTGGTGGAGGTTGTAGCGATGGCAGGAGTGGACCGGGATGAGGTTTATCGGTGTTGCGGGCACATCCCCTTCCACAACACCGAGGAAGAGATCCACGTGAAAACGATGGGGGGTAGAGAAGAGGAGGGAGAAGAGAAAAAGAGGAGGAGGAAGAAGAAGAAGAAGAAGAGAACGAAGGATGAAGGTATTGGGGTATGAGAGAGATAGATGGAGCGGAGTGAAAGAAGGTTGAAGAGAAAGAAAAAGAGAAGAAAGAAAAGCCGGAGAATCAGTTGGCGATTTGGGTCGGGAAGCCGAACTGGGTTGACTGGGGATTTTCAACCTTATTATCTGGCTTATAGTAGAGAATACTTCTTACATTGATCTCTTATATTTTAGCATATTTAATTCACTTATAATGACTAGATCTCTGATTTATATCTGGTGATTCTGGGATTCTGAATATCTTCACCTTGAATGTGGCTTAGTCAGCGTGCACCTCAGGCACCAGTCGCGTTCTTTTCTATCCAGAAATCTCAATAACTTCATTTATTTCACAGTATTATATTCTCTTCTCTTCTCTATTCTGTATCTTGTATTCGATAATTATATAGTACCTGATCTCTGTCATCATTGCCATCGGTCTGATCAACCCTGGCAGGATCAGACTAACAACTCACCACTTGTCCTTTCTCTCTTCTTCCTTCTCTCCTTCTCTCCTTCTCTCCTACTCCTCTCTTCCTTCGTTCTGTTCTCTCTCTCAACCCCCATTCTCGAGATACATCTCAGTATACAGGTTCTCGAGACTATCTCCAACATACCATCAATGTGGTATCGATCAGCTTCAAATGATACGACCAGCATGATCTCCCCGCCGTGTCCATCCCCTTGTTGAACCATCTACTACTCTCCGTCTCTCGAAAAGATCCCTTCGATCCGCTGTCAATCCACCGAATCTACGTTTCATCAGACTACAACCCCCCGTTGCCAACCTCTCATCGATCTTGCCGGTTGCGGTGGGTAATCCTCATCTTACGCAATCGACTCAACCACCACTCGGGACCGACAACCACCGACTCGCCCGCTCCACCGACTCCCGTTCCTCCTCCTCTCCCCTCCTCTCCCCTCTCGTCCCTCTCTCTCCGACTGCCTCGCAGGTAAAGTCTGCGCCCCATCGATCACCATGGCGCTTCCCCACCAAGGCTCTCGAGCCTCACCACCCATCCAAGACATCCCTCTCCACGACATCGAGGCCCCCCGAGATCAGGATTCCCCATACTACTACTCCCGCTCCCGCTCCGCCCGGAACCATTCCCCGGGCGTCTCCGAGAAGCTGGACGACTTCTTCGACGATTGGCAAACACACATTGATCGCGCCTTCACCAACTTCCTGGTCGCCCTCACCCCGAGTTTTTGGCAACATCTGGTGGGCGGCCAGCCTCCCGAGGCGGGCCGCCTCCATGCCATCGCCGCCCTGGATGGTCTGCGCGGCTGGGCCTGTCTCTTGGTCTTCAACTTCCACTTCCTCTTCACCTACACCTGGAAGGTCGCCGTCGGCTGGGGGTTCAATGGCGAAAACTACAGTCTCTGGCAGCTGCCCATCCTCCACATGGTCGTCTCCGGTCATATCATGGTCGCCATCTTCTTCGTCATCTCCGGCTACGTCCTCTCCTACAAACCCATCAAGACCATCCGCAGTCGCATGTTCGATCAAACCTTCCTCACCCTGGCTTCCTCCACCTTTCGCCGCGGCCTCCGACTCTACGTCCCAGCCATCGTCGGCTTGGCGGCCGTCTTCATCGCCGTGCGCATGGGCTTCTACAACTACTCCTTTGGCGTCATCAAGGAGGGTCACACCATCCAGGGCACCAACGAGCAACACCCGGAGCTGATGGAGCTCCTCTACGACCAGTACTGGGACTGGCACCTGACGATCATGACCCTCATGAACCCCTGGAACTGGGCCCTCTACTACAACTACTACAACCCGCACCTCTGGACCATCCCTGTCGAATTCCGCTGCTCCATCGTGCTCTTCCTGACCATCCTGGCCACCTCCCGCGCCAAGACCGCCGTTCGCTTGTCGCTCGTCAGCGGCCTGATCTGGTTCTGCATGCGCTGGGGCCGCTGGGACGTCGTGCTCTTCCTGAGTGGCATGCTCCTGGCCGAGGCTGACCTGATCAATGGCACGTGGGAGCGTCCGCCCCGCCCGGCCGACGGCTCCGACCCCGATGACGGCTTCACGCTCCCCCGCTCCCTCCAGCAGCTCGCCCGCTACCTCGCCAGTCGCAAGCTCTGGATCGGTCTGTTCCTCGTCGGCCTCTACCTGGGCTCCACCCCCAACACCGGCTGCCGCTGGACCCCCTTCTACATGTGGACCTACCAGGTCATCCCGGAGACCTACCCCGAGCCCCACCGGTTTCCCCAGACCATCGGGGCCGTGCTCATCGTCTGCAGCATCAACCACTCCAAGGAGATCCAAAAGCTGTTCACCAACGGGCTCTCGCAGTACCTCGGCAAGATCTCCTTTGCCTTCTACATCGTCCACGGACCCATCCTCCACTCGCTGGGCTACTCCCTCATGCCCAACATCTGGAGCCTCACGGGCAAGGAGACCAACTTGCAGTACTGCATGGGCTTCCTCATCGGCTGGAGCATCTGCCTCCCCATTTCCATCTGGGCAGCTGATATCTTCTGGCGCGCCGTCGACATTCCCAGCGTCAAGTTTGCCCGCTGGGTCGAGAGCCAAGTCATGATCAAGGGGCCAACCCCGCCGCCCCCTAATCCCAACCGATCAGTTTAAACAGTCTTCTCCACCCTTCTCGCCCTCTTTCATAATCTTCATCATCCTCGGACTCCCAAAAAAAAAACCTCTAGCTGGCCTCTAGCGGGTACGATCACTATCCCCCTCTCCTATCTCTCCCACCTTCATTCCTTTGGCCTTTCCCGGTGCTAGGTCCACAGTCAGTCAGTCAGTCATCATCTTGTATTTCTTCCCGTTGGGGTTGGTATGGACGTGGGGGGTTAGAATCGGATTTGGATACCGAATGGATTCTTGTACAGCGCTTTCCTTTTTCTTGTTCTTCTCTTTTTTTTATTCTTTTGTTTTTACAGTTGTATATACCATCTACCTGGCGTAGTTTGCGGTCTTGGATTCCTCGAGGACTACCTGGACATTGTCGAGTTGTATTGTTATTGATTTATTTATTCTCTCTCCGTTTCTATTTAATTTGTAGTTGTACTAACTGTAGTGTCGTGTAGTATAGTATAGTAATATAGTAGTATAAAGTATAGAATATAAAGTATAGTCAGTAATATGCCAGCCATCCATCCATCCATCCATCCATCCATCCATCCAAGTAAGTTACTGATCTAAGAAGCACACACACGCAGTGGTTGGTTGGGTTGGTTGGATTTTTGCTTGTTCGTTCAATCATTCATTCGTCTCATGCCATTCCGTCCATCCATCATCCATCCATCCCATATCAAAATCGAACAAAAAAAGCGCTTTACATGATGGATGCCGATGTCGTCTTTCCTTTGCCCTTTTTTTCTTTTTTTGTCTTTTCTTTTTGTCTTTTTTGTCTCTCTTTTCCCCCGTCGATGGATTGTATAGTAAGTAATTGGGAAGAAAGGGAAGTGTAGAGACGGGAGACCGACCAGCAACCAAAATAGAAAAAGAAGATAAAAAAATGAAACATATGGGGTAAATAACTTCAGTCAATCAGAATGCGAGAAGAAAAGAGAAGGGAAAAAAAAAAGGATATCGAAATATAAAATGATCCCTCTAAATTGAAACCCCCCAGATGCCCCGTCCACCACACACCCCTAACCAATCGCGCGGGTGCCCTCCACTGGTGGTCCCGCCCTGCGGAGACCAGCTGATGTTGGACACTTCGTAGTCGCATTGCCAGGCGGCCGAGGGCCCGCGCTCGGAGGTCGTAGCGGGGGTCGCGGGGTTCTGGACCACCGGGGGCACGGGGACCGAGTTTTGCGGGTTCATGAGATCCCACAGGAGGACGAAGCTGTCGTCGCCGCCGGAGGCGAGAAGGCCCCGGCGGTTGGGCGACCATTCGACGCAGTTGACTGACGAGCCGTGGCCCTTGAGTTCGAGGAGGGCTTGGCCCGGTTGGCGCACGTCGAGGACTCGGACGAGGTTGGAGTCCTGCGAGAAGGTGGCGAGGAGGTGGGCGTCGTGCGGCGATGCTGGTGGGAAAATACTGTTAGTCTGGACTACTACTAAGTCTGTGCTTCTTCGGATGTCGAGACTTACCCGCGATGCGCAAAAGCGGCGGCGGCCAGGAACTGGACGGAGCCGAGGGGCTGCCGTTGGCCGGAGGGCTGACCACTAGAAACAGATCCGGGTTAGTCACGGCGAGAGGAAAGATGAAACGGGGAAGACAGGCAGTACGTTTTTCGTTCTTGTCCGTCGGCTCATAGATAATCGTGCTGTGCTCCAGGCTGCGCAGATCGAACATGCGGACACTACCGTCGGCACCGCAGCTGACGAAGACATCGACGCTATTGGCGCAGAACCGGACATCGTATACTTCCTTGTCGTGCGCGATGAGCTGCGTCTTGGCGGTCAACGTCGGGATATCCCAGATGGTGCAGGTCGTGTCGATGCTGGAGGTGATGATCAGACTCGGCGAGATCGTGTTCCAATCGAGCGAGGTGATCGGCGCCGTGTGTTCCGGGGATTTCGAGTTCGACAACAGCGCGAGCGGGGACAGTTTGGAGGACGGGCTATCCCGCTGGCTGGACGGGCGGGTGATGGAGTTCGAATGGACCGGTTGCGCGGCCGGTAGCGACCATAGCCGGAGGTGGTCACCGGAAGTCGCCAGCAGATCGGTCGACTGCTTCTGCGACGACGGGGGCTCCCAGAGAATCCGCGTGACCGGGTACGAATGGGTAGCCTCTGCAGTTTTGACGTAGTCCAGCTTAATCTCGCCTGCAGCCGCATCGGGTGTATCTGGGTCCGGTTGGGTCCAGTGTGTATCGACGATTTGGATCTAGGGCACGTTAGCGCATGGACCGTGAGGTATTCGCCGGAGCGGTCAGTACATAGTTGTGGTTGTCCTCGCAGTAACTGCCCAAGGCGATCTTGCCCCCGAACGATCCGGAATTCCCCGAAACGGGCCATTTGCACCAGTCCACCGCATAGAGCGGCCATGGCGCGATGTAGTTGCTGTTGGTCGGCACCTGGGTATCGGTGTAGGGGACGGATCCGGGACCGGTGATGTGATCGCCCAGAAGGTCCCCCGTTGGGCGGATATCTGCCAGTCCGAGCGGCGAGTAATTGGCGCCTTGCGGGGTGTGCGGCTGGAACCCAGCCGCACCGGGCGACGGTGGGTACCTGAAAGTTTCCGGGGCCCCGTGCGGTTTGTACTTTTGCACATCGAAGCCGACCGGGCTGGATCTGGACGGCCCGTGGGAATTGGAGCGAGGGGTCGTCGGTGGTTGCTGGGACGGTGGATGCTGCGGCGGCGGTTGTTGGGTTGACAACTGGGGGAGCGTCGGAATCCCCGATGGCGCGGTGTTCACAGCCACTGCACTGGGACGAACGGCATTACCAGGCTGCAAGGCCCCCGGGAGAGGGCCGCTACCGGCGTTCCCGGGCCCATATTGGTTTGGCTGGGAGCTGGACGGGTGCACGTTGATCGAGGGAACATGATTATCGACCCCCGCGGCATACTCATGGGACATTGACTGCCGCTGGAGATTGGCAGGTCCCCCACCTCCTGTAGGAATGTGAAGCTCTTCCGGACGGCCATAGATGGTCGACCGTCGAGGATCGAAAGACGATGCGGGGTTTGACATTGCGACGACCTTCGGGCCTGACTAGCGATATTGTCCCAGGGCCTCCCGGATATCTCCAGCGCCTTCACGCGGTAAACCAACACTCCTCCGACAGGTCTGACCAGCAGTTACGATCGCAAGGCTATTCAAAGGGAAGCCAAGAAGCGATAAGTGTCAGAGAGCTTCAATAGCGCTCGGAAAGAGGTGGGAAATCAGGGAGGTCCAGAAGAGCGACCTTGGCCAATCTCTCAGAAGAGCATTCTCAAGATTCAAGAACAATGGTGGAGATGAATTCAGGGAGAAGGAAGAACTGAGAATGATGACTGTGAGTAAGAGGAGAGAGAGTGGAAAAAAGGAGGCAAAGGAGACACAATTGAAGCAGAAGAGAGAGAGAGAGAGAGAGAGAGAGAGAGCAGGCTGGGGATGGAGTGAGACAGGATGTTAGTCAGTGATGACTCAGCCGTCTGCGGGGGATCGAATAGCATCATCATCATCTCGATCTATATTCCTCTCTCTCTCTCTCGTCCCTATCGATCTCTTTCACTTTCTCTGTCTTCTTGAAATACTCTTTTGCTGTATAGACTCAGTCACCAGCTTGATTTTGTCATATCCCACCCAACCCTTGGTTAATCCTCCACCTGGAGCTCCCCCGCCTTCCCCCGTGCAGACCCCCCGCAATAGTGTCATGGATTCTATCGCTGAACCCTCCGCCTTACTGCTCCTCCCTCCACCATCCTCCACGTCCGTTGAGCAGTTCAGAGTGATCTATGAGCCGATCCTAACAAATGTACTCTCGAAACTGTCTAGCGACCTCAATGGTTCCAACCACATAGCGATCCTGGACATCGCACTCTCCCTCCCCGGTCTCTTGTCACCAAAGTACTTGCCCCGGTCGAAAGTGTTCAAACCTCTGCAACACCTCGTGGCAAATATCTACAGCCTAATTGGGGTTATCGGCGTAAGGAATGATTTTCAGCTGGACGCAGCGGGAGGTATCGACACGCGAGTGATTCTGGTGGATTCCGATCTGTCCGCGGATACAACGACCTCGGCAGTACCGACAGGCCCCATTATTAGCCTTCGGACGCTGGCGACATCCACGCGACTATGGGACCATGTTTATTACCCGGGAAATCAAGTAGGTCAGAAGCTGGCAACAGACTTCAGTAGTGTTTACCCTCGGGTTGGGTCTCCCGGCGTCGGTGGCCTCCAGTCGATCCCCAAGGTGCCAGAGTGGACGGCGTCGGAATCCCTTCTCGCATCCGAGGACCCCGAGGATGACGCCATCGCCCACTACTCGGTGGCTGTAGGAGGCACGTTCGACCATCTCCATATCGGACACAAGCTCTTGCTCACCGCCACGGTCCTGGCCTTGCAGCCCATCACGGAGGCCGACAAGGAGAGAGAGAGGGTGGTCACGGTCGGCATGACTGGGGACGAGCTGTTGGTCAACAAGAAATACGCCGACGTCCTGGAGAGCTGGGAGGAGCGATGTAGGAGTACCGGATCCTTCCTATCAGCCATCTTGGACTTTGGACCCCCGGAAAGCAGCTCGACCCGGACCGAAATCGTATCGCAGCTCGAGTCCCATGGCAAATACATCCTCCTGATGATCCGGCCGCAATTGACTCTGCGACTGGTGAAGATATCAGATCCATTTGGCCCGACCATCACCGACGAGGATATTAGCGCCATCGTCGTCTCCAAGGAGACTCGGTCCGGAGGGATGGCGATCAACGAGGAGCGGACCAAGAAAGGTTGGCGGAGTCTGGAAGTGTTCGAGATTGATGTCCTCGACACAGGGAACATGTCAACCGGCGACGTCAAGGATTTCGCATCCAAGATCAGCAGCACGGATATTAGACGGCGCCGAACGGAGATGGCCCAGAATCAGTAGCTAGCTAAATCAAAGTGGCTTGCCAGCCTGTCAACTGCCTGGTCCTGGGTTCTAGAAGTCGTCAGTCTCTCCCCAGTGAACACAGACATGGGGTTTACAAGTCGAAACACGACAGGGGAGTTGACGCATCTGTCAAGATAGGTGCACCCTGGGATGGTCATCAATCTTCTTTTCGTCCTTCTTTTTTATTAAGCTTCCCTTCGTTTCTTCCTCGTCCATTATTGTGGTTCTTTTGGGTGTTTCGCACTTGCGATCAGTCGAGAGGCATCGGGCGCCAATCGATGAACGTGCACCCATCACTCTTGTAAATCATACGTGTCTCCACCCATGCATATAACTGTCAGAGACAAGGGTTGACGCGTTGTTTTCTCTTGGACCAGACATTCTCAGAACGATTCCTATATACCCACCTCTCTGCATGCCCTCCATGTTTCTGTTTTTTCTTTTCCCCATGTCTTTGTATGCATGGTTTGGTTATGATGGTCTTTAGCGATCGGGCGCAAGTGTTTTACGCTACTGCTGCTGGATACTAATGAGGCGCTCTAAGTGGACGATGATCCTTTCCCGCCCACGTTCAGTACGTGGCCACGGAAGAATTGCTAGGTGTGGCTGCAATGGCATTGTTGGGGATTCCGATCCCTTTCTGCAAATCGACGCCGCTACTTGAGTCCCCGGGATCTGGTTGATGGGGGGTGTGCTTTCGGACTTTTTACCCTGAGAGGGCAACGAGCAATCAATCAACGCCGGCGGTCGAGCCAGTCGCAAAGATGGATCTAGGCTTGGAAGGCAATGGAGCACCATGATTCGTTTCCCAGGCGGGGTTCCCTTGCAGTGGGCGTCTGTCGTATCTGGCTCTCACGTCGCATCATTCCCATCTCTCTCTCCCTCCTCTTCCTTCCACACCCACAACCCCCCCTGCTGGCCGACCAACCCTATCTCCCACTCTCCTCCAATCCTTCCACACCCCTCCGCTTCCTTCTTGCAAGTTTTCCTGCAGGTTCGCGCTGGTTATCCGCATACTCGTTCAATCATGTGACCGCGATGTGCCAGGTGTCGTCCAATATCCTGGGTCGGTTGGTCCGGGGGCGAAGCTCGGAATATCGCTTTGGTGATCCCAGTCCACTGGACTAGTTGACGGTCGATGTGGGACGCTCTAAATCTTGTCAGACATATCGACTTGCTGCAGGTGCGGCATCCGTGGCCCGCTGATTGCTGTGTCGTTGCCAGTGTTTTGTCACTGCTGCGTGCGAGGGGGATGTATCACTTTCGTCCCTGAAATCATTTATTTTATTTTATCTTATTTTTTTTTTGAAAATATTTGTCCTCTGCTTAAAGACGCGTCGGATGTCCGTGCATCTTTGCTTATTTTCCCTGGATTTCTTTGCTTTAAATTCCTATCCCTCAAGTACCCCCGTAGCTCCTCTGATTTTCCTTTTGACGCCCAACTGCTACGGGGTGTCACCTCTCCTGGTCCCTCCCCACCTTTCGTCAGGCTGGCATTCCATGCGGTTGCGAGAGACCGACGCAGCCCGACACGCGGCTGCCCCTGCTGTGCGAAAATCATGGACCGACCGCGGAACATCAACGACCTGGCGGACGAGTTGATCTCGGAGGTCCTATCCTTCCTGCTCGGTTCCGAGCAACTTCTCAACGACAGCGCCGTCGCAAGAGACACGGTTCTCGCCCCCGGGCCCGATCTCAATTCAATCTCCGCGTACGGCGAGCAGACGGAGCTAGACCGATTCCGACTCGTGTGTCGGCGTTTCACGCGGATAGGCACGCCCCGGAAATTCCCCCGCTTCGTCCTGCGGTTCTCCCGGGAAGGGTTCGGGAGACTGGAGGATCTTCTGAGCATGCAGCTGGCCTGCCATGTCAGATACTTCACGTACATGGTGCGACCCTTCTACCAAGGAAGCGGTACCGTCTCTGAAGTCCCGCCCTACCTCCAGGGGAAAAAGGTCCAGCTGACAAGAACGAATCTAGGATGGAGCAATCTCCTAAACGGGGTCGATTCGGGTACACTCCCAGACGCGCGCATCCACCAACGGCGCTTCCACGACCAGCGCGAAATCCTCGACAACGACCATGACGTCTCGCTCCTGCGCCGCGCGCTCGCAGCCTTCACCTCCCTCCAGCAGGTCAAGCTCCTGCGCCTGCAAGACAAGGCAGACGAGAAGGCCCTGGACTACATACGGGAGCGCGCGCTGGGGCGCGACACCAGCCTCGACTGGGGCGCAGCGTGCTCCCGCGCCGTGTCTAGCCTAGGCATCTCCCTCTTGGAATCCACCCGGCACAGCGTCCGCTTCGTCGGACCACAGATCAGCCCAGACGCAACAGTCCGCCTGTCACAGGCGCCCCCAACCACTCTGTCAGAGCTCGGCACCCGCCTCACAAGCCTAGATGTGACCTTCCTAACAACAAGCGACATGACGGCACACATGGGCAGCCTCTCAAGCGTCTTCCACAACTTCTTCCTCGCCGCGCGCAACCTCACCGCAATCCACCTGGGGTTCCCCCCAGGACTCCCCCTAGACCTCCCACTAGAAGCCATCTTCCACAGACTACAGTGGAAGCGTCTCCGCACGCTCAGCATCCAGGGCTGGCGGCTCCACGCGGAAGAACTCATCAGCCTCATCAGCCGCCACAGACGGCCCCTACGCGACATCCGGCTAACAAGCATCTACCTGCGCGAGGGGAGCTACTGGCGCGACGTACTATCCACACTGCACTCCGACCTCGACCACCTCGAGCGGATCGACCTGCGCGACATAAACTACGTCCAGGCCGCCCACACCAATAACAACACCACCACCAACGGCAGCAGCTCCAACGGCACCCCCAACGGCAGTACCCCAGAAACATACCCACCACTCATCCCAATCATCACGCGCCCAGCCTCTGAATCCCCCCCGCCCCAGACAGCCCTCAGCGTAGACCACATGTCGTTCCTCCCGCGGGGGAACACGCGGCGATCGTTCTCAGGGCCGACGCTGGAGCGGCTGCGGGGATTATCTGCTGATGAGCTCGGCGATGACGGTGTCTGCGTAAGACGGGACCAAAGACTCTTCTGGGAGGCGTGGGTGTTATCGTCTAGTGGGGGCAATGACGGGTGGGGTTGATTCTAGTTTATTTATTTTATGATTTGGCTTGGTTATTTGATTTATCTTATTGAGTTGTTTATTTGAGTGTTTGTTATTGGCGAGTTTTATAGGAGATATGCGAGTATATCTCGTATCATTTTATCTTATTTTATTCCATCTGATAATTCTTTGCTGGTGCTTTATTAGGACAGACAGACAGACAGACAGACAGACAGATAGTTCTGACAGAACGTGAGTAGAACAGGGCAGTATATCTGATGACATTTCGGTGAATAATGCGAGTTTTGTAGAAGAGTTTATTACCATGACATGTCATTAACTATATGATTTGAGATGATTTGATCTGAGTCGATATATGGGGTTAGTTATTCTATTTGTTTGTGTTAAGTGGTAATACTATGTCTATGTCTATGTCTATGTCTATGTCTCGTCAGTAACCAGGATATATCTTCTTCTTCTCCTGCCCTTCCTTATTAGGACTACTATCCCAATATAAGCAAGCAAAGAAGCACACTACACTATACTAATACGACTATACCCAACTACACATGAGTTACAAACAGGCAGATCCAATAGAATAAGTAAAATCTAAAAGAGAATCCAGAATCAAAGTATTATTTGTATCATCATGCAACAATAAGGATAGGGTCAATGTCAGATCGATATAAGTGTAAATGTAAGAGTATTCGTATATGGACAACAATAGGGTAAGATATATGAGATAATCCGTCTAGTTATATCCAAGGCCATTCATTATTCACCATCAACTGGCCCTTAAAATATCCCACTGATCAAATAAATCACGTCGAGTAACCCACCGACTCCTTCCTATATCCATCAAGCATCCATATCCATATCCATATTCATATCCATCCAACATTGATAATCCATCAGCAATAATACCCATCATCAAGACAACTATCATAACACGACCACCCCCCCAGGAGTCAACCCCCCATTACTCCCATTATGGCCCAAACTACTACTCGCGCCATCCACAGGGAGAGCCATCGGCCCGCCGGTACTACCCGGCTTGGAGCTGCGTTCGCGCAGCCGACGACCCTCCATCAGACCGCGGAGACCGCGCTTCTGCAAGCCAATGACGCTGCTGAGGTCGGCTGTCCAGATCTCGCGCTCGGGACGCATCGCCGCGTCCGTGTCGCGGCGGGAGCGCGCGTGGCTGTGGCGCGGCATGTGGTGCTCGTCGCCGCCGATGTCCGAGTCGGAGTGGTCGAAGCTGGTGTTGGTGGAGGCGGAGGTGGAGGTGCTGGCGTTGCTGATGGAGTCTTCGCGGTCGCGGTCGGCCGGGGTGGTGGCTGTGTTGGCTGCGGTGGTGGTGGTGGTGGTGGTGGTTGTGCCGCGGCGCCGGGAGAAGATGTTGGTGTTGATGCGGAGGGGGATGCCGCGGGAGCCGGAGGTGCCGCTGGTGCTGCTGGCGGCGGAGACGCCGGAGGCGGTGCCGTGTTCGGTGTCGGAGGAGTCGGAGGTCAGGCGGCTTTGGCTGGAGGTGTGGGTGGCGGGGCCGGTGGGGTTGCGTCCGCCTGTCGCGGAGTCGCGGGCGGCGTGCGCGTCGTTGAGGGCTTCGAGTGTGCCGCCGGGCCCGCTGATGAAGCCCGTGCCGCGGCCGCCGCCGGCGGCCATGGCGGCGGCGTTGAAGACGGCGGCGGCGTTGCGGCCGTCGAGGACCTGGTGCAGGCGCTCGACGGTGGCTTCGAGCAGGCCGTCGACCTGGTAGGGGCGCGCGAGCTGGAGCAGGGAGCAGAGGATCTGGGGCGTGCAGAGCGCGGAGCCCGGCGGGGGCAGGGACGAGGTGTAGAGGTAGTGGACGAGGACCTGGAGGGTGAGGGCGGTGTGGGGCAGGTAGAGCACGCGCAGGCGGGAGGTGGGCGGGAGGGAGTGGGCGGACGGGATCTCGAGGTTGGCGAGGAGGGATTTGGCGGAGGGGGCGTTGGGGTGGCTGACGAGGGTGGTGGCGGTGGAGTAGGTGCTGTTCTGACCGATCGACGGCGTGATGGTGATGCTGGAGTTGCGGTTGGGGTACATGTGGAGCGCGGGGCGGAGCGTGGCCGCGTCGGAGGCGCCGCTGTCGCACGACGCGCGCAGGAGCTGGATGAAGTAGGGCCCCCACCGGCGCGTCAGGATGCGCGAGTTGACGGGGATGCGCTCGCCGCCGACGGCCTGCAGCTCCATGTCGGCCAGCTCGGGCAGGCTCTGGGCCAGCTGGCCGAGCTCGTCGGAGCCGCCGGAGAAGGGGCGGCCGCCCGAGGTCAGCTGGGCCAGCTTCCGCTGCAGCGACGCGGGCACCGCCGGGGCGCTGTGCGAGATGTACCCGCTGGTCGGGGCGGTGAGGCAGGGGTTGTTGTACAGCCCGTAGGCCTCCAGCTCGACGAGACAGGTGTGCGAGAAGTTGATGCGGCGGTGGTTGTAGTCCTCGACGAGGCTGCGTTTGCGGTGGCCGAGGATGACGTAGGTGTTGCGGCGCGGCCACAACACACCGCGGTTCCAGCTGCCCTGGCCGAAGACGGAGCCGCCGGCGTCAATGCGGCCCCAGGTGAGAGTCCTCAGGTCCAGCGCCCAGAGGGCGTACTCCTGCTTGGACGAGGTGAGATAGGTGCCGCTGACCACGAAGTGGCCGTTGATGACGCCGCCGCTGGGGAAGCGCAGCCCAGGGGGCGACGTGTGCGTCTGCATGGGTTTCTCGACCAGTCGGCCGTCCGGCAGGCGCACCTGGAGCTCGAGCTTGACGTCGAGGAAGTTGTAGTTGGAGTAGATCAGCATGGGACAGCCCTCGGCGTCGGTGTCCTCCTCGAGCGGCGGATCGGACGTCTCGCGGTCGGCGGCGGCGGAGCCGATGTCCGAGACCTTCAAGCCAACGAGAGGCGCGACGACGCTGCGGTAGGCGCCGCAGCTGCGGCCCAACGAGGTGGTGACGGTCCACTTCAGGCTGCGCAGGTTGAAGACGCTGATCTGCTCGATGTAGTGGTTGGTGCTGTCCTGACCGCCGACGACGACCATCTCGGCGCCGCCGAAGCCATCGATGTCAACGCCGATGGAGCCCTGGTGGGGGTTCGCCGAGGCGGGGTTATGCTGGATGGCGGATAAGGGGGCGCTGGCGGAGGTGAAGTGGGCGGTGGAGGGCAAGACGGTGGCGCAGTGGGCGTATCGACCCTGCGGCGAATCGGTGGCCGGCACGCGGATCCAGGTGCGGGAGGGGACGTCGAAGATGTGAATGTCGGACATGACGACGACCTCGGGCTGGGCGTCCTGACCGGCGGGGATCGCCTCCGCGGGCGGACTGGGGGCGGGGGACATACCGCCGTAGCAGACCAATTTGTTGTCGCCCAGCGCACACATGCTGTGGAAGTATCGGGGGCGGGGGATGTCGCCGGAGGCGTCGATCTTGGACCAGTGACGGCGGATCAAGTCCAGCTCGTAGATATCCGACGTCAACTGCGGGCGACTCTTGGAGAGGACGCGTCCGCCAAAGACGTAGAGGCGATCGCCGAGGATGGTGGTGGTAGCCCCGACCAGGGGGTGTGGCTCTCGGCCAGTGGTGCGGCGCACATTGCAGACGAGGCCCGAGAGGTTGATGGGACCGGCGGCGGACTGCGGTTGACCGTAGCCTGGGGAGACTCCCGGCATGGAGGGATCCTCTCGGGCGGAATCCAGATAGCCCAAGCTGGATTGACTTCTGGACATCATTGTGTATGTTTAGAGACCGGTCTCTTTCCTAATATCGCTCGATGTTGTTCTCCAACTCCAAACCCGATCCACGGTTATGGTCCGTATTCGTAGAATCTCATCACCCTCGCCGCGGGGGGGGGGGGAGAAAAAGATGGGATTAGGCTGAATAGCGACGAGGGGTTAAGTACAGGTGTCGGTCGCGATCGAGTGGTAGCGATAAATAGGGAGTATGGGTCCTGACGAGGAATTAATTATTACAGAGAAAGAGAGGTCGGATGAAGAGAGAGAATAGGACGAGAGAGAGAGGAGAGAGGTTGAGTCAGAACTAGTCGAGAGAGTGAAAGACGGAGAGTTGTGGGTTTTCTCCCTTTTGGTCGTCGTGTCCCCGCCGTCCTCAGCAGTGGCTGGAAGAAAAAAGGGCCTTCCCGCGTCGTGACAGGGGATAGAAAAGGGATTAGCGTCCTACCTTGCGATTGTTTGATTTATCGTATAAAATTACTGGGAGGAACGAAACCCAGGAGAGAGATTGAAAGAGAGAGAAAGAGAAAAAGACACAAGAATCAAACCTCGGCCAAGTGGGGACAATCCGGACGGGGAGAACGGAGAACCCCTGGTTCTATCTTATCGACACGTTCCTGTTTGAAAAGCAACCCCTCAGTGGGATTGAATATTTAGGGTCGGACTACAGGTTATCGTCGCATTCTGGAACCGTTCTAGAAGAAGGGAGCGTCGTTTTTTGTCAAACCCCCGTGGAATCGCTAATCAGGGTCTAAGTTATCTATCTCCGGCCCTGGAGGACGACTACAGAATAGCGGACTCAGATAGAATCCACTCACCGGTGGGGACGGCAAATGAACTAGTAACTACGGAGCAGTACCCTGTCTCCGTACTACTGTACCACAAAGAATGCTGGAAGGACTACCTGAACCAAGTCTGATCTAGTTAGAATCGAACGCGACTCCACCGGGGAGATCCTGGGCGCCATGTGATAGTCAGGAGAAAACTTCCGGTTAGGGGGGAGACTAGAGGGTAGAGGGAGGGGCACACTCGATCAACATCCTCTCTCCAGTATTTACTACAAGCGAACAGGTGCTCCATGAGGCAACCAAGGAATCATGTCTGTCGTCAGAGGTATCATTTATTAAGGTGTCACGTCATATCAGTGGTTTGTAGTTTTAGACCTTCCTTCCATCCTTCCCAATGGATTAACCATCTCTTGGAATAGGCGACAGTTAGGTTGGACAATTTACTGCTTGTTAAGGTTGGTGAAGCGCAGGTACCTATCTCCAGTAAGTCACTGTAACAACAACAAGGGAGAGAGGGAGAAAAAAACATACGGCTTAACAGTACGAATCTCACCAAACTTCTTCTGCGCATCCTCCGTCGAGACGGGAGGAGGGATAACGACGTCATCACCGGGCAACCAGTTGATCGGGCAAGCGACACCATTCTTATCCGTCGTCTGGAGCGCATCAACCACACGGAGCACCTCGGCAGTGTTGCGGCCCGTCGAAGCAGGGTAAGACATGATCAGACGGATCTTCTTAGCGGGATCAATGATGAAGACGGAGCGGATGGTGAGAGCCATGCCCTTGGAGTCCACGTTGGTGGTGTCCTGGTAGTCGACCATGTCGTAGGCGTAGGCGACCTTGCGCTCGGGGTCGGCGACGATGGGGAACTTGAGGTTGGAGCCGTTGACCTCGTCGATGTCCTTGATCCAGGTCTTGTGGGACTCGGTGCCGTTGGCGCTCAGGCCGATGAGCTTGACGCCGCGCTTGGCGAACTCGGGCTCGAGCTTGGCGAAGGCGCCGAGCTCGGTGGTGCAGATGGGGGTGAAGTCATCCTATATTATCTATTAGTTTCTTCTTCTTCTACTACTTCTTCATCTTCTTTCTTCATTGTGATGGGGTGGAATTACAGGATGAGAGAAGAGGATAGCCCAGCTATCGCCAATGTAGTCGTGGAAGGTGATCTCGCCGTTGGAGGTATCGGCGGTGAAGTTGGGGGCGGTCGAGCCGAGACGGAGGCTATTCAGTCAGTTAATTATTTGATAGAGACGTGAGAGAGATAGACAGAAAAGAATAGACAGGAAGATAGAAAGATAGACAGAGAAGGATAGACAGGAAGATAGAGAGAGAGGGGTACAACGTACGGGGTCGAGCGTTCCTGAGCCATGGTGAAGTAGGTAGAAGAGTGAGTTCAAGAGAACAGTAATTTAATAAAGCAGAGAATACCGAAAGTAAAGAAGAAGAAGAGAAGAAGAGAGAAGAGAAGATCAAGAGGGGAAGAAGATTTATAGCAGAGCGAGAACTCCCCGCCGGATTGTTTATCATTACTCCATCCTCAGGCTACTTCCAGGCACCTCCACCATAGAGACCGTGGATTCTGCCACCCCTCCTCCTCTCCCCCAATCACAGTCTCCCCTGCCCTCTCTCCGATCACGCAATCTGTCACCGCCCGCATCCTGATTGGTCAGTCATGAGCTCATCCAAGTGGGATGTTTAGCGCCTCAGGTCCACCAGACGACCACTACTATAGGTAGAGGAGGAGGAGTTCGGGCACCGCATCATCGTGGTCGCCGATACTCAAGGTCCTCACTGACCTGGATTGTTAGACACGACAAGATGGAGAATTGTACAGTGATTCCATCTCTAGTCTGAAGGACCTCAGTCTCTATCTAGACCCGTACATCACTAGAAACATTCGAGTCTATGTCCAGTCGGCCGACTGCCCGAGGATAACAGTCGAACACCCCCTAAACCAATAACCTCCCCGGATGATGGCGCAATTGCGCACATCACCTGCCGTCATTCACCCACCGGGCGAGGCTACCTGACAAAGGGACCGGCCTGGAGAGCACGCCGACGAATGGAAGAAGAGGGAAGATTCCAACTCAGATGCGTGCACCTGCGAGGGTTGTCGTACCTACGCCAGTCAAAGGTTTAATCCCGACCCTGACACCGGTTTCTGGAAGACCCGGGGAACGAATCAGGGGCCCCGGACCGTGGACTGACCCACTTGTCAGGTCTTTCCGCAGATGCATGTCTTTCCTTTATATTAATCTCATGCCCTGTATCTATCTACTTGCGTAGTTCGGGGCGAGATCGGAGTGTATAGACAATTAGATGTTCGGTGATGCCGTGCATACTGGAGATGCCGTCGATCAGTGCTGGTGCATGATTTCCTACGGACGTCAGATCAATCACAACCTCAAGAGAAGGCCGACTTACGCTCGCAAACTTGCTCCGAGCCCGGATTTGGGGCCCGTAAAACACCAACACCCACGGCACTATCGTCAACAAAACTCCCTGGCATCGTTAGTTCAAATACGGCCTCATAGCGCAGCCACACTTACAATCCCACCGAGCAGACTCGAGGCGCCCGGATACCCCAGGTTAGTGAACATGAAGCCCGTCACCAAGGGAAAGACCCCGCCCAGTATATTCCGACAGAATGACTGGGCTGCAATCGCCGAGCTGGCATAGCGATGGTACGTGTCCGCCAGGTAGTTGAACGTCGCCAGATAGATCGAGAAGATCCCCATCGTGGAACACCCCACCGCTAGGGTTGGGACAATCCAAGGAATCGACGGGAACGATGTCCACCCAAACCAGAACAACCCGATCGGCATCAGCACGGACTCGATGCACGCAAAGTACAGCCGTCCCTCGGGGGTACTGGACATCTTGCCCAGTCGACTGGCGAGGTGTTCCTGATAGATGCTCAAAGGGGTGGCCAGCAATGAGCCGATCGATACCGCTGCAAAGACCGAGCCGCATTGTTCAATGTCAAACCCGTAGTTCGTGGAATAGACGAGCGGCAGGGAGCTAAACTGCAAGTACAGAACCGCCCAGCTAAAGGCCACCCACAGCGAAAAGAAAAACACCACCGGCTCGGTGAACAGGAGATCTACAAACGTCAGTACCCACAGGAGCGATCAGCAAGAAGGGGGGGGGACATACGGAACGGTCGGTAGCAGGAGATGGAAATCATCTTGGCGATGCTCTCGCGCTCCTCGTCACTCTTGACCTTCCACCGGATGCGCTGCACCCGCTGCTTCTCCACCGGGTCCTCCGCGCCAAAGACCACGCCGTGGTACCCGGCGTCTTCCAAGGCGTCGTAATACTGGTTGAGCGCCTTGGCTTTTCGGCTGAGGAGCACACTCCCCCGGGTCTCGTCCAAGAAGAAAAAGAGGATGGCGAGAAAGAGGGCGGCGGCGATGGCTTGCGAGTAGAACACCCACCGCCAGCTAGCGCGCTTCGCGATGAAGCCACTGATCAGAGGCCCCAGACCCGTTCCAAAGAGAACGGCCCCGGAGAAGCAGGACATGGGCGCATTCCGGTCCTCGGTGTGGTAAATGTCGCTGATGACGCCGCCGACCATGGTGGAAAATGTGGATCCACCAATACCCAGGAAAAACCGTGCGACCAGCATGCCAGCAAAGGAATCCGTCGCTCCACACCCGATCAAGCAGACTGTTCCACATTAACCTCATCCTTCGTACGATTTGAGTGAAGGGAGAGAGAGAGGGAGACGGACCTGTAAAGACCAACCCACTTGAGACAAAGATGGGTCTTCGACCATTGATCTCCGAGAAAGGCGCGAGAACCATGGGAGCAATCCCGAAACCCAGTGTGAACAGGGTGATACCCAAATTATACACGACTTTTCCAACATGCCACTTTTCCATCAACTCGTTGGCAGGCGGGGTATATTCACCCGCGGCGTAGGCCGACATGGCGGTCACTCCGCAGGAGATGATGGTGACGACAGTCTTGCGGGATTCGGACCAAGAGAAGGGGGATCCATACTTGGCGAGGTTGGGAGCCGGGGGTGGATCCCGCTGGCCATCCCGTGGACACGAGATCCCCACGGGGTAGGGCAACGGGGTGTCGAAGTCGAGGTACTGGTGCTCGATCTCGTGGGGGGCGTCCGCCATGGTGGTCGTCGGTCGATGGTCAGGTTTCGGGGCGGCGTCGTGACTCTGAGACAGGTCCCATTGTGCGGGCCTCGACTGGAGGGCGTTGTGTTCTGGTGCGGTCGTGTCCGCTTGCCGACGCTCTTCCGGTTCGGTTCCCATCCTCGGGAATGGTTGATTCTGTGGACAGCCCGCCAACCACGACTTTTCCCCGCAGAGAGAAGAGACAGAGGAAGGGCAAGAAAGAACGACGAGAAAGGTCAGATGGTCGAGATAAAAGAGAGTCCCCTCTAGCTCAAGTAGAAGAGAGGCGCTGTCCATCTAACACGTAATTATTAATCCATCTAACCAACGGGGGCGATCAGTTCGTTGGCCGTTCTAAGTGGAGGAGAAGCTTGACGAAGTGGGCCAGCCGATACCGGTTTCAACTGATCCGGTTCTCTTATCGTTCTTTTGATTGTTCTCGGTCCGGCACCCAGCTTGTCGGTGCAGATCCTGTTCCTCGACATGTTATACTCATTCGATGGGGAATTGACATGGTCGATGACTGGTTGACGGACTGCAGTATGATTGAAGGTGAAAAATTCGTCTGGAACGAGAAGGCGGTCCGTAGGTACACATACACCGGAGGCATCCTCAGAGTCCGTCTACAGTGAACCCTCATGGTCAGAGATGGAGTATCGGGCATTGGGGTATCTGCTTGCTGAAAGACAGACTGTCCTGAGTCCTGACCCAAGCTATCCCTCCCAGTCGAACCTGTCGGCCCGGTGGTATGTGTGGATATAGTAGACACGTGACATTCCTGCCTGAGGCGTCACGCGCAGGCAACGCGTCGGTCAAAACAATTTTCTTTTTATTCTATTTTATTTTTATTTTTTCTATTGTTCCCCTCTTTTTCTCTATTTTTGAATGATTCTATAATTATTTTTTCTGATCCCCCCAGTTTGGTTCTTTTTTCCCTCATTTTTCTTATTTTCCCCCAGTTTGATGACTTTGTTTCTGCTGAAGTTGTGAACTTTTGATGCTGCCTTGATTTATAGAACTTAAATAGACCAACTTTTGATCCTCTCTCTTGATCTCTCTTGATCTCTTTTATTTATTTATATATATTCTAAATTATCCTCCCTCTCTATCACTTTCTTCCCCTCACAATCTCTTCTCCACGTCGGACGAGAGATCTGGGCGTGTTCTGGATCATCTTCTGTCGCCAATTTCACTGGCCGATCCCACCTTTTTTCTTTTTATTTTATTTTATTTTATTTTATTTTATCTTATTTTATTCTATTATCTTATTATCTTATTTTTTCTTCTTTTTCTCTCTATTTTCTCGTCTCTCTTTCTTTCTTTTTTTCTTTTATTTTTGGATTGATTTTCCTCTTTCTCCCTCATCTCCCTTTTTCTCTGATTTTATTTTATTTTATTTCTCTATCTTGACCTCTGATGCTTCTTACGAAATAAATCAAATTACTTCAACCTCCCTCTCTCATCCATAGTCTCTATCGTCAAATCCTGATCTACTATTCCCGTCCGTCTTCACTTTGGATTTCTTCGCTCAGCTGTTTTCCACCGCGTCTCCAATGACCAAGCGTAAGGCTGAGGGCGCCCCGGCCGCCGACGAGATCGCCTCCCCCAAGACCGTAAGTCCCGATATCTTCATCTTCTACGCAGTTCTTCGGTTCTTTTCATAGCATCACTCCTGGGCCTCCTCCCCTTCCCCACAACTGAGCCAGCCTCATGGACCGTGAGCGGGTAAGCGCGTCATGTCAGGGCCATCATATATCACGCCTCCCGTGATCGTCGCGTCCTCCGCTGGCCATCCGTCCATCCCATTCAGCTCTCCTGTCTTGTCCCTCACCACTACCACCCTTTCTCCTGCCTTCCTGCCCGATAAGATAGTCTTATCATTCAACTCCCACTGATGTCGTCATCGCCCGTCCAGACTGCCACCCCCGTCTCCGGTGAAAAGCGCAAGAGAGGCCGCCCACGGAAGTACCCCGAGGGCCAAGGTCCCCAGCCGACCCCCGGCCCCAAGAGAGGTCGCGGTCGTCCTCGCAAGGATCCCAATGCTCCTGGTGCGTCCGATCTTACTCCTCTCGCCCCCGAATTGGTGAAGATCCGGGGTCCGATTGTGCGCGTCTATACTAATCGGATAGACACTCCCTCCAAGCCCAACACCCCCCGCGATGGGAAGCGACCGGTAGGACGACCGAGGAAAAGCGTGAACGGAGCCGACGTGGCGCGCCAGTCCAAGTCCGAGTCCGCGGACGCCAAGGCCGACGAGCCCAGCTGCTCATACTGGCTCTTGAAGGCCGAGCCCGAGTCTCGCATGGAGAAGGGCGTCGATGTCAAATTCTCCATCGATGATCTGCAGGCTTGCACCAAGCCGGAGCCGTGGGATGGTACGTTTACTCCCTCCCATATGATCGATTGCAAAGACTAACCTGGGTCAGGTGTGCGGAACCCCGTCGGTAGGCAGATCCAAGGTTGATATCCCCAGCGCGAGCTGACACATACAGCACGAAACCACATCCGTGAAATGAAGAAGGGCGACCTGGCCTTCTTCTACCACTCCAACTGTCGAACCCCCGGAATCGTGGGTGTGATGGAGATTGTGCAGGAGCACTCGCCGGACGGTGAGTCCACATTCCTCTATCCTTACAGTCAGAAAAAAACAAAACTGACGAAATAGAATCTGCCTTTGACCCCAAGCACCCGTACTACGACGAGAAATCGAACCGCGACGAGCCCAAGTGGTCCGTGGTCCACGTCGAGTTCCGCCGCAAGTTCGACAACCTGATCTCCCTGACTGACCTCAAAGGTCACTCCGCCCCGGGTGGGCCGCTGGAGAACCTCCAGGTACTGAAACAGTCCCGACTGAGCGTGTCCCCCGTGTCAGCCAAGGAGTGGAATTTCATCCACAAACTGGTCGAGGAAGCTTCCGGGTCCACCGACGGCGCAGGCAGCGCGGAGGAATCCAGTGAGTAACCTAGAGGGAATGGAATTTATTCGGTGTTGATGGAGCGATCTGGTTTTCGCAACGAATGCGAGTATCATTTTTTTACTCATTACTCATTTCATTTTATGTACAATCAACGGGCTTATCATTTTTTCGGTCCTTCTGATCTCTCACTTTTTTCTCTTTCTTTTTTTTTCCCCTTCTCCCTTGCATGCTGTTTGCCACTGATCGATGGAAAGCGTGGCAAAATTCTAGCATCAGCACGATGATAGTGAGTTGTAGACATTGATTGACTATGCCCTATTGATTACGTTGTAGAATCGTGGATGTATTAGTTGTCATCCTATCTATATCAGACCGACGTCTTTAGTTTAAACAAAGTTGAAGACTGCATAGATGAGGAAATATAACTTATAATCTGAATAATACTATCTTATTACACTGTATAGCTCTATTGCAAATCTCACCCGGCCTTATAGACCATCAGCCTCTATATATAGTTTCATCTTATGAAACTACATACTAAAATCCATCCACTCTAATCGAAAGGTAGATAGGTACCTACCACCAGTAAGTACTAGGTAGGATCAAAATGCACAAATAATGATACCTAAGTAGAGTTCCTAGGTTAGTTGTATATAGTATTCTGCAATTTATCTGCTGGTCTAACTAGCCCACTTATTATCATACTCACAATGTCTAATTTACTTCCATGCCCTTCCATCTCTCTCTTCTTGCCTGCTTGCTTGCTTTCTTTCTTTTCTTTTTCGTCCAACCAAGCCGATATCGATCTGGACACCTCCTTACTGCCATACTAAGGTACCTAGGTATGCAAAATAGACACCCCTACAGCAGCAATAGACGGCTCTACAGTGACCTAGCCAGGCTATTCTGCCAGATCCTGCAGTGAGCCAGTAAGTCGGTAGATGTATGGATACGTACCTGCAAACCAAAATGCACCTCAGTAGTGAGTCATAGCCATGGACTACCCTTGGGCAAAGTATAATATATTAGAATGATATACTGAATATATGATACTACTCAGCACAGTCAGACAGACAGACACCCAACTCTTACATACCCATCTACTCTATCACAATCGACTCACTCAAACCTTACTACCTAGGTACATGCAGTAGACAGATAGGTATACATACATATATACATATCTAATATACACCACACCAGACACAACTAATCGATCGAACACCTGTTCCACGGTGCATGTATGTACGTTATAGGCATAGATGCATATGAGTGCATATATGTATGTCTGTATGTCTGTCTGTCTGCATGTATATATGTATATGTATATGTACATGTAACCAATGCATCCCAGGACCGCCCAGTATCTGAAGTAGCTATCTCTACGCATCAAACTAGTAGAGCGATGTATCTACTTACCTACATAGCGAAGTATAGTATAGGGTAGGATAGGGCAGGGTAGATGGGCAGCAGCTGATGAACGCTGTGCAATGCAGACGTACAGCGTGTACTAATCACAGCCCTACCTTGGTAGGGGACAGGTCAGTCAACTCAAGCAAGGGAGTTGCTGCCTTGCGTGAGGAAATTATATAGATATATACTGTAGGTAAACAGGTAGAGGGGTATCTATCTATAGGTGCACCACTACGTACATCTTCAAGTCATGCGGCAGATATACATGCATGCATGCATCTTAGGCAGATAGATACATAGATAGAATGTCTCAGACAGATCTGACTTATTCGATCATCGAGATCAAATGATCGAGATCAAATGGGAGACTATTCAAGAGGTGTAGGTAAGGTAGGTATATGAGCAGGTGGTATACACTGCATGATATCATGCCCAATCGTCATACAGTAAGCAAACTAGCAACCTGGTAGCTGGGTAGCAATCCCATATCTTCTCTACTCACTCCTATCCTCAGCTACCTACGTACCTATCAGTTATAGTAGCTACCATCCACTATCCAAGCAAGCAGATAGTATCAAATATGTAGTCAGAAACAAACCCAGCTAGATAGATATACCGCTAACCACCCCCATCAACCTAATCCAGACACACACACATTAATCAACCAAAACACCTACAATCTACATACCAAGTAAATCCACCAACCCAACCTACTGCACCTCTCTCCTGCAAGCACCCACATCTAGCAACCCAGACGCACGACAACAAACCACCACACCACACCACACCACACCAAGCCCCAGCCCAATTGCACGCCTAAGCCTAAGCTCGAGCCTAATCCTACACTACACTACACTACACTACACTGCACTATCCACCTGTACCTCCCACTGTACCTCCCACCTATTACCTCCAACGTACCAATTACCCAGGTAAGAAGGGTAAGTAGGTAGGTAGGTACACAACATAGCCCCATGCAAGAACATCAAGGCGGCAGTGACGGTGGTGTGGGGTGTGCAAAGCCATCCACCCATACGTCGGGTGAATAGGCCCGTGAATGATGAACTGTCCAGCTCTAGTAGCTGCACCTCACGACCCAATCACAACAATCCATAATAAAAACACAGCCGTCCAACAAATCACATTGGTGGGGTTGAAGCCAATCAATTAATTGACTGGGTGGTTTTCCCATCCTTAGTACCAGGTAGGGTAGGCCCATATCTAGCTGCATGTCTGCGTGTTTTTGTGTTCTGGGAGTTGTGGATTGGAAATGAGAATGCGACGTTCGCTGCAGGTTGGCTGGGTGGGATAGGCCAATGGGGGCGATTGGGGGGTGTTGGTTTGGTTTATTTTACTTTTTTGTTGATTGTTCGGTTGTTTCAGTTATCTTGGAGGGTATCTACTGGTGTATCGTTGTTTGATTGTCAATGTTATTATTATAGCTTGTATATTGTTTTGGTTACTCCTAGTCTCTATTATTGCCCTGAGACTCATGATAGTCGACTTTTGAGTATCCAGCTGTCCACGTACCTGTATAATACAGACGGTATAATACAGTATATACAATACAATACAATACAAACAAGTCTCAATACCCATACCAAACCAGACCGTACCCCAGATAGAGACATGCATGCCGCCCAACTAACCCACCAAACAAATTGAACAGACCCAGACTAACCGCCTAACCCTGTCACTCGCTGGCCGCTCTGTCGTGCAGATGCATGAAGAATTGATCATGTGAGGCTGCCTATCTGTATGTGCTCTCCTGTTTCTGTCGGGAGATATAATATACTGTAGATAGTGCAGCATAAATAGACTGTAATATGGGTGCTGATAATCCATATATCCTTTGTTGCCTACTCATTTAGTTGCTCTGTCTACTAGGCCTGATAAAACCTGTAGAATGGAAAATAGTCTAGCAGATCACAACCGCCCACTCACTGCGGTTGCGGTGAGTTGGTCAAACTCAGGGGAGGGAAAATCAACCACAGCACAACCAACGCTGCCCAACTGGCAACGACGCCAGGCTTACACCGCATTTCCTGCCTGTGGGCTGACGGGCGACGGGTCTACCCCCCGGGACATGGATGGCGACAGCCTAGCACTGTTTTCCGCAGGAACTCCATCCACCTGGCGCTCCTTCTCGGCTCCCCACGGCCCAATGGCCAGCGATGCAGAGACGTTTGAGCTAAACTGGGTTTGTTTTCTTTTACCGCACCCCCCTCTCCCGCTTCGACCACTGCTGGGGCTGAGTTGGCCGGGCGCTGTGATTACCTTTTCAGTCAGCAAGCATACTGCTCGCCCCCTCTTTTCTGGCTGGTCTTGTAGAGGGTGGCCGGAGAGAAGGCTGGTCGACCGACTTTTCCTACCGGTTGTCGATTTGTCCCAGGATGAGGCAATACGGTTGGCCTGTTGTACCCAAATGTGCTCCGTGTCCGTATGTACTAGTGTCATTAATGGTTGTTATTTCCGTCGTTCGTCCTGCTTCGGTCGAGGATTAGCACTATCTTGGCGATCACCCCGGATACGGTCACCCTTGGAGCCGCCGGTCGGCTCACGATGATGTAAATCGGGGCGTGGGAGAATCCGCCGTGCTTCGCTGGCATTCTAGAGCCGCCGGGCGGTAAGTGACTTTTCTTGATCACTACCGCTAGTTAACTAAGGATGAGTGATTATTATCGAACGCCCTCGGATGATCATGACGGTCCCCCAGCTCTTGAACGATAGTTGAATCCCACGGAATCAAATGTGGAGCGGAGAGTGGGCCTTCCCTCTCCGCGTCAGCCAGCCTGTCTGCCTGTCATCGTCCGTCGTCGTCGTCCGCTGGGTGCCTCGTTGGTTGGACTCACTCCTCCCCTGTATGTCGTACTGACTGGGACACACAGACCTCGGAGAACGGGTGATCCATGCAGGCAAGGGAATAATAATCCAATACCTGTCAGGTCAACGGCTGTGCGTCCGGAGGGCTCGACCCCCCGGCGAGAGCATGCCACATATCACATATCACATACAGTGGCGGCAGCGGTAGCACCCCCCCTCCTCCTGTACGGGGGGACGTAAGATAATATCCGGGCGCTTGGGACCCTGGGACCCTGGGACGGAATGAGCCGTCAGCCGTGTCCATACCCAAGGGACTCGGATTCTAGAGGCCCGTGGATTGGTTTCCCCCCGTTCTGTCACGCAGCTTGCTTCGACTTCGAGAGCTCCCTTTTACCCACTTCTTGTCCTCCACTGGCTCCAGACAAAAAATTCCAGCCAGGGTGAGTTCCTATTTGTTCTCTGTCCGCCCCATCCTCCGTCCTTTGCTCCACCGGGGTCCTTGTCTGGGACAAATGAGGTGCGACACGGGAAGTTTGCCGTCCCCCAGCCTTTAGGTAGGAAATCTTGTCGGCGGTATCATTCCGAGGAAAGTACCTAGCTCTGGATGTGCCAAAAAGGCCGAATAGTGCGGTCAACGGTTTTTTGACAAGTCTCCCCTCCCCATCTCTTCCTTTCTCTCCGAAAATAAAAATAAATAGATCAAATGACAAATCAAGCTCGACCCCCTTTTGGATCTCTTACATGAAACCGGTCCTTCAATTCTATGAAGTGCTTATTCACATGACAGGTGATAGCTCAAATCAGTGGAGACCTGCATCGTTGCGGGTTTCAATAATTAGGCCGATAGTTTGGGCGATTGGACCGTTAGGGACTTGACTCTGAGTCAGTGTCAGGGACCCCGAAACTAGAGCTCCAGCTGGACGAGCTCTCTCCGGTCCAGACTTTCTGGTCCATTCCGGTCTAGTAGGGATAGAGTAAATGAGCTACTAGTGAGTACTTTAGTCACAAAATCCATACAGGCGGTGAGGTCTACCGTCTTACCAGAGATGATCCACTGATTCCCCGAAATCCGCATCAGTATTCGACGATCTCTCGTCAGGGTTTGAGTTGTCGACCCCAAGGACTATGTCATGGTCCTACATAGGAGTCAGTATCGGAGGACGATGGTGCTCTATAGTAGTTTACTGTATAGGTAGCAGGTTAGTAGGTACTCCATAGTAGAGAGTGAAATGAGACGATAGGAGGAGAGATGAAGTAAGAAGTGGGGCGAAGAATGACCTTGGCGCCTAAAACCACACCCGCTCGTAGTCGCGCTATTGAATCTCCCCATTAACATAACCCGCCCCAAAGTCAGTCATTCACCTTCATCCATCTTTGTTCCATCCCGGATCGCTTCAGGTCATCGTTGTTCCTGCCCCCCCATCAACCAATCGAAATCCTTCTGGCCTTCTTTGACGGATCGTCCGTCCGATCTAGCTCCGAGCGCAACTGTTATTGATTCGACGTCGGAAATCCCAGATTAGAGTTGGCTGTGCAGGATGGCTGCGATCAGCAAATGGACGGTCTCCGAGGTATGGCCGGACGGTCAAAAGCACCACCCCCCCACAAGAAACACGAGAGAGAAAGAATTGTCCCTCACCATGCCTTGGCCTCTCAGCCGTATGTCGATGTAGCAGGAACCTTACTGGAGGGTCCATTCTATGACGAAGCCCGCAATGAGCTCCGCTTCGTCGACATCTGGGAAGAGAAGCTGTATTCGCTGGACCTGGCTCAGGGGCCCAGCTCACTCCGGATCCTCGACACGTCGACGTCGATCGGGTGCGTGGATGTCCCGTCCCCAACCGGATGCATCCCTGCCAGGTAGTCTCTCAATATCGTGAAACTAACCCCCATTGATGTAGAGTGACAGCCAATATCGCGGATCCGACCGACTCTTACGAGGGCCAGGTCGTCGTAGCTGCGAAACACGGCTATGCACTCCTCAACCGCACCACAGGCGAGCTGTCATATCTCGCCAAAGTCTGGGATGAACAAAAGGACGCGGCAAAGGCGCACCGGTAGGCTCATTCCCACTCCCCCACGTGTCTCTTGTCCCCATCGGAAAAAAAGCACTAGAGCATCAGTGTCCTAAAAGAGTAATCATAAGCAAGAAAAAGAAAAAAACAAAACCAAATGAAAAGGGGAAAAAAAAAGAATTAATGATAATAAAATAATTATTTTTAAACAACATAGGATGCGTTTCAACGACGGAGCGGTCGACAGCCAAGGACGGTTCTGGGCGGGGTCAATGAACGACAACAAAGTGCAAGAGCCCGTCAACGAAGGCGTTCTGTTCCGTCTAGACCCCGATCTGACGCTGCACCGGATGGTCGAGCAAGTGACGATTCCCAACGGGATTGGGTGGAATGCCGCGGACGACACGATGTACCTGACGGACTCGCCGACGGGCAAGATCTACGCGTTTGACTTTGACGCCCCCTCGGGGACCATCCGCAACCGGCGCGTGTACTTCGACCTCCAGGACGAGCCCAAGGTGCCCGATGGGTTCGCCATTGACGTGGAAGGCTGCATCTGGAGTGCGATCTACGGAGGCGGTAAGGTCATCCGTATCTCGCCCGAGGGGCAGGTCATTGGCGAGGTGTTGCTGCCCACCCGGAACATCACCTGTGCGGCCTTTGTGGGCACCGAGCTGTTCATCACGACGGCCAAGGACGAGACTGATGATGCGGCGCTGCCGAACTCTGTTCGGTACGGGGGGCGACTGTATCGGGTTGACGTGGGGGTTCGTGGACAGGCCAAGAATGCGTTTCGCCTGGAAAAGTGATCTGACCGATCTTACCTAGTATATAAGTTGATGAAGACTGTGGAAACGTTAGATTGCGTCGCAGTTATATGAAGGAACTTACAAGGGTTATATATATAAGTGTAGATAGGAGGGGTAGATTCACCCCTCTTCTCCCGCGTAGAACACAAGTATAATCCCCAACGAAACAAGCGAAACCCTACGTTTTTACCTACCAAAAGGTGCCCCCAGGCGCATGGAAACGACTGGATCAGCAAGCTAGGTACTAGGTGGTAGTCCGTCGCTATCTACGCAGATGTTGTGTCACAAGTGGGATGAGACGGCGAGTCGAGAACCATATATGTATAAACAACACCTGACCAGGTAGTTGTGCAGTCTAAGACCTACCTACATATACATATACATATGCTACATAATTGCCAACAGTGACACAAGTACAAACATTAGTACCTACCCTACACCTCCCTCGCATAGAGAGAAGCAGTACTCCATACATCCGCATCTCAATAAAAAAGAAAAACAATAATAAAATCAATTCCAAATCACCAAGACAAGACAAGTAAGTACCCAAGTAAGCGTGCAAAAGGTGCATGCACCTACTCCATACATACCCAGGTAGCAAGGTACAGTGAGGAATAGGAATGTTAACCGCGGGATGGCCGCATCGGGGAAGGGGGCTGGAATAAGACACTACAGAGGTACAACTGTATCTCAGCCAGGGTTCCGTTCCTATTAGGCGGTGCTGGCAGTGCCAACACACACCGGTGGTTCCAGTTATGCAGGTTGATGCAGACACAGACTGGGAGACTCGTGGATGGGTTTTTTTTTTTTTTTTTTTTTTTTTTTTCTTTTCCCTTTCTTTACTTTTTCTTATATCATGATTATAATATTATTTTCGTCTTTCAATGGTGAGATAGTTCTAAATTACAGTGGGTATCAATTTATATTGAGTTATTTACTTTTTATACTCCGCAGTATGTGTATGATGTAAGATACACTGTAAGATACACAAGTGATATGATACTTACCTCGTACTCAAGCATGACAGATGACAGATGACAGCATGACAGGTCTGAGGCACACCGAGCCATTTCAGAATCATTGATAACTGCATCTACTCCGTATCTGATACTACTGACTAGGTAGTATTGAATCCCACGGGATCGTCTCCTTCTATCTTCCTATCATGCGGTTACAGCGGCACCAGAATGCCATACCAAAAGAAAAGAAAGAAAAAAGAAACCATAGATTTAATGACTAATTATGGCCTGATGTAGATAGATAGATAGGTAGAAGATAAATCCAAAGTGACATGATCAAACCTCAAAATTAGCATCACGTATCAAGAACAAAAAAGAAAACAAAAGAGGATCCAAAATCCGCCCCACGCACCAATGAACCCACGAACCGCACTTCTGGGGCCCCCCCAATGCTAAACTAACCATGCATGGATCCTGCAGCCACACGCACATACAGTCTCTGTCTGTTTCTCTCTCTCTCTCTCAGTCTCTGTGTTTCGCCTCGCTTCTTACCTACCTACCACCTCACGAACGCTTCCCCACCCCCTACCTCACCATACCTATCTAGGAGGGTTGTACTTTGGGGACCCGTCTCCCCCCGCCGTCTCCCGCCTCACTCTCAGACAGGATATAGGCGAAGGATCGAGGGGACACGCATACGGAGATGGATTCCGGCAGGTGATGAGGAAAGTCTAGACCGGAATGGTTAATACTCTGGATGAGATAGATTGAAGGATGAAAGACTGGACGGGGGAAAAAGAGGAGGAAGAGGGGACTGAAGAACAATACAGAAGGCTCCACTTCCCGGAGTAAATAGAGGTTTGAACTAAGCTGAGTGTGGAGTGGGGTGCTTGGTTAGTAGTTTTTTATTGTATGAATTTTGTTTATCTTGGTTTGTGTGTTTATTATGGGGTGTCTTATGATTGAATGGATATTGTGTTCCGATTGTATGATACTGAGATATATTCAGTGTGGTATAACAATAGAACCTCTATCTAATCCACAGAGTATGAACTGACTACCTGTAAAGCAGGCAGGTCGAGAAGAGCCTAGGTACCCAAAGTACCAAGTTACTTACTCCGTACCCGCTGCCGGTACTCCAACGGAAATAAATTGACGAATATCCACGCTCCCCAACCAATGAGCATTTTTCGATCGCCAGATCCCAAGCCCAGCCGCCTGCAAGTAATCTGCTGGCTGGGCTTGCAGAAGGAGAATGAACACCTGTCTCAGTCTAAACCGGTGACTTCCATTCCTTCTATGAAGTCAAAAGTACTTCCGTATTCAACGCTATCTATTGTCTAACAATCAGGGGAAAGAAAAGAAAAAAAGTAAGTAATACTAATCAAAAAAAATGTAATATCAATCAAATAAGAGGAAGAAAAAGCAACGGCTGTCTTTTCCCCTTTTCATATCCATATCTATTGTCTTATAGGTTTTTATATGCCTCGAAAAAAGCAATAAATCAAAAGTAAAAAAAAAAAAAAAAAAAAAAAAAAAAAAACCAACAAGGTCCTCAACTCCTCGGACTTCTTCCCATCACATCACACTCAGGTAGTATGCCCAGTCCGCCTCGTAGGACAGAAATAATAAGGATTATGCAGACAATAATAATGCCGCACCATCGCTCGGGTCGGGCTGTGCTACGGGCCGCTAGAAGATTTTTATTATTCTGATTATTCTAATTGACCAAAGCCTAAAAGTCGACGTCAATTGCCCTTGCTGTCGGTTTGTCTATCGCAAATGAGGAATTTCAGAGCTGTCGGGATAGACCGACTCCCGTGTTGTATAGAGAAGTTGATAGGGAGTTGCGGCCCGATGACGTAGCTGACTAGACTGACCATTGTTCTCTCTTCGTTGTACTCCGTACTCTTGAGGTATTTTTCTTATGCTGCGTAAGATCATGGAGGTAAGAAAATGACTGACTGATCGAACAACGTCTGAAGTAGCAATATAACCGAGTGCATCGCAAGCACGTCTAGATTGAACGACTCGCGTGGTCTCAGTCGGCACATGCCACGGCACTTTCATTCAGCCTCGAAGACAAAACAAACGTCAATTGGCCGAGAATAACAAAAAAAACCTAGGAAGACGGAAAAAAAGAAAAGAAAAAAGGAAACAAAACGAAGGAACAACGAATTGAAAAAAGTCCCTCCGTCCAGGGACATCCAGGTAGCCAACCAATAGATGCACTGCCTGACTGCAGACTGGCCCACGCCACGACGGCACAATATTAATACTAAATATCAGCTATTAACCACATAATGCGACAAGGATAAGTCAAGATACTAGATCGAAAGAAAGTAAAACACAACGGCCATCAGCACATTCCGCCCATTGAAAGTCCCCCATTCAGCCTGATGGAGTCATCAACTCGTCACACCAATGCCAGCGCCACCACTTGGGGAAGGGGGTAGAACGAGAAAAAGAAACGAAAAGAAGAGCGAAAAAAAAAATCATTATAATCATGCCTGAATAATCATAAGAGGAGAGATGATGTGCCGCGCCCGCATGCATGCAAGACATGGGCCTTCCGGGCCAGTCATGGCGTCCTCGATGGAGAAAAGAGAAAAGTGCCTCATTTCCGGCAGCACTATTCCGTGGATGGGGGTGGATCGATGGCGTCCGATCCTTCGGGGTTTGGAATGTCATTAGTACTTATGGAGGACTATGGAGATAGACAGTAGGCACTCAGTAGTAGGTACGAGGTGGGCTTATGGTGGATGTTGGTTGACGCTGGACTGACATGGATATCTACCTACTGTATTCCGTATCGAGGTATATAGATATTGCTCTGGGATTTGCCTCGGATCCGACTATTGTTTGGCTTGGAACACTAGTTATTCCATCACCGGTGGAAGGAATAAGATGGTGAGATGCTATATCGGGCAAGGGTACTACATATTATCTGTTATTGGATATTATATTCTGATTATTTCGAATTTTCTGGTAGACTGATCATGTCATCATCGTGATCCTCTAGCCCTAACCCTGGATTATAGATCACCGTAAATTGGAGACCTTGACTTGGAGACCGACATTGGAGCTGAACGATGCTCTAGCCTCTAAGCCTCCCACGGTGAGATTGACACTTGACAGGAGACCCGATCTACATTTTAGGGCATACATTGATGATTTTAGAGGGAAAGAAAAAGAAACGGACCGTAGCTGACAGACCGTAGCTGACGGACCAGTGGACCAGTTGGAGCGAAGCTGGATCGACACAACTCGGTAGTTGAAGAAAGTTCCATGAGAATGGAAGGAAATCATATTAATAATAAAAATAGGAATTCTCTTCACGTCAGATTGAAGAAAAAGAATAGGAACATTTGTTTGACACGCGGCACATGTTGCGTCGAATCGATCGACTTTGACTATAATATTTCATGCGTGTAGCTTATAGTGTGACCAAAGAGGGGGAGAGGAAACCGTGCCCATCATCCTGATTCCTGATAGACTTCAAACACCCCAATCCTACCCAAAGGACAGAAAGACAGTCTCACATCCAGAAAACCAGACTGAGAACAGACTCTCCACCGATCCTCCTCTGCCACCACGACCATGGTGACGGGGTCGACTAATTGTTCCCTCTCACTCGCATTTCGCCCCCAAACCCCAGTCAGTCCCTCTGTTAGTTCCCTTTAGTTCCTTAGTTGTTCGTTAGTGGATAGACTAGAGGTGGAACCCGCCGGTTCCTTCCATTCCATCGCTGACCGGTCTTTGACTTTTTGACTATCATTCCAGTCTCCTAATAATGAGGTCAATTATTATTGGGGTTCGGGATGGATGATTTCATCGAGTAGGGGGAAGGGTACACCACTGGGTCTAATCCCCTGATTTGTTTCCATTCTTCTTTTTTCTCATGTTATCGATTTCTATTATCTGACGTATTCATTATTTCTATACCCGACGTGCTCTCCACAGAGTACGGACTACGGGGACTATGTCACTGCCCAATTCCAGCCCAGCCCCAGCCCGGTTCTGGGTACCTGTCCGGGTTCCCCGGGGCCCATCGCGGTACTTTAGACTGACACTGATTAGACCTATTATGATCAACTTGGAATTATTATTTCCATTGTAAATATTGAATTATTGGAATGTGCTCTCCTGCATCTGTATGTATGTCTATACCGACAGGCAGACATACATCATAGTCAAGGGAATCGACAGGACGGTAAGGCGATGGTCAAAACCCAATGCCGTATGTAAACCAGTACGAGAATAGGGTATTCTGTAAGGTAAGGTAAGGTCAGGTCAGGTAAGGTATGTATGGATCAGGCGGGATATTCGTCCATCACATTCATCTGCAGGTTGGCAGACCGACATCTGTTGAACAACTATGATAATAACTAATTCTCTGGGACATGATCATTGGTCTTACTCATCTCCCCTGATCAATGTCCATTATGGAGTTCTAATTGAATCCATCGTGCTTTTGCCCGACCCAGTTCTCCTTCCCACATCTGCGCGGTTCATCATCACCAGCTCCACTTTTATGGCTCGCTGGTTTTCGCTTTCTTGGTTCACACCGCTGGATCTGGATAATAAATAATCAACAGTAAATAGTAAATGGTAAATAATCATTAAGATAAAATATGATAATAATAATTAAACGTTGGATTCATGATCGTCTTGTCTGCCTGTCTGCTGGGAAACGAATCCACCGCATCATGGGAATTCTCAGTATAATAATATTCTGATTTATTATTGTGATTTTAATCCTTTTCATTTATTCTATTTATTTATTCTCTTCTTTTTTCATTTTATTTTCAAGCATAAATCATTTGTCTTTATTGTCTGGATATTATTCTTGAGATTTTCGTTTCGTGTATTCTACTTATTTCTATTTCACCCTCGACTCTCCATCTCTCCATCTCGACTCGATCTTCTCCTTTCTTCTCACGTACTTTTTTCATCTCCACGAATTCCTTCTTCTGTCATACCTTTTATCATCTCTATCTCGCTCCTCCTGATCTTCCTCTAGACCTCTCTTCTTCTCCATCACAGCATCATCCAGCTAGACGGGCTTACCTCTTCGACTGGCTCTTCTATAACTTCCGGACTGGAAAATCTTCATCTTCGTCCCTCCTTCCGGACGACCTGATTTTCTCATCCGCTGGGCGGGTGTCAGTTGGGATTGAACCCTCGGGAATTTCTCCTCACCCATCGTGGCTACCTTAGGGATTAGTGTTTTGACTCCTCCCACTCCATATCCGCACCCGGTGCATCCCCCCCATTCATATCATTCGCTGCCTGGCTTTCATCGGGCCCAATCGACTGGCTCCCTCTCTCAGGCTCCTGTCCACCAGTCTCTAGCCCACCAAGAGAGAGGGGGCCGTCCCCCGCCATGCCCTAGCCTTCTGCGTCAGTCCATCGAAAGAGATCCGGAGCACATGGCGCAGATCCCCCCCATCTCTGGCCCGATTTCTGCCTCTGCGGACGATGGCCCGGCTGTGGAGAACCGCGGTTCTCTCGACCGGAAACGTCCGTACGTCGTGGATGAAGACTCTTCCTCAGACGGTCGTGACCCGTTGCGCCCTCGTACGCTCTCCTGGCACCCCTCGGCGCCCGTGGAGCCGCCTCTGAAGACGGAGAGGCTTTGTTCCATCGGGGTCGACTCCATCTTGAACCCTCCGTCCAAGGCTGGACCGGCGACTAGCCCTGAAACGCGCGGGGATCCGATGGCGCCGGCCGGTTCGTCGCACCATCGACGACTGCCCTCATCCCCCTCCGTTCGCCTGCCGTCGCCCGCGCTACCACCCGCCAAACGGTTGTCCTTATCCCCAGGATCTCATCAGATGATCCACCCCGCGTCGCCTTCAGCTCGCTTCGTCAACGCCGCGGGTCCGTATCCCAGGAAGACTAGTGCGCCACAGTCGCCCTTGGCTCAAGAATCTCGACCGGGGTATATGGGGGCTCCAGGCTCCCCGATGGTCATGGACCCGGCGGTAGCTCCGTCCACCTCGATGCCGGGCCCTCCGGGGGCCATGCCCGTCTCCGTGCAATCCACGCCCACGTTCCACAGTCGCCGGACGAGTGCCAACCTGACGCCCAACCCGACCTCGCAGGAAACGAGCCCGACGACGCCTGTTTCCACCTTCAGCCACTTCGGACGCGCGTCGCCCGCCCTGGCCGGTCCCCCTCTGCCCCATCTGCCGTCGGGCCTGGCGACCTCGGTGCCGTACGCGCCGATGGAGTCGGTCAGCCGACTGCCCCCGGTGTTGGCCGGTCCACGGCCGGGCGACGAGCCGCTGGCCGTGGGGCCACCCCCGCACGCCGACCCTTCCGGGCCGCCCAAGATCGAATGTTTTCTGGACCTGAAATCGGGATCGTCCAGCCAGGCGGAGAAACGGAAGGCGAACAGCGACGCATCGCGGCGGTTCCGGAACCGAAAGCGGAACGAGATGCAGATGGAGCAGAAGCTCACGGCCCAGCAGGATGAGATCCGAGCCCTGACGCAGGACCGGGACTACTACCGCGCGGAACGAGACTTCTATCGGGAGCACGTTCATCGACTGATCCCGGCGGGCCAGCAGCTCCCCACTCGGCCAGCGTCGCCGCAGCGGTTTCGCGCGCCGTTCGACCACCCCTCCGAACGGGATCCGCAGACCGTATGGCCACATGCGACCGAGCCCGCATCTGGGCCCCGTGCGTCCTTCGGGGGTCCTTCCCTGGCACCCCCAGTAACGTCGTCGACGAGGCCGACCGGAAGCTGGTCTACCGCATCGCCCTCCTATACCACGTCGCCGGCGGCGCCGGGGGGACGCGGGGTCCTGTCCCACGAGCAACCACCCCGGTCTCTACCACAGTTTCCGGGAGAGTGGGCACGGGTCTAATCTTTTCCTATCCGTGATACGCAGCGACGCCGGCTCGTTCCACCGCACATCGCCTGGAGCGTTGGTTGTTTATAATGAAGGGGGACCGCAGACCAGAAAGAACATAGAAAGGAAAAGAAGAAAAGAAAAAAAAGCAGGAAAGGAATTAGAAGAAATTGACTATAATGATCCCGCCAGCGGCGAGGGATCGATGCATTGGTGGATATCTTTGATTACAATTTGCGATCAGCATGCAGGACGTTGGGTATAACTAAGCGGTGGCTTTCTCATCATGTGTTTTTGACCTTATTTACTCGTGTTTTTTTTTTTTTCTCTCTACATATATATATATATATATTTTCTTTTGTTATTACTCCCGTTGTGTTGCAGGAATGGGCCGCGTTGTGGATCCAGAGATTATGGCGTGACAGCTTCTCTGCACACTACACCTCTGGCATTCATGCCCATGTTCGTTATTTTGGAGTACCCATTGGGTGGCATTTTATCTTGACTTGACTTGCACGGAAATTGACCGAGCGACCAACCATCTATTGAACGGATCATTGGACCTTATTGTGGATGATAGTTTCTCCCCTGTATGATAATCCAATTGACGAATGAACGAATAACGGGACGACCCCTTCCTCTCTTGACAAGGGATACGTACTGCACAGCTGCTTAAAACTCTCCCATATACCTTCATCCTCCCGGGTATCGCCAAGGATTGATATCAGTTGAGACAGCCTTAGGCAGCCATCAAGTGTCAGGGCCCACGTGGTCAGCACTCCAACCAATCAGGACGACGCGGCACAATCAACACCAAACAGACCAAACGCCGCCATGACAGCACACCGTGGGCGGCCTCAGGATCTCAACTGGACGACATTCACCGCATCAACCCTGTCGTGGTTTTTCCTCACCTCGGGACAACCGTCCATGATGAATCCAGAGTACCATCCCACTCACCCCCCCACTATCCCCTAGCACTATCCCACACGGTTGCCCCCCGGTCCCCATCCTGGTTCCGGTATCGCAATAATCATTAAGTGGTGTCGGAGGTTCCGAAGTGGTTCTTCACAAGGATTAAATCAGGGTGGATGGTGCACGATGAGGGGGCTATATAAACACCGTCAGGTCCTGGGAGGACCCGGGACCTGTAGTTACAGACATCGCAAGAAAGAACTCACGATAGTCTGCATCATGGCAGTTTTTACAGGTCTCTTGGCTTTCCATGCTTTATTCGCCAGGTGGGTCCCCCCCTAGAACCTAAAACTCCCAAGCATGGACAGAACGGCTAAAGATCCTCGCACAGTGTCTCGGGCAGCACTGGCCTTCCTGCGTCTGACTGCAACACGGTCGACGGCGGGTACCAGTGCTTTCCGGAGGTCTCGCACAGCTGGGGCCAGTACTCGCCCTTTTTCTCGCTCGAGAAGGAGGAGACGAGCGACTCACCGGACGGGGATATCCCGGATGGTTGTCGGGTGACCTTTGCGCAGGTGCTCTCGCGTCACGGCGCGCGGTATCCGACGGAGTCGAAGAGTACCAAGTACGCTGCGCTGGTGAAGGATGTGCAGCGCAATGCGTCGTCGTTGACGGGCAAGTATGCCTTTTTGAAGACTTACAACTACTCGCTGGGCGCGGATGACCTGACGTCGTTTGGGGAGGCCCAGATGGTGGCTTCCGGTGCGAAGTTCTACAACCGGTATGCGGCGCTCGCAAGGCGACTCGTGCCGTTTGTGAGGGCGTCGGGGTCGGATCGGGTCATTGTGTCGGGGGAGAAGTTCAACGCTGGGTTCCAGGAAGCAAAGAAGCGAGATTCGCACGCGGACCCGGGACAGAAGCCGCCTGTCATTAACTTGGTGATCCCCGAGGGCGAGACGTTCAACAATACGCTTGACCACGCGATATGCAAGAAGTTTGAGGACAGCGAGTACGGCGACGAGGTGGAGGCTAAATTCACGGCGCTGTTCACGCCCGATATCCGGGACCGGCTGGAGGAGGACCTCCCGGGGGTGCGACTCTCGGACGAGGACGTGGTCGGTTTGATGGATATGTGCTCGTTCGACACGGTGGCGGGCGACGGGTCGCGGCTGTCGCCGTTCTGCGGCCTGTTCACGGCCCACGAGTGGGAGCAGTACGACTACATGCAGTCGCTGTCGAAGTACTATGGCCACGGCGCGGGACACCCGCTGGGCTCAGCCCAGGGCATCGGGTTCGCCAACGAGCTCATCGCGCGGCTGACCCGATCCCCCGTGCGCGACCACACGAGCTCCAACCAGACGCTCAATGCCGACCCGGCGACCTTCCCGTTGAACTCGACGCTGTACGCGGACTTCTCGCACGACAACAGCATGATATCCATCTACTTCGCCCTCGGCCTGTACAACGGTACTGAGCCACTCTCGAAGACTAAATCTCAGACGGCTGCCGAGTCGGGCGGATACTCTGCAGCGTGGACGGTGCCTTTCGCCGCTCGGGCTTACGTCGAGATGATGCAGTGTCAGGGGGAGAAAGAGCCGCTGGTTCGGGTGCTGATGAACGACCGCGTGGTGCCGTTGCATGGCTGCCAGACGGACGATTTGGGACGCTGCACTCGTGATGATTTCGTTCGGGGACTGAGCTTTGCCAGAGAGGGAGGAAACTGGGATCAGTGTTGGGTTTAGAGCTTGCTCGGCAGATGGATTCCGGGTTTTCTTTTCGGTTCTTCATGACCTCGTTCCATGACCTTGCAGATATATTCCGGGTTTCAGTTCTTTCATGACTTTATCTTTATCTGGACTGTGTATATCCACTTGCTTTCTTTGCTGTCAGGTCTGACATTCACCTTGCACATTCAGCCTAGCGTGTTTTCAAAGTGCGCACATTCACTGTAAATAGAGTGATATGTTCATCGTCTCGGCGATGGCTCATCAGCTGCTTTACCTTTTACTTTTTCTCTCTCTCTCTTTCATTCTTCTTCTCACATTCTCATCATCGATACTCGTCCTCTCACCATCTCTATCGATCTTCCATCCTCGGCGTGCCTCTCGGCGACGAACCCATCCACCCCAAACACCTTCATCAAACCAAACCACCATGTCGTCCGACGAAAGATTCTCCATCTCTGAGGAGAACACCCCACCCCCTTCACCTCCAAACGTCATCCCGGCGATCGTGTTGATCTCGCCCAAAGGCATCCACTTCTTCACCCGCTACCGCGCCATCCTGCGCAAGATGAACCGCGATGTCGAGCTCTACTGGGCGCCCAACATCAAAACCCTCAACGGCACCATCCAGAAACACAGCTACCGCATCGCCGGCTTCATCATCTCCGACGCGGCCATCATGGACCCAGAGCACGAAGAACTCGCCCAGCGCGTCGCCAGTCTCCCACGCACTCCCGGCCGCGAGTGGGCCGTCGTCTTCGCCTTCGACTTTCCATCGCAGGCGGCGCGTGCCCCGTTCCGCTTCAACCAGTACCTGGAGACGTACTTCGGGCTGGGCTGGCGCATGTGCGGCAAGACGGAGAACAAGATCAAGATGAAGCTGCGGACGTTGGCGCTGAGGAAGGTGGCGAAGCGTGTTTACCGGACGGAGTATGAATTCCGAGGCGTCTTTATCCGCGGCGTCAAGCAGGGCGATAAGTTTCTGGTAACTGTGGGAGAATTCAGTAGTGGTGGACAGCCGGATGAGAATTTGTTGGAGGAGGAGACTTCTTCTACTGCTGTTGCTGAGATAGGGGATGGGTCTAGCGATGTTGATAGCCAAACCCCCGTTGGTCGTCGTCCTGCGCTCGACACCACCAGCCATTTCGCCGTGCCTTCTGCTAAAGTTGGGGCCCCCGACGATGACGACACGATCAGCGACTTGAGCCAGCACACTGCTGCTGACTTCAACTATCCTGATAGCATTGCTGTTCCTACAGATGACGAAAATAACCTCGCCGACGACGAAGAGAGCATGTTTGACAGCGAGGAAGGCGAGTACATGGAATTCGAACTTGCGCAGCCTATCGCTCCTGCCCATATCCTCAACCTCCCCACCACCAACAGCTCCAACCCTAATCCCCAGCACCAGCAGCAGGAGCAGGAGGGGGACGACGACGACGACGACGAAGAGAACGAAGTCTCCCCAACCCCCTCCCCCTCCACCCCCGTCTCCTCCCCACCCAGCCAAACCAACGACCCCGACTTCGAATTCGACGCCGAAAACGAATCCATCGCCACAGACACCAGCACCAACGGCCGAGCCAGTCCCACCAGCTCCATCGACCCACCCCCCGTAAGCGCCAACCTGCCCTTCCCGCTCCCCCCGCAAACCTTCCACAACCTCCGCCGCTTCTTCGACGCGAACGCCATCCCGACCACCACCGAAGGCGAAGAAATCTCCACCCCGGACCTCATCCCGCACGACTGGGTGCCGTCTGACGACGAGGGCACGGAGGCGGACAAGCAGGTTGCGGACTCGTGCGTAGTGATCCATGAGAGTCGGCGTGTGGTTCCGTGGAGGGGCAGGAATTACACTGTGCGTGGGTTTGTGGGGTTTGTGGGCCATGTGGATGATAATCGCAGTGTGAGTTCGTTGATTTTGGGCGTTTGTGGGGTTAGGGTTGTGGGGGTTACTACTCATTGAGGTTGATGGTATGGACTACCTTATGGATGGATAGGTTTGGTTGGAGGACTATCCTTTGATGTGTTTTGATTTGATTTGATTTGTTTTTTTTTTGTGCTTGGGATGGCGTTTTACTGCACTTGCTTGCTGCACTACACTCACTGTAGTATGCATGCAATGTAAGTAGCGCAGTGGATGGTGGTAGGCGTTCTCGGGGCCATACCCTACTACATTGCAGTACTTGATTTTGATATCGAAGAAGCCTTTCATACTAGGTAGATCATAAGCAGAAGATTAAGAAGAAATACGTACAGTTCATCTACTACAATCATACACATACACATACATATACACATATACATCCATGAAATATGACACTTATAGTACAAACTAACCATCCAACAAACCAAACAGATATCAAAGCCACTGATATACTCAATCAATCAATCACGCTCTGTAGTCTCGTTCCCACTCCCACTCCCCTCGTTCAGCCGTTTCTGCTGCTTATCACCGTATGCTAGGCAGATCGAGTTAGCATTCACCTTGACTCTAGAAAGTCGTTAGGCAGACAGATGAACAGATCAAAGATAAATACACGAATAAATCCATAAAACAAAAGACGGGGAAAGAAGAAGAAAGAAAGAAACATACTCCTCTCATACAACACCCAAGAAGTATACATAAAAACCGGCAACGCCACGATCGTCGACAGCCACCTAGATAGTACTTTGTTAGCACAACTTTACCATATCATACATATTGGACCATAACACATCATATCATATATTTAGAAGTAAGGGAAAGAAAAAAAAAACATACCGCCGCGCAGCGACCTTATACTCCTTCGTCTGACGAATATCTCTCACCCCCATCCCCGACAAAGGCGGTCTCTGCGTGCGGCGCGCAGACGGCGGAACCGGGACGCCGGGGGTGTGGACGCGGGGTTTTTGTTCTTCTTTCATTTTTTTCTCTTATTCTTTTTCTCTCTCTTATGATGTTCAATTTCTGCCTTATCGGCTGTCGTGGTTCGATAGTGATGCGGTTAATGTGGATGAGATGGTTCAAGGGCGGGAAAAGATGATCGATTCGATTGGATCCGTTGCTGATTCTGCCTAAGGCATTATTTATCTACTTGTTGCCTGAGGCATAACATATCGTATTAAATGATTACAGTGTAAGACTACGTCTACGCTACGCTGAGTCTGACTTTTAAAAATCCAACGCGTGCATTTATGTCTAATGACATTGCCCACCCACCCATCCAGTCCACCACCAGGTACCGCCGCCCTCTGTCGGCCCGTGGCGTTCCCTATGATATAGGAGAACGCTGGTCCGACGGGGCGGCGGTCCTGGTGAGGAGAGTAGTACAAAACGGATTCCACGATTCCAAAGTGGACAGGAATTCAACGCTGTACAAAAAAATAAAAAAAAGAGGGAAGAAAGAAATTAATACATGATAGAAAAAATTCATCATCGAAAGAAGAAAAAAAGAAACAAGATCATGGTATGGTGACATAAGAAACGCGCCGGAATCATACATTGGAGAGACCTGTCCATGTCTTCTGTGTCCGTAGTCTTTCTGTACCCATACTCCCCCAGAAGGACACACTCGAGAGACCCATCTCTTTAGTGGTTAGTGCTTCGGAGAAGAGTGGAAGAGAGAATATGGGGTAGAAACATGGGGACAAGGGTCATGACGGATGGAGAACTAGGGAGGACCGCGGCAGCCGGGTCCGTCTCCTTGGTAACTATCCGTCAGACACTCTTTGTCCACCTTCTACCCCTCCTCTCTCTTTCCTCTCCTCTTTCACACCGATCCACCTAGAGACGGGTCCTCGATGTGAACCAGGTGGGGGATCTGGGCAACGGAAGACCACGAAACACAGAAGGCAATGAACAGGCCGGGGAGAAGAACAGGAAGGGGAAACATGTGCGGGTCAGCGAGAACATGGACGGCTCAGGGAGAACATGATGGCAGCAACAAGCGGAGAACAAGATGGGCAACATAAACGCCGTTGTTCGGGAAGCCTCTCGCTATGTGCGCGGGATGCGTAGAGAAACAACTGGAGAGCATGATGGAGTGCCGGTCGGGTGGAAGAAGGGTAAATGGCACGTAGCAAGTGTAGCCGGGGGGAGTGCAGTGTGATGGTCATGTAATATTCGGTGAAAGTGGAGTATGATATGATGTATGAGAAGGCGATGGCAATAGAAGGCGATGGGTGGCGGATGATGGGTGGAGGACAATTCTGCTGCATCGATCGCATCAAATCCGGATGTCAATCGTGTCAAGTCTAGACGCCAAACACTGATCGTGTCGTCTAGACTGCAACACTGTCAAGCTAGACTGCCGCAGCAGTAGCCCCGTCTTCAGGATGCTCAGATCCCTTTCTGCGTGCTGCGCGACGGGCCCTTTCCTCGGCATGGGTCTGAAATCCCGCCATGAGCGCCGCAGCAGCACGACGACGGGGACGCCCACCAGGTGTCTCGCCCAGCGTTTCGTTCTCCACCGGTGGCTCGGCGGCAACAGGAGTCTCCGGAGTCTCCGGGATCTCTTTCTTCGTCTCGTCCTGGGCCTTGTCGTCGGTCTGCTTGTTTCCCGACATGCGCAATGTCACTTTGAGCGGCTTCGCCCCAACGGGGGTGTCATATGCAGAGGTCTTCGGGCTCTTGTGAGGTCGAGACGTAGTTTTATCTTCTTCAGTCTCATCGACGTCGGCACGGGTGCGCTTCTTAGACTTGCTGGGCTTGTCGGATTCGCCAGACTTGGGGTCGTGGCTCGCTTGCGTTTTTTCGGGGTCTCCTGCGTCTGAGATTCAAGCTCCGAGGTGTCTTCGTCCCCATTGCCGTTGCCGTCCTCCTGGTCGTTCTCCTGGTCGTTCTCCTGGCCGTTCTCCTGGCCGTTCTCGTCCTTCATGAAAAGCTTCAATTTCAAGATGTGCTTCTTCTTCCTTTTTTTCTTCTTCTCAACATCTTGGGCCTCCGGCGCTGGCGCCGGCTCAGGTGCAGGCTCGGAGGTCTCTTGAGCTGCGGACGCAGTCGGGGCCTCGACGTTCTTGCGACGTCTCTTGGCTCTGGGTGTGGGTTCAGCGGCTTCAGATGTGGCCGCAGCTTTCGATGGGGTTTTCGAAGTGGCGGCAGACTTGGTAGACGCCTTCGAAGCAGCTGTGCTCTTCGGGGTGGATTTGGCCGTAGCTGGAGTCTTGGGGGCAACTTCGGGCGTGGCTGCAGTCTTTGGGGTAGGTTTGGACGTGGCTGCAGTCTTGGGAGTAACTTTAAGTCTGCCTCCAAATTTAGGGGCAGCTTTAGGGGCAGCAAGGACTGGATCTGCTGTCTCGCGTCGCCTCTTGCGAGAAGCGCGGGTCGCCTTCTCTGGGATGATTCCATTGACGGGTGTCGGCGCGGCGGGGGTCTGGGCCGTCCCATCACGACGCGTAGCCACTGCCGCCTTGATATCGTTGACATTCCAGGAGCGATCGATGGTGATGCCGAGTGACTTTGCCTCCTCTCGCAATTTGATCTTGGTGAGCTCCGTATCGACATCCTCGACTGTGAAGGGTGCCACCGCCCCTTGCGGCAAATTGCGCTCTCCCATGCGCGGGGGGTACCCGAAGATGCGGTCGCGCTCGACCTGGTCTCGGGCCTTGTATCGCAGCGGGGGCTGAGGCAGTTCATCATCATTGTACGTATTGTTGGGCCGGAACACCTCGAATTCCGGTCCCACTGCGAACAGCTCCTCGCCGAATTCATTGATTTGACCTGTGAATCGCCACCCGTCAGCGTCGGCGCACACCACCGAGTCAACGGCCTCCCTTTTGGCTTGTGCCCTGGTCCTGTTGCGGCGTGTAGGCGCCGAAGCGCTGGGGGTGGTGCTCGGGGGTGGTGGTTGCTGCTTACGCTGTTCACCTGGCCTCCCGGCATCATCTGCCACCTTCCCGCCATTCTGCTCCGCGTCGAAATTTTTGCGCATCTCCGCCAGCCATGCGCTGGCCTCTGGCGCGGGTTTGAAGTCTTCGGCCACGGCAGTCGCGGCCATTTCGAGGAGACGGTTCGCCAAGGCTCTCGCTTCCGCCGAGAGAACGACGGGCGTTCTTTGTGGCGCGGCTGGATCGGTGGTAGAATTGGAGGTAACCTTGGTATCGGCTGTGGGCTGAGAAACAACCTTGGATGCAGCACTGGGCTTTGGCTTCGCCCTGGGTGTGGTACGGCGCCTGACGCGTTGTTCGGATGCCAGTGATTCCAAGGCGCGGATGGTCGGCTTGCGCACGCGCCCGGAGGTTCGATTTGCGGTCGATGTGCTTGTTGTCAGGCTCGTAGGGGACCCCGGAGGATCCATCTGACCATCCAAGCCAAAGTTCTTTCCGTACATTTCGGCGTCATAGTCGAAATGGAACCCGTCATCGTAGACGTGCATTGGAGTTCCAGATCCGGTCCCATTTGCCAATTCCCGGTCATACGGGTGGGCCAATGGAGTTGACAACGCTGCGGCTAGTGCCTTCCGTCCCACATTCAGCTTGACGGTGTTGCTCGGTCTGGTGGTCCCCTGTGAGGGCGCGCTGGTCCCGTTGGCAACTGGGGTGAGATTCGGCTGCTCGTCATCCTGGTGTGCGGCTGGGGTAGTGACACCGGACGTGGGGCCTCGACGACGCGTTTTGGCGGTCAGGCTGCCGGGTGTCGAGAGAGGGGTCTTGCTCACTCCATTGGTAGGTGTCTGTGGCTTGCTTGAGTCGTTGGCCGGGATTGGCTGCGAGCGTGCATTGGGAGTCGCGCGGGCAGTTTGAATAGTGGACTTGGGCTTCCGATTGCGACTGCGTGTAGACTGTGGGGTAGAAGCCCGAGACGCGGCCTGAGTTCCTGGCATTCCGGCGTCAAATGCCCCGTTGGCCTTTGCTGGCATGGATTTGCGAGATTTCGGGTTGGACGCTCTAGTCTTCATGATTGAACTATTTCGTGGTGTAGTGTCTGGTTTTGTTTCAGACAGCTCCGCCTGTGCGGTCGGAGACTTTGGCCGGTCTGGCGATTGGTGAGAGATGAAATGGTGCAGCGTCGACTGTGACAGCTCTGATTTGTCCTGCACGTCCATTAGATGAATTCGGAGGTGGAATGGCATCAATGTCTACTCACTTGAGTCCCGTTGTCTGTCTTTGGCGATTTTCGGTTTCGGTTACTCTTCTTAGACCTGGTACTTGAGGCTTGTACTGACGCGGACCGACTTCTCTGGTCGGGAGTCTCGACAGTCACTTTGGAGTGAGCTGAATGTTCGTCGTTGTTGATCGAACGAGGAGTCTTGCGGCGCTTAGCCGATGGAGTAGAGTCCTCGAATGAGGAAGCTATGGGGGTAGGAGGAAGAGAATATGACGTCTTGGGGAGCGGAGCGGTGTTTAGTTCAGACACACGCGCCACTCTCTGAGAAGCGCGAGATGAACTGCGTCGGGTGGTCTTCGCAAAATGTCAGAAATGGTGAGACACGGTACACAGGGAAGAGATATGAAGGATAATGAGAGGTACACGAGGGAGATACGACAAATGATGAGAAGGTCCTCGAGGAGGATAGGAGAAAGGATGACAGGAAGTCCTCGAGGAGATATGGGAGAGAGGATGAGGAAGACCTCGAGGAGGATAGAAGAAAGGATGACAGGAAGTCCTCGAGGTTAGGAGAAGGGATGACAGAAAGTCCCCGAGGAGATAGGAGAATGGATGAGGAGATCCTCGAGGAGGTCCTCGAGGTGGTCCTCGAGGTGATCCTCGGGGAGGTTGGAGAAAGATGATAGAAGTTCCTCGAGAAAGATATGACAAAGGATGGGAGAAGGTACTCGATGATGATTAAAAGCAAGACAATAGAAAGAGGAATGGAAATGGGATACACAAAGTGGAAGATGGATGTAAGGAGCAGGATGTGGGAAGAAGAGAAAGGTGGGAAGAGATGAATGTAGAGAGATGGATGTAGGAAGAAGGAAGAGGACTGACCGGAGAGAAATCAAGGGAAGAGATGGGGGGGCCAGCCTCCCTTTTATATGTTGGTTTTTCAGACACTGCAGTGATTGACAGCTGTTAGAAATTGGCCATGAGGTCATGTAATTCAAGTGAATGGAGTCAACAGTGAAGAAGACAGGGGAACAGATGGAGTGGTTCAAGGTGACCACAGTCAACCTGCCCTATATGGTAATCGAAAGTGAAGCCCTAACACGCCAGTGATAGACTCGGTGAAGGTCCCGAAACAAGAATGTAACAACCCAAAATAAAAGTACCACAGATACTTACTCTTGAACACCAGTGTGTGAATATACAGATTCCTTCTTCAAACACCGAATGACTGTTGTGTTGTTGCCCGGTGGGACTTGAAGTATGAAGTGATCATGGACACCGCTCGTGGCGGGAGACCCGACAGGGGATGTTGATAGCCACTGTCCCCAGTCTCTTTCACATATGATCTTGTGTGTATATCTCAATATTACCAGCAGGAAGGTCTTCGAGGGTTCTCAAGCGGTTCCTATGTGGTAGACTCCAACGTCAGTGAATGGATTTCCAGTGAATGTCGCGGACTGATGAAGGCAAACAGGAGCCACCGGACACCTTCTGCAGTCACCCAGTGACCAGTGCTCTCCCCACTACCCATCACAATTATCTCAACGTACACAGGTATGTTCCCCAAGGAGGAAAGGTCAGGTCAGACCAATCCAGGTAGTGTATCCGTCCAATCCGGGCGGGAAGCAGTCACTGGAGGCAACGGGGCGAGGACACGGAACGTCAGAACGGATTGCAGTCGCACTCCTGCGGTCTTTAAAACCACCCGATCATAGGCATGCCGACAAGGATAAAAAAGCGACAAACAAGTCGAACCGAAACTGCCCCACGAAATGCAGTGGAGGGGAAAGCGAAGACGGCGTCAGCAGGAGTCGGACGAGGGCAAGAAAGACTCGAGATAATGTTGGCCTGACAAAGTTGATGAGGAAATTAGGGCTTGCTGGGGGAGTTTGCTCCGTTTGGTCGGGGTCACTGGACCGCCGCTAACCCTTACTTAATCCCGCGGCTTATCTTAGTGTATGCTTTGCTTTGCTTCAACTCCCGATCGGACTTGGATTTCCCCATTTGATTTCTCCATCTTCCTCGTCGGCTCTTGTGGTTGTGTGCTTTGTGTTGGGTATTCTGCTCTTTATTCTCCAGCAAGAAACATGAAGTTGGGCAATTCCCTTCTCCAGCTCGCTCTGTGGGGTGTCGCGGCCCTCCCGACCGTCACTGCGGCCGCCTGGGGGTTTACTGATGCCACCGTGTCAGTTCACACCAAAGGCGCGGGCGTAGGCACGGGATCGAAAGATGTGTATGTCTCAGCATATGGTTTTGTGTGTGGTTTACATTGGCATGGAACTGATTGTTTGATCTAATTGATAGCATCCCCGATAAGAAAGCTCTCTCCAAGCCTGTCGCCCTGGGCAGCGCCGACACCCTGAAGGTGACCCTCACGGCCCAGGAAGGCAGCTCCGCGAAACAGGCCAACCAGGTCTTCCTGCTGCTCCAGGACCCGGAGACGGGTCTGGATATCTCATACCCGTTCTCTGTGAAGAACAATGGCAAATCGCGGTTGGAGCTGGTAAGCAAGCGCGCTCACGGAATCCAATGACCAGGTCGCGATAGGAGCAAAGCTAACCGATCCCGTCTCCCACCAGGCCATGAAAGACCTTCCCCTCCAATTCCTCGCCCCTTCCAAGCCTCTCGAGGCCCGTTTCTTGATTGGATCATTTGGCACCTCCGCCGCCTACAATGGGGTCGCGTTCCCGCTGACCGTCGCCAGGGACCCGAATGAGCCGGTCCCAACGGTCGAGGTGTCGCGATATGGGAAGCTCCCTGAAATTCATCACATCTTCAAAACCGACGCGCAGAGTCCGCCCGTGGCTATTACCTTGGTCTTCGTGGCCATGGCGTTGGCTTGTTTGCCGGTGCTAGGTGGCGTGGTAAGTCAATGCTCTGTCTAATATGCCTCGTCGCTGGACTAACTGTAGTCTGTTCGCAGTGGCTGTTCCTCGGTGTCAACGTCAAACAGCTGCCCACAGCCCTCCAGTCGGCCCCCCTGTCCCACACTATCTTCCTGGGCTCTCTTCTCGCCATCGAGGGCGTCTTCTTCCTGTACTACACCCACTGGAATCTGTTCCAGATGCTCCCTGCGGTCGCGGCGGCCGGAACCGTGGCGTTTGTCAGTGGCAGTCGCGCGCTAGGCGAAGTGCAGGGTCGACGTCTCGCCGGACTACGATAGAGGATGACAGCATCCTACCGGGCAATGGAACTGATGTGGTAATGGAACGGGATGATATTGCACGATCCTAGTATGAAAGCGAGTCAACATTCTATGGATTGCGATGCGACAGAAGCTACGCGTCTCAAGTAAATGGTCAAATGAAGTGTACAGTAGGATTAGACCAAGCCGTTTAAACCCGTCCAGCACGTCTCATCGCCATCATCGTAATCATAGTCCTAAAGCGTGATGTACACACCAGCTGACGTCACCCGCAGCCGTCCCAATCGGGGCTAGTTTGGCAGATGGAGCTGCAGAAACATACAACTCCGCTTCATCCATTCAATCTTCCGTCCCAGCAAACCACCAAACATATCCACAATCAACACTCAACATGGGCTCTGCCGCGTCGAAACCCGCAAAGTCCGCTGCGCAGGCAGCCTCGCGACGCCAGTATCCCAAAAAGCCCTCCGCACCGCCGACATCCAGCCCAGCATCGGCCGCACCGCGCTCTCAACCGCACACCACTCCCCGGTCCCAGCAACCACAAGCACCACCAGCACCACCACCATCCAACAACATCAACCAGACCGGCCCAACCTACCACTCCAAAGAACAACCCTCCACCTCCAAATCCAACGGTACGCGCCCCCAATGACCCCACCATACCCTTCCAAAACTAACAACCCAAACCCAGCCATCGACCTCGACGGCCGAGACCCCGACTTCGCCGCCTCCCTCCGCCACATCGGCCCCGTCAACCCACACCCAACCTTCTCCAACTCCAGCGTCTTCCCTACACGCCAGGGCGCACCACAACAACAACACCAACAACCAGGCCGCGCATCGACCGTCTTCCCACCTGCGACGAACCCCGCCCTGCTGACCGTCACCGCGCGCCAGCAGCTCACCAAGGCCGCAGAGCAGGAGACGGACGCGCTGGGTCGGTCGAACTTCGCGGGGCGGGAGTTCCTGGATACTATGACGATTCGGCAGGTGCTGAATATGCGGGATCGGCAGGGGTTGCCGCCGCGGGAGATTGAGAGGCTGTTGCGGTTGAAGAAGGGGGTGGTGGAGAGGTTGGGGGAGAAGGGGATTGTGGGGGTTGCTTGAACTACTGTAATTGGGGGGTAGGATGTATTATAGGGTGTATAATATTGATATGATTTCATGGTTTGAATGGTTGGGTCTGGTGTTTTGTGGTTTAGAGGGTTACTTGGGACTAGGTGTAAAAGGTAGATGGTTGGACTAGTACTCCATGTTCTGGTAAATTATCTGGTGGGGTATTTGGCATGTTGATTCAACAGGCAGTAGTTATCATCAGTGTTTTGGTGATATGTCTATAGGTGATATATATATAGTTTAGATTGGCTGATGGGCATACCACTTAATTAGAGCAGCATGACTATACTTGAAAGTCACCACACTTATGAGGCCTCATCCAGAACAGTCTCTGAATATCATTAGTCCCTATTTCAATTCAGTGATATTCCTATCCTATGACTAGTCTAACATAAGCAGATATCTAATGTAACTGGTTAAGCCCTAGCCACACCTGAGGATCTAACAGTATAGTGAGTGATAAGGTATAGCAGGATGGACTGGTAATGCATATGATCTAGTTACTAGGTAGGTAGTGGGCCAAGCAGTGCTTTCTACTAATGATGATGACTAGATAGTGCGGTCATACTACTACATATAAGCCCTAGGCGTTGACTGTGACTACATCATGGAATTAGCTGATGTGATCAGAGCTGTGAAATAATGGCAGGGAAATGTTCTCAATCACTCATCAATCTGACAACTCCCTGCATATAGATTACTAGATGCAGTCTTCTTGATTTTGGACCGGTGACTGAGTTATAACCAAGTAGATGGTACTCTGTAGGCAACACCCCAAGTCCTAACCATGGGAACAGCAACAATATCAGTGAATACTAACTCCAATGCAGCAGTCTTCTGATGAAGGAGAGTGGAGATACCTTCTAAACACATGTCAGATTTTTTACACTTCCCTTCGATCACAAATTTACTATCACTCAGAATACGATGTCATTAGAAGCCTGATCTCTGATCCCCATTCCCGCTGATTCCCTGCCTCTGCAGGTGAGATGAGAGAGGGCATGCCTACACTAAGAGCAAGTAGGTTCGCCCTGAGCAAAGGTAGCCTTGACTGAGAGCAAGAGGCACAAGACAACACAGATAACATCTCCTGTTTGATATTTTACTCCCTCTCACATGTGTAATGTGTAATAAGAGACACAAAACCTGACCTGATCAGGTTGGGTCAGGTGGGATGTGCCATGCGCGTGGGAAAATCGCAGTAAAAGCCGTGAATACCTAGACAATTCCTGGCGGCGCATCCAATGATGCCTCATTTTGGGTTGATGATGTACGAGATCGTGCCCGGCCATTGATATGATTTATATATCAACCCTGGACATCAACAAGAACCTGGACGGCGGCGAGTTGAAAGCATAGGGAGAATGGTCGACCAGCGAGCGGTTTCAAGACACGAGATATATATCCTTAGATGATATGATTCGCAGTCGCTGGCTTATAGATGGTTATTGCAGCATGAAGGACGTCCACGCCGCTTTCAATTCAACTAATGTCTCTATACAAGAGGATCGAACGAGCCGTCAGGGCTGGCATCATGTTCCAGTAGTTTCGATGAAATTATCCATAGACGTTGCGGATTCCATGGCGAAGGGCCGTGGATGCCCTCGAGTTCAAATGTTAGCTCATGCTTCTTCCCTATAGTTGACTGTATATTGATTAGTCCCGATTGGCAAAAGATCTTCATAATGTCCACTCTCTCCACCAAGAAGAGGCCTTGGCCAATCTTCCTTCCCATACGAGTCTGCTCTAGCTGGGTCCACTGGTATGGGGACAAGCTGCACACCATCTGATGGGCGGGCTATTGTCAGCACGTGTGATTTGTGGTCAACGATGTATCTATATTCATTCCTTGCTCTAAACAAAACGTAGTAGGAATGCCACCGTAGTGCACCGCAATACCTACAGTCGGGAGACATGATGCCCATGTAGGTCCGTGTTATGGCAACAGTCTATGACTGCCTGAGGCACTAAGCTAACCCGATCGAGCGAGCCGCAACTTCGACCGAGCGGAGAGATCGAGCGACAACTTTGCCATCTCAGTGAGGCTGATAAACTTGCGACCGTTGCTCCCTTTCCCCTGCATCGCCTCCACGATGCCCCCTTTCAAGGATGAACATGTTTTGGTAAGCTTTCCTTTCCCCTCCTGCCTATGTCTTCTCTCCCCACCATCCTTCGCCCCTTCCCCCCACCACTCACTTATGTTCATCCCAATTGACATCGCCCCAGATTATTGCGCCAGGCTCGCAGGTCACCCTGGCGCAATTAGGTCTCCCCGAGTCGTTCACCCCCGCCCGATTCCGCTTTCCGACGCGCATGTTTCCCGCAGAAAAGCAGGGCGAATATGAACCGTACAGGATCCGCGAGAAGCGCGTCGAAGTGCAACACACCAAAGCCCCGACGCGCCCAAGAAGGAAGATGTCGAGATGAAAGATGCCGCGCCTCCCGCACCCACCGAGGAGACCTCCACCGCGACTACGGAGAAACAAGAGGGCTCAGAGCCGGCACAGGATGGGGAGAAGGAACCGGAGACCACGACTGCCGAGGAGGTCATCTACGAGGAAGACCTGACGTCCGATGAGGGGGCCATCCATCCCATCGAGAACGGGCGCATCGTCGACTGGCCCTGCTTCTTTGCTCTCCTATCGCACGTACACAACACTCTGAGCCCGCCGTTCCACACGCCCATCATGCTCATCGCCGAGCCCGTCTGGTCGGCACGCGATCGCGAGACTATCACACAGTTCGTCTTTGAGAAGTTCAAGACGCCCGCCTTCTGCTTCATGGATGCGGCACTGGCCGTCTGCTACGGGTACGGTGTATCCACCGCTACGGTCATCGACGTCGGTAAGGACAAGGTCGATGTCACCGCCGTGACGGACTTCCTCGTCAACGAGCATGGACGGGGGATCGCGTTGGAAGGGTGCGGTGGAGACTACATGACGGATCGACTGGTGGAGTTGCTGGGCACAAGGGGTTTCTCGAGGGAGATGTGCGAGCAATTGAAGCGGAGCAATATCACCGAGATCTTGCCGGCTGGGACGCCAGTTCCCGGCACGGCGGCAACCGCGCGGCAGGGCGTCAACCCCGCCATATCGGCCTCCACCGGAAAGGACGATAATACCAACGACAACACCCCCCGTGGTCCAGGGAACGGCACCCAGACCGGACAAGAAACCAATGGTGCGGATGAGGAAGACGAGGGCGTGTTGGATGTCGCAGCCATCGTGAGCGGTAACACCAGCGAGTTCCTCGCCAGTCGCGAAAAGGAGACCGAAAAGGGTCAGAAGAAGGGCGCCACGGACGCGTCGGGGAAACCTATTCGACTGCCCAATTCGAAACGGGAAAAGGCCCCATTCCAGTACGAGGAATTCGTGCGTCTGGAACCCGAGGAGGGTTCCTCCAGCGGCCCGGGGCGGTTCATCCGACAGACCCGTGATATCGAGGTCGGCGTGGAGCGGTTTCTGTCGGCCACGTCCAAGACCAACACTGGTGATCGGCTGTCCAGCGGAATCTTCGACGATATTGCGACGCAAATCCATCACACCATCTTGGCCGTGCCCGACGCGACGAAGCGTAGTGAGCTGTGGGATTCCTTGATCGTTGTTGGCAATGGGAGCAAGATCAAAGGTTGGTTCTATCTCTCATTCCTTCTATCTGTTGATTCCTACAATCTTCGAAACTAACATATGAACAGGATTCACCCAAGCTTTGTTAAACACCATCACCCAGAAGTTCGTCCTCTCCCCGTCCGGTACCATCTTCACCTCCGAAATCCCCTCCAACTTCTCCACGCCTCTCCCCACGGGAGGCACCAACACCCCGGCCCCCACTGGCCAGCCCGGCCCCATGCACCACCCTGCGGGCCACGGGGTGAACCCGCTATTAGTGGCGGCGACTCACTCCAACAACCCCGGGGCTCCCGGAACGCCCTCCATGGACCCCACCGGTGGCATGCATCACCGCTCCACCGGACACTCCCAAACGCCCACATCCGTCAAGACGCTCAAGCCTCCCGAGTACTTCCCCGAGTGGAAAGAACCGAGCGGCACCAACGCCCCCGGCACCGGCACAGCCGGCGGGCCCGGCGGGCCCGGCGGCCCAGGGGGTCCCGGAGCGCCCAGCGGCGGGCACGGCATGGAAGAAGCGGTGTTCCTGGGCGCGCAAGTGGCGTCCAAGGTTGTATTCATCGTCGACCAGGGTCTCAGCAAGGGTTTCATGAGTCGGGTGGAGTACAACGAGAACGGACCGTCAGCGATCCACGAGTATGCCTTGTAAATGAACCTGGTTAATGGAAGTCTACGTCGGAAATTGGGTCTAGATGTGCAATCTTAGTTGTCTCATGATTGGAGTTGTTCGCATGTGAGCTCGTCTTTTTGCTTTCCTTGCTTTTTATCTTGTCTTTCGGTTGTATTCTACGCGGTGGCGTCCTGTCTTAGAAAAGTCGATCCGTCTCAGGACGCAGGTCGGATGGGAGTCTGGTCTAGTTCTAGGTATAGTGTTATAGTGTCTATATGAGATGGCTATTTATGAGGTATAGCAGTGCTAGTAGCTGTTAAGCTGTAGTATACAGAGCACGTGATTTGGATTATATAATCACCTTTATCTTGCCACCGCGGAGAGCGGATGAGCGCCGCAACTTTCGTCACATACAACTTCAACAAACACACCCATATCCTCTGCATACATTCGCTTTTTTCCATCCTACACTAGCTGCTGAGTACAGCTCCACGCGCTAAAATGCCCAAAGCCGAAGCCGGCAGCACCAAGGCCATCAGCAACAAGATCAAAGCCGTACGTTCACCAGCCGTTGATTGATGCAAGAAGACGTAGGTACTAACGGTGTACAGAAAGGACTAGGCAGACTCCGATGGTACTGTCAAGCATGTTCACGACAGATGCGCGATGAGAACGGGTTCAAATGGTGCGCTTTCTCCCATTCCCCCACCTTTATCCCAGCCCGCCCCCTCCTCGCAAGACCAAGACCAAAACTAACTAACAACCAAACCAACAGCCACGTCCAAAGCGAAAGCCACGTGCGCCAGATCCTCCTCATCGGCGAAGACCCCAAAAAGCACATCGAAACCTTCAGCAAAGAGTTTCTCACGAACTTCATGAACCTGCTGCGCACATCGCACGGGGAGAAGAAAGTCCAGCTGAACCAGTTCTACCAGACCGTCATCGCGGACAAAGAGCACATACACATGAACGCGACGAAGTGGAAGAGTCTGTCGCAGTTTGCGGCGCATCTGGGCCGCGAGGGCTTGTGTCGGGTTGAGGAGACGGATAAGGGGCTGTTCGTGTCGTACATTGATCGCAGTCCGGAGACGATGAGGCGGCGGGAGGCGGTTCTTAAGAAGGAGAGGCAGGATCGGGGTGATGAGGAGAGGGAGCAGAGGCAGATTCAGGAGCAGGTGGAGAGGGCGCAGAGGGCGCAGAGGGATGCTGTTGAACGGAAGGAGGGGAGTGAGGGGGATGCTGCTGTTGCTCCTGAGGCGAGGATTTTGCAGCGGAAGGAGGGTGAGAAGGTGAAGTTGAATATTGGGTTTGGAGGGGCGGCGAAGACTGAGGCTGGAGGTGGTGCTGCTCCATCGTCGGGGGAGAAGGATGCTGCTTCTCTAGGAGATGATACTGCCGAGAAGAAAGCTACGTCTGAGACGCCGGATACTGCTGCTGCTGCTGCTGCTGCTACGCCCAGCTCTTCAGAATCCCCCGCCCCGTCCGCACCTCCCAAGATCTCCCTATCGATGGGCGGCGCCAACAAACCTAAGAACGTCTTCTCAGCAGCAGCGAAGAAGAATCCCCTCGCAGGGAAGAAGGGCCCCGTCCTGGAACAGCCGAAGAAGATGTCCGAGCAGGAGCGGATCATGAAGCAGGAGATGGAGGCGATGGAGCGCAAGCGCATGCGCGGGTCGTCTGGGTTTCCGAATGCGAAGCGGCCCAAGATCTCCTGATCTGCTAGTTGGTCTAGGATGATTATATTTGACTTCGTTTACACGATACCTCGTTCTGCACGGCAGTGCGCGCCCCGGCTGTGGCTGGATATTGGGTGCAGCATATGATGCAGTTGTTTGGCTGGCCATGGCTACCTGGAGTTCTATAGCGTGCAACATCATAGGTCCTACAAGCTAGATTATCTAAACAATACTTGATTTGTACATACATATAACTTTCTCGATCATGTACGAAGTACAGAATAAAACGGCCCTAACACAGATATATATTCAGACATAGCAAGAAAGCCAACTTGACAATTCAGTAAAAGAAATTGTGAATGAATACCAATATTACAATATTTGTAGCATACACTTAAAAAAAGAAAAAAAAAAAAAAAAAAAAGGAAAATAACCTCTCTCCCACAACCACCGAAAAGACTCAACCCAGGCACTCGAGTTCCCACCCATCCATTAGAACCAACCCTAAATGTAGAGCTAAGATGCAGGCCCCTCCTATAACCACAACCAGAAGCACAAAACATCTATCGCCCGGGTGGTCTAGTGGTATGATTCTCGCTTAGGGATTTAAACCCCAAGCATATCTGCGAGAGGTCCCGCGTTCGATCCGCGGCTCGGGCCGATTATCTTTTTTTTCTATGTATTTTTTTGCTTTCTTTATCTGTATACTTCTTCGATGCGGAGTAGATAGAGGGGTAAATGCTATCCTTTGTTTTGAGTCATGGTTTTACAGAATTGAGTGATTCAATTCCTCCGTCTGATACTATGTGTTAATGCACTCCCAGTAGCTTCGCCTGGTCTCCTTGCATGGGCGGTCACACGATAATGACAACCTGTATCAAGGATTGTTAATGTAGTAGTGTCTACATTCCAACAACTTTTGAAGGAGCTATCTGCAGGTTTAGTGCATGCGGGGGCGCCTTCCTTTAGCTTGTATCTCGGGTTTGTGGACCGAGCCATCCTGAGGAATCTCCGTCTATCATTATTTCCTCCACTGCTGCTACTCTACTACTCCTACTTCTACCACACCCAATTGAACAGACATATCTCTACAAACTACCAACCTAACTTCCATCCCCACTCAACCCACAACATGACAACCACAAACGCCACCCTCGCCTTCATCGGCTGCGGTATTCTCTCCTCCCTCTTCCCCCCCACCCTACCCCAGAAGTCCACCCAACTAACCCATCCCAGGAAACATGGGCTCAGCCATCCTAAACGGCCTCCTAGAAGCCACCCGCGACACCCCCAACCCACCCATCAACACCTTCAACGTCAGCACCAAAACAACCACCTCAGCCGAGCGTCTCCGCAGCACCCTCGCCCCCGCAGACCAAGCCCGCGTGCGCTTCACCCCCAACGACAACATCACAGCCATGGCCAACGCAGACATCATCCTGCTCGCATGCAAGCCCTTTCTTGCAGAGTCCATTCTCAGCCAGCGTGGCGTGTGGGACGCTGCCAAGAACAAGCTGATCATCAGCGTGATGGCGGGCCCCACCGTTGCTCAGATCCTGGGCTACATGCGTCCTCGTGGCAGCGGGCCTGGAGGTGAGGTGGTATGCGCAGAGAGATCTCCGACGGTTGTGCGTGTGCAGCCGAACGTAGCGGCGCGGTTACGGCAGTCGATGACGGTCGTGGAAGTAGATGATGATAGCGAGGAGGGGCAGCAGGCCAAGGGAACAGTGGAGTGGATTTTCAAGCAAGTAGGCGACGTGCGGTTCGTAGCGCCTTCCGTGTTCGAAGTTTCGTCGTTGTTGGTGGGTGCTTCCATGGCGTGGGGCGCGATTGCATTGGACGGGGTGCTCGATGGGTGTGTTGCGGGGGGTTTGAGACGCCCCGAGGCGCTGGAGATGGCGGCGCAGACGTTGGCGGGGATGGCGGCGCTTTTGAAGGATGGGGCGCATCCGGCTGTGTTGAGGGAGGGGATTTCTTCGCCGAGGGGGTGTACGATTCAGGGGATTTTGGAGCTGGAGAGGGCTGGGGTTCGGGGGAGTTTTGCGGATGCGTTGTTGAAGGGGGTGGAGCATTTGCAGAGGTGATCCCTGTCTTTCTGAACTAGAAATAAAGTATTAGAGAAACATAGATTTCTTGAATCCTTTGTTATCGAATTTTCTGCTATCTACTTGCGTATCGATTGAAGGGTAGTGAAAGATAGTGTGGAAATAGTATATATATAAACGGACCACCCCCCGACAACCTCGGAACCGCCTCCCGACGCATAGATACCAACACGAATCTCAGCTCCCACAATCAGACACAGCGCAGACGCAGCGCATGAAAGCCCGAAATGAAACCTTACTCCCACCATCCAACCCAATCGGTTTCGGACCCGCGCACTGCTCTTCTACGGAAGATAACATCTCATCCTGACCCCCCTCCCCCTCCGTGGCGGGGAGAGAAGGGAGGGAACTATATAGATAGGTAGATGCTGCGCAGATAAGCCCTAAGATGATAGACAACATCTCCGACTATTTTACATAACTATACTCGCCATAATGAGACCTAAGATATTCAGGCCTCAGGTGCACTCTGCTGCGGCGACGCTTGTGCGTTTCGCGTCGGCGTCTTCGTCTTCCACTCATCAGGCTGTTCTACAGCCTTCTGCTTCGTTGATGGATAAGAAGAAGGTAGAGGAGAAGAAGCTGCCGCCTTTGGCAGTCATGCCTACAAAGACGCTGGTGCGGTCGTTGCTGTTTACGTCTGTTATGGCGTCGCCACTACTTCTGAAGTCTAGTCTTTCTGCGTTAAAATTTGTCGTCGAGTCCAAGTCACCGCTGTTCAGCCCGTCCAAGAACCCGCTTATGAACTACCTTTTGCGGACGACGATTTACAATCATTTCTGTGCGGGGGCCAACGAGGCGCAGGTGCGTGGGACGGTACGCCATATGAAAGACCTTGGCTTCAAGGGGGTTATTCTGGGGTATGCAAGGGAGTCGGTGGTGAGTCTGGATGACCCGGGGGTGCAGGAGAAGCCGCCGACTTGCCAGCAAGCGGTGCTGGACTACGCCATTGAGGAATGGAAGCAGGGGAACTTGCGGACCCTGGGAATGATTGGGAAGGGAGACTTCCTGGGCATCAAGTATGTCTTTTGGTTTGCCGTTCAAAAGCCGCGGGGGCAATGGTTAACATGGTGATGGCAGGTTCACCGGCGCTGGGCCAGCGGCCTTAGAGGCCCTCGCGCGGGGAGACGCTCAACCGCCACCGAAGATGTTGCAGGCTATTACGGAGATCTGCGAGGCAATTGCTGCACAGGAGTCCCGGCTCTGGATTGACGCTGAGCAGCAGGTCTTTCAGCCGACGATTGACGCATGGACTATCGACCTGATGCGGCGGTTCAACCGGGACGGGAAGACCGTGGTCTACAACACTATTCAGGCCTACCTGAAGGCGTCTGTTGAGAATGTTCATCGTCATTTAACGCTTGCAGCTGCCGAGGGCTGGACTCTGGGGATCAAGCTGGTACGCGGAGCATACATTGCACACGACCATCGGTCCCGCATTCACGACACCAAAGCAGACACGGACCGCAGCTACAACCACATTGTCGAAAGTATCCTCACCCGCCAGTTTCCATTAGATACAGGCCGCTCACAGCTGAAATTCCCTGACACCCGACTATTCGTGGCGTCGCACAATGCTGACAGCGTGCGCAAAGCCTACTCCCTCTCTCGGTATCGACTGCAGAACGGACTGCCCACTGTCCCAGTAGAGGTGGGCCAGTTGCAGGGGATGGCGGATGAGATTAGTTGCGGTTTAATCGCCGAGAACCTCCAGGCCTCCACCACCGCGGACCACCTTCCCGAGAACCCTGGTGTATTCAAGTGTCTGGCGTGGGGGTCAATCGAAGAGTGTTTGCATTTCCTGCTGCGTCGGGCAGTTGAGAACCAGTCAGCTATGGGCCGTACACACGAGACGCTGAAAGCACTCAAAAGGGAAGCGTGGAGACGGGTTGGATGGTCTTGACATCACCCGCAGGGGTGTGTTTCGGTGCAGTAAACCGATTGATTGGATTTCACGCTTGCCGGGGAATGAAATATGGACCGCAGCATCCCCGCAGGTTACACCTCTTCAACACGAGACAGGATCTTGCGATGGATGATAGGGATTGGATGGGTGTTCGTGCGTCTGACCAAGTCTGCATGGCTGCCAGGGTGGATGGAGCGGATTACCGAGCCGAGCTCGGAAGGGAACCCGTTTTCTGGTTATAGATGCTTATAATCTAGATGTTCCTCAATTTGCTGTCATGTTTTTTGACTCACATCTATAGCACAGCGATTCCCCGATCAATCCCAGCCATGAAGCAGATATCAATGCACTGTTTGTTCTAAGTCTGCGTGAAGTTTTCCGGACCGTTGTTGTAGCCAAATAACAGTGTTTCATAGTTAGCCTCATGAACAAAGATCGAGTAACTTTCAAGGATCTCTCAAAGTAGGAAATCAGTGCGGTAAGCATGATTGATGAATGTCTAGGATTGTCCATGATATATGTCCCAAATGTCTGTCAGTGGTTTGACCAGAAAATGCATGAATGTATGGCCTGTAAATGGTCGAAGATGAAGAAGAAGAAGAAGAAGAAGGAGAAGAGAAGAAGGACTGGAGGTTATGCTTATGTGGCTCTATGCCTGGGAGTTTCTTCCTTCCTCCCTCCGTAACTTCCAATTCCATATGTCCTCCCTTATTCAACTTCCCTGGACGGATACATAATATCAGAGCTAAGAATATACTATTGTCCCCGGCTATGCCATCGACAAACGACCGACAGAAAATCTCGTTTAAAGGACAGGAAGATCTAAGAATTCTTTTGTTGGACCGAATGAAGCATGATCATTGGGATAGTTCGATTTGATTATATGAGACTGGGGCTATGTTATAGGTAGGATCAAGTCAATGTTGCTCAATGAACAGATAACCCTCTCCCTCCCCCTCTTCATGCTAAATCTCAATCCCAGATCGATGTTCCGAACATCAGCTAGGAACCCTGTCCTGTCATTGGTGTCTGATCTACTAGTAGCCACCTAGAATGTCGGGTTCGCATTGACCAACAACTGCTCGAAGTAGGCCTATCACGGTGTTACTATCAACGATCATTCTTCGAAGAAAAAAAGCAGAACTAACCTGGAACCACGTCCCCGCCTCAGGAGCTGGCTGCAAGGAGTCGCTGTATCCGCAATGGGCATCGTAGCGGGTGGCGCTGCTATCGGACGTGCCGTCGCTCTCGCCTCCCGGCTTAACCCAGACAAAGGCATCGAGAAGCGGATCGCCCGTGTTGGTCGAGAAGCGCTCTCCGAACCCAGTCCCGATAACATTGCACCAGTCACCCCAAGCGCTCTGCTTGGTGGGCTGGGCGCCGCTTCGTGCTGATAATATCGTTAGTTCGATGTGTCTGAGTTGGGAAGGGGAAGGTGAAATACAGGTATCCATCAGGAAATGCGCCGGGAACCCTGCGTCTCGCAGTAGTGGAGCTAAGGCGTTTATATAACGCTTCTCGTCGCAGTTAGTGTTACCAGAAGTGTACGACGGACAGGTTCCGATCGACCAGGCATTGTAGTTAGCGACGTTGGTCGCCAGCCCACGAACTGCCGCCGGTGACCCGGCATCCTTGTACACCGATGCGTAGAGAGTGGCAGCGGGCCCGACGTTGGCAGCCCAGCCCAGCCAGCCGGCATGCCCTATTGATTTGTTAGGTTCCTAACTTGCAGTATCTTGAGTGTAGAAGGGATCAATATACCGGCATCAATATACATGGACACATTGGGTAAGTCGAGCTCCTTCAGTGCGTAGGAAACGCATTCCATGTACGCAGCTTGGGCGTTGGCACACTTAGGAACGTTGAGATTGGTGACCAAATTGGCAAGACTATCGGGTTCTATCATGATCTCAGCTTCTGCTCGATTGAATGGCGTAAGATACATACCGATCAGTAGAATCGTGTGCACATCAGAATACTTCACCAGCTGCGCCCGGATGGCGTCGATGTACTTCTTATAGTTCGCCACTCCATTGTTTCCAATTGCATACTCGCCATTACTAGCTAAGGCCGCGCAGTCCCGATCTGGTAGATCGTAAACCACAAAGATACCGGCGACCGGAGGGCTAGCACCGGCGGCATTCTGCGCCTTGATGTCGGCCAGGTAAGTGCCCATAGTTGGAACTTTCGCGGCCACGTCCCTGAATATGGTCAACATGTATTGAGAAAGATCAAGACCCCATCTCTCTCCAGTAGATAGGGGGCCGCATATTCAGCTAGAACTACGATAGGAGAGACATACAGCCAAACAAAAGACGGCACTTTCGCCGCGGCGGTAGCTTTGGCGACCAGCGAGCCGGTCAGAGACGGAATGGCCAGAGAATGGACCTCTGACGAGTAGTACGGGTTGACATAAAGCTGGTATCCACTGAACGGGTTTCCAGATGGCGCAGCCGTTGTGGTGGCTCCCGCGCTGGTGGAGGTACGAGTGGACGAGCTGGTGGTCGTCGTCAGGGTCGTCCTTGTAGTCGTAGAACCTCCAGTTGTCGTGGCCGTTGCGGTAGACGGCACACATTGCGCGTAGTCTGATCTAGTTAGTCACTTGACTTGCCAAAAGATGATAAAAACACGTACGGGGGTTTTGCGTGCTACATGCCGCCCCTGCAGGACAGTTTGTTTCACCTGTCCATCCAGCACCGCCGCCTGCTTGGGTCAGATATTGCGGCTCTGGGCTGAGAAGGAAGCATACATTGGCCCCAAAGGGACTGCTGGGCGTGGATAGCAGGTAGCAGAGCTGATAGAGCGATATAGATGGCGTGCTTCATGATCGGCGACATGAGGTTGTACTTGGATCCAACTTGAGAGGGGCTACGCATGACATTTATACTTTGATGGTTTTCAAAACGGAGATAGAAGCCGGATTGCCGATATACGAGCTTCAATGTACCCCAGATCTGTATTGTTCATGCCGACAACTATAGGCTGTAGTATAGCACCTACACAACCGCAAGAACGGGTCCAGATCCCATAATTGACAACGGCGAATGCACAAACATGTGGGGAAGCGGGTAATTAGACAGGTCTTCATCAACACGTGGTTAAATTGAGAAACCCAATTGAGAACACTTCTTTGGTTGGCAGATGGCTGTGGCGTCCAGAAAAGAACCAGTGATCCTCAATTAGGGAAGGTCTCATCCGGCATCTGACATGCGAGCTTATTTAATTTAATCTATTGTCGCCCCGCTCAGCATCCAAACTGGATTCTTCAGGCGAGAGAAGGCTAGACTCATGAGAATTGTCGGCCATCGACTGGGTAATAATCGCGGTCTCGCGGGCCGGCCAGCCTCCATCATGCTCTCGAGATGCACGTTTATGACTATGAGTCGCAGTGTTTTGCCGTTGCGCATTTGTACCATGTGGTTTACCCCGGATCACCTCGGATCTTAGCCCTTTCGCGCAGGTTATATCCCTCGGTTATATCTGCCTCAGTAGCATTGGGCTGTCATTTCCGCTGCAACGGTCCTTGGCTTTGGACGTCCGTGCTATGACGGTCAGATACAATTTGTAGGATATTCCTTGGAGACATGCGATTGACTGAGACCAATTAGTGAACGACAAGTAGCGTGACGAAAAATGAGTCCACAGCGGTACCAGGCCATGTATGACTATGAAGATGTTTTCGCTTGCCTGTTGTGTGTGCCCTTACTCTGAATTTTGAAAGCCATCGAGACGCAAACCATGTCATATCTCAATGACAGCTGCTAAGAAAGACGGAGAAAGATGGGAGTCGTTGACATAGAAGAGAAGTTCAGAAAGAATACAGAGTACAAGAAGGGAGTCGCGGTGCAGACTAGACAGGTAGGTAGATACCACTGTGGGAAGTCACCCGTTGAGGCGCGTGGATCCCCTCAATGCTGAGCCTTGTCTCATTTCCAACATCCTCTCCACGTCAGCTTCCCCTGAATTGTTCTTTTCTACCGATGTATCTAATTGACTATCAGTCTGCGCCTTCACAGAAAATATCTCACAGATCGCGGTCCGTATCTGGAGCCGACCGACAATCCTGATCACCCTTGCTTACCTCCAAAACTTCAATCTGTATAGCTATGGGGAAGGTCTCCAGTTGATCAGTCGGTTCGATCGTCGCGTTTGCGTCAATTTCGCTCTACCCCAAACGTACCCATTGGATAGGGTGAGATGTGTAAAGCTTACAGAGTCCTGCTGACTCGTAAAGGCTTACATATATTAAGGAGAAATCCTCACGAGCCTTGGCCATGGAGCTCGAAGTAGCTAGCAATGTTTCACTACCCCAACTAAGCGTTCAACACTCGATCGATTGTGACGATCTTTCAGGAGCTCTGACGACCGGGGCTCATCTGTTGCCGACCAATGGCTCCACAATCCGCTTCGATTTGGTGGTATACACTAGGAACTAAGCAAACCCGTCAACCCGAAACCGAACCGTGTCTCACGAAGCGAACTGAGTACTCCACTTTTCCACGGTACTGGAGCTACCCCTACTAGGCCACACCTACCATTTTCGATCGCATCGATTCAACCAAGCTCGAGGCGCCCGAGTCAGGGACCACGGGGTCAATGTAACCTTGAGGAGAACAGTGTGGTTTTCGCGGCAGCGACAAGCTTCCCCGATCGATCGGCGCCATGGCCGTCGAATCATGGCCACCGGCTCACGTTTCAAATTGATGACACTGCCGATCAATGCAATATGCGCCCGGCAGTCGATATTGATCGTTGACTCGTCGACCGGGGGCTCGCAGTGATCTCAGGGACATAAATCGGGACAGGAATCCCGCCATCGCTGGGAAGAATCAACCAAATCAACACACTCTCTCTTACATCTCTTCTGTAACAATATATCTTTGGTCGCTGTGCGATTTCAAATTCCTCTCTTTCGGTTCCTTTTTTCCCAACCAGAACATTCATTCAATTGATTTGAAGAACTATCCAAAATGAAGACTTCTATCCTCAGCCTCGCCCCCCTCCTGGGCCTCACCAACGCCCTTGTCGGTCTCGGCTGGGACGCAGAGAACGTGCCCGAGGAGGGCCTGAAGGACATCACCTTCCCGATTGCGATCCCGGAAGCCACCCACGAGAGCGGCTACTACTTCGCGCAGCAGTACAACTTCGTGGGCGTCAAGGACGTCGGCTACACCGGCCTGCAGCCGCGCTCTGACGAGAAGAACGGCACGAGCATCATGCACGGCGTGTTCTCCAGCTTCGTCCCGGGCACCACCACCGACGACCCCAACTGCAGCGATGGCGCCGACGGCGGCCCGGGCGTCTCCTGCGCCGTCGAGGCCCCCGCCTCCTACCAGTATCCCTACAACCTGGTGATCAAGAACACGGAGGGCACCACCTGGACGGGCGCCATGGTCAACGCCGTGACCAAGCGCTCCGTGCACATCGGCACCTACACCCTCCCCGCCGGAAGCGGCGGCATCTCGGGCGGCCAGCTCGGATTCATCGAGGACTACAAGGGATTCACCTCTCACGGCGAGACGTGCAACGAGGAGCCCTACACCAACGTCACTTTCGGCGCGCCCACTACCACCCACGCTGGCGTGGAAGGTAGCCTGGGCGAGCCCTACGAGTACGGCGACTGTGTCGGAAAGGTCAACTTCGACATCCACGCCATCGGCAAGAGCTGGCAGATCTCTCTTGGCTTTTAAGCGTGCAAGAAGCCAGTGATCATAGTATATAATATGATCGTGTGATATTATTGTACGGTGAACGGTGTGGCAGGACTTATGGTCGATTGTACCTGATATGTATTGATAGTGAAATGGATAGAGTGTAAATTGATTTCCGACAAGACTTCGGTGTCCGGAGTACAAAAAAGTACAAATCAAAAACAGACCCAGTAGCACAAGACATCAAACCCCAGCAAAACCACACATAATAATTTCAACAATGCTTTCCATTATAAAGCCATCATAATCAACAACGAGCATCCAAGATACAGACGATACAAAAAGCACTAAGATCCCAAGCCCGCCCCGTCGACGGGATGTCCATCCACCAGCCCTCAGTAAGTCGTAACTAAAAAGAACAGTAAACAGTGTCAGCCACAGACCATTAACAGTATACCACTAACTTACCAGCATCAAGCATGCTAACATCCATAACCCAAGCCCGTCCCGACCACCCGCCAGGGCTGAGTAGATGGTTGTATATGGCAATAGACTATGGAACATTAGCCAAGATCACATCAATAAACCAGGGAACTTACTGGCAAATATATATGAATATATAAATAAAAAGAAGATGACCCAACCCCGTCCCGACCACCCGCCAGGGCCTGTTAGATGGTATATAGATGGCAATGGACTATATAAATCAGTCAAGACCGCATCAATGAGACGAGGGCAACTGACTGGCAAAGATCAAAGAGAGGTATAACCCAAGCCCGTCCCAACCACCCGCCAGGGCTTAGTCTACAAAAGCTGTAGACTGGATAACCACCTGTTAGCTAATATCCCGACAATCATGACAAGATGTGCATACTTAGCAAGATATGGCAAGACCATGTCCCAAGCCCGTTCCCGACCACCCACCAGGGCTTAGTAAATGGTTGTAGATAACAGTAGACAGTGAAATGCGTTAGCCAAGTTCACTTGATAAGATATGTTGACTCACTGGCAATATATGGCAAGGCCATATCCCAAGCCCGTCCCGACCACCCGCCAGGGCTTGTTAAATGGTAAGTAGATAGTAGTAGACAATAGAGAATGTTAGCCAAAGCCCATCTCCCCACTGTTATCAGCTTAGCTTACTAGTAATATATGGAAAGGCCATATCCCAAGCCCGTCACGACCACCCGCCAGGGCTTGTTAAATGGTAAGTAGATAGCAGTAGACAGTAGAACATGTTAGCCAAGCTTGTCTCTTTGCTGTAATTGGACCGACTCACTGGTAATATATGGCAAAGCCAACTCCCAAGCCCGCCCCAACCACCCAACCAGGGCTTGTTAAATGGTAAGTAGATGGTAATAGACTAGGACAGGTTAGCCAAGACCACATCAATAGAAGAGTAGCGACTTAAATAGATGGCGAATAGATGGCGAATAGATGGCGAATAGATGGCGAATAGATGGCGAATAGATGGCGAATAGATGGCAGTAGATGGCAGTAGATGGCAGTAGATGGCAGTAGATGGCAGTAGATGGCAGTAGATGGCAACAAATAGCAACAAATGGCAACAAATGGCAACAAATGGCAACAAATGGTAGTAAATAGCAAGATATGGCAAAAGACAAGAAAAGGAAAGGTAGATCACCCAGGCCCGTCCCAACCACCCACCGGGGCCTGTAGTTAGAAAGTATCCTGTTTATGTGTCAGTAACTGTGACGACCTCTCAAACGTATATAGGGGAATGGAAGGCAGACAGACCTATACAAAAAAAAGGTAGATCACCCAGGCCCGTCCCAACCACCCGCCGGGGCCCAGACATCAAGGAAAAAAAAGAAGGAAAAAAAAAAAGAAGATAAGAAGAGATAGAAAGATAATCAAGGAAATAAGAAAATAAGGAAATGGGAAGATAATCAAGGAAATAAGGAAATAAGGAAATAAGGAAATAAGGAAATAAGGAAATAAGGAAATAAGGAAATAAGGAAATAAGGAAATAAGGAAATAAGGAAAGAAGAAGAAGAGAAGAAGAAGAGAAGAAGAAGAGAAGAAGAAGAGAAGAATAGAAGAAGAACAAGAACAGAAAAGGAACAGAAGAAGAACAGAAAGAAATAAGAATAAGGAAAACAAGAGAAGAAAGAAAAGAGCCCTTGTTGAAAGGATCCCATCCCCATATCCACAGAAGACCAAGCTAAAGAAATGCGAGAAGAGCAAACTATCCAACACTATCTAACACTGTCTAACTACTAACTACTAAATACTATCTACTAACTATCCAAAGACCAAACTAAAGATAAAAGAAGAAAGAAAGCAAGAAAGCAAGCAAGGCCGAAGCTAAATGTTAGCAACTAGAAGGTCAGTGAAGCAAGCAATCCCTCCATATGCGGCGCACCGCAGAGGAGGGCAGAGAGGTGTAAGAGAGAAGAAAATCAAGAGGGGGACGGGAGGAATGAGCATGTACTTATGCCCATGAGAAATAGGGTTTCTGATTGACAGAAACAGCTGGAATCGGGGGAGAGTTTTCGGTGACGACGATGTGTGTGAGTTGCTTTGCTATCAAAAGGAGGGGCTTGATGCTCGGTGACAGCTACTGGAATTACTGAATGTCGAATGCACCCGAGAGAGCAGGGTGGTTGAGGCCAGTGGTTGGGTGTATCCTAGGGAAGGAGTATAGCATACTACCAATAGGGTTCCAGCTGCCCTGACCCAAATGGTCGGGACTACCGGAGTTATGGGATTGACTTCGGGGTGAAAGTATACGTGTGAGTCAACGTCGTCGGAAGAGGACGGGAATAGGACTTCGAATGACAATAGGGTTTCTTCCCCAGAGGCTTTGTCCCCATCTGGCCGTTGGAGCGGCTGAGTACCAAGGTTTGATAAGAATAGCTATGTCCTACAGATGCAATTAGGTCAATGCAGAGGTCAGGAAAATCCGCCGAGCTCGGATTCGAGATAGATAAAGTACGTTATGGTGTAATGCCGGTGCTTCCGGTATACGCCCCGATATGGCAGGTGCAAAAGATGGGGTGCGAAAGATGGCAGGTGCGACTGTAATGCATACATAGCCGTACATCATAGCTACGTATTTTCTACGTTGTGTCTCTGTACAATGATGTGTAAATGATGAAATTAGTAGAAGGATAGAAAAGTTCGAGTAGATCAGGGTCAATAATCCTTCGGGATGAAGGCAATCTTTCTAGAAGCAGACCCAGTACATACAGTAGTGGACAACGACCAGGAATGCCCCGGACGATTATATCTCCTTGAAGGTCGTCATGTTCTCAAACCAGCCACAGCAGCCCGAGACAACGACGTCTCCAAGGAGTTCAAATCTGATACCGTTGGGCGATCAGTCCTTCATCAGGAGCCGTTTCAGCTTGCTGGGTCCGATTCCACCGAGATCTGCGATGATGCCATGTGTCTTGTCTTGTTCCCACCAGATACACCTGGTCGTTCCAGCATTTAGAGTACCGGGACACTCTGGATAATCGTTTCTGATCGGGTTCGCTCGATCAGCAGTCGAGTACAGGTCATGCCGTGTCGTCTCACATCACGTGACTGAGATAGGGCAAGCGGCGGCAGTGATTTGGCGCGACGGGCGACGCCACATCCGCGTCATTAAGCATTCATGAATCATGGGTAGATGTGCTATCTTATGTACGGGAGCTTGATCCCTGTTGAAGAGGATTGCCAGCTACCAATGTGTACACCGGTCGCGTTCGAGGCGTTCGAGAGTTGGTGTTCATAAATCGGATATGGGAGTGGCTTGTTCCGTGCGGAAGGAAGGTGATCCGGTCGGTGGATTGAAGTTGCTCTTAATCTACAATGTAGTATAGTATAGGTAGTACCTATTGATTGATGCCCGACCATAGGTTCCTACCATTCTTGGTATTCGACTTGCCGATTGGTTTGACATATTATTATTATCTCGTACTTCACTCCCAAATACGATGCTTTATTGAGACTACCGCAAGGGATGATCTCCCGCCCAGACCGATTATCAATGTCTACGCCACTCTCCGCATTAGTACGGGGCGAAAGTTGTGATAGGGATGTGACGAGACGCCAATATGATCTTGGCTGAACTGAACCTGGGGGTGATTGACGCCTGGGGTGATACTACATTGCCCAGAGTACTAAGGCAAGTATGGCCTGACTCGTGCATCCGAGGAAGCACGGTCGCAAACCGATTCGATAGTGAAGCTATCCCAAGATGCAGCGAGTCGGGCGAGTGCATGATAGGACACTGGGGGATTCGAGTGTGATTAATGACCGACCGAGCGGAGTCCGAAATGTGACAGACATACAGTAGTGGGCGTATTAATAGGAACGCCACCGCAGACGCACTTCCGGGATGTTACCTTCAGATTGACTAGGCTTCCTGCTCGTTACCTAGCTACCTATCTGACTATCTCAATCCTACCGATGTAGCTACTAGCTAGGCCTTCGGACCTGCATTGCTGCGAGATGACTGTTAGTTGGGTTGGGAGCGCAAGGGTCTCCTGACCGCCAGTGCCCTAATCCACCTCACTAATCCACCCCTCACTGTGGACCAAGACACAAACATTCCCAGACCCTGATCATTCTATATAACCTCTCCATATAATCTATATAATTAAATAGAGATCGCCCGTCTGATACTGTTCCTTCCCTATCTGTTGCAGACAGACCTCCTGTCAGGTACCACCGTTATCCCCTGTAGTTTCAGAAAGATCTCCACCGCATGAATAATCCATTGCTAATCACCTCCATCCCCCACGTCGAGAGGTGCATTTGGACTGCATATCGGTTGAAACCCCGGCAGGTCGCGGTATATGTAGCTCCGGCCTTCACCAATGAAAAAATTTGCAAAATAATTGACTGTGTTTAGCACAAGACGCCGTCGTTCGACCGACGTCTGCCAAGCCCGCCTAGTGGAGATGTCGAATCCAGTCCATTGACCAGTCAGATACGTGGATTAATGATGAGGACGCCGTGAAATTGCGATTCTAGGCCGAATCCTCTTACCAAGCCGGCTGGTTCACTTGTGACTGCGATCTCCTCCTGTCCGGGTCGAGGGACGAAAAACCAGATAGATCAAAAAAATCCAAACAAAATAAGAATAAGATCGACGAGACTTTTAGCCGATGTGAATTATCAGTGGTTGCACCGGCCAAGACCACGTTCCTAAGCGTGCGCGGGGAGGAGAAAGACAGAGAGAGAGAGATGAAATCCCGACTCCGTATCGTATCCCCTCGCGTCGTTGGATCGACATGCAGATGTATAAGAATGTCCGTGTCACCCTCGGCTCTCCTCGAGCAATCGCTTTTCAAATTCCTTGTGTCAATTGAACCAAACCAATTGACCGGACGGTTTGAATTATTGCACTGGTTTGTTGTCCCGCTGGCTGGCCTTCGGTCCTTCCCCTCATCCCTGTCTGGCGTGCCCCCTTCCTTGCCATTCTCCCCATTCCCCTTTCCCTTATATTCACCCCTAGTTTGGTGGTCGCTCTTAGTGTTCCCAATACTCTCTTCCAAGGCACATCGGTTGACTTTTCCGCTCCAGATCATGCGAGCCACCTTCCTAGGCCTTGTTGGCCTCCTCCCTGTGGCCTATGCCCAATGTCCCTACATGGCGGCGCGCGACACCCCTGGCAGTGGCGCCGCCGGGGATACCGAGGAATTCCTGTCGCAATACTACTTGGATGACAGTGATAGCTTCATGACCTCCGACGCCGGGGGACCCATTGCCGATCAGGACAGCCTTCAGGTCGGTGATCGCGGTCCGACCCTGCTGGAGGATTTTATCTTCCGCCAGAAGATCCAGCGATTCGACCATGAGCGGGTATGTGATTTAATTTCTTGACAAATCTTCATAGTCAATCCTAAACTGACCTCGGATTTAGGTCCCGGAACGCGCCGTCCACGCCCGCGGCGCTGGCGCCCACGGTGTCTTCACCTCGTACGGGGACTACTCCAACATCACGGCGGCCTCGTTCCTCAGCAAAGAGGGTAAGGAGACACCCGTCTTCCTGCGCTTCTCCACCGTCGCCGGCAGTCGCGGCAGCTCCGATCTCGCGCGCGATGTCCACGGTTTCGCGACCCGCTTCTATACCGACGAGGGCAACTTCGACCTAGTGGGAAACAATATCCCCGTCTTCTTCATCCAAGACGCCATTCTCTTCCCGGATCTGATCCACGCCGTTAAGCCGCGCGGTGACAATGAGATCCCGCAAGCTGCCACGGCACACGACTCCGCCTGGGACTTTTTCTCTCGCCAGCCCAGCACCATGCATACGCTGTTCTGGGCCATGGCTGGCCACGGTATCCCCCGGTCGTTCCGCCATCTGGATGGGTTCGGCGTGCATACCTTCCGGTTTGTCACCGACAAGGGCGAGTCCAAGCTGGTCAAGTTCCACTGGAAGTCTTTGACCGGCAAGGCGAGCATGGTCTGGGAAGAGGCCCAGCAGGTGTCGGGCAAGAATGGCGATTTCATGCGCCAGGATCTGTTCGAGAGCATTGAGGCGGGCCGGTTTCCCGAGTGGGAGGTATGCAGATCTTGAGTTCTATTCGTGTCAGTTATTCATACTGATGAGTGCTGTAGCTCGGTGTCCAAGTCATGGATGAGGAGGATCAGCTTCGCTTCGGGTTCGACCTGTTCGATCCCACCAAGATCGTGCCCGAGGAGCTCGTCCCCATCACCAAGGTGGGCAAGATGACGCTCAACCGCAACCCTCGCAACTACTTTGCTGAAACCGAACAAGTCATGGTACATTCTCCCTCCCTTCCTGTATCGTTATGAGGTATTGACCGATCCAGTTCCAACCCGGCCACCTCGTCCGCGGAATCGACTTCACCGAGGACCCCCTCCTGCAAGGCCGCCTCTTCTCCTACCTGGACACGCAACTCAACCGCAATGGCGGTCCCAACTTCGAGCAGCTGCCCATCAACCAGCCGCGTGTGCCCATCCACAACAACAACCGCGACGGTGCCGGCCAGATGTTCATCCCGCTGAACCCCCACGCCTACTCCCCCAGCCAGGGCGCCCCCCAGCAGGCCAACCAGACCGCCGGCAAGGGCTTCTTCACGGCCCCGCACCGCACCGCCAAGGGCGCCTTCACGCGATCCGTGTCGCCCTCCTTCGCCGACGTCTGGTCGCAACCGCGCCTCTTCTTCAACTCGCTCATCCCCGCCGAGCAGCAGTTCATCATCAACGCGATGAGCTTCGAAACCTCCAACCTCAAGAGCCCCGTCGTCAAGCAAAACGTCATCATGCAGCTCAACCGCATCAGCAACGACGTCGCCTGCGCCGTCGCCCGCGCCATCGGCATCGCCGAACCCAAGCCGGACCCAACCTACTACCACGACAACACCACCGTCAACGTCGGCGCCTTTGGCCACAAGCTCTTCAAACTCGACGGCCTCAAGGTCGGCATCCTGGCCTCCAACTCCGTCCCGGAAAGCACCTCCTCCGCCAAGACCCTCGCCGACCAGCTCGCCCGCGTCAACGTTGACGTCGTTGTCGTTGCGGAACACCTCGCCGACGGCATCGACCAAACCTACGCCGCCTCCGACGCCATCCAATTCGACGCTGTCATCGTCGCCTCAGGCGTCGCCGACCTGTTCACCCAGCGCTCCCTCATTAAACCCACCGCCTCGTACCCCGCCGGCCGCCCCCTCCAAATTCTCGTCGACGCCTTCCGCTTCGGCAAAACCGTCGGTGCTCTCGGCGCGGGCGACTCCGCCCTCAAAGACGCAGGTATCGCCTCTGACCGTCCGGGCGTCGTCGTCGCCAAGGACGCCGGCAAGGGCTTTGTAGATAGTCTTACTGATTCCCTGACGACGTTCAAGTTCTTGGATCGGTTTGCTACGGGTGCCTAGATTCTCTTTGACTCTTTTTTTCTGTTACCTTATTTGTAATAGGTTTATATCACGTGATTCTATCTTAACATACATATATTATCTTATATACCATATCATATCATACCCTTGCATCATTTCATAATTTTCTGTGCTTTTTGTTTTCATTAATGAGGAGCCGTATGTTCGAGTTCTGGGCTGACCTGGCCTGGGATGGGTGTGATGTTCAGACAAGGGTAGATAGGCAGCCTGAGCACGAAAATCCAAACTGTGTGAAATAACAGACAGTAACAGCCAAAAGAATGATAAACCTGATAATCTCGAAGCAAGCCATGGGTTTACAGAACGTGGAGAAATTGAATAAAATTACAAATGATGTGGGGAAAGAATGGCTCTGAAAGTCAGCTGACATACATGCTGACCGATTGTACTGTCACTCTTTACTCACTCCGCACCTTGGAGGCGGAAATGAGTGAATAGATGGGTGGATGGATGAATGGGTGTAGATTCATTGTTTTTCCGTGACTTACTTTGACTGGCTCTGACTGGGTCATGGACTGGGTTATACTGGATTGTCTTTGCCCATGGTTCTTTAGTTCCTTTCCCGAAGAGTAGTCAAGGAAAGGAGGAAAATGAGAGTATGCTTGTTCACTGTATGGGCTGGCTTGCTGCTTCGCTCCCAGGGATTGATAAGTCGTGTGTTATACTGGCTAGAAAGATGGTCAAGATGCTTTTGTTGTATAGTATTTGTTTTGGATGGGTTCGGGTATAGGCTGATATTGATGAGAGGTTTACTCTGCTTTGTTTATCTATGTTGTGGATTCTCGATGATGAGTTTAGGAGGGGAGAGGGAGGTGGGTTATGGATGAAGCTGATGTGGATGTGTATTTGGAGGGTAGAGAAGCTTAAGCAAGAGTACAAGGTACTGTATCTAGTAGTTACTGAGGGATCCTGGGAGACGCTGCCTGGAAGTAGATATCCTTGTACCAACTGCATTCAATAACGATAAGAGAAATATATCCAGAGAAGACTAAGACTAGAAATAAGAATATTATTAACCAGAACAACGATAACCACAATCAAGATAATAGGACAAGAACCAGAAAATAAGAATAATAAAAATAATAACCTCAAACCCTGACGGCTCCCTTCTTACCACCCAAGATAACCCACTCGGCAACCGTCGCACCCGTACCATTGTTAGTCCCCCCACTGGCTTGATTGCCCACGATGTACAACGTCGCGTAGCGGGCGGGCTTCTCGCTCCGGGGTAGATCCACGTGCGTGGTGTTCCCCAGCGGTATGACGACGGCGTTGAGGTCTGTCTTTTTGGCATCGTAGGGCGCAGACTGTTTGATGTTTGTTAGGGTGCAGACTGTGCGGCCTGTGGGTGGGGCCTTAGACGGCGTAGAGGAAGAGTGGGAGGGAGCGGTATCGTGGAGGATGATGGTTGCGTTGACGGGGGGTTCGGAGCCCCAGGTGAAGTCGAAGCCGGTGATGACTGCGCTGTTGTTGTTCGTGGGTGGCGGGAGGGTCACGGTGAGGGAGGTCCAATTTGCGGCTGTGGAGGGCTGCCATTTGGTGGAGGTGGCACCGTCGACGGCGCCCATGGGGAGCTGGCCTGGTTCGAAGGCGTCGGGCGAGTACACCGTGGCGCATTGGACGAGGTTGCCCGGGGTGGTTTTTGTGTCGCTGATGCGGCGGTTGGGGATGGTGAGCGTGCCGTTCTTGGGGAGCGAGTGGCGTGTCGTGTGGCCGGGTGAGGCCCCTACTTCGACGGTGATGGGGGCGTTCTGGGCCCACCGGGGGTCGGCGGTCGATAGCGCGGGCGTGTGGTGGTCTCGCTGCAGTGTGGTATGTGTGTAGTTGGATTCTGCTGCGATGGGCCATCCGCGCCAGTAGAAGGTGCGGTAGCGGAGGTGGGGGATCTGGGGCGGCAGGTTGGGGTCCACGTGGAGGATGTCGTCGGGGAGGAGTCGGAGACCCAGGTAGCCGAAGAGGACGATTTGGTTGGACCCGCCGTGGCCGGTCAGGAACGGGAAGGCAGGGTGCGTTCCGCCGTTGACGCTGAATTTGTCGACCATCTGTTCGGAGAGCTGGTAGAACGGGGGTCGCGCGTACGGGGCGAATGAGACCTGGTGGTAAGTATGCGCGGAGCAACCCGAGGGCGACATCGCGTTGGCGACGATCGAGAAGATCGCCCATGTCATGGCTGGCCCGTCCGGTGACTGCTTGTTGGCGTAGTAGTCTAGGTCTGTCAACGCGTTCTTCGATGTGTAGTTGCTGTCGTAGTCGAGGGGGTACGTAAGGAGGACGACGTCCGCCTGCTTGACTCGCGTGGACCCGTTCATGGTGGTGTATTCCAAGGTGATTCCATTCTCGCGCAACACCATAACATTTTCAGCTATTTCCGCCCAGTGCTCGCTGGGCTGGATATCGAATTGCTGGCGGAATTGGTTGGCGTACGTCAAGGTCTCTCCGATGAGCGGTAGCGTGTATCCACCGCCGTCGACATGGTCGGCGAATTCGTCCGGATCGGTCATGTTGGTCAGCGTCCACGACGAGCCGTTGCGTTGGACGATGTTGGAAAACAGCGTAGCTATCGAGTCGTACACCGGGAAATGTTTCTCGCGGAACGTCTGCGTATCACCACTGGTCACCCACTGGTAGATCAGGGAAAGCCCAATGTCGCCATTGAGGTGATACTGGTAGTCCCAACACGGTCCAGTCGCAGTGCAGTTGCCGAAACGCGCGCTCGTCCAGGGGTAGATGGCTGCCGATTTGTCGATGACAGTCTCGTTCTTCGAGCCCACGTACGCTGTCTGGGCATTCCGGACCGCCTGTTGGTGCTGTTTCACCCGGTAGTTGGTAATACGCTGAGCGGCCTCGGGGTGAGAAGCGACCAGGCCGGGCTGCATCCACACGTCGGCATCCCAGAAGACCTGGCCGGCGTATGAATCAGATGTCAGGCCACCGACCGAGATACTGTCAACATTCACCGGTGCTCCACCGACAGCTTTGATCGCATTCTTGCCGACCGTATTTTGTACCAGGTAATAGGTGTTGGCGACGGCGATGATAGCAGAGTCGATCACATGTAGATCGGACGGCAGTCGCTTAGTGGTGGGATCAGTAAAGCGGTCCACTGAAGTATCAGGCATGACGCTGGCCCATTCCGATGCATGGGCTTGCAATAGCTTGTCATATCCGGCCGCAAGCGCCGACGACGCTGCCTGCTTGGCCGTCTGGCGTGGGTCTGGGAATGCATCGGACGACGCGCCGCCGACGAACTTGGTTATCCGCACGGGTTGGTGAGCGAAGAATTTGACGTCTACTGCCTGTCCAAGCGAAGATTGATTGGCATGTATGTAGGGCTTATCCTTGACGAGTCTTTTCGAGCACAGATCAACTGTGTCGGAACCGGTCAGATTCGCATACAAATAAGCAGCCACATCAGGAATCCCCCAGGGTCGCACCGCCGAGAATATGGCCCCCTCGTCCTCACCAGACTCAACGAAATCCGTGCGCACCGCTGAAAACCCATCGATCACGTTCACTACGGTGGCTTTTCCATTGGCCGAGGGGACGATCTGCATGTCGACCACAGCCTGGTTGACCTTCAGCTTGTGGGCGAACAACCGGTAGGTAACGGCATATGACCCAAGATCTCCTTTGGGCGTCCAGGTATATGACCAGGATAGAATGCCGGATTTGAAATCGTAAGTCGACCGGAACTTAGTAATGGTTTTGTTGTCCACCGTCGAATCTAGGTACACCCCGTCGCCCAAGTCCAAGACCAGCCCACTCCAGTGAGGGACGCCGCTGATAACACTGTCGGTTCCATACTGGCTGAGCCACTCAAAGTTGCTTCGGGACGTGGTAGGCTGGGCATCCCAGAACCCGGCAATCGTCGCAAAGCTCTGCCGTCGCGAATCGAGCGGCCAGCCGTTGAGAACGTCGTCTTCGACAGGGACATCGAGTTCAAAAAACGGACCGACACTAGACACACTAATACCCAGGTATCCGTTTGCCACCGATCCGCGTGACTGGTAATGGCCTTGGTCCAAGGACGTGGTGGTAAGCATCCAGTTGTCGTCATCCCACGTCACTCCAGGAAACCGGGTTTGGTAGGTGCTGCCGTCGTCGGGGGATGTCTCCTGTTGTCCGTGACCGTCATGTCGTCTCACGCTATTAATGACTCTGGAATTCAGATGCTGGCGTGCGTAGACGGTTGGAAGGGCCGACAGCGCGAACACTGCCCAAGCCTAGACTCATTAGGATCCCGAGATTACCATAACAATCGATGGCGTGGTTGGATACAAGACCGCCATGATGTGTAGCGACAGAGAGCGGAACATACCTTCAACTGCATCATGGCGCACCAGCTTTGTCTTCAAACGTCTTTCAGAGTGAACCTCCGATGATGTAGAATGGACCAAAATTATTGATGTTCCTGCGATGTTCCCGTGTCTATTAAATGCGGAAGTAGTCTCCCATCCATCCCCGCATTGGTGGTCCGGCCGGGGCAAGTGGGTCAGCCCAAAGGTTGGCTCAGTGATTGAGTTTTGACCCAGTCTATTCCAATTTCCCGCAAGAAATCTCGCAACCGGCCACCCCAACCGGCTCCAACCGGCCCCGGACTCTTGCCGAGTGGGTTCGTGACCTTCCCGTATGGTCAAGTCTTCGGGTGATGATGGGGCCAAGAGTCATGGTGAACGAATAGGAGGGATGGAACGAGAAATTTCCACGAAACTTGGAAGTGACCAGGAGACATCAAACCGGTTGAGTCACTGTCTCCGTGGTATTTACCACTCATATAGCTGTACCTCCAGCTCCCTTCCCTCACAGACCCCAGGATCACCCTTCCAGCCACCATTCCCCTGGTTCATCATTGGCATCGACGATAGCTTTGTGCCCCATTTCCCATTCATAAAATGACTAGCTCTGAAGGAAATCCATGATGATTGACTATGAGCGTTAGCTGATGTCACACAGCACTTTGTAACCAGCGATCATGACCAGTGTTCACCGTCTCTGCCCTGGTTGTGTGAAACCCAGCAGAGATTGCTGTAACTGACTAATTAACAGACTCTGATTCAAATAGCAAGGAAAGGAGGAGAGTGAAATTTCAAGTGTTATGATCGATAATATATAGAAATGGTGACTGACAGAGTGAAGAGTGAGGTCTGACAAGGATTGAAGGTAGCCCTCGTCACGTGTTCTCTCCATCTGCCTTCTATTCACCTCATACATGGGATGAGATAGACATATATATGTCACTACCTAGTGAGGCAGTGGATTTCAATCTCACCAACCACACACAGGTGGAACAGTTTAACAAGGCTGAGTTTCCACCAAAGTGACTGGTCTGTTTATGAACCAGATCAGTAAAGACTGATCAGGTGATATATAGACAGGGATTTTGCTGTAGTGACAGTTCGCCTTTGTTCTAATGATATATCTGCACTGTCTGAGCTTCATATATCAAACTTCACTGGTTAATCTGCAGTAATTTTGTCCTTCGCCTCGTTCGGACACTTCCCACTAATCCAGTAAAGAGAAGAGTTATCCAACAGGATGACCCAAGTTCATCCTGACCCATATTTCCCCCAACCATGTGTGAGCTAGACTATGCATAGTGGTATGTTTTACATATTCACGCATAGAGTACCTGATACCACAGCGCCAGACAGACCAGTGGGCTAACACTCCCACGTGTATACAGTACTGATGGCCGAGGTGCTCCAGGTCCTCTGGAGAACTGATAACTAGAGATGTACGTCTCAAAGCCACCACTAAGATTGTGTCAAGTACCTCATTTGAAAATGCTTTTACCGTCAAGATTTGCACCCCGAAATACAGTCCTCCCCGTTCCTGGACGATCGACAAAACATATCATTCAAATCGTAAACTCACAAATGACTAGTACCACCATTGTATGCAACGATCGACATATAAATGTATGGCGTAGCAATAACCGTATGCACTCCGTAGGGGGATATGTTTTTCGAAGAATCCGTCATGAGAATATGACCTCTGCCCCAGGACTTTTTATATAAAGCCAAGTGAGGGTTCCTCTGCATACCCCTATTGCTCTAAATAAATCAAAAGTCCCAGACACAGTCAAAAATTTGATATCAAACACCAAAAATGAAGTTGTCCATCCTCATCCCCTTGACAGCCCTGCTGTCTTTGGCTGCAGGCATCAGCCCCTGTCTGGTAAGCTTTGCCGCATAATACTGAAGAAACTTTTCATGTCCGTACATGGCCAGCTAACGAGGTGGCCGTGAAGGAAAAATGTGCCCTGGACAACAGTGGCGCTACTGACTGCACTAGCATTGAATGCGCCTGTCACGACCAAAAGCTCCGGGACATTCTCTTCAAGTGCGTGGAGTCTAAATGCAGCCCCGGAGATCTAACTTGTATGTAACCCATATCTCTGGTTTGAGAGGAAGTGTGGCATTGAGCTAATTCGTGAGGACAGCCGCAAAGCAGCTCGCGTCCCAGTGTCCGTAAGAGACTCTCGCGTGGTATCAATCAAGTTGCTGGATGATTTGCCTGGATAGCACCATTTTTGCGGTGCTTCTCGTTCGAGATGTGAGACGGCTGTGTGGGTAGAGTTTAGATTTGTTACTTTAGGCTGCTCCACTATCATCTGAAACACACTATCAACTTTCCCCCACGATTAACTTATGTAGGCTGCATTGTATGGTAGGGGAGGTCATATCGTAGAGGGTGTACGCGGCCAGTAGGGCTCAGTGTGAACAAGTCACCGGGGCGATGTTGTTCCTATGGATCGAATCTTTCTGTATACTCGATCACTCTTTTGAGAACTGATCAATGGTAAAGATGTTAGGTCATTAGACGACAGTGTATGAAGTATACGGCATGGGCTATAAGGGTCTCCTTGAGACGCTCTTTGTAGATTGGTAGATGTTCCTCGAAATTGTTTTGCTTCGTCAAGCCGACGGCAAATGATGAAGATTCTTCGAGGCCTCCGCTTTCCCTCAAAGCTAATTATAGGCTACTATATTTGGACCGTATCAAGTCAATATCTGACGTGTCGTGTCGCTGGGCTGCATTGTCAAAGGGGTTATCAGATCAGTTCTAGTCTCACACCCCCACTCACGTCGATAGTGCCAACGATTTCCCCTGATTTGTGATATATCGCAAAAGAAAACCTCCAAAACCATAATGCCCCAGACCGTTGCAAAGCACTTAAGGTTATTGCGAGGAGCATCGACAGCCGGTGATTCCTTCCTTCGCAACAGTGGAATAATAGTACCAGTCACTCTCCAATCACAACCCCCGACTCACCATAATGGGCGGACTCAAGATATCAGACCAGATGGGCTTCACCATCCAGCCCAGAGTAGGCCGCCTACGAGCCCAAATGGCCAAAGAAAGAATCGACGCCATCGTCTGCTTCCAGCCCGAAAACACTTTCTACCTAACGGGCTTCAGCCCCCTAATCTCCTCACATCCCATCATCGCAGTGCTCGCACCCCGCGGCGACCCAACCCTGCTGGTATATGCCCTGCGCGACGACCACGCCCGCGCGGGGGCCTGGTCACCCGGCATGAAGCTTTTCAGCACGCAGACGAGACAAGCGCCCACGGGCCCTATCTGGCAAGCGGCGCTGACCTCAATCCTAGCCAACCTCGACATGGAGGGTAAGACCATCGGCATCGAAGAAGAGTTCATCGCGCTGGAGCGCACCCGAGACCCAGAGAACAAGACTCCACCACCACCGGGGGCGAAGTTCGTCAACGCCACACCCCTGATCGGCCGATGCCGGCTAGTCAAAGACCCCGACGAGATCGCCAACGCCCGGATCGCAGCGCACATCGCGGACGTAGGCATGGAGGCGGCCATCGCGGCACTCGCGGGAGGAGACGTCACCGAGCGGGACGTGACGATCGCGTCTACGCACGCCATGAACCAGCACTGGGCGAGACACTACCCCGACGTCGAGGTGCGGCGGGTCGGGTCGTCGCCGTTCCCTTCATCGCCTGACGGCAGCAACCACCAACAACAGCAGCACAGCGGGCTAGCGACGAGTGTCAACTCTGGACCGCGGAAATTTTACCACGCGTGCGAGAACCACCCCACGCTGCGGAGACCGCAGCCGGCGGAAACGGTCTCCGTGACTGTGTGGGCCGTGGCGAATGGTATGCCCGCGAAGCTGGAGCGGACTGTCTGCGTGGGGCCTATCCCGAGCGTGGAGAAGAGCGCTATCACCGCTGTGTTGGGGATCCGGGATGAGATCGAACCCCTTTTGCGTGCCGGTACCCCCTTCAGCTACCTTTATGGCATGGCGCGTAAGGGATACAACGCGCGGGGATATGGTGCTAACTTACCTGGCCGCATTGGGCATACTGTTGGGTTTGTGCCTCAGGAGCAGGCGCTCATTGATGGCGGGTCCTCTCTGGTATTGGAGCCAGGGATGATCATTATGCTCGAGCCTCATCTTCATATTTCTGGTCTCTGTGCGACACAGTATTCGGATACTGTGCTTATCACGGAAACGGGACACGAGTATCTTACTCACAAGAGTGGTCACCTGGAAGTGTGATCCAATCTCGAAATATTGTCGGATTATACGTGTTTAGCACGGTGTGCAGGGTATGGGGTGTCTGCGAGGGCGTTTCGTTTGTGGGACTTTTTGTATATGGGATATATATGAGCCCTAGTGTCTTGGGCTCCTGCTAGCCATCTGTTGACCAGATGGCCTACTTCAATAGCCAACTTCAAAAATACCGCTCGACTGCAAACGATATATGTAGTTGTTAGATTGTAACAAGCGAGGAAGATGAGAATGCCCACTTCCAATAATTGCAGAAGACGGGGATAATGTGCGCTCCCCATCATGGGATGTACACCAAGTAAACAAATCCCAGTCTAGAATAATTCATGACCAGCGGAGAGTGCTCAGACCTCTTTGATATACATTATCGTTCGTTGCCAGGCTCGCCAACCCAACACACCATCTGCAGGAACAGTGGACAGTGGACGCATAGGACGATCCCTTCATTTAACGAATCAGAACTGTGTTGGCTGCGTTGCGTGAACCCATATTATTTGACAGTAGTAAGCCAGTCAGATTATGCAGGACGCCGCGATCTTTTGTTTTTACATATGATCTCCAACCTCATTTAGGTATCGTAGAAAGGCGTACGTAGCCTGCTAGTATTATTATTCTCATTACTATAGTTATTTAGAATTCTGAGTAACTTTAGATAAGTCTATAAATATGTAAATTCTAGGTCAAGTATCTCGGGATAAGAAATTTCTTCCAGTTATAAGCTTGTTTAGCAAGGTATAATCCTATAGATATAGGACCTCTAGATAGATAGCTAGAAATAACTAGGAATAGTTTCCTAAGCACAGGGGTTTTCGAGAGATATTACCAGTCCCCTGGTGGTATTACTAGTTCTCTAGTGGTGTTACAAGCCACTTGGTAATATTTTTTTGGTATAGGTATCTCCTCCAGGAGTGTCAGCCACGCTTGTTTCAATTGATATGAAGGAGGAGGCGTGTAGAGACGGGTGTCTGCGTGGTTAAAGAATGATATAAAAAAGGAGTTTTGTAGAGACGGGTATCTGCGTGGTTCAGGGAGGATACAAAGAAGGAGATGTGTAGAGACGGGCGTCTGCATGGTTAACGGCAGGAGTATATGCAGGCAACAGCGGCGCTGACATGCTAAAATCTCACCGAAAGATTGGACTCTATACCTAATACACTCGGAAGACTTCAAGATGTCAGTCTACTGTTAGCATGGGAGGTAGGATTTACGCGACCCTCTGCATTGGGGACAGTAGTGGATTGAACATAACTACCCCGACTGGACTGAGGTTGAAATCTATAAGAACCTTCACTTCTACCCAGACAACTCATCGTTCGAATATTCCAAAACAGATTCAATCTCTACCTCTGCTTGCAATTATTCATAATCCATCGGTTTCCTTAACCCTGCCAAGTATTCCACAAGGCAAGAAGAACAGACTCCGAAAAAAACAAGCCATCAAGTCTAACCTTCCACGATCACAGACAACGAAATAGATCCCATCACCAGCCCCCCATACAATGCACTTCCTCAGCGCCAGCCTCGTCCTTCTCGCCATGGCCGCTCGATTCGGCCTCGCAGAGCCAGTTCCTCTTCCGCTGCCACTTCCAGCCGAAGATGAAACCGCCCACAACCTCACCGCCCGAAGCGACGGATGGGCCTACTTCTGCGACGACGCAAACTGCAAAACCAACTGCCAAAAAAGGGGGTACTCGCTCAGCAACCCGGGTTGTTTTGAGGTGCCCAAAGGGCGTCACAGCATGTTCGCTCATTTGAGTCACAATGGCTATCAATACTCGTTGATTCACTCCCCGAGCGCAAAGTGCCCTTGTCAGTCTAACTGCAATGGCTTTACTTCAGGATATTATCTTAAATCGATTTGTACAAAGGTCGAGCCGGGTAATTCTCTTCGCTGGATTGGCGGGGGCTGTCCGAACAATCCTAAGCAGCTTTGCTGAGGAAGTCCTGAATACTGTGGGGAAGATTGGGGGCAACTCGGGACGAGTCTTGTGTCTCTTTTTTGGTTCTGCTTAGTACGTTATATGCTTGATTTGAACTTGCTGGAATATCTAGTCTGGGGCTTCCCTTCGAGATTCGTCAAGCGTGATCTGTATATCCAGTGAATATTCTCCGGGTTTTTAAGGTATAGAATTCGAAAAAGCCGATGTCTGGCGATCATTTCATGAACCTTAGGCGTTCAGTCCATAGCTTTTCTCAGACATGAGGACGAAGACATTGTGCTCTCCCTTCTATTAATGTTGAATGTATAGTAGTAAGGGATATCCCATACCTGCATCGGTCATTCTTTTATCAGCAAGTGGTTCCTTGTTTTGGGCGAACCCAGAACCCACGAGAGGCTTATCAGGGGCAAAGGCTACAATTTGTTCATAGGGTATATCACTGAGTGCCGTCAGATGATTCTCAGAATGAAGGCAAGTAGTGAGGTCCTGGTTTATGTGGCCGAATGGTGGAGAGCCTGCAACGCAGTGTGTTTTTTTCAAGCAAGGAACCCAGAAACATACTCGGAAAACAACCCGTGGAATCAGAGACACAACTAGCATGGAAAGTTTATTGAGGAGATGGTTCAATTACGAAACCAAAGTCAGATCTTGATTGGTGGTCAGGTGATGGATCACGTTTTACTGTCTGCCCTAATTCGTTGCATCCACTGACTATCAGACAACATATGCTTCTGTGCGAGAGGAAACCAGAAACACCTTAATTACATCTTCGACACTAAAATAGATGCACTAGTTGACAAGCAGATAATCTTTAGACACAGGGTTCCCAAGGTCATTTGTAACCGCACAGCTGAAAGACTTGCATGTAGTCCGCGTAGTAAACAAGGGACTTGAATGGTGACATATTCGATACGACGGCTAATATACCCCGTAGCCAGATATACCTCAAGTTACAGGGACATTCTGGGGCTTGAGGAAGACCGTGCATTAAATTCACGCCACGCCGATGCAGCAACATACCACAGTGGAGAATATCGAGTCTATTCCGAACACGATGATACATCGCGATGGATGAGTCTGGACGAGCAACTGGGATTGTCTTGGGAAAAAGACATCTCGCAATTTACCGGAGAAATAGAAGAGATAATATTGACCGGGTAAGAAAATTCTTATCAAGTGCCCGAAGCAGTGAAGTGAAATGGGTCCGTCGATCACCATAATCAGTTCTTCGTGACAACTCCTCTCTGGCTCCGACAAGGCTGCGCCCCAGGATCTTCATCCCAGTGGCTTTCACCACTAATCTATAAACAGCATCATATCTCCACAACACCCCAGCGAGAACCAATCAAATCGTTACTTGTCCCCTCTGCAAAAAGCTTGCCAGGATTATCGGTCGGAGCACGAGGCAAGGCAGACTGACGCGACTGGGAAAGGGGGCTTTGCGACAGCGAGGATAAAGTCAGAGATGGGCCCATGTTGAATTGAATCTCGTTCACTTTTTGTATATCATCGTGACGGTCTAACCTTCCGACAGTCATTCATAAGAACATTCCGACCGTCAAAACCCTCTAATCAGTCTCCAACATGGCGCGCGGCGTCCACAATCCCTTTCCCTCATCCTTGCGCTGTAAGTCGTGCCATCCCATGGAAAGCCTCACCCCAAATATTGATCCGAAATGATGGCTGACGGTATTTGGTATCACAGGCGAAAGCAAAAAGGCATGTCGGATTCTCGAATCCTTCATCAATCCATCGATCACCGGTTCTCCAGGAACAGAGATTCCCCGCAAAGTGTTACAAAATGCGAAGGTACCAACTTCTTAACCAGTACCTCTACCATGACAGCGTAGTGATTGATGGGCGGTAGGGTCTCGTAATCTTCACCGCGACAAGAGCTGGGTTCCTGGGGTCCGTGCGATTTGGATCGGGGGTGATGATCGCGAGACTAGACAATGGAAGCTGGTCGGCGCCCTCAGCCATCGCAACAGCGGGGGTAGGGTTTGGCGGGCTCTTCGGAGTCGAATTGACCGATTTGGTCTTCATTCTCAACGACGCCCGCGCCGTTCGCACATTCTCACAGATGGGGAGCCTCACCATAGGCGGAAACGTCTCGGTCGCCACAGGACCGGTCGGTCGCAGCGCGGAGTTCAGCACCGGCGCCAGTCTCAAGGGCTGTGCATCCATGTTTACCTACTGCAAGACCAAGGGCCTGTTGGGTGGTGCCACAGTAGAGGCGGGTATGATCTTGGAGCGGAGGGCTGCCAATCGGAAACTGTATAACTGCAATATCACGGCCGACAAAATTCTTCAGGGCGGGATTCGACCACCGCCCGAAGTCCAACCGCTGATGGACGTCTTGTATTCGGATGTTTTCTACACAGACCCTCAGAACAAGCCACCCAGAGACCCCCACATGCCGCTGTATGGCGCGATTAAAGCGCCAGGGGCTTCTTCCTATCAGTCATCAGAACCACAGGATCGGGGCCTCTCACCCCAGTCGCCTCGATCAGACCAACAGCTCCAGTCACCAGCTGCGTCGGAATTACACGCAGTATCTAGTCGACAGGTCGCGGAACTGCCCACTGAGAGCCCGGCTTTATCTCCCAGTGAACTACCGACTGAAGCTCCTCGAAATCATGAGCGAGACGAAGGTAGTAGGGGGGGGTGTCGATTATTTGGTAGTCCAAAACCTATGCCCAATGGGTTGCCCACAGAGCCGACTCCTGCACACAACGAAGTTGAACATGACGGAACCCAAGAAAGCCCATCTGTGAATCAAGTACCTCCACCTAGTCGATCGCCTCCAGGGATACCAGCAACGCCATCTCAGGACTACCGCGAAGTGGATGATAGCGCTGATGGAGGTAAACCATCTGCGGATTCAACGTCCTCGCCAGGTGGAAAGCCCAAAAAGGCACCTCATGACAAGATAGGTCAAGCCGAACAGAGAACAAGCCAGCCATCTGCAACGCAGCCACTGTCACCCTGATGTGACAGTGAAATGTATCAGAAAGGAAGCCGTTCCGCTGTCAATATAGCCATATCTGTGAAGCCCGGGCTGTCGAACACCCTCTCTGGACTTTGTTAGCTGAGAAGTGAGACTACCGTGATAAAGAGAGAAGAACGAAAGCAAAGATGAGACCGCACAAAGACATGTCAGCTTGCATCCAGCTTCTCGAGTTGAAAAGGTAGTGCCTTGGAAAGTTTCGGGTCCCCCGGGTATCAGGGGTACCATTGATCCTCGATTCTTGCAAAACAATTTGAATAATGATAGAAGAATAATCACAGGCTTTTAGCACTGCGAGGTGTTAAGATGCCAATGATCATGTATATAGTTTGCTGCCGTCAGAGACAATCTAATGATGCTATCAACGTAATCCAGTATCTCGACCGTTCGTTTATCCAGACCCCTGGGATTAGAGTTAAGTCGTCCCTGAAAGTTACATGTATTTGCGTCATTGCCAGGAACATTATATCTAGTGTACTCTGCCAGGACACTTCCCCTCCCCTGTTCCATAGTTTGCAGTCGGAGCATCATTCCAGTGTTATAGCCTGGTGTGGCTGGAAATGGTGAACATTCATTCACTGTTCAGTTAACCTTCACATTTGCCTTCCCCTCTCCCCCTCCCTCTGACCACCTTTCCTCCATTTTGATCTCTGATCTTACAATTATCTGCGATAGTCATTAACCTGCTTTACCCTGCACTTTGTGAGCGGAATCTGCGAAACAATACTAGCTTAGATCAAATAGTTTCATGGGTTCTATGCAATTAAAGATGGGGAAGTCTTCATTTCGAGCAGACCTGTTGAAGGCGAGTGTCCCTGGACTGTTTCCCCACCTTACGGACATCGGAAAGGGCCAAGATGACAGCTCCATATATTTCACCTATACCGCTCCCTCTGAAAAATACGGGTTCGATATTGAGGTCACGGTGATCGGTAAGTGGGAATCATCACCCTAGTAACACCGTATGCTAATCCCCGTGTGTGTCGTTAGACATTGAAGAATACCCACGGTCTCACACATACTTCGCATGCGTGGTCGGCGACGCTGCCCCCTACGCTGTTCTTGAGGCCATTTTGAACCGACAGCCGTCTTACAACGGGCGGGAGGTATCGGATTTCTTGGTTTTCATCAGTCAGTGCATCGAGCATGTCATCCTGGTTTCGGAAATGGGGGATGATCATGCGCCACCCGGGTCGCCGATCCTAACAGACGAGGATGACTCCGAGGACGGTGTTTACGAGACAGACTCGGAGGGTGACGAGATATTCACTGCTACGCTGGAGCGTAAGTCTGTCAGGAAAGCCCTACGGCTGGAGCTGCGAGCTGCCAAGGCTGCCGGGTTCAAAGTGGGCTGTCTCGGAGACGTTGAAGGGGCCGTCATTGTGAGCATCGCTTGTCGGGTTTCCAAGCTGGGCATTTCACCCGAGGCCTTGCACGCGTGGAATGTCCTCGCTTCTGAGTACCTGGTCTTGTTGATCCGCTACCCGGAGGGGTACATGGGGTTCGAGAAGATGATGTACAGCAGTGCAGGTGGTCTAGGACGAGTGCAGTTCCACGTTGGGCTCTGCGAATTCTACAAGCCGAGCCTGCAGGTTGCCCAGGAAGCTTTTCTCGGCCACGAGATCAACCAAGATAGCAACTCCCAGCAGCGAAAGGAAAATGTGGGCAGTTTGCTCAAATCATTTGTGGCTGGCAAGTCGATGAAAGACCTTCTCAATTCCCGCTTGGTGGATATGATCAGATTTCGGCTCGAGTACGGCTACACCTGGACTGGCGTCGAAGAGTATATCGACGATCGTCAGGACAAGAACCAGACACTATCGAAGAAGTCGTATTTTGCAGCCGACGGTTGGGATAGCTCCGCAACCGGGCTTCTCTGCAGTGACCAGTGCTCGGGCAAGCCGAAGGCGTCCGAGATATCGTTGATATTGATCGCGATGCAATACACGCTGCGGCGGTTTGTCAAATGCCCTGAGTTTTGCTTGACGTGCTATAGCAGGATCGATGCTGGATTTGAAGCTATCAAGCCATTCGTCTGCTCCAAGGAACTGTGCATGTTTCAATACATACATTTCGACATGGGACCCAGCATCGAGTGGGAGATTCTTGCGCAGCCGTATGTGGTTGATCTTCTAATTAGCTTCTGCTATCTGCGGGCTGCAACTGGCAAGCTGTCGGACTTTCCAACCGGACTTGGCCTCAAAGTACCCAAGGAGAGACCAACGCATTATAGATTAGCAGCGAGTCCAAACGGGATCCTCGATCTGACACATCGGAGACTAACTACGGATAACAAGATTTGTGTCAAGCCAGGGGATTGCTTGGCTCTCGATCAACACGATAAATCTACTCGAACTATGCATCGCTCGCATTGCTGTGTCATTTCCGTGGATGACACGGGTTTTACAATTTCAGAGCCGGTGGATGAAAACACCCATACCGAAAAAGCAGGCCTCAAGCTGTCGACCAAGGTCCGATACGAGCCATACGACTGCGATCTGGATAGTTTGGACAAGAAAAGGAAGCTCGAAGCGATTCGGGCGCTCATCAACACGATTCCTGATGTCAACTCAATGAAATCCTTTATCTGCTCCAGAGGAGGTAGCGAACGTCCGCTATCTGATTGGAAAGAGGCAATTTCGCCACCTGCGCTGTATGTGTTGAAATGGATTGTGGCATCTAACCTGTCTTGCATTATGCTGGACGAAGACCCCGAGCACCAAGTTTCGGGCGTGGATAATTACCTCCAGTTTCGGCTAGCCCAAGGATCGCCTGACAAGGAAAAGCGGTTTGTAAGAGCTGTCAAAGACAACACTGATGCGTGGAACCTAAGCCATCCCACTCTCTTCGCGTGGCACGGATCACCCGTGGAAAATTGGCACAGTATCTTACGCGAGGGCCTGAGATTCGATAAGATTCTTCACGGCCGTACCTATGGTAACGGTGTATATATGGCCCAGAACTTTGAGACATCGCATAGCTACTGCACCCATACAGTTGCAGTACCCACGGTCCACAAAGATAACACAGTCGAGTCTTGGTGCAACAGTGCCCTGGGAATCCAGATGGCGGTGTCGTTAAATGAGGTCGTCAACTCCCCTAAGGCCTTCATGCACTGTTCAAACTTCTGCTATGTGGTTAGCCAACTTGACTGGATCCAGACCCGCTATCTCTTCGTTCGAGTGTCCACGTCGCCTTGGAACGAAACCACCAGACAGCGGCCGACAGTTACCTGCATCCAGGACCCCTTATATACCGCGATCGGCCCCACCGGAGAAGCCATTTGTGTCCCAATTTCAGTGACCAGCACCCGTCGCGACACCAGCGCTTCCTCAAAAAAGTCACTCTTCAAGAAATTAGACAAGAGGCAGAAGCGCAAGAGGCAAGCCATCATAGACGATGGTCACGACAGTGTAGCCACCCTGGACGAAGACCGCAGCCTTCTAGCGTCCGACTCAGAGGACGAGGCAGCCAAGCGCAAGAAGATGCTCGAAGACTCCCTGACCAAGACGGATTTTCGCCCGGGAACTTTGAAAGAATCCTCCCTGAGCCTGATGGCAGCCCCCAAGTACGCGACGTCTACTGCAAACCGCGCTCTCCAACAGCGTCTTCAAGCGACTCTAAAAAGCCAGGACCACGAGCCCCTGCACCTTCGCGGCTGGTACATCGATCCCACCTTGATCGACAATGTGTACCAGTGGATCGCAGAGCTGCACACCTTCGACCCATCTCTACCGCTCGCAAAGGACATGAAGGCTCAACGGGTGACGAGCATCGTGCTGGAGATCCGCTTCCCGCCGCAGTTCCCCATATCGCCGCCGTTTGTGCGCGTCATCCGTCCGCGCTTTGTGATGTGGAGCGCCGGCGGCGGCGGGCACGTCACCGCGGGTGGCGCCATGTGCCTTGAACTGCTCACCGGGTCGGGCTGGCTGGCTGGATCGTCGATCGAGAGCATCCTGATCCAAGTGCGCATGGCCTTGACCAACCTGGACCCGGTCCCAGCTCGGCTGGATATGCGCTTAGCCAATGTCGACTATACCGTACAGGAGGCGGTGACCGCATACAAGCGGGTCTGTCTCGCGCATGGGTGGAAGATTCCCGATGACCTGGACAAGGTACAGTGGTAGATTGAAGATTGACAGGGATTTTGAAAATGGAGTTGGATAACAGGGAATTTATCGCAAGTGTGTCACAGGTGTTGACCTGGGTTGATGAAATGGACGTGGGCAAGGAAACTATGCTGGGGATTTGCTCTTTCCCCTATTTTCATTCTTTTTCAAACCGCATCGGGTGTCCAATACAGCCATCTATCATGCAGCAAGGACCGAAGCGTTAGTATCCGTAATCAGCATTGTTATCAGACTGGATTTGTCGAATTCCAATCCTTGGTCCTAAGTGACGTCTTATCCCGTCGTATACAAAGTCTAGTTCCATGCCATCGGGGAATATACCCATGCGACCCCACTGACATAGCCGAGAGTGTCAGGAGTGGGTCTACCGTAGCACGAGGAGTTGTCCATACTTTCATATCGAGTACGATTCAATCTATTTGACCCAGTCAGCTCATCTATATCAGCGATGGCACCATTGATAAATAAACAAGCGCAATTACCAAGTCTCAACGATGAGACAGATCACCCGCCGAACCAGGCAGGGGTTTGATGCAGGAACAGAAGGCAATTGCTACCTGATTCTGTTACTTCACGATATGACGCCATTGCACGCCATTCTTGTTCTTCATCATAAGTTCTGGAACGCCATTCCCAGTCGGGTCACATGCTCTGCTCGACCAGCCGAGGAGCTCCGCTTCGTCTCCTGATCGTCCGTTGAATTACCCGGAACGCTATACCGCTTACTTTGACATCCTGTCACAACTCACGACAGCCACGCACCGCCGATCTTGTTCTCATTCAATAATCCTAGAGACGCAGAGGCCCCCCTGATCTGCAGAGAGATTTTGCAACGATATGGGGTAATCTCTAAGCGAGTACCGCGGACGGTTGATCCAAGTGCATCCCGCAGGATGGGGAACGACGGTTTAAAGAGAGCGATCCCGCCAGAGAAGATCGCTGGATTGAGTTGCACAGCTTGGTTGTTACACATAGTCAAGGATGCATGCTAAGTACATCCTCGCGCTGATCGGCGCAGCAGCAGCTGGGCCCTTGGAAGGCCTTCGTGGGGGACTTGAGAAGCGAGGTGTATGTGCCCTTATTATGTTTTCACCCTCAAATGCGGGGGACTAATGAGGAAATACATCTAGGTCACCCCAATTCCCCCTCTTCAAATTGCCAAGGGTGAGAAATTCATCGGCGCCCCCGCAGTCGCCAAACCCCTCGATGCCAAGGTCGCATTCAGCCCCAATGCCATGAACATGCACCAAGATGGTGGCAACACCGGCACCATTGGTCTCCCTGGCCCCCTTGGGAAGGACCTCAAGTTGACCACGGCAGTTGGGGGCCTGCACATTTTGCTGTGGACGCGTAAGGGTCAGATGGTAGTGGGCTATACGACCTTGAGCTTGTCGGGGCTGAAATGGGGCATCGCGGCCGTTGGGGAGGACATGGGTGTGCAGGCGGAATGGTATCCTGAGGTGGACGGACAGACGCTCAACGTAGCCTACATGGAGTTGATGCTGGAGACGAACGAGCTGGTCGTCACGTCCAAAGAGGGCCAGATTTACATCATCAAGGTCAATGAGGACGACGAGGAGCCGACGCTGGAGCTCCAGCAAATGATCAACTTGACGTCGACTCTCGGCAAGGGCGAGATGCTCATGAACGCCATGTACGACTCGGAGCAAAACCTCTGGTTCAGCAGCGGCGGGCTGCGCGAGAATGGTGGCCACGGTGACTCGGCCCAGAACAGCTCCACGATCGGTTACCTCGAGAAGGGAGGCATGGGCGTGATCCACGAGCTCCACATCGAGGACCAGATGATCGAGAACGGCATTGCCGTGGACGGGACCACCGCGTACGTCATCACCGGCCCTTCCGGCAAGCAGGACAAGGCCGGTGCGAAAGGGTACTTCATGGCCTTCGGTCCCGGCAAGGACAAGACGCTCACAACCCACTGGAAAGTGACGTACGACGCGGGCGACAAGAAGAAGCCCGGCTCGTTTTCGCGTGGGTCAGGCGCGACGCCCGCGCTCATGGGCGACCAGTATGTCGCAATGACGGACGCAAAGGAAGGCCAGTCACAGCTGGTGATCTACCACCAGAAGGCGCAGAAAGACGCCGAGTCGCAGGTTGTGTGCAGCGTGCCGGTCTTCCCCGAGACCGGGAGCAAGGTCGACATCGCGCCGCTGGTTCACAAGCAGGGTGACACGTACAGCGTGTACCTGTGCAACGGGTACAACGCGCCCCCGCTGTTTTACGCCGACACGGGCACCCTCAACGGCAAATGGAACAACCTGACGCAGATGACGCCGGGCGTTGCGCGCATCGACGTGTCCTCCGAGGGCGAGTGCAACATCGCCTGGGAGAAGGACGACCTGCGCATCCAGTCCGTGCCGATCATCTCGACGAAGAACGGCCTGGTGTACGGATACACCCAGGCGGAGGAGTTCACGGACGACGGGCTGTATGTGTGGTATATTGTGGCTCTGGACTGGAGGACGGGCGAGGAGGTGTGGAGGATTCGTGCTGGCGCTGGTGGCACGTTCAACGATGATTACCAGCCTGGAGCGCTGGGTCCGGACGGCAGCTTCTACCAGAGTGTGATTGGAGGGTTGATCCGTCTGCAGGATGGGGCTTAATCGGTGATGTTTCATGGGGGTTGTTGAGACGTATTGCTATGGTGGTCTCGATGTGTAGTCTGTCAGACGTGATATGAGGAGACAGCAGAAATTACATTAATATATATTATGATAATCTTGAGAATATGGATCTCTACACTATAGATCCGATCACCATCTAGTATACCCGTAAAATAACGCAAACATCGTCCCGCAAAAGAACCAACCAGGAAGGCAGAATACTCGCCCGAAACAAGGACTCCATCAGTACAGCAAAACTATAGCGAGCAAATATACCTAGGGTAGATGTGATAGCCAGACCAACACACGAAACCCCAGAACTACACAGCTAAGCAACACTAGAACACGCATCGACTTCCATAATCTAATACCAAATAATCATAATATATACATCTTCCCCGTACTCCGCTTCATACTTCGACGGTTAGACAGCATATAAACCAAGACCTGCACGCCCGTCAGGACCAGCCCGACCAGGACCAATGCGATCATGATGAGCACTCCTCTGGGATAACTAGTGGAGAGTGAGTTAGCTCGTGATAATATTGTCACAAAGACACAGGAAAGCGAAAGAGCAAGACGTACAGTGTAGAAGCTTCATCACCGCGGAAGATCTGCGTGCCCGCCATGAGGCCACCTGTGGCTGTCATCACGACTGGAGATAGTCAGTACTGCCTGTATGAAGATATCAACTTTGATGTACTGATCGATGTACGTACACATTCTATGTATAGCCAGCACAGGTTAGCAAATTTCGAGTTGGTGGGGGAAAAAAAGAAGACAGAAAGACATACGCAACACTAACACTCCTCTCCGCCCGACATCGACAATTCATCTGAATCCACGCATTATGGATGGGGTGATACCCCACAGCAAGACCATTGACAGTCGTCCACAGGGCAAACATCCCCCACTTGCCGATAGGCGCATGCAGCAGTGCCTTCAGCACGACGAGCGCAACAAGGTAGCACGCCATGGCGAGCATTACAACGACACCGCGTTGCTTCGTCTTATCGCTGAGCCAGGCAAAGAAGAGAATGACGGGGAGAGTCAGGAAGCTGCCTACTGCTGCTAGGGCGTTGGACTGGCTGCGTGGGAAGCCTAGCGACATGATGATGCTAGGGGTGTATGTTGTGAGGGGGCTCCATGTTGCGAAGACGCAGGCTGTTGCGAGGAAGTGGGCCCATTTGTGGGTGTTGGTTAGGGTATTCCATACTGTTGTTAAGGGGATGGTGGTGGTGCTGGTGTGGTTTGCTGGGGGGTTGTGTCTTTGTCGGTGGGTGTTTCGTCGCTTTTTGTCCAGCTGGTCGCCGTTGTTTCCTCGTCTTCTTCGCTTCTCTCAGGGAGAAACAGTAGCAGCAACACCGCCACTACCATCGACCACACCCCCTCAACTACAACACGTTAGCACTCAACTCCTCTCCCAGCCATCAATCCACCCAGCTCCAGCTCCAGCTTAAGCCAACAGAGATTAAACATACCTAAAAACAGCCACTGCCACCCAGCCAGCCCACCCCTCCCATCCAACCTCAACAACGCAGCCCCAAGCAACGGCGACACAGCCGTGCCCCCGAACATCCCAAAGAAGAACACCGCGATGCGCGTCGTGATCTGCTCTTTTGAATACCACGTCGACAGAGTATACATCGCAGCGGGGATATAACCGGCCTCCGCAAGACCAAGGACAGCGCGCGTAACTAAGAAACCGGTCCGATCACGCACGAAGACTTGTAGTGCGGCAATAATGCCGAATACTAGGACTTGGCTGCCTATCCAGCGGCGGGGGCCGAACTGGTCTGGTGTTAGCGGCAATTTGCTGAGGGCTGCTGATGTACATGGGTGGCGTACATACGATGGGGAGGAGCATGTTTGAGGGGATCTCGAGAACGATGACGCCGAGGAACATCAGCTGGTTACCGAGATTGATGGTGTTCTGGTCGACGTGGATGTCGTCGGAGAACCCCCCTGTTAGGGCGCTGGAGATGTTTGTTCGGTCGAGTTGGTAGGTCGCGAAGCCGAGGACGAGGAGTGGGAGGACTTGGAGGTCTGCGCTTTGTGGGTGTTAGACTTGCATAGCTATAGCTAGCTAGCTAGCTAGGTATATGGGTAGGTCGGTAGGAAGGCGATGTCGCAGTGCTGAGAGCGGAGAGTCCTGACGTACAGCCTGCGCGACGACACGGTCTCTGACCTGGTGTCATGACTTCTTTTGAGAAAGTCGATGTCCGTGTCGCTATCCATGATTGCTATATTTATCTTTTATCAATGAACTTGTGGAAAAAATGAGGGGTGGATATGCGATGTGCTTTATCGGAGGCGCGCAGGGACCTTGTGGTCCGGGGATGGCAACCTTTGGGGTGATAAGATATTTGGTGGATCTGCACGTCATTTTTCTTGGAGAACCGTTTGGTTTTGCGGTTTGGATTATATGAGCATTTGGAAGCAGTGATGAGTTGTGACTACTGGGAGTGTGGACAGTGTTTTGGTGTTCCTGTCCTTGGGGCTTGTCTTGGGGTTTGTATATGACACCAATCAAACTAATTAATTATTACCTAAATGAATACAAATCGTATGCACAATAAAAAGCACTATATTGCACTATTAACATCGGGTATAATATCTTCCAGTCACATTCCTCTTATTTCACTGGTCTCTGACTCCCAGGAAAGTGCCATTATCGGACCAACCTGAGTTGAACCACTCCAGTGCCTTCCGCTTGGCTCACCTCCCACGCCATAGAACTTCAAGACAAGAATAGCTCATCTCTGCGCGTAGCATGCGCATTGGCCTGCGAATTGCCATTGCTGGACGATGAGGCAGACCGCCCCGGTGCTAGGTTCGAGGGGACATTGTTATCGCTTTGCTTCCGGATGATCAACGGAGCGGGCGTCGCGGTAGGCGAGAATGCAGTGTCCTGACTAGCAGCCAGAACACCCGACGCATGACCGTCCTGAGGATGCCCATTCGCTGCATGAGTCGGAGACTGGGCGCCTCCCGAGAAATATCCGCCCGTCGGCGACGGCTGAGAAGCCGGCGGGTTATAGTTGGGCTGTTGGCCGGACGGGTTATGTGGGGTGTTGTCGGCTGGGAGTTCGCAAATTGCTGGGATACTGGTACTGTCCAGTTCCGCAATCGGAGGCGGCGGGGCAGAGTGAGAATGTAGCTCTGCAGTGTTTGGCGGAGGTTGGTAGGATTGGGACGGGTGGGAGTAGGGTGAGTGAGGATTCGGTGAATGAGGGTGGGGCGAGTGAGAATTCGGTGAGTGGGAATAGCCTGGGTAAGGTTGAGGTGAGTAGGGCGGGGGCGGCTCGGACGGATGTTGATAGGGCTGAGGTGAATAGGTTTGCGGTGGGTGAGTTTGGTGCTGATAGGGCTGAGGTGAATAGGTTTGCGGTGGGTGAGGTTGATGTTGATATGAATCTGGGGAGTAAGGACTGGCGCCCGGAGAGTACGGGGGATGGCCGATAGAGTTGGATGAGTGTGGATTGCCCAGGTGCGGACTGGCCATGGGCCGTGGTGGTGGCGTTGGCGGCTTTCCCACTGATGTGACATTGGTCGTAGAAGTTGAAGGAGTTGGAGCGAGAGGCGCATTGGCGTTCAGAAAATCTATCAGGCGTTTGGACTCTGGCGGGGCAGGTATTTCCCCTTTGAGCACCTGCTTTGCTTTCACCCGCTTGCCGTACATCTTACTGTTGGCATCAGAGCGCTCCAGGAGTACACCACCCTCAAAGGTATGTCCGAGATAGAGCCCGCGAGCCTTGGAATAGGTATACAGACCAGCCTGGTCGCGGCTAGAGCATTTTCCGAACGGCCCTAGGGCCATGGAGCAGTCACTTCCCACAGTGAGGGCACCTGCTCGGGAAAAGGTATCGACCGCTTTGTCCGTATTCAGGACGAGAAGAAAGTCCGTCAGCTCCAAGCCCAGATGGGTACCTGCTCCAAGCCCCCCAGTCGCGATAGCGGACGGGGCGGACCAGCTTCCATCTGGTAACCGGGCCACGATTAACCCCGAGCCAAATTTGATCGAGGCCAATGCGCCGAGGGTGAAAACCGAGAAAACCACAAATCCCTAGGGACCAAATGTTAGAATTCCGTTCGATTCGGACATGACCGAATTAGTTACCTTGGCTTCTGTGAGCACCTTGCTTGGAATCGCTGCATCCCGAGCCGTATCTTTGGGGTTGATGAATGATTCTAGGATCTTCGCGGCCTTCGAGCATTCGCCTATACGGACGTTAGCAACGCCCCTGGATACGGACGGATGCTCATCAAGACATACTGGCCATCGACGACGGCAGTGGGTTATTAAAGCCTAGCATGGTGGATGATGCCCTGAACGGAGGGCGATGGTAAACAATAACAGGTCGTGAACAAACGGCGGATGGTTTCCATTTTTTTATTTCGTCGCGACTAGCGTTATCGAACCCTGGGCGGACAGACAAGGCTCGTTCGTTGCGCCGATCATCGTCGGGCTTCGTATCAGCAACTTGTAGTTAGCCTGGCTGGGGCTGTGCCAATATATCATTGGATCCATCCAACGCCCCATTCCCAACATGGCACGCTAAGATGAATTAGTTTGGGTCAAAAAAAGCATGTGGATACACCCCACCGTCTGGAGTAATGTGACAAACAGGAATCTGGGTCGTTTGTTGTTTCCCTTTGATCATGGCAGTGCTAGGATGATGGACGTCGGGAAATTCCCAAGTATTCTGTAAGGTTATTTGCAGGAAGTCAGAGAAGTTGAAGCTTGATTTCTCGTGAGCTCTTGGCGGCCATGTGTTTTGGCCTGGGGCTGCCACTGCTGCTGACATGATCCGGTTTATTTATAGCGAAATGGCCCCCGCCCCCTTCTTGACCTTCCATCGATCCACCCACCGCTGCTTCTCCATCAGTCTATCTCGATGGGTCATCGATCTCCATTTACGGTCAATCCCTTGAGGTAACGGTAATCACAGTCCGAATTGTGTGTTCAATATGGCCGACCCGGGAAACCATGGCCTCCCGGACTCTCCGTCCCTGAGCTCGCCGAAACAACCGGTGACGTGGGACCCGGCTCCCTTTACTTCTCTGGGCCACCTTCGAGTATCTTGGGAACCACCATCAGAGGCATCTCCACTTTTGCCTTCGTCTTCGCCACCTCATCGCTATTCCCGGCGCCCAACCGCCAGATCCCATCGACGGCGATGGTCGGTGGTGGGGTGTATCATCTTGCTAACCACGACTGTTCTCGCGATCCTCGTTCTAGCTTTTGCCCTCCCGGCGATCATCAAGGTGTATGCGCAACGAGCGACTGTATTCCACATCGAGTCCCTGACGTATGAGCCCTCGGGGCAGGACTGGTCGCGTGCACGAATCAAGGGTACTTTCTTCACCGACGCCGACCGGGTAAAAAGTTCATGGATTAGCGGAGTAGGCCGGCTTACCACCTGGGTTGCCAGCGAGGTGGAAACCCGTGAGGGTGATACGCTGGAGATCTATCAGCCAGTTCTTGGGCACATCGTTACGATCAACGCATCGCTCCCACGAATCCAGGTGAACGTTCGAAACGGCCATTCCACACACTTGAATTTTTTGTCAGATATCAAGCGTGTTTCAGATGGGGGTAGTCCGACGAGCCCGATTGACTGGGAAGAGCAGAAGGGCGGTGGGATTCTCGCCAAGGCTAACGTGCATCTCCGGTCCGGGTGGCTTGATATAGGGAGACAGGAGTTTTTCCTGACCGTGCAGTACAAGGGTAGGTTTTCAGGGCCTGGTGCCCAAGTAAATTCATTTTGACCATCTTGCAGGCGGCGAAATTTCTTCTTTGGTACAGGCGGAGGTTGCAGGGATCGAGATCCCCAGACCAAAGGATACTATAACCTGGGCTGGTGACGTGCATACATCCGTTGCGGTGGACCTTTCTCTGCCGTTCCCGTTTACCGTCCCCGTCGCACAGTACGATGTTCTGCTGCCGGGGTGTTCGATCGAGCCATATATACTAGCTGGGCAAGTTGGGACAACGACTGCCGTTGAGGTCCGCCCTGGCCGGCCTGCCAGGGTAGAGTTGGATGGTCACTTCTTCAAATTCCCGCATGGGCTGCGCAAGGCTTGCGGTGAAGGTTCGTTGGCCGGCACAATGGCGACCGGACATCGTCTTGATGGCTCTATGTCAGCGTACCTTCGTCGAGCCGGCCCGGGCGATTCAGTAGAGGGCTCTCTGACACTGGTATCCTTGAAGGGGGATGTATTGGACCCTGTCGTTTCGCATTTTGTTGACGGCCTCCATCCTAATGTGCACCGCGCGGAATCTGACACGTAGGCAATGGTTGAGCCTTCTTCCATACATGTATGATACCCCAGCCCGAGTATTAAAATATGGTCTCACACCAGCAGATTGCCTTACTCACCACATAACCTCGGCCAACGATGAGCAATTTGGGTGCCCTCTTAATTGAGTAATTTGATATCTGATTGTCCTTCTTGTTTCACCTTGTGATCTTCAATACTTAGCCAACTGCGGACGTAATACACCTTCTATCAGCCCTGACATAAGCACCTAAATCTCACACCTATTGGCAGGAAGGGAGTCAAAGAAACTCACTGTCCAAACACTCATCAAGCTGCGCCGTAGCGATTTCAGCGACCAGACATATTTGAAAGATTGCTGTGGCGTAGAGCACATGATGGAGCCATCAATGGACGTCGTCAACCTCTATTGAGAGCTGTCATGCGGGGAATTGTTTATCGAGCTGTTTGCCTGGTCAGCATTTCCCCGCACCCAGACGCGGTGCCTGGCCCAGTGGTCACTTGATACAACTCAGTGTCTGCCAGCTCCCTTACTTCATCAGTCCAACCCTTTTCTCTTTTTTCCTTACTTGATCTCTCTCTTGTCCCTTTAACTTGCCAATATACCTGGGAAGGGACATCGAACATCACACGCACAGAATGCCCCTCGCTACAGCATCCCTCAACGGAACCACACTGGCTGAAACTGATACATGGGAGACGGTGGAGGGGAACATTTACGTATATACCCAGACGCATACTGAAGAATTTAAGGAATCTGAAATCAAAAACTAAGAAGTGATTGAAAAATAGTTCCCTCCCGAATCCATCAAAGACAAGTCCCTGTTCGTACCAAGCGACATGACCACATATTGCCCTTGGAAAGGAGATGCCTCATACTACAACGTCGTGATCGGAGGTGAGAATTTCAAATCCAATGCGATTACATTGTGTTGGTGAAAGATTGGGTTTCGAACGAGAGGGCCGGAGATATACTAACTTCTCGAATATATAGATAAGAAAATCCGCGACGCCGCATGGTATTATGCTCGCCCATATGATGCCGCGATTAAGATCAAGAATCATATTGCATTTTGTGGGTACTCCTTTCAACATGCACTGAGTTAACGTGGAAGTACCACAGGCAGCGCTAACCTTTGATAGACAAGGACAAGGTCGATATCACATCTGCATGAAGATATGGCGTTGATGATCTCAGGATGAATTTGGCGCATTTGCAGCGATTGGATAATAAGGCAATGGACAAGCTTGATTGCATTGGTAATCCCGTATTGGCATCAGAAGTTTTGTTAGTTTATACCGAATGCTGGAATACATTGAGTTAGCCAAATATATCCTGACTATCAGTTACTGATAATTGATATCGAAGGAAACTAGCATCCTTTCCTTTTTGAAACCATTCGAATCTACGGGTATGAATACCATTGTTGGGACTCGTGAATAGTCTCACTAGTTGGAACTGATAGTCAAATCGACTTCAAAGAGTCAAACGACATGGTTCTACAGCGATCCCTTTTTCTCGATACAATTGCAATATCTAGGTAGCACACATCTCACAATGACCCAACTAAACAATCAATTCGATGTGTATCTTCAGAATATACGGGATCTCAAGCTAGTAGTTAACACATTGGCAATGGAATGTTTGGAATCATTCAGGCATCTACACATAGAGAATTGGCTTATCAGCTCTGGTCTCGGACCGGCCAAAAATATTGCGACAACTATAGCACCTGCAGGAAATATCATCCAGCGCAAGGTATAACTGTACCAAATACAGCGCAATATCTTGCCGACCAGTCCTCCAGGAAATGATCCCTCCGCGGTTGACAATGAGGCCATAGCGCCAGGTGAAAGAAGCAAGAGACCGTGTCAGTCACCACATAGGGTAGACAGCACAGGAAGGCTGAGATCACGTCTCTTTGGAGTAATGATCTTCACTCTACATTTGAGCAAAAGGTGGCAGTGCTCAAGGAGTGAAGAGCGCATTTAGTCACCCTCCTACATTTTTCAACCCCCCTCGTCGCTAACATCGTCTTCCTCCACCAAGGAGGTCTCTGGTCCCAATTCGTGATGCGAAGTACTTCATCTCGAAATGAGGTCGAGTACACTGAAGGGCCTGTCGTCTACGGATGAGAGCAGCCGTGGCAAGTCGCTTCCCTCCAGGTTGCACTCATTTTATAGAACCCGACTCTCTGGGTGGCGTGAAGGGGTTTTTTGGTCCGCCTTTACTGCTACTGTAGTATTTGTGCTAAACCTCACATTAATAATTTGGGCCGTGGCTAATGGTAGTTTGGAGGTATGTCTAAGACGCCAAAATCCAATACCGCAGGATGTTCACACTGCTTGTGTAGCTCGAAGAGGGAATCGGGGCAGTGAAAACAGGTCTGTGACACAATTGAGAAATATAGCGATGGTCTACACTTGGTCATCAATATACTCAGTACACTTCTCCTAAGTGCCAGTAACTACACACAGCAAAGACTGGTGTCTCCTACACGAGCCGAGGTGGATCAAGCCCATTTACGCGGTAAATCCCTGAACATCGGAGTCCCCAGCCTCCGCAATCTGCTTCATATATCACGAGTTCGGCTCATTCTATGCTTGGTACTGCTTGTCACTTCGCTTCCACTGCATATATTTTATAACTCGGTCATCTCCACTGCACTCGGCGCTTATCAGTATCGAGTTGTTCTCACTACGCCAGAACAACTCCAAGTTGGCAGCAATCCAAATTTCGCCTATATGCGAGACCATCTAACGAGCCACAAACGCCTAGAACCTCTTGAATGTCTGGAAAGCTATCCGGTAGAGCATACTATGAACCGAGCGGACGTCATTGTTGTACTAGAAGACTATACTTCTCACGAATTCCTCGAGAAGAACTTTTCACAAGTTATAGAATCTGGCAATGGAGGATACGGGGGCGACTATAGCTGGCAATGTTGCTTCCCCCTTCTTGAGTATATGAACGACCAGTGTAAGCCGTGCTTGGACTGGTCCTTGGAAAAAGTAGATCCTGCAAATTGGACTATTTTTGTACCCGACGTTCCTGACGTTCCTGAAGGCAGAGTGAAAGTCTCCCATTGCTTGAGCCGACCTGCCCCTCCGCAATGCAACCTGCTTATGAGCTACTATTTTATGGCGGTGGTAATATTCTGCAACCTAGTCAAAGCAATTTGCATGGTAGTCGTTTTCATAAGAGACAGCCGTAGGGACACGCTTGTCACGTTAGGGGGTTAGTGAACGAAACCCAGCCCCCACCCCCCATCTTTCTGCTACAATTCCAACTCACATTTTCTAGATGCCATTGCTAGCTTCTTGGAAGACCCCGATCCAGAAACTATACACGCGTCTGGTCTGTTTAACAAACGTGAAAAGCAGCGCAAGCTCCGACATAACTGCTTGTACCAGTCAATGAGCAAGGCGCGGCGCACGTGGTTCCTAACAGTGTGAGCAATAATTTTCTCCTACTTCTGCAAATTGCGCGCTCATAATTCATTCAAAAAATAGGTGGCTGACTGTCCTTGTGATCGCGATTGGCGGAGTACTGAGTGTAGTATTTATGCTGACAGGGCTACAACGTCTTGGTCTGAGTTCCTTCGAGAACCTTGAAGAGAGGAACTCAGATGCTATGTGGAGTACCATAGGATTTGGGGGGAGTGAGACGTACAACCGTTACCCAGTTATTCCGATGCTCCTACTAGCAAACACCCCACAGCTTGTGTTGTCGCTGCTCTATCTTTTGTGAGAACCCCCCGGCTGAATAGTGATAGACACATAGGCTATAGAGCACTAACATGTGTCGATATAGGTATAACAGCACCATTACGAGCATGTTACTAAGTAGGGAATGGAACCAGATAGGACACAGACGTAAAAGTCTGCGGGTCACAGTTCCCAGCGGCGAGCAACGCTCGACTTACTATCTATCGATGTCCCTGGTAAATACTTCTCTACTGGAGCGATGAGACGACTAAAAAGCAGCGAGAAAAGAAGAGCGAGAAACAACAAAAGAGGGGGGGAAAACAGATGAGATTGACGAGATGGAAGCTAACGCTCATCGACCCCTAGAAATGGGCCTTTCCCCTGATGGCCATATCGGCTCTTCTGCACTGGCTTCTCTCCCAGTCAATATACCCGGTAATGACATACGGCTACGAGCTCAACCCTGATGGGACTCCAGTCCGCCTAAAAGATCAAACGGTCACGAGCTGCTCTTATTCCACAGGCGCGATGATACTAGTTGTAGCAACTCTAATCATCGCTACAATCCTCTTCGTGGTTATGGCAAGACGCCGCTTGAAACCTGAGATGCCGGTGCTTGCGGTGTCGAGCTGGGTCGTTTCAGCCGCCTGCCATTCGCCCGAGGGGGACACGGATGCTGCTGTTAAGGCCGTGCAGTGGGGGGTGCCTGTGTCGCCGATGGCGCAGGAGACTGGAATAGAAGGACCGGAAGAGGATGGTGTGAGACGGTGTTGTATTACGAGTTGGGAGGTGGAGAGTTGATGCCATGTTGGTTGTTATAGTGAATAATGGGATGATGTGTATGGGTTGTAGATCTTGTATTGTGTGCTTGACATACGTAGCGTGTGAGCACGAAGATGCAGGCTTGTGGGCTCCCCAGATGAAGGATTAACAGCGCAGTACAAAAACGCTACGGGGTCATGGCTGGGGTTTCGAACAGCGGCCAGCGGGCCGGGAAATACGGATAGTTGTCTCTCTCATACCCACGAGTCAGCCTAATGGTTGGAAGATGGCTTCTCTTCGCTGCAAAGTTATCACAAATTAAGTAGTAGGTAGCCTGTCATGAAAATTTCAAATATCACCCAACCCCTGACCGCTGCAGGTTGTTTAAAGTGGAAGAGCATGATTCCATAATTATCAGCCCTAGATTACCTAAATAGGCAGTTGTTGTATGTAGTGTCACGTGTCGGGAGGATCAAATGGCCTCATCCAACTCAACCTCTTATCCATCCTGCGCCCTCTCATACTCGGACCATTCATCCGTTGCATCTTCCAAAGATATCAGTCATTTTCGCCTGATGAAACGTACCCCAAAAACGCGACGGGAATGTATGGCTGACGGACACATAACCCACCAATGTGATTCACAATGTCTGCGTTTCCCAGCACCCATAAGATTTGGTTAAGCATAATACTGGTACCATACCTTTCCATATCTGGTATACAACACGCCATTATATTGATCTCAAGCTCACCTCATAGAACACTTCGCTTAAAGAAACTAAATCGAGCCACGGACGATCCCCATCAAACCGAATCCTCCAATAAAGAGGCATCCCGAGTTGTTATCTACATCCATCAATCGCCTCTAAGGAAGATACTAGACGCAAGACCCCCGGACCTGACTTCTTTCCTAGGGCGTGTGTCAATTCCCCGCGGCAGCAGCCACCCCGTATCAACCCAGATAACGCCAGCTTGGCTAGGCCAAGCTGTCATGGACAATTAGTCCGCCGTTCTACTGATAAGGGTTCGGAAGAAGCCGCACGTTTCCGCAATAGGAGTCGGCCCCACCCTCCCGCCTGTCCATACATTGGACAGACCGAATAGTACTATGATTCCTTTTTAGGCATGCGATTGGAACGGAAGGGTGTTAGTGAAAAATGGACTATTTCCAGCCGCTATGTCTTGATATATCTGTTGAGAGAGATAACAAGGTCTGATAAGCGGTTCCGACGCTCAGATACGAGTCAGAGGGTAGTATCTTCTGATATCAACATGGGCTGTTAGTGAGAGGGCTGAATTTACGTAAAGTCCGCGGGCATGAGTTAGCATAGTATCAATTGCGATAGCGGGTCTTTTGGGGTAGCCCGAGATCCGATATGGGCCAGGATCAGTCTGTCCGATTGGGGTAGAATATTGGTAAGTATGAGGCTCGGAGATATACAAGGTCTAAGCGTGCTTGTCGTTTGGGTATAAAGGGGACGAGAGGGAACAGTCGAATGTTTGCCACGAGGTCTGGACTGGGTTATTCTTTTATTAGTGACGTTTGAGCCTCGCCCTTCTTGCATTTTTGCCATGGCACCCCCCTCGAGATACATACAACTCTTCCTCTATTCCCTGGGTCTCGCCCAGACCAGTGCTGCTGGCCTTATCCGTGAACAGGCTGAATTACTGCACTTTCGTCTTCCGTCGGATGTCACAACCGACTCCCTGCACAATGTCCACGTGGACTTCGTTGAGGAGTCTTTCGAGGGCGATGTCCAGCTTGTGTATGGCGACTGCAACATTGTGAGCCCTGCAGAGGCGCATCATGACATCGGCACCATATTGGTCAAGCGCGACGCCCGTCTAGAGCGGTTTGTGTGGATTACCCCCTCTGACGCACCTCATCTATACTGCCTCCATGCGTTTTCAGGTCCATCTCTGCTGGGCCGGTCAAAACCAATTAGCGTGGTAGCTCCTGTCTCGAAGCGAGCCAGCATTGCGGACGTGGCAGATGCAGAGGGCCCATGGTTCGATGGAGTAGCTTATATGAAAGCCAAAGAACCCGGTAAATCAGTTGTGGCAAACGCAAAGAAAGCGTCAGTTGCCATCGTTGGTGGTGGTATGGCTGGACTGATGACGAGTCTTTTGCTTGAGTCGGTTGGAATTCACGACTGGCATATAATCGAGTCGTCGGGACGTGTCGGGGGTCGCATCCGGACAAAGTATCTCAACCACACCCAGCCAGATGAGTATCAGTACCAGGAAATGGGGCCAATGCGATTCCCTGTCAGCATCACGTATCCGGACACGAATGAGACGCTCCAAATTCAGGACCACCGAATGGTCTTCCAATTGGCGAATACCGTGAACAAGCTGAACAATGGCAAATCGGACCTTAAGGTCAACTTCATCCCTTTCATACAACAGGGAAAGAATGTTCCAGCGTCATCGGGAGGAAACCGTCTGCCGAACGGTCGCATCCCAACCGCTGCGGACGTGTCGGCCCACCCTTCGCTCGTGTACACGCCAAAATCATCCAACGAAACGGCAGTGAAAGACGCAGAGGGCCAATTCTCCGAGTTCACCAATTCCGATGAGAGAGAGACTATGCGGCAACTCACAAAGAATATGTACAAGGCACACAAGGCCGCCGTGGAGAACGGCATGTTCCACTGGTCCGAGACCGCGTATTTGCGCCACGCACTAGGATTCGACAGCAATATCACCGACTACGTCGCGGGGGCAGACGATGGCCCAATTTGGCACAGTTTGTATGACGCGGCATATTTCGCTGCAACGGAATGGCGCACAATCGACCAAGGTCTGGAGTCACTCCCACGCGCCATCTACCCACTCGTCGCGAACCGCACGACATTGAACCAAAAAGTGGAAGGCCTGTCGTATGACGAGGCATCCGGCAAGATAGCCGTGCAAACGCGCAACGACCCGTTCCAGACGATCCCGGAAAGCAAAGAGTACGACTACGCAGTGGTGGCGGCGCCCTTCAGCAAGGTCCGGCTCTGGGAACTGCCGCGGTACTCGTCCCTGCTCAGTCGGGCGATTTCGACCATGAACTACGACCAATCTTGCAAGGTGGCGCTGCAGTATGAGACACGGTTCTGGGAGCACCAGGAGAAACCGATTTTCGGCGGCTGTGGATCCGTCGACGTTCCTGGCGTCGGTAACGTCTGTTATCCGTCCTACAACCTTAACGGAACCGGCCCTGGCGTGGTCCTCGCGTCTTATATCAGTGGCACGCTGGCGCGGTCTACCGCAGCGCTGAGCACCGAGGACCACGTTGCGATGGTGCAGCGCTCCATGGTGGAGATTCATGGCCCAATTGCAGCTGAGCAGTTTACCGGTATGTGTAATTTCCTATGTCGCTCGTCACACTTGTAGCTAATCACATTTTCCTAGGCATCTTTGAACGACAGTGCTGGGAGGTTGACGAGCACCAGGCCGGTGCGTGGGCTAGCCCTCTTGTGGGCCAGCAGGAGCTGTATCTTCCAGCTTACTATCAAACGGAGTTCAAGACCATATTTATCGGCGAGCACACAAGCTACACTCATGCGTGGATCTTTTCTGCGCTCGACTCTGCTGTGCGTGGGACGACGCAGCTGTTGCTGGACTTGGGGCTGGTGGATGAGGCTAAGAGCGTGGTGAATGAGTGGATGGGGCGGTGGATCAAGTTATAACGAAGTAATTGCTGGGTGTCTCTGGGTTTACCGACCGGGCAGCGTATCTAGGAGAAGAGTATATTAGTGTTAATGTTTATATAAGGTAATGCACGTTTCCATCCCAACTCATGATCTAATTAGAGAGATATAATCCGTTTGCTAGAATATTTTCCATGTCTTCATACCAGCACAAGGTATATACTAGGGCCCATCGACAAGTTTCGAAAAGTAGGAAACACCAGTCAAGTGCAAACAGCCCCATACTATCTCCATGTTTTGAATATCTCAACAATTGTACATACTGATCTCCTAGAACGGACAGTATGGGGTTTCACAAAGAGGCAAGAGCTGGGTTCCTCCCTTCTTGCCCTTCCGGTACATATAAAAGACTCAATTTTATTCTTGCCAGGGGGTACTGCTGCTCATTCACTCTTCTACATCACTCAATTCACTCCAGTCCCCAATTTATCACCACTTGTGCTGTATCTTTGTGTCTGACTTCATTGAAAATGATCATGTACCTCGTTTATCTCGTACTTTCCCTCGCGCTTCAGAAATGTGCAGCTGCACACCCTGGAACCCTAGGAACCGACCGCCAAATCCAACACTTCGACTCTTATCTGCTGGACTCCAACAGCACCTATGTAAACGCGGCTAATGTCTCTCACTACCAAGTCTCCGCAGAACCAGGCTTGGGTGATACTGGCCACAAGAAAATAGCCTTGAAGATTGCCCAGAACACTGTGCCAAGTGGCGCTTTTCGTGTGCTCAATGACTATTATGTTGGCAACAATGGCGTTGCCCACGTCCATTTCAAGCAGACAATCCTCGGCATAGACATCGATAATACGCATGTCAATGTCAATGTGAGTCCAACCTTATAAAGCAAAAGGTGCCCAGACGGCTAATATGAGAAGATCGGACGAGGTGGAAAGTTGCTCTCCTACGGGTATACGTGCTACTACGGCCCAACACCGACGCCCTATGCTTTGAGAAATGGTAGTCATATTGACCCTGTCAGTGCGCTGAAAGCGGTATCGGATATCTTGAACCTCTCTGTGCATAGTAGCTCCGTGTCGGCGCATCCTGAAGATCGGACTGAAGTTCTTGTATTCAAGAACACTGTTGGAACTGTTGCTGAACCGACTGCCAGGCTGACGTACTTTATGCTGCCTGATATGAGCCTCGTACTGACATGGAGAATTGAGATCAACATGGGTCATGATTGGCTTGTGACATATGTCGACGCAATCACTGGAAACACAGTCTATGGAGTTGTCAACTATGTGGCCGGTGCAACTTACCAGGTCTAGTAAGTACACCTGCCATCCAAATTCATAGCGGATAACGCTCATCTGCCTGTCATCAGTCGGTGGGGTCTGAACGATCCCACAGAAGGGAATCGGACGATATTGAAAAATCCGTGGGACACGGCAGCTTCCCGATACACCTGGATCAGCGATGGGAAGCGGAACTATAGCACAACCTGGGGAAATAATGCCATTGCGCATTATAATCCGACGGGAAACGCGTCCTACCTTGGCCTTTACCGTCCGAGTAGTCTCTCGCTCAACTTTGTGTACCCTTATTCCCCGAACCAGTCACAACCAGATCATACATTGACGCAGCAATCACACAAGTGTTCTACACCGTGAATACCTACCATGACCTTTTATACTTACTTGGTTTCACAGAAGCTGCAGGAAACTTCCAAGCAAATAACCAAGGCCGGGGCGGAAAAGAGAATGACTATGTCATTCTTAATGTGCAAAACGGCGTGGGTAAAAATAATGCCGCATTCTCGAGCCCGCCAGATGGACAGCCAGGGACGATGCAATTGTATATGGGGGACTCGAGCCTAATTCCACGAGACTCGGCCTTTGATGCTGGGATTGTCATTCACGAGTACACGCATGGTGGTATATGAGCCCCCCCCCCCCCCCAAACCACACACCCGGCTGTGTCAACATTTCATCAAAATCAAAGCCTAACAATAATGCAGTTTCCCACCGTCTAACTGGTGGCCCGGATGAAGGTGTCTGTCTCGGAACAAAAGAGTCCCGCGGGATGGGCGAGGGATGGGGCGATTTTATGAGCATTGTGGTCCGTTTGAAGCCGGAGGACCACCGCAACACATCTTACCCCATGAGCCCGTGGCCGACTGACAAGCCTGAAGGCATACGCCTCTACCCTTACTCGACGCGTCTCGAGATTAACCCTCTAAACTACACTAGTCTGAACGATATGGGAGCTGTTCACCAAATTGGGACTGTGTGGGCGACAATGCTTAACGAGGTCTTATGGAACCTTATTGATGAGCACGGCCAGAACAGTGACTCCAAGCCGACACTCATTGACGACGTTCCAACCGACGGCAGATACCTTGCCATGAAGCTAGTCCTGGATGCTATGGCCCTGTGAGAAACATCTTCGATCAGGTTGTGGAGAGTTTTGGCATGACCAGGCTAACGTGGATTCCTTTGCAGACAGCCATGCTGGCCTACCTTCCTCCAGGCCCGAGATGCCATCCTGGACGTCGATCTAGTTCTAACGGGTGGCAAGAACACATGTGCGATCTGGACTGCCTTTGCGAAACGTGGTCTCGGGTTGGGAGCTAGCTCTGACCTGGGATTCTACCACAATGCCAGCTACACCGTCCCTGTAACTGCTTGCAGCTAATATGCTTCGGGTATCTGGTTGTGGATATTCTGTATACGGCCCACAACCATCATGGTAGGTTTCGCGGGGCCGTTGGAATGCTGAGCCGAGGGAGTGGAGAGCATTCGACTAAGGAACGTGCCGCCAGGTATTGTTTTTGTGTATTTGATAAAGATACAGCACAATTAGTAGTAAATCACTACATCACTTCTCTACCAATTATGGTTGCCTCAAATAGATCTCCGAACATGCTGTCCATGGATGCAGCAGATGAGCTGAATCGTAGGATCCATGGAACATGATATCATTATCCGCTTTATCATGCCTCGTAACCCTTATAATTGGCCACTGCTTCTCGTCGAGCCAGACTAGCATGACGCTATATTGAACCAAGTCTCCACAGTAACCAGCGATCCTTCCCAATATAAACTAACCCCTGGGTCCTGAATCAGATCTCACCCCACGCAGCCCACGACATCCACAACTCAGGACGAAATTACATCACGTCCTCAGGGGGCGATAGCCCTGTGGGGAAAGGAGGGGTCGGGAGAGAGACGAGTTATAAAAAGACACCAGTCCCCTTGGTGATATAAGTTTCTTCGATTTATACAAATCATTCCACTCATTCCACATATATAATTTTATCTACATTCTACTACAATACCCCAACGCAACAATGGACAAGCTCGCAGCTAAGTTCGGTCATGGCGATAGCAGCAACAACGAGTCGTCGAGCAGCGCCCCGAAGCAGGATTATGGTGACAAGGGTAAGTTTACCTTGACCTTCCCACCTCATTTGATTCAATCCATTGCATTCTTTTCCCATCTTATCGTTCTTCTGCCGCGAGATGATGCCTCCTTCCATGGTTAAGGATATGTTGGTTAACGCGTTCATACAACAACAGCTCTCAACAACCTCGAGGAGAAGTACGGCGGTGGCATGATCGACCCCGAGAACGACAAGGTGCGCCAGATCAACGAGAAGATCACGGACGGTCTGCGCGACAAGTTTGAGGAGAGAACTGGGTCAGTGCATTCTTTCTGTTGTACATCTTGTACTTGCCACATATGACTGGACCTGAAGTCGTTCCCTTGCAAGGATAAGTTACTAATTCGAATGTGCTTTGTTTAGCTACGACGTCCCTGAGAAGTTCTCGAACTAGATTGTGTGAGCGGTTATGACTTGATATGATTAGGATAGGCAGCAGTATGACGGAATACCTGTTTGATATGTTATGATGTTTATTAGAATATATCTCAGCCACTGTACCAAATGCTGAACGGCATTTTGTTCGGACTTGATATGACTGATATCCCAACAATATATAAATTGATTGTATCTGTGTTTTGTAAAGAGTGATTGCGAGGGAGCAATCACTCAATCTGATTATTACTGTGCAGATTTTGTAGACTTCTATCTACGTATGTGCAGGCCGAGGCCAAACCCAGATAAGATATGAAGAAATGCTACTTTTCACTTCCCTCCACCCCCTCGAACAAGGGGGCCAGGATCGTGTTATTGATCCAGCACCTGTCGCGTTCCAGTCCTTTGGTCATGAGGTTCCAGGCAAATTTCACTAGTCCTTCCACATCCCGGGTCTTGCTCGGCGACGACGGCGGAGGCGAGCACCACCACGGCCACAAGAATAGCCAGGCTCCCACTGCAGCGACAATGCAGAAGGCCGAATCCTCACTGCGGACCGGGTAGCTGTGCAGGACGCCATCCAGCACGCGCACCGCAACCTCTGTATGACAGAGGCGTTCCACCGAGATCAGGCCCGCCAGGAGCACTCCCAGGTCGTGTTGTCGAGGCCCGTAGTCGCATGCCTCCCAATCAATAATCCCCAGCAGGACGTCGGACGAGTCGGCCGAAACGACGATACTGTAATGCGGTGAGAAAGCGGCTAGGGATATAGCCCTGTTTATTGTGGCTTCACGTACTTCGAAATGTTCATGTCCCCATGTCTCAGTGCCATTCCATCTTCCTCAACCATCATGAAGGCTGCATCTGTTCGCGCACGAATGATCTTTGCTTCCACTCCCTTGAACAGGTGAGGAAAATCCTGAGCTTGCTGCTCCACCACGGTATGCATCATAGGGAACATGTCGTCTCTTAGCCAGCTATTCTCTCCCAATGCTTTGGCAAGCACGGGGTCGTAGCGGTCACAGCCGGAGTGATGAAATTTGAACAGCCACTTGCCCAAAGCGTGACCCACGGCTGTGGCCTGTTGGGCGCTTAGCCACGTCTCGGGATAGTGGAGTAGATCCTTCAATGTTCGCGTGCTGGGTAGCTCTTCCATGATCTGCAAGTGACTGTCGTCTCGTAGGAGAGTGCCGTAATGGCGTGGAGTTCGCACTCGAACATTTTCGTGGAAGCTTACCACTTGTTCCTTGGATACAGAACGCAATATCAGTTCTTCGGCGAGCTACAGGTGATCTAGTCAATACCAATCTGAAGGATATGACAAAGGAGCTGGGGGCGGCTACACATCGATGCAGTGGACAAGCTATGGTCTGAACCGCGGCCATGAACCCACGGCTTTCCTTGAGAATAATACTTCGGGTCCCGTCTTTGAGAGGGTGCTTGAGGTCTCCCCTGAAGGTCAGGTTAACACTTCCTCCGTAGACCTGCTCTACCACAGCGCATGAATAATCTGTATCTAGTAGCCAAGACTGAATATAAAGTGGTAGATTGATCTCTTGAGCCGCCATTTCAGGGGATTTGGAAGAAGCGAGTGTCTTCCTAGAAGTTAATGTCTGGAGGTTGAACTCCAGAAGAGCACCTTTCCACCTCTCCATGTATTCAAGAGAATTTCAGAAATGCAGACCGCCCCTCCTCCATCCCCCTTCTTGGTGGATCTGCGCTGTCATAGGGATAAAAGCTCACACACACGAGGCTTGCTCTCAAGCAAGCAGCAAGGGGATGCCCTGTCGTGACCGCCTTTTCAACGAGGCAGTTGAGGCTCGCTAACTTGATTGTTTGCTTTCAGACCTGTAGATTGCGCGACGACTAACAGGTGGCTTTAGCGAATCTTGTTCAGGGTACTAAGCCTGGATGCGGAAGATACTGGCTGACAGACAGTGTTCGTTTACAGTAAGGCTCTCCAATCAATGTACAAGTTATATGAAAGGGGATTGCATAGCGGTTTTGCCCTTCCTCCGAAGTTGCGGTCAGGACTGGGAGGGGAGAAACAAGGTTTATATGATACATCTTCTCAAGACCGCTACGTCAAATAAATTGACCAACGTTGGGTATAGGGCTTAATCTGACTGACATCCCAACACATCTACTGGCTGACGGGACGACTAGTCGGATTTGATAATCCTAGTTGTTCCTATAACGGCTGATATCACTAATCGCAGAGCCACGCAGATGCCCGTCTCTACACATCTTCTTTGTATTCCTTTAGACATGCAGACACCTGTCTCTATTTATCTTCTTCTTTGTATTCTTTCAATCACATAGACACCTGCTTCTACGGAGTACATGTCCTCTCCTTTATATTGCCTGAAATATATATATCTATTTTTATAGATGTTTCCTTTGTATTAACTTAAATCTAAAGATGGCTGGTTGAAAACATATTCTTTTTATATTCTTTCAATTATATATATATCTACCTTTATATTTCTTTATTTTCTATTTGTATTTTTCCAAATATGTAGACATCTGTTGTTGTATACTTTTTTCCCTATATTCCTTTGATTACACAGACACCTGTCTTTGTATGTTTTCTAAGAATGGGATTGTTAGTTTGACTCTAACCGCTGCGTTGCAAAATGGCTGGCATGACATCCGAGTCAATGCTTTGTCCCCCAGGGGAACAGCGACCGACTTTACCATGTCCACACTGAAAACCTTGGAGTTGATTGAAAAAGAAGTGGCGACCAGCACAACGTACTAAGACAATTCGCACAGCCGGGGGAGATCGCCCATGCAGCTCTCTGGTTGGCCTCCGGGGCCCCGTCCTATGCCATTGGGGCCCCAATCCCGGTGGATGCTGGGTATAATCCTGGCTAGAATAAAGCATTGTTCCTTTGGCTACATGGTAGCTTTTTACCAGGGCCTGTGAATCCATTTGGACTGTCGTCGTCACTGGCTTACAAGTCTTCGCAACTTCTGGCAAACCCTGTCCGCACTGTCAAATTGAACGCCGTAGATGCCCAGATCACATGCTGCCTGAACATTCACCATCTTATCGTCCACAAAGATGACCTCATCTGCCGAGACCCCAATGGCTGTCAGAACGTGTTGATAAAAGGAGACATCCGGTTTTCGGTGTCCCTCGTAGCCCGAGGCGAAGATACGGTCAAACAGATCCCAGGAATAGTCAAGGGTCCGAAGATAGTCAAAGTGAATCCTCGGGATGTTGGACATAGCATATACTCGCACGCCCCGAGTCCTGAGATCTCGAAGGAAGGCCGTCATTGTGATGTTGAAGGCGAGCGACTGGGATGCCTGGGTGAAGGCGTCGGCAATCACCAGCGGCTCAACAGAGAATTGCTCGCCCAGCCGCCGGTAGCATTCATCGGGTGTGATCGTCCCTCGCTCAAAATCGAGCCACGGATTGGTTTGCGTCATGGCCTTCAGCGTCGATCCCGGGATTTTTGTCGTCGTATTGGCCGTCCATGTCAAGAGAACATCCCCGATATCAAAGATGACAGCTTTGAACGGGCCCATTGAGTGTGGTACTTGAGCGTGATCTGCTAGACTATTGGCATTAGACTAAAGAGTTGATTGACGCTGAGTCGACGCCCTGTTGGCGATTGTTGGAATGCTATGATAATTGAACCATGGGAAGATCAGAGGGGAATTCCCGGGTTCTATCTGTTTCTCAGCCTATTTATTTATTTCTTTTTCTATTGCCAGGATTCAATTTTTTTTTTTTTTTCTGTGGATTACTTTCTTTACATAAATATGTATCTATCTATTTTGACCTTGCTCTTCTCCGCGGCCCGCTTGTAATTTGACTACACGCTGTTGGAGCAAGTATTTGCAGGGACTTGCGCAAGCCATCCAGCTATTGGTTTTAAATAGCCACAGGTGGCTAGCTAAGAGGATTCAGTGATGTACTGTGTCCTTCCCACTTTTCAAGATTGGTCATATATGTGATATCAAATTCAGAGGGTTGCCTTTACATGCATACATACATACATGTCTAGTCCCTTTGATAGTGCGTGACTCGGAGAGTCGGCGTGACTGCAAGAATGAACGCTTTTTGCATGATCGTCTATACCAGGGAAAGAGCGTATAGGAAAGCTTCGATATTGCAGATAATAGTTGTAATCTTACCAATTATGGCAATCTGAAGTGCGCGAGACCCGTGGTGGTCGGGCGAAACCCCTTGCATCACAAGATTTGGGGTCTTCATGTGCTTAATCACCCCAAAGAAAACCGATCACATGCAGGCAGGGAAAAAGGAGAAGAGTAAAAAACATACAAAAAGAAGAAAAGATTGCGAATCTGTTTTCTCGGCTCGTAGTGAGCAGTACACCTCACATTCAGTACCCGAAAACGTTGTTCGTAGACGAGTTGACAGACAGTTCATCTTCAAGTCCCGGCAGCATGGTATCACCAACAACAAGCCAGTTCAATAGGTAATCTTGGATGAATAATTTGCATATAGTGACAGCGCTCCAGGGTATTGTCTTATCGGTGCGTTTGAAACCCTCGCGCGGCTCCTGCCAAGATCAACGGGCACTGATCATCGTGTAGGGCATACTGGCGATTATCACCAAGGTCATCCCAAGCTTCCTGGATCGATCCAGTGGGCTTCATCGCCATTCTCCCTGGCCCGTGCTCAAATGGACAGCCAGTATCACGGATTTATCAAGCCGGCTCATGACCATTACGGCAGCATTGTTCGAGTGAGCCCGAATGAGCTGTCTCAAAAATTCGACCCTCCACGAATGGGTCCAGTTCGTGCCGGATTACTTCTTTGCCGCGACTCTGCTGCATGTTATCCATCGCTTCCATTCTCTCAATCGCGCACTGGCTTGTCTACTACCCCAATCTCTACTAGAAAAGCACAAAGCCCATTCGGAATTGGCAATAACCAAAGTGCGTCGGCGGCTACAAACAAATACTGCTCGCCCGGACTTCATCCACCATATGATGAAAGCGGCGGATGCAGATACCATCTCAAAGGAGCAACTGGAGAAGCAAGCCTCTATCCTGATTCTCGCTGGGAGCGAGACCACCTCAGTCGCCCTTACCTTTGTGACATTCCACTTGATCCAGCACAAGGACAAATTCACCAGGCTGAGGAGCGAGCTAGGGGTGGTCTTTACTAATGAAAGCGATATCGATATCGTGTCCGCAAATGAACTACCTTACCTTCACGCGGTGATCTAAGAAACGCTGCGTCTCTGTCTGATTTTCACTAACGGATTTCCTCGCCAAGCCCAATTAGAGGGCGCCGTAGTCGACGGCCATGCTATTCCAGGTGAGGTAAGTCCGGGCCAGGTCGCATTTTCCGGCCTCCGAGAAGCGATTCCTAGCAGAGTCTACAGACAGCTGTTAACATTATTCATTGGGCGGCCTACCGCTACGTGAGTTCCTCCCCGAGCGGTGGATGGCGGATGGCGAGTACAAAAATGACCCAAGGTGCCTTTCAGCCCTTCTCCGTCGGCCGTATGTCCCGCTTTCTGGTAGTGGTGGGATGTTGTTTCATTTCATTGACTGACAGACGGCTAGGTTTGCCTACGGCATCATGGAGCTGGTCCTTGCTCGGATGATGTGGCTGTTCGATGTCAGCCTTCCCCCAATTAGTGGAATGTGGGACCGCCATCAGTCAACGTACGTATCCTAGCACCAGCCACCCCTCATGGTAGACATCACGCTTGTTCGGGGAAATATCCGCGCAAAAATAGTATGTGTGGAAGAGACTCATAGATTCTTTGCGTCAAACTGAAAAAGTGTGGGCAATGTTGCAGGGCAAGTGACGCAAGAACACAAGGTTTCATGAATGCATCGCATAGGTATTGTGGATCTACTTGAGTCTGGCCAAGCAGCTCTACAGAGGTTCATCCGCAGAGTAGAAACGGAATATGCAATGTAAGGGAGCTATGAGGCTTTACAGTGCGTAGCGGAGGCCCAAAGTCAACACGATACGTAATCCTCATAGGTTCTTCGGCGTTTTACTTTCGAATTTTGTACTATGGATTTGGGATGGTGGCGTTTCACCGACGTTATCCTTGCTACTCAATACTATGCCACCTGCCTCTAATACCTGCATGTCTCATAGTTCTAGCGGGAGATCTTACTCACCCTTATTGGCAGGTGCATTGCAGATATGATGCTGCATATGCAGCCCTTCCATATCACGGAACAGTCTCTCAACAGACACGGTAAGCTTCTCGGCAAAGAGTTCAAGTAGCCTTTACAAATGACAGTGACCCTAGCCAATGCTGATGGTCATAAGCTTCCCTCTGATAGAAAAGTCATCTTTAAACTGCTACTACGATCCGCCATGGAACGTCTGGAGCCTCCGTACGCCGGCATCGTAGTCGAGCTTCGAGATATTGTTTTCCATTCTTCCCCTGAAAATTTCGGTCTCCCCCCTAATACCTTCAAGTCGATTTTGCACTGTGGAGCCACTGCCGACTACCAGTGTGGCCGGCTGACTCGGCCAGCCTACTATGCGCGGCTGGCAACCGACTTCGAGCTCTCCGAGGACGATATTCGCGAGGCGTTCTCAATTCTTCAAAGTACTGTCCACGTGCGAGACTCGGTTCTCCAGAGTCTGCGAGCTATCAAGGATGCGTGGCATGGAAAGGTCAAGATATTTGCTCTGACAAATATGTCTGACGAAGACTATCAGTACGCCCGACAGCTCCTATCAGACTGGTCTATATTTGACAGAGTCTTCCTATCCGCGGAGATGGGCATGCGCAAGCCGGAGCAGCGGACCTTCTTCCATGTTTTTAGCAACATCAACATTTCTCCAGAGAGGCTCGTGTTTGCAGATGGTGACACTGACTCTGTCCTGGTGGCCATGTCACTGGGAGCAAGAGGAGCCCTTTGTGACAGCACTTCCATTGGGCAGAGTCTGTCAAATCTCTTTGGCGATCCCATCTGCAGAGGAAAACAATTTCTACAGAATCGAGCCGGTCGATTGGACTCGGTCACTCATTCGGGGATTGTCCTGAAGGAGAACTTTGCGCAGCTTCTTATTCTAGAGGCTTCCAGTGATAGGTAACTAAGTGTTCCTCGTCTCCCCCTTCACTCGGGCCTAACGATCTCGGCAGAGATCTCATATACTTGGATCCTCACAAGACAACGTGGAACTACTTCATCGGTAGGTAGTGACGCCAAGTTCTTTGTGCAGATTGGACTGACCACAATACAGGAACACCACTACTCACTCAGACCAAGTTTCCAGACGATGCAGACACGACCTCCCTTGCCCTAACCATCCTGGGCGCGGACCCGGCAGTCCCCAATGGTGTGATGGACGAGATCTTGCGTTTCCGCAGCCAGGATGGCATTGTGCAGGTACTTTTCCAGACTCAAATAGACGGATCCCACTGCTGTCGCTAAGAAGAAAAACTCCGCTGAGCAGACATTTTTCACGGATTTCAAAAACAGGGTGGACCCGGTCGTCTGCTGCAATGTCCTAAGCCTCTTCTTCGACTACGGTCGGGGAGACGAAGTCAAGGAAACGCTGCTCTGGGTACGCCAGGTCCTTCTCCAGCGAGCCTACCTAAACGGCACAGCATTCTACCCCATGCCCGAAGCATTCTTGTTTTTCTTTGAGCGTCTGACGCAGCGTCTCGCCCATATACCGCGTCTCCACGCCAAGCTGCGGGATCTCCTTCGCCAGCGGGTGAGGGAACGGATTGGCATCCCCGTGGACTCGATCAGCCTCGCGATGCGCCTGATAACATGCCAGGCTGTCGGAATTCACGACCACAATGGCCTGGCGCTCTTGCGATCGAAACAGCTCGAGGACGGTGGCTGGGAACTCGGCACCGTTTACCATTACGCTTCCAAGAAACTACGCATCGGGAACCGAGGACTCTCGACCGCGTTGGCCATTCGCGCATTTGAGGGATTTCAAGACTGTGACCAGTCACATCGCTGTTCTGCTGATCACTGCCAAGTACAGGCCTTAGGCCCTACCAGTAGTTATCCGGCTCTGACTTGGGCCTTGCAGGAGTCCCCGGGCCAGATATTGCGGACATCGAGACTGTCTGGTGAAGTCCCACCTACGATGCGCCGTCTTATTCTTGGTTCGCTCTCCATCGGGGTCAGCCTTTCTACTTTGGCGCTGGGCCTCCGTTGGCTGCGAGGAACTGTATCCTGGTTACGTCGGTGATCGCGTTTTTCTAGGTTTTCTAGTTTTCTCTAGTTGTTTTTTTTTTTTTTTTTGCTCAAACCCTAGTCTATTACCAGTGTATACTAATAATTCCTAAATTGGAAATGAGCCATCATTCAAAGACAAGCCACCCTCGCCTTCATTCTTGGATATAACTGCAATCTATTACCACGTTTGAATTGCATCGTACCGAAATCCTGAAATTTTTCTCAATACCCACTGTAGAACATGAAGCCCCATCCTGTCATGCATGTAAACATGTCAACTTCATTCCGGGGATTGTCAGTCAGTAGTCCCCTTACGTCATGTTGTTCTGTCGAAATACCTGTCTATTGTGTTAAGATTTACAGTCTTATGTTTCTTCAATGGTCAAGGGGTAATAAGACCTCGCCACTGTTGGAACCAAGTTTAACGAGTCGTAGAGTCGGGTGATTTCTATCAGGAACCCACCGGCCCGAGCCGCGTATCAGACCACTCTGCACGGGCACTTCCGACAGGGTGTCATCGCTACATAGTATATATATAAGAGGGGTGGAGAATCCCCATTTCAACATAGCTACCGCAGCTTCCGGCCTATCCCCTACGTGGTCATGAAATCTTCCTCAAAATCTAGGGCTAGCAAACCAATTAGACCCCAGCAATATGCGAATGTCTGAAACAAGCGGAGAAGGCCACGAAAAAATGAAACTTGCCGTCATACCACAAAAAGGGCATGTCCCAAGTGTTCCTGAAACTTTAAATACCAGCCGCACTGTAGAGTGACAGCAGCTGACGCTTCTTATCGAAGCAGTGATCGCAAAGGGTGCCGCCTGACTTCACAGTAGTCTGACTATATTTATGATTCTGCAGTTCCAACTCCTTCTTGACACTGCTAGCTTCAGGCTCGCCAAGAGTTCTTCTCGACTCTGCCAATCCTTCCAAAAAAATGCATTATCTCATTGCTCTTATTTCACATTGCGATCAGGTCTATCAACTGTCCGCACTTCCCGAGTCGGCATCGATCCCTCGGGCACCTATGCTATAATCAATAGGTAAGGGAGGGCCAGAACACTGATTATGGGATGGTCCTGGGATTAAAGTATTGCCCACGGTCCGATCTCCGGTACGAGCGGAGGTTATCTATGCCCGAGTCCAACACGGGAATTGCAGATAATGATCGCAGCATTCCGATTGGCTAGGAGGAGAAGCGGCGGCGGAAAACGTCGGGGTCGGACTCCGGGCCGACTCCGACACAGGGCGCACTGCGGACCGCTCCATTGGCCGAATCGGGACTTGCCAATTTTGTGGATCAAAAAAAGTCCTTTAAGGTGAGTGGGAGAACGTTCGAGGTGGTTGAAATTGGCCTTGAGAAAAAAGAAAAAGAACACTTCATTCTCATCTCTGTTCTTTACTTTACCTCACTCTTTTTTCTGCCTTTTTTCTCCCTTTTTCTCTGTCTTCGCCCGATTATATATGGAAAATGATCCAGAATGTGGGGAGAAAAACTCGTGGAACAATAAGCGCGGAGAAGGGACCCACCTGACCAAAAAAAGCTGGTCGAGAAAGAATCCAGATCCCACCCACCACCATTTGTTTGTTCTCTTCCCACTTTCTCCCCATCTCTACCACATCCTCCTCCCGTACATCTTTCCCTGCATCCAACCGCTCCATCTCTGTCCGGCATTTGGCACCCATGGGGCACTGTAACACAGACATCCCCAAATTCTGTGAAGATATTTTATCTTTGCCGCCTCTAGATATCAATTGCCATCCTCTTCAAGCAGACTCGGCCGGGTTCAACGGTCGTCAAGCCCGACATGGACCAAACCCCGCGTCGACATCATGGTGGGAACCGTCGCTTATGGAATGGGAAGTCGTAGAGTTCCCACCGCAGCCAACAACACAACCGACGAAAGCACCGGACTTTCTGGATTATTGGTGTCCAGATGGCTGGGCAGCTGGTTGTCCATGCTTGGATGCCGGTCACCATGCTCAACCCGCCGAGCGAGTCGACTCCAGTGATTATTCAACACCACATTCGCACTCGCGTGCCAGCTCTTCTAACGGCAGCCTGGCTCATGGTCACTCCTCGTCGAATAGATCGTCCATCGTCGAGATTCCGTCATCACGGGACAGTTCTCAAAGATTACCCGCAGAAGCTACCAAGGTTCTGAAATCGTGGTTCTACGAGCACCAAAACTACCCTTACCCTAATGAAAGGGAAAGAGAAGAGCTCGAGCAGCTGACTGGGCTGAATAAAACTCAAATCTCAAACTGGTTTACCAATTCTCGACGGCGCAGAGGAACAAGCATGGCATCGACTCCAGACACAAGCTCGTGTGAAAATTCTATCTTATCACCACTCGAACGGTGGAAGCACTCCCCGCCTGAAAATGAGGCCGCCGCGACATCGGATATCATGCGTGCACTGGAAGAACCCCCGTGCTCGTTCGAGGAGGCAGCGCCCCGATCTACGTCATTGGGTGCTCTGTCGAGCAGGAGCTCCAGGAGTTCATTTATCCTCGGCGCACCATCGATGAGTAGCTGTGAACAGAGTCAATCGTCAGGATCAGAGGCTTCTTTCCAGCAGTCCCATCGTTACCCACGGAGACCTCCCACTCCGATCCCAGGGATGGGGCCCCGTCGCCGCCGCCGCAAACCACCACGTCCAGTGCCTCGGCCGAAAGATCGAAAGGCGCCAGGAAAATGCCTTTACCAGTGTACCTTTTGCTCTGATACGTTCGGGAGCAAATATGACTGGCAGAGACACGAGAAGGCTTTACATTTGCCCGTGGATCGTTGGCACTGTGCTCCTGGGGGTGGGATTTGCGAAGTAGATGGAGTTAGAGTCTGTGTCTTTTGTTTCGCGCAAAACCCCGACTCCCAACATCTCGAGTCACACAATTATCACTCGTGCCGACAGCGGCCCCCTGAACTCCGGACATTCTCACGAAAAGACCACCTTAGACAGCATCTACGCCTGACCCATAATGTCGACTACGACCCGTCCATGGAGCACTGGAGACACCTGACGACGCGCGTAATCTCACGATGCGGATTTTGCGAAACCAATTTTACTACATGGGACGCCAGAGTCGATCACCTCGCAGAGCACTTCAAGAATGGCGTGGACATGGATCAGTGGAAGGGCGACTGGGGGTTTGAACCTGATGTTGAACGTCTCGTGACCCACGCTATGCCCCCTTACCTTTTAGGACAAGAGAGACGAACAATGGACCCGTGGAAGATATCGGAAGCGTTGCAGTCGGTTGAAGATGAACTACCCTCGTTGAACGCTAACGTTCCTAATGCTTTCAACCGGTATACGGGCTTACGGGATGCCCTCCTCGCGTACCTTCGTGATCAGGCCGCTATGAGTATTAACCCGTCGGATCAGATGATTCAGGATCATGCTCGTCAAGTTGCCTACGAGGGGAACGACTATTGGAACTCAACGTATGCCGATGATCTGCGGTGGTTGGAGGCTCTTCGGCGAGAAGCGGGCATTACCTGAACCCACTCACTGCTTCTCGTATTATATATCCAATGCATAACGAATTTCCTAGATTAAAATCGTGGTGCTATGCGGTCTTCCTTTCTATCTGACCTTCTAGTACTTACCTAGTATCTACCTTGCTACCCTCGGCGGATTATCTCACTTCGAGCCAAACACGGTTTGAAACGTCGCATCAAATATAGGGTTACTGACAAAGACCAAAAGTGGTATGATATATTTCATCTCTGAGTGTTGATTCACGTATTATATTGCAAAGTAAGGTAAATTAAACGGACATATAACGCCTTGGGTATGACTAGATTCTATTCCAGCATTTGTGTGGAAGTGACTGCAATCAGTCAGCTGACTGGCAGCGCTTGCAGAGTTTCCCACACTATTCCAAGTTTTCAACCTTGCAACCCTTTTTGCAATCTTTTTGTAGCCTTGATTCTTATCAAGCATTTCATTGTTTTGTCAATTTTTCGTTGCTTATCTCGAAAGTTTCTCATAATTTCACTGTTATACTACAGCTACTTAGTATTTTGTTTATATCCACTCGTTTATCCTCTATCCCCCACAGGGTCTACAGAGTCGTTCTATAGCACCCAATGTGGCGACCCAAAAGGTTGTATGGAGCGACTGCGTACTTCAACAAATGTATGACTCTATTCACATTCATATGATCCATGATATACAATCAGTTTGCCCTTTATGGCATGGACCCACGTTAGTCACATCCCAGCTCAACATGGTTTTTCAAGCTCCCATATCACGGAGCGGTCCTTCAGGGGTGTCAGTGAGATTATCATACCCACGTTAATATATACATTCTTTTTTCTGCGAATTGTGCGCATATTCAACCGTCAGTTGATTCTATACGGAAGTTGGTCGTACCCGCGCGACCCACAGCATATATATCCTGTCAGGCAGACTCAGTCCGAGGTACAATTCTCTTATCTATTGCCAATTTGCCATCCATCATTAGATCACTTGACTGCCCACGATAATTTCCCACCATGGAGCTCTGGTCCTCCATGTCCAGCTGGCCCCTTACCCTTTCGCCAGGCTGTGGCATGTGCGACAAGCAAGAAAATCTTCTCCGCTGCTCCAGCTGCAAAGTGATGTTCTACTGCAGCCGCGAGCATCAAATGGAAGACCGCGATGTGCACAGACACGGCTGCAAACCAGTCAAACAAATGCTCCGAGCAACGGAGGAGGAAGTTCAGAAGCTGCACAATTTTCCAGTAGGCGTGGGGGGGATCACGGTGGGCGGAGACATCTTCACTCCTAACATTGGACGCTTCTGGGACACGGAGCCTACCCTGAGCTGCATGTGGGGGCGGATGGGGATGGTTCGCATGCTAAATGGCATCTGGAGCGTTCAGTCCGTCGAGGCTCAGTTGGACTGTGGTATGGAAATGCTGCGGTTGTGCCGGAGCGATAATGTGGGTGTGCGCGGTCTCATCCCTTCAATGATGCTGCGGCTGCACAGGGACCAGGAATGCTACGATTTTATCAAGTGGTGGGCTGTGGTCGCTAAAGATCCTCAGTATGATTTCAGGAATCTCGACCTACCATATCTAGATATCAAGGATGCGGACGTCTTTGAGCCCGTTGATTTCTGCTTTGGGTACGATAACCTGAATCAGATGGTTGCCTTGATGCTGCTGAAGGTCAAGCTACTGCTGGACCTCACCGCGGTGGACCGCTCGGCGCCTACAATTGGTGCCAGAGTACCGCAGGAGATTCTCGATCGGATCCAAGGGTTCGTGCCGCGGAGTCCGGTCATCGCGGCGCGTCGGTATATCGTCAATGGGGAGTGGCGAAAGCATCAGATGCGGACGCTGGAGAAGCAGATCAATCGGCTGTATTGGGAAGTCCACAGGATAAACAAGTGGATGTGGATGGCGCTCAGAGCCCCTGAACACTTCATTGACATATTGCCTCCTGAGTTCTCGCCCGGCAGCATGCAGGAGATGAAATTCACGTTGTCGTGGAGTCTTAACTCGTGGTTGGTGACTCCGGGGACACTCGACTTTATTCAGAGAAAGATTGATGAAGAGAAGGCGAAACATGAGCATTACCAAGAACAGATGTCGATGATGGTAGATTAACATCCTACTTCCCTGCTTCCCCTGGCCTTGTGGTTTAGGAGAGGGAAATAGCGGAAAGGGTTTGTGCATTACTTGTTCAACATGTTTGCGTCATTTGTATAGTAATATTTGTTAACCAGACAAACAACTAGACATTATATGAGATACAAAATCAACTAGCATCTAGCCAGATCGATAAGGGATTGCACATTACAGCTGCAAACCTTGGGCATCATTGTTAGATAAGCCAAATAAACAGGATCTGCCTAGCCAAAGAATCCAGCAATCGTCCGGCGCCATTCGAAACATGCGCACACCCGTCTCTCGGGAGTATACAGGTCACAAAGACCGAATGGCACTCGAAACACAGCAGCAAACCAAGCCAATCCTCCCTCCCGTCTACCCCACCTGACCCAACATATAATGTTCCTCATCTCTCCATCTCCCCGCTCTTCTTCCCTCATACCATCCAGCTCTCGTATATCCATCTGTCTGACCCTTCAATCATCACAGAAAAACCCAGAACTATCGCAATGCCCAACAACAACGGCTACAGCTACACCGGCCCTGGCACCAACAGCCAGGTGAGCTTCACTCTCCTTCCCCACGCAGTCCCAAAACAAACCCAGGCCATATGCCAGCCATAATACTAACTGATGCCGTGCCAACCAGGGCAACCACTACTGCTCGCGCGACTACGGCTCGGGATCCGACTCGAATGGCGCAGGCCGCGGAGACGCATACCATTACTCGAACAGGTATACACGGTGTCCCTTGGTCAAAGTTTACTGCCTGTTTTAGCCCAGTCAAGCTGACACAAGCTCCTAGCAACGGCTCCTACTACTACTCCAACTCCAATGGCAGCACTTACTACAATAATGGAAGCGGGGACTCGACCTATACTGATCCTAGTGGGAAGAAATGATCGGTTCTCATCACCCGTGCCTGAATCAAGATTTCGTGACACTTAGCTGTATGGTAGGAAAAAGGACGACATGCGAGGCGACTCAGAGAGTGTTTCTTAATGAATAGTCAATGACATCGGTGGTTGGGGTTATTACTAGCACGGAAACCCCGGGTGTTTTATCTTTAGAGATTAAGCATATCAAGATCTCCCAAGCTAATTTGAAGTATGATTCCTTGAAAAAGACGCAAGGCAAATAGCTTTCCAAATTGGTATTATGGCAGTAGATATAATTGACCGTGTTTGGGTCCTTCAGATCATACACCTTATTGATGCAAAATATGACATGCCGTCATCCGCCCTACGCCACTTATCCCTGCATTCTCCGCAGATTGGATCTTAGAAGGCGTGACTTCTAGGGTCCCTGACTCCCTGGTTCGGCGACGCCGGTTATTTTAGTGTGCTTTAGCGTGTTTGCGCTCGGCCATTTAGAGGCTTTGGAGTGATATTTTATTATATATTTATTTTTTCTTGTTTTTCAAAGGAGAGTTGGGTGTACAAGAGAGCCCCACATACATGCAATGCTGTACGGAGTAATGAAAGGACGGATTAATAGTTGGATCAAACTTTCTATAGCCAGCCACAAAGACCGCCTCTTATTAGGTACATGTGAGCAACAAGCAACAGATAATTATCAAATCAAAAGAAAGAGAAACGACAACGAAGGCAAACAACATCAACGGTCTGCTAGAAAGATGAAGGAGAGACATCAACACATCGCTGAAATTGAGTATCAAGCGCAATTCCAAATAAGGAACTGGCGGGCCGAAAGCAAGCAATAGCCTATTCCAGGTTCACGGGGATCTTGAGGTAACCAGTGAGGTTGCACTCGGTGAACTTGCCGCCGGGGTTGCTATCGTCAACGCAATGCCACTCGGCACCCTCGTTGATTTCAATCTGGCCGTAGAAGGCCCCCTCGCCGACCTTCCTGGCGCCGAGGGTGAGGTCGCGGGGGTTCTTGACGCCGCCGCCGGGGAAGCCGAACTCGTAGAGGGCGTCGGCGCACGGCTTGTTGACCTGCTCGTTGTAGGGGTGGTCCTCCATACTGTATTGTTTTTGTTAGTAATACTGAACGAGTACATGTAATGGTAATTGCTAGGGAGAAACATACAGCTGGACCTCGCACTTGAAGCCGGATGTGCCCTTGTTCAGATCGATCAGGTCGAAATCAACCATCGTCTTGTGGATACCCTTGTTGTGTCGGATGTGCAGGTTGTTCAGCTGCAAGGGCATCAGCGCCTTGGGGGCAGCCAGGACGGTGGTGCTGGTGGCAGCGAGGAGAGCGGCGGTGGTGGAGAACTTCATTTTGATTGTAGTGGGTTTTTGAGTCGATTGAAAGAACTTGAACTGAGTTAAATAGATGGATGCTGGAATGCTTTGTTGGAATGGATGCTTGCTTGATTGCTGGATGAGAATCTATTCTACCTGGTGATTCTCACGATGCTTTATACCTTTATCCGGTGCGCAGCACGGACATTGTACTGATCGCCCAAAACGGCAAAAACGAAGCATTCGGACTCAGTATCTTCTCTCCCGTTCCCTAAGTGGCCTTGTTCGAGCTCTCTCCAGGAAACACTCATGATCTGTACAGGCGCCCCAGGAGTGATGGATATATTTAGGTGTGGCTGACGACGGGACGCCTTAGGCCGGTTAATAGTGGGAGCACGATCGCCCCTTCTATCCAATCGGCACGAGCCACATCCTAGACATATACGAGAATTGTGTACGCCACGGAGCCTATAATAGCATGTTCTGTGTGACAGATGAACTATTTTACATTCGTAAAAATTTAAGTGTTTTTAGTATCCTCAGCCCTAGGCTTAGCAGGGTGCCTGGGGCTTAGCTTTGGCGTTCGATCTTGCAGTCTAAATTTGGTGGAAGACTTGGGTTTGCGCGTCGCGATATGACAATGGTTGTAGGAGTGAGATACTCTGCTTCTTTTGAAATGAGACATATTTCACGGTGTAATCATCTTGTCCGGTGTCTTCGAGAATTCACTGGCTAGGTCTATGGGTTATGATACAGACATTCCTGTGCACAAGACGGGACTGACTAACTGTTTGAGCGGACGTTGAACAGACACTTCAATTGTAGTATGTTCTTCATGACTAGATAGGTCCATCATAGATTTCTCCGCCAGCTTTTCAGCACACCGTTACATTGGGCCGTATATTTAGACTCGCACCGGTTGTTCAGGGGTTTAGTGTGATCGACACGTCCAGCTGTAGTCACTATTGCTTCGCAGTACGCCTTGAACCGAACAGGTTCGATCGCTTGCGGGGTCATGGAGCAATCTAGACAACTGACTGTTCCAATGGACGGTGTTAATGACGCCATAACTGAGGGTGTCAACTATTCGTATGGAAAATGTCGCCGTTAGGCGTCCCAGCGCGAGGGTTCGGTGTTGTGCGCTGGCGGGAGGCCTCGGGGAGAGATTTCATTCATGGGCCTAACTCGCGCGTCTGATCTGGGACAGGCTTTTGGATATACTCCATCTCTCTTTTGTTTATTGTCGTCCAAAGGTAGACCCAGCATAGATTGACTGCGAACAAACACCCAATCTGCCATTCTAAAGATTAGACGGATGGTATATACCCGTAGTGTACGATCCAAAGAAAAGATTCCTCGAGATAAGACAGTTGACTCAGTCTGCCACACCACCTCAAGGGAGAAAAAATAGTGACAGTCGAAGGTCTCGAAATGGGGAACAAGGACACAGTAGAGATAGTATGGATGTTTTAGTATCCAGGGGAGTCCAGCTGATTCCCAATAGCCCCCAAGATTTCTTCGGGCCTTCCTGTGCCAATATAAGTCACTGGGAGCGTCTTATATGAGGCGAATGATTAAAGTGTTTTCCGCCCAGTACTCTGGTAGTTAGTCACCTCTACTTTGGCTCATTTTCGGTAATAAGTTCTTCTGCTTATCAACCATGTCAGGACACAGCTTGCAGTCTACAAGGCAGGGAAATTCTACCTCGCCCGTCAACCAAGTATCTGGGCCAACGACTGCATCTTCAAATCGTGTATCCCGTAGACCACGCAATCTTGAGATATCAGCCAGGAATCCGATCAAGAAGTGAGAGTACTGCCAAGAATAGAATGAAGTAACACAGGGGATAACCTCGTTCACAATGGCTAGAAGGAGCCAAGATAGTGACTCGTATATCCATTGCTGAAAGCTCGGAAAGAGTACCTTGAAGATATATCTGATCGGGTTTAACGATGCCGTGGCGAGACATATCTAAGCCATACACGACGAAGATTATCAGGCTGTACTTCAGTCCAACCTAGCAGCACGGTTCTAGCAGTATATCTTTGATGGTGTTCCTGCATTGGGTCCATTCCACCCCCAGCGTCCGAGGTAGAAGGCAAGAAACTATTCCAAAAATGAGAAACAACGGTGATGAATGCAATCAGACATAGCACCGCTGAGAAACGTGGCCCGTCACCTGACTGCAACGTCAAGTTCGACCATTTCTATCTTGTTCCCCGCAGTCTCCAACCACCTTCTCTCAACTTCTCCATCTCCCCATGTCATTGTTTTCATCTTTTTGGTTAATTTCGACCACGTAAACCATTATAGGTGATTAAATTTCTTGTATAGCCTATACCTCCTATAAATTTATCAGACGGCTATTCCTGACCGTTGAGAAATACTTGTCCCTCATCAATTCTCGGTGATCTTGACGCCGAGCATCCTCGGCAAACGCTGGTACCAAGACGGAAGCTGACGGGACGCCAAGGTCACGTACATCAAATGGGGAAACTGACGATGGAAAATGTGCCATTTGGTAACTCAGAATTGATACATCGTGTGTAATATCGAAAACGGCCCTTCGCGAATGTCACCTCCGAGGTCGCCTGCTTCGGAACATATACCTTATGGAGCGGTGCGTGCCTTAGTTGCCGGTGACTGGCGGCCTTGCCCAATAAAACCGTTAAACTAGCCTTCTCACCGACCTTGGCTCGTTAATTGTTTGTTGCCAGGTCGTGAGCAGACTGAGCCGTGAGAAAAAATTTCAAATCGGTGGTCATTTGACAGTCCACGGCGGGTGACTGCGGAAGCTTGATATTTTGGACTCTCCCGACTAGAGACACCTTATATGTGAATCGAGTCAGCATACACGGTTTAAAAAGCAAGCACTATGTATTAGATGGGATTCCCGTCATGTTTACACATGGACTCGAGGCGCCGGCTCTTCGATTGGCGGGATGAATAAGATTTTTGCCATACAGCGGTGGGGTTTTTGAAACTAATGGTCTTCAAGCCTAGATACAATACCTATAATGCCTATACATCGTCACCGTTCAAAATGTCGAGACTCTACTTTGGTCTACAATCTTAGCTCAGCCCGTGATCGTGGTCTGTCAAGGTCTCGTGAACTTCGAGGTTCGATTGGTGTGTACATCTCCTGGCATAGAACATCATCTTTTCTGAGTTTCAACCCCTGTCTCAATATGGGCCGAAAGGTTGTGTATGGATCCGGCCAAGTTAGGTTTGGCGTTGCTATCGGCTGACATGAGATCCTTGGGCGCTTCGTGGAGACAGGTTGGAGAATATTGAGTCAAGCAGATTGTGATTGGCATTTGCCTAGGAACTAACCTTCCGTGTGCTAGTGAGGAATGAACTTTGATCCGAATTTTCGCTAATTGCGGTATTAATCACAAACAACACGAAGATGTGAACAGAGTGCAGAGAAGAGCAAACTCCGGGATGTGATATCGCGGAATCTTATACACTCTGAGAGACATAATCACATAAAATAGCAGAAGATTGTGCTTTCGCGGCAATATTGTTTGGTGATATTGCCTGCAAGCATTCCCCGCTTTTATGGGGGATGCCCACTAAGCGATGATCACGAGGAGAAATCCACTAACCCACCCCCGTCTACCCAATCTTAGGCTATTCAGCAGGGATCCATCACGCCTCGGTATTCAATTTCAATCCTCCGGCGTATACGCATGAATACGACACTTTTCAGCGACGATCTTGAAGAAAAAAGCCACACGGGCTTCCCCTTCGTATACATGAATACTAGTTCCCTACTAGCTGCACATGCGGCACTCCGGGGGTAGTGCCGTGTGGGCCTGCACCGTCACCCAAGCTTGCGCCTCGGCTTGGAGATCCTGACTATTCTTCTTTCGGGGCAGCACTGCGAAGCTTCCATCAAACCTCAAATCTTATCAAGATCGTCAGGGACCCATGTGAGCGCTCCGTCGCGTCCATGTTCGCCAATCGGAGAAATTCATGTCCCCCCATCATTCCGGATTGGGGGGGGTGCTCCATCTTAAAAGGGCGCAGGCCCCCAGTATTTTCAATTCCATTGCAGGGCATCCTCTGGAAGGTCAGATCTCAACCATCATGGTGAGCTTCAAGGTGGTCCTACTGCAGGCACTTGCTTATCTGCTGCCTCTGGCAGCAGGATTTCCGGCTCCCAGAGCTGATGGACCACTCAAGCCGGTTGACGATCCCTTCTATGTTCCGCCTGCTGGGTTCGAGTCGGAAGCCCCAGGGACGATTCTCCGCCATCGCAAAACCCCGTTCCCTATCGCCGCCTTCGGCTTTGCCAAAGTCAATCTGGAGAGTTCCCATCAAGTACTCTACCGCACCACCGACGCGTTTGGGAAGGCAGTCGCGACAGTCTCAACTATCCTGATCCCCCACAACGCGGACACCTCCAAGCTGCTCTCCTACCAGGTCGCACAGGACGCGGCGGACCCAAACTGCTCTCCATCGTTCGCCTTCCAGCAGGAGTCTGAGAATGGCAACGCGTTGTCCCTCATCATGCCGCAGCTGGAATTCATCTTTATCACAGCCGCCCTGAACAAGGGCTGGGTCGTCACCGCTCCCGACCATTTGGGTCCAGAATCTGCCTTCCTATCCAACATCCTCTCGGGACACGCAGTCCTTGACAACATCCGTGCGGTCCTGGCCTCGACGGAGTTCACGAACGTGACCTCCGATGCGACAGTCACAATGTGGGGCTATTCGGGCGGCAGCCTGGCCAGCGGCTTTGCCGCAGAACTGCAACCAGAATACGCACCCGAGCTGAAGATCGCCGGCGCCGCCCTCGGCGGCACTGTTCCGGAGATCCTCCCGGTCGTTGAAGCTACCAACAAGGGTCTGTTCACCGGCCTGCTCCCCGCCGGCATTCGTGGTCTCTCCAAGGTTTATCCGGAGATCGCAAAGCTCATCGACGAGAACCTCATCCCTGAGAAAAGGGAAGAGTTCCAAAAGACAGACAACCTCTGCTTGACAGGCAACATTCTGGAGTATCTCGGCAAAGACGTGTACTCATACGTGAAGAACGAAGACGTCTTCAGCGACCCCATCGCAACCAAGGTGCTCAACGAAAACGCCATGGGCCACAATATCCCGGGAATCCCGCTGTTCATCTACAAGTCCGCGGGCGACGAGGTCAGTCCCGTGAATGCCAGCGACGCGCTGGTGGACAAGTACTGCGACGGCGGCGCGCAGCTGGAGTACAAGCGCGATACGCTGTCAGAGCACGCCTTGTTGGAGATTGTGGGCGCCCCCGACGCCTTCTTCTGGTTGGAGGATCGGATGGACGGCGCTCCCGCTGAAAAGGGGTGCAAGCGATCCACGCATTTCACGACCTTGGCCGACCCGAGGACTATTGCTGCACTGGGCAGCGGACTAGTTCAGGTTTTGCTTTCCTTCCTGTCGTTGCCTATCGGGCCGCCTCTGTAGAAGGACTCCACTATCTGCCCTCCACCGCGAGGTAATATTTTATTTAAAAATCATCACGTGTGAAACGCGTTTACATGATACCTAATGTGACACGGAGCGGAGCCCGGATGGGAAGGATATTCCCATCTCAAGGCCCTCTATAATCTTTTACGACTCATAATGGACCATGGTTGTTTTACACTTTATTTCTCGTAGTCCTTCACCTTTCAATCATCCTCTGGTGCTGAGAATCTGTATCATTATTCTGTCCTGATTTAAGGCCTCGAAAACTCTTAGCATTATAATTAACTACATTATCTGAGATCCATACATAGCACTCAACAGAACCCTGTACTGTTACTTGAAAAAATACTACCTAGATAAACAATTGAACACCAGCTATATATCCTTACACGTGAGTTATAACCTAAACAGGAATGCTTGAAATATGAGAGAGAACGCTGATAGAGATAGTAAACATTGGTAATGACATCAACAGGTTCTTTGCAATGATACCAGTTGCAAGCTGCATGCACGAAGAAGCAAGGTAAATCCTGCACAGGGAAACACTGCAGACCATCTGACAAGAGAACCTTTCGATGTCATTCAGAATACGGACAAGGTTACAGATGGTCGAGAGCATGATCAAAATACAAACAGTCAAAGGTGTGGGAAACGCTGCAGGTCAGTCGGCATGCAAACCGATTGCAGACACTTTCACAATGGATAAATTAGGTGGTTATGTTGGATGGAGTTTTGTAGAATACTCCACAGGCTGTTTCAGCCATGTAGTCAGGTAGCCATCGGATTTACGGGTTTGCTTGATTGGTGGTTATTCGGCACCAGCTAGCATTCGGATCTTTTTGGCTACTCTTGTTAGAGGGGTGCCATTTGCCTAACATACGCGCGCCACTGTACAATGAGTCTCGGGTAGACGTCTGGTTGCTAGCGGGAACCGGATGTGATGGTGTTTTGGCTCAGTGGTGTTATACTATGGCATCTGAGAGCTAGGTAACCGTATAACATCCCTACAAAGAGTAGGAGCGACCGTAGCAGTATTAGTTCTGCTACTGTTCCTGTTTTCGTTTTTGCGATATCTGTGTGTATGCAATCATTGACAAGGGTCTTGATATGACCTTGAAACAGGGTTGAATTCCTGGTGGAATATAGAAAAAGGGATATGATTCATCCGGAGTATTTAACATCCAGATTATACCTGTATAAATACGCGATGAAAGCACGTCAGAAAGATAAAATTGATGACATTTGTTTCTGTGTACGGATAGAAGCTTGCTGATTGTCAAAATAGAAGATGGTCAAAGATGTGAGAAAAGGACTGCAAACGCGGCAGGTTGGCTGAAAGTTTAGCCCATTGTAGTCACTACTCACAAGATCACGGTTTGAAACAAAGATATGATAGATCAACTTAGCAAATAGCTAGAGTGTACTTCGTACTCTTGGCGTAACTGAACACCGCTAGTTCAGAAGTCCAACTTTAACCCTCTTAAGCTAACTGGCTGCTCAGCCTGACACCCTTTTAGACACTCACACATGGGTTGTCTTGCTACGCGCCGGAGGCCCGCAGATCTGTTAGGCAGCACCTTACAAAATCCCCGATACTCAGCACGTTGAGGTAGCCAGCTGAGGATCTCAGACAGAAATATCCCATACATAATCCGATTGCACTTCAGAAACCAAGGTGTTTCAACCTGTGGGGGAGTTTAGACCTCCCTGATCAACTCTGGAATCTGAACCTTTCCTAGTGAGCGAATTCAGTACAGAAGGTCGCCAACTGGCTAAATTCGTGGAGCTGAATTTCAAGACCCCGGGGGAGGGCCTGAGACCCTGGGGGCCCGGACGGCGCAACAAGTCTTTCCTAATCCTGCCTAATGCACATCAAATGGTAGAGATGGGTTGCTATAAAGAGCTAGTCGAGCTAGTCTCCGGGGATCTCTTTGGTCGTTTTGTCTCCCACACTATTCCATTATGAAATTCGCAACGCCTTGTTAATGGTCATACGAACAGGGATGGGATTCCTGGCTCGTTGATCTATCAAGTTGCTCATGGTCGCTGTTTCATTGGCGACGGTGATGGCTTCTTAGGTCTCAGGTTCAGGAAGGATAGAGGGCGACTTTGTTGATATCAAACATCTATAAAACAACTTTCACGTTCTCGTCTAGGTACTGCAAAATGATCCAGGTATATGTCAAACATCCATATTCCCAGCTTCACGGTAAAAGACTGGATTTTCGCTAGTTATAGGTTTCAGAGGGTACCGCCATTTGGCTAGTCTAGGGTCCTGCGCCGCAATGCCAGGGGTCTCCCACCCATCACGAGTTCTCTGTTCAAGATGCAGTAGTGTCTTTGACTCTGCTAACTGTTGGCCATTCCTTCCCCAACGACACTCTACAAGGCTACAGGCCCCCTTTTCATTTGAGTAATTACCGGGGAAATTCAAGAGGGGAAACAAAGCAAAAAGCCAAAACTCTAACAACAAGGAGAGTGTGTTACCCATTGTTCACCATCCGTTTGCCTATATAATTCCCTGCTGTGTTCTTCTTCCCATGTGCGTTTTGGTTATTCTTTTACTCCACGCCAATGGTTTCTCGGACAAAGATACAACGAAGGCGGAACAGTAAAGGCGGCCGCTGGACTCCTGAGTTACTAAAGGAACTCTATGATTCCCGGAACACAGACAGTCATCTTAGCTGGAAAGAATTTCATCAGGTAACTCTTTCCTATGCAGGGATATCCACCACCCGACTAACCGATTATCCTATATTAGAAAAACCTTTTCCCCGGCCGCAGCAACTGGGCTCTCCAGAAGGCATATTCAGTGCGTCGCTGTATTCCAGAAGCATCTCTACAAAACATATCCTAATTCCTGCCAGACATACAGACAAGAACTCAGACTTGAGCGAAGAGCCAAGAGAATGGTATGATATCTTGCTTTCATATCCTTGTCTGTGGGTATACACTTGCTAATCATGTTTCCTGGCTAGCATCCGGCTGCTTCCACTCCCAAGCCCAGCTTGTACACCCCAAATACCCGTGTTCTGAAGCGTCCTTCACAGGCGGAGAAAGATCCCAGGTTGCGCAATCGAAAGCAGGCAAAGCTCTACACCTCGCCCAAGTATAATAATTCCGCGCCACCGGGTACCATAGCAGGTGTCCAGAACCCCAGCCCTGATCCCTCCAGCGATACGGACTCTGATGACGGGGATATCCCGCCCAGCGGGCGTACAGAAAAAGTAAGTACTATCTACTGAGAGCAGGGGAAGTAAGGGACAGGTTGATACACTATACTGGACCGCTGTCTAACATGCATTGTTTAAGTTCCCCAAATCGGCACAGCAGGCCAAAGCCAATGGAAGCCACCATGCTAGTCCGAGTACCTCATCGACCGCACCCAGCCCCAGGGTTGCCCCTGCTACCGCGGAAATATCGGAATCTCGCCCAGAACAACAGTCTCGCTCTGGGTCTCAGCCGACACACAAGATTACCACCTTGCATTATGCCAACAAAGAGCCAAAGGCCAGTGCCCCGGATTCGCCAGCTTCAGCCCAGAGTAAGAGATCTACCCCCCAGGCCCAGCAGCCTGGTCGAGAAGAGACCATGTCCGCACAATCACTGGATATGGACCTGGTGAAGTTGGTTGAGACAGCCAATTCTCTGGCGAGAAGGACTAAAAAGTCGGAGACCGAGCGTCAAGGGCTTGAAGCCATCAATAGCACGCTTCAGACCATGTACAGCTCACTCCAGACCAAGAACAGCACACTTCAAAAGGACTTTGATGCTTCCCAGGAGTTGCATAACCAGCTTACCTCCTGTCAGGAGATCAAGATCGAACAACTCAAAACAGAGAATCAACAGCTCTGTGATGAGGTCGCCCGACTCCGTGATGAATCCTGCAGGGAGTGTCTCAAGATGCGCGCGATGTTGGTTACAAAAGATGAAGAGCTGGCCAAAAAGGACGAAGAGTTGTTGACCCTCAAGGGCGAATGGAACTCCAAGTTGGAAATTGCGGTTAGAGACCTAATGTTCTCTACTTGACTGATTGCTTCATGACTGTTTTGTGTGTATCATTCCTTTGTACCGAGATTAAGAAGTTGATGTTTACAATCATTACCCCCACCTTCGTTGTGTCAGACTTCAGACTGGGTTATATACCGTACTTTCCACATAGATGAAATTCCGACAATATAGTTCACACGCATGGGGTGGATCTTGATAGACATTTTCATTTTCATTTCCCATCATTACCATTGGATCAGCTGTTATGGTCCTCGAGCGTCTGGAGGTAAGTGCCTCGACTTTCATCTATAGTTGGCATATAGGCCATGCCAGTTCCTCATTTCCGGATCAGCCCATGACCATGCGGCTCCCAGGGCTAAAGATTGACACTGAAATGTATGCCTGCCGTATATGAATCTCTAAGACCATTTGGTGGTATATGATGGACTGATGTGCATCTCCAACTCTAGCGGTCATCTTTTAGCTCTTATATTATATCATGGTTGATTTCAGTTTTCAATAGCAACTACTACTGATGGCTCATATTCCAGATCTGATATGGTACTATCGTCAATCTCAGTTTAGATAGCTAAGAACACTACGACGAAGTATTTTGTAGACTAAGTCACAGGAAGCCATCTCAAAGATGATAAACTTGATGATAATGACTATGAAAGAAGTTGAAAAAAGTTGCAAGCAAATTCAAATACAACAACGTGCTGGGGGACTTTGCGCATACTGCAAGTCAGCTGCCCAGGTACAGTGAATCCACAATTCTCAGTATACCTGAACAAATTCGCATTCCCCTCTCGCACAGCGAAAAACATAATCACGACCTTGCTCCCTCTGAACACGAGAGAACTCGTCGCAGTCACACGGAGGGTTTCCTTCCCGGATACCCTCATAATCGTCAAATACTATACCACGACACTCACGTCTTCGGCACTTGTAGAACCATCTGTTCTCATTGCCATTGGCGTTACCGTGGGTCTGGTTGCGAACCATTATAGAATTGCAATTGCGGCACGATGGGTCCTCCTCGAAGAGACGAGGGATTTCTTCCGACATTATCGGGCTGTGTGCTGCTGATGCGAAGTAGAATCAATCAATTAGCCTCATGTGATCAAGTATGGTATTGCTCCAAGGAAGTATGGGATACTGCGTACCAAAGACAATGACTGTGAGCGGTTGTATATCTATCTTCTGACGCTGGAGTAGACCCAAGTGTTTATGGCCTGGTGCTGGTTATGGGGGGAAATTCAACAGGCTGCTGATTCGGGGAGGGTAGAGGGTTTATTTATACCCCTGGCCATCCATCCGTTGCTGTGATGCGAAGATAAAAGAGAGATGGCTGCTACAGCTGGCAAGTCTCAATTTGTGCCCCGGCCAACCTGTCAGAGGTGAGTATCCTCGTCTCAAGTGGGGTATATCAACTACACCAAGTATTTTTAGTGTGAATTATGCATTCCGTAGCTGGCGTACACCCCCCTCTGAACCTCTCGTACGTCATGCTCTATTGATCAAAGATACTGTTCGTGGACTGAGTAGACTCTCAGTGGGTGTGCAAGGGGGGTGACCGACGAATATGGATCAATGTTGACTAGCATTCTAGAACCATCTACGAGGCTGCGCGCCATATCATCCAGTGTTAACAGTACCTGGTCGATCCCTTGGCGTGCATGGCTCAATTTCCTTGCTGTAAGATTGGCTGATAATTACTGCAACCCTCAGCAAAGGCTCAATTTTCCCGTGGCTGGATTGGACAGGCTTTTCACGCGTCATTTGAGCCCGGGCATCAAGGCACACGTGTAAGATCACGACTTCACGCGTAGGGGTAGCAACCCAAGGACACGTCCCCAAGACATAAATACCCATCTACCCCGCCTGACTGCCATATTTTTCTTCTACTATCAGAGCCCCCCTCTTGCTCTTGCCTCGTTGTTCATCTATTTGACATTTGCCTGACGGATTATCCTTCTGTTTGTCAATCCTACTCTTCAAAATGTCCCAGTTCTCCATTCACGATGACAATGCGTTCACGAACTGACTAAATGATAGCCTAATTTACAGTCAAGTACCCTACATGTCTTATCATTCTGAAGTATATGCTGGATTTATGTTGTGAGTAACACAACACTCCCCCTCCCCCACTAACTATCTCAGATCTCGCACTAGGCTTTAGCGGCATAGGTCTATTAGAGACCAGGCGACACAAAGAAAGACCTCTCTTGATTGCCGCGATACAAGTGTCTAAAAAATGGGGGCAGTTGAGAATCCGACTGTGAATGTCCTGCTCGGAAAAGGCGTCGATCAAACAACATAGTCGCCAAGGACAACGAGGCTTGCGCAAAAGACGGGGAGATAGCCAAAAGAGAGGCCATGGCCGATGTTCTGGACAGGGGAAAAATCGCCTTTTCCGGGTATCTATGTTTCTATCGCGCGCAGAATAGCCTTTGCAATACAACTGAATTGCACAATCCCTACCTGTCCGCTTCGTTATTACCCGTAACGTTGCAGTTGGAAATGCTTCTCCCCGCCAGGCAAATTGCCTGAAAACGCCCTGTGCCAGAGATGATGCAGTCTTCGGAGTGAGTGTTGGGGGGACTGATGGTGGTTGTCGGTAGTAGCGGTGACGATTTGGACCGACATCTGAGGGATTGCTCCCCACCCGACACAGTCAGTCAGAATGTTCTAAATGACATTTTGGATATCTTGAATAAGCCTTCTATCCACCCCGATACACCCATTGATGAGGGAGGCGCGAACCAAACCTCTGATACGGCCGGCCTGAATACCACTAACGCCGAGTCGTCTCCACGTAACGATTATAATAACCGGATTGATTCGTGCTTAAGCGAAGGCTCAGGAAGGATAGATCCCGAGGAACTTTGCCAGAAAAATCAGAATGTCATTCTCGACGTTGATGATGCCATCATCGCTCCCGAAGGCAGCAGAAGGTCAAAAGTCAATCCAGTCACTGCTATCTATCGTGTGCTAACAGCGTTCAACTGGGACAGTAGGCAAGGAACAACCAAGCATGACAGATTGAAGTCTTCTGATGCTTCACCCCGTCAGCAGGGACTGCCGAAATTGCTGCCCAAGCCAACAAAAGCCATGCCGACATCCGAACCCCCGCCACAAAAAAAGTATCTATGTGGCTTAGACGGTTGCGACAAGACTTATCCCCGCAGCAATGGCCTGAACAGACACCAAAGGAAATGTCACGGCACATCTCCGGGGAAAGCTGGCCGACCCAGGAATACCCGACGATGAAACTTGCTGTGAGCAATCATCACTCCTGACGAGGTTCGGACGGTGGGAAAGTGGATGGATATTGTGTGAGGGATTCGGCGTCTTGTTGTGTATCTTTTGTTGTACGTCTAGTATGCGACACCATCAAGCGGCTCGTTTTTGCAAAGTCATGTTTTCTGTCTTTTAGATAAGTCTAGTTGCGAGGATGTGTTCTTAGATTCAGCGGAAAAGGTATCCTGTAGTCTCTACTCCGTAGTACCTCGTCATTGGCGCTTAAAGCCGTATGACTTCACAAGAAGGTTCGTCGATTTACATTTGTACTTTTCAGGACCCTGAAGTTTACCTTCCAAGTAGACCCTAAGAAGGCGAACCTGGTCCAGTTTCTTTGATTATTTTTTAACCTATTCTGTTTGATCCCCGCCCCCACTCTCAGGGCATCAATGAGACCAGAAACAACCGAAACCGATATTCTAATTCAAGGAGGGGAGCAGAGAGTTCGGGAGATCGTCCAAGATCGTCCATAGCTCCTTTTTCTACGCTCGTATCAGACCACTGGGTATGAAGGCATGTTGGACTACACTTTTTGCAGCAAGTCTATTTCGCACCTATGCAAATACGCTTGGCCAAAAGGAAAGATTTACTGCCCTTATCCAGTGGCATGTGGTCTATTACAGTATCAGCGAGGAGTACCATTAAGCAGGCAAGCGATGGCCATGTTCCCACCAAACGAACGACAGATCGGCAGTCAAAAGCATCAAGGTAGAAAGACGAACCGTGGAGATGGTTTCCCCCGCGTTCTTGCGATGATGATTGTACGATCAGCTGGCCTCTGGCCAAAATATCTATTAATGGGGTAATAACAAATCAATAATACCCCTCTTTTCATATACCCCGCCTACATGCGGCACCCAACGGCGTTCCATCCGACTAGGGCACGGCTCACGTTTTGATAGGTGGGTGAATTCCTGGATGTGATTACGGGACAGGATGTAAATATATTATTATCATTTATATATATTGCCAGCTCCGGCGTTCCTCCGCATATATAATCTAATTCCCTGGTCCCATGATTGAAGACCAAGAAAAGAGCATCAATGCCCCCCAAACGGAACCACACCAGGCATAGCACTCGGCGTATCGCGCATCGACCCACGAATCAAATGGTCAAAGGACGGGGCGTGTTCCACGCGGGGAGTGAACGGCTCAAAGTCCCATAGGTATCCGAGGGTGCGCAGAATGGACGAAGCAGAGTAAGAAGCAGAGTCGCCGGCGCTAGTCTTGCCCTTCTGCTCGACGAAGCCTTCCCCAACCCACGGCGAGATGAGGAAGGTAGGGACGCGGCCGCCCAGCCGATTGAACTCGAAGGTGTACTCGGAGCCGTCGGCGGCTTTCTCGGTGTAGGTTTCGTCGTCGGGGCGGACGGCCAGCGGGGGCGGGACGTGGTCGTGGAAGCCGCCTGTTTCGTCGAAGGTGACGATGAAGAGGGTTGAGTTCCATTGCGGGCTAGCGCGGAGGGCGTCATAGACGTCTTTGAGAAGCGTCTCGCCGTCGGAGATTAGACCTGTCGGGTGCATGGAGTTGGTGCCTTTGCCGCAGCAGGAGGGGTTGAGGTAGGTGAAGTCTGGGAGTTCGCCCTTTTCGGCGGCCTTGTAGAATTTGGAGAATGGTTTGGCTTTGAGTGCGTTGAAGCTTGACCAGGTCCAGTCGAAGAATTGTGCGTCGGCGAGAACGGCCCAGGTGTAGTAGTTGGCCCAGGTGCGGTCTGACTCGGACAGCTGCTGGAAGATCGAGCGGTGTTTGATACCGTGTATGATTGTACTCATTGACGCATCGTTTTTGCCGTGTCCGGCTGAGGTGCCTGAGAGCAGGGAGACTCGGTTGGGGTTGGTCGGCTGTGGTATGGTCAGCTTGGGGGTCACTTTACGGAGTGGTGGTCTGTTGGTGGTGAGGGCCCTTTACCCCTGGGATATCCGAGTGCCAGTGATTGAACACCACGAAGTTCTGCGTCATGGACGTGAGGACAGGAACCTGCGCCTCGGTATAGTAATTCATAACCTGCTTCGCCAGGTGGGTCTCATTCTCGGAAGGATACGAGCGAAGCTGCTCCTGCAGGAATCCCTTCTGCGTGGGGGTTAGCGTCCCGTCGGCAATTGCCTTGTTATCCGGGGTAAAGTCGCCGTAGAACTGGATGTTGTTGCCGGTGATGGAGTGATCGGGGTCATTCAGGACCGAATCGTACGAGCTTGCCTCACTGCAGGCCTCCCCGTCAGACTTATCGGCGGTATTGACGGGGTTGCAGAAAGGGCCGTTGTTGATGGGGTTCTCCAGGCCCTTGATTGTCTGTCCGCCCAACACGTTGTCAACGGATCGGTTTTCCATAACCAGCAGAACGACATTCTTGATCTTGTCTTTCATGTTTGCGATCGACTCGGAAGATCCAGCTTTGTGGGCCGACGCAGGGGCAGCCGTCACAGCTGGTGCGGCCACCGCAGCGGCGAGACAACCCAAGAGATAGCGAGCATGCATCGTGACAAGTGACTAGGCCGGGGCAGAATAACTGACGAGACGAACCAAAACATTTTCGCAGGCTGGCAGCTGTATACCCAGTTTATAACCAATTCCCATCGTCCACTCCCATTATCCACGCGTATCCCACGTGCAGGCACCGTCGCCGCCACAGTCACATCGGGGGTTCCACGCTGGATGCTAGAGACCCCTCACATACAGATGGAGGCGCTCCCCCCCTCTCTTGGTCATGTATCCGCCTCGCGCCATTGGGTCATACGACGCTTGCAGTCGCTTAGCGGTGGACCTCAGTGCAAACAACACCCAAGGGCCGACACCATCTGGGTGGCATTTTGGTGGGACTTGGCCTAGGTACGGTTGGGTTGGAAACCGTCTTCCATAGAAGATGATGCTGCTAGGCACGGGACATGTCACTTGCGATTTATTCGCCCGTTGTGGGTCCCCACTTGGTAGTTCATGGGGCTTGAGCCGTGGAGGGAAGGGATCGGCAAGGCTGATGGAATTCGAGGGAACCTGATTTGATTCGGTTGATTCAGGCTGTCGACGGTGAGGTTGTTTTTTTTACCTTTTGGGAATGGTTGATGGGGTTGGTGTAATCCGATGATTGACCGGGTGCTACGCCAGTGGGTGACTTTGGTCCGCTACTTTGTGTTAAGGAGGGTTGGGATTTGCCGGGCTGCTCCTGTTGATTTACGTCAGAGGAACTTGCAGATCATGAAGAAAATATAAACTCTACGCAGTGGCGCGATATGTCAGATATGATATGATCAGTTTGCTCCATACAGTATTTGAAGGACGCGTACCTGCAGTCTGCAGAACTCGAAACTATCCGAAAATACGGAATATATCGATCGGATGATCACAACCCAGATCGCTCCCGACGAGATGAAAGAAAGCAGGGAGTAGTGGTGCGATGGAATATTACCTAATTTTAGTAACACCACTGTATTTCAGCCCAACTTGAACCATGTCAGTCCCCAGTGCTCAGTTTATTTATCTTCCCCTCACTGGGCTTTCCGCAGGAGGAGCCAATCTCATGAGTGCGCACCCACCATGTCTTCATCAAGTATTCTGGACACGAAATACCAGAAGTTCCAAAGTCTTCGAGCAGCTGGATGATTAGGATTTCGAGCTGATGTATCAAACACTTGGTTGTACCTAATCGCTTTAATGTTCTCTGCATCCCTCACTAGGTGGGGCGCATGGGGCAAGTATGAGAGACATCCAAGCGATGAAATGATATACCGTAGGACGCACGGAGCAATTCGATTGACGAAGCGTTCTTTGACTATTGTTCAAGCGAGACTGAAAGTCTTGAAACCCACCACAATATGTAGGACGAGTTGTCGTAGGGAGCGGTAAATGTTCATCAGAAGCAACTTGTGCAGGAAAACAGTCAGCGCTAGGTAACCAGCCAAAGGATAGGAAGACCCATATTCAACGATGGTATCGTCGAGGATTATCTTCCGCATCATAGCTGTAGACTTGTATTTGTCGAGAAACAGTCTCAGGATCCTCATATGAGATCAGGAGGACGCCGTTGTGCATATAGCAGGTGCCAAGTCTCCGGTTGATGAACCAGTTCGCCTTTTGAAAGCCGTTAAGGGAGAGAGAGGGTAGATGTTGATTCAGTCTCATCAGACTAGAATGATTTGAGTCGTCCAGGTCATGGTGACAATCCACTCGTATACCGACCATTGCTGGCTCTCCATGAAACTTCTCATATCGTCAAAGCCAGCCTGGAGACGTTAGTAGACACTGGAGTCTTGAACACTCAGGAGTGTACCGGGACTGGCTCCTAGTTCGCAATTCACCTCCAGAGACAAGTGCATCGCTGCAAGACATTATATTCATTACCCCTAGTCAAACGAGTACCTCGATTAAGTCGCCACGGAAAGATCAACAATTATTGTTCGTTAGCTTTCAACCGTGGCAACAACTAGCCAGATATCAGGTGATAGAAAGACGGAAGTGGTAGAAAAATAGATGAATGTCTTTCTACTATTCAAGGCCAACAACGCCCCGTGTGCCTGAGGCCGAGTTTTCACTAAGCATTACTTTCTACCCCACAGATCCAGTGCCTCTATGTTTCTATAACATGCATTGTTGATTTCCGTGCTGGAAGATTCTGGGTCTTCAGAGTGTTTCGTGCCAAGCGTGGATTCGTTGTATTCGGTGCTGTTCATCTGGGTTGTATTCTGGGTTGTAAATACCTGCTGGAGGGAGTCTATACTAGAGTATGACCCTATAACGTAAATGCACTGGTGAGTAGTCCTTATGGATAGAGTTACAGCTAGGTCAGGTCCGAAACCTTCGGTCACCCGTTCCTGCTTAACTAACTAATTAAGACTAAATAGTGGAGGGCGCGTAGAGCGTTAGACGAAAATGCAAGTGTATTTATTTATCAAGTGTATTTATTTATCGATGCTCTATATACGTACGACCTCCGCTCTATAAACCGTAAACGCCGTGATCCAAACAGTCAAGTCATAGTTAGTTACTTTTTATATGAACCGAACCACACCTCATGCCATCGTTCGAAGCATCAAATATTACCGAGTCTCCTCTCTCGGCTAGATTAAGCGCCCACTCTGAGAAAGAAATAATTACCACCTGCACGCTTAGATGATGATCTGGCTGACGCCGTTGGCGAGCTCGGCTTCCTTCGCCTGAGACATCTTGGCGACCTTCTCGAAGACGCCCGAGGCCGTGGCCACGAAGCCGAGGAAGGGCTTGCTGGGCGCGAGCACGCGAGACAGGTACTCGGGGTGGAACTGGACGCCCACGAACCAGGGGTGGTCCTGGAGCTCGACGATCTCCATGCGCTCGCCCTGGTCGTCCTTGCCGATGAAGTGCAGGCCGGCGTCTTGCAGGCGGTCGATGTACTCCGGGTTGACTTCGTAGCGGTGGCGGTGGCGCTCGTGGATAGACTGGCAATCCTGGCCGTACAGGGAGCGGAGCTTCGACCACTCGGTCTTCTCTTGGAAGAGGGTCGGGCGGGAGCCCAGACGCATGGTGCCGCCCAGGTTGACCTGGTCGATCTCGGGCATGTACACGACGATGGGGTCGGAGGTGTTGTTGTCCAGCTCGACGGAGTTCGCGCCCTTGATGCCGCAGACGTTGCGGGCGTATTCGATAACCGCGATCTGCATACCCAGGCAGATACCCAGGTACGGCTTGGACTTCGTGCGCGCCCAGTGGGCAGCGTTAATCATGCCCTCGGTTCCGCGCGTGCCGAATCCACCGGGCACCAGGATGCCGTCGGCCGAGGTGACGTCGTGCCAGGCCTTGTAGTGCTCCTGGGGGTTCGTCTCCCGCGAGGAAAGCTCGAGGTGAGAGGCGTCCACCCAGATGATGTTCAGCTTCTTGCGGCAGGCCATAGCGGCGTGCTCGAGCGACTTGATGACCGACAGGTAGGAGTCGTGCAGCGAGACGTACTTGCCGACCAGGGCGATGTTGACCGAATCGAAAGTGTGATCCTGAGCGGAGGTCAAGGTGTTCCACTGTTTCCAAGTGCTCTGGCCCTTGGACACCAACGCCGAGGAAAGGGAGACGTTCTGGATCTTGAGGAGGTCGCTCACGACATGCAGGAAGCCCTGCTGCTCGAGCAGAAGGGGGACGTGGTAGGTCGAGCTAACGTTGTGGACGCCGATCACCTGCTCGGGCTCCACCTGGCAGAACATGGCGATCTTGTCGGTCGTCGCCTTGTCGAGCGGCCGCTCGCAGCGGCAGGCGATGAGATCCGGGCTCATACCAGCTGAGCGTGCATCCCGGATGGCCTGCTGCGTGGGCTTGGTCTTCAGCTCGTCGTGGATGAGAGGAACCAGCGAGACGTGGATCTGGATGAAGTTGTCCTTGCCGGCACGGCGACGGAGCTGGCGCAGCGCCTCGACGAAGGGGGCGCTTTCAATATCACCCAGGGTACCGCCCAGCTCGACCACGCACACATCGGGTTCCTCGTTGGTGTCGTCGGCGGGGCTGCGCGCCACGCGCTCGATCCAGTCTTGGATAGCCTCCGTCAGGTGGGGGACGATCTGCACCGTACGGCCGAGGTAGTCGCCGCGTCGTTCCTTCTCGATAACGTGCTGGGTTCGTCAGTACGAGGGATCCCAATATCCAATTCTTCCTGAACACACCTTGTAGACTTTGCCGGTTGTGATGTTGTTATCCTTGCCAAGGGTAATGCCAAGATATCTGAACCGTTAGCATGGTCCACCACATCAGGGAAGAAACCCAAACCCACCTCTCGTAGTTTCCCAAGTCCAAGTCCACCTCACCCCCATCGTTCAAGACGAACACCTCTCCGTGTCTAGTCAAGTCAGCCTCTCCGCCCGTATACTTCAAAATAAAGCATGCAGAATAACGTACTCGGTAGGCGCCATTGTCCCGGCATCGATGTTCATGTAAGGATCGATCTTGATCGAAGTCACGCGAGCTCCGAGGGTCTTGAGCAACAACCCGGTGCTGGAGGCTATCTGCTATTAGACGGGGCCTGGATTCGTTGATAAAATGCGAACTGTACCAATTACACCCTTGCCGATGCCACTGATGACACCTAAGATTCATGTTAGCAACAGATTCCCTAGTCAACAGGCTACAGATTGGGGAACATACCTCCGGAGACCACGACGTACTTCATGGTGGCGGTATTAACAAAAAAACCGGGTATCAGAAAGAAAAAAGAATAGCGACTGGAGAAAAGAAGGACTATTATATGAGACCGGTTTGCAAGAGTGGTGAAAAAGCCTTGAACGTAGGGGTGCCTTTGCCGGCTTCTGCCGGGGGGAAAGAGAAGAAGACGAAAGAAAAAATGAAGCCGAAGGGCAGATTTTCGTGTTGCGCGTGTGGTCCCGCTTCCCCCGCCGCTTTTTTTTTTCTTCTTTAATTCCGGTTTGCCTGTTTGGGTTTAGTGCAGGCTCGCCATCAGTCACGTGATACTGCCCTACAAACGGTTCAAGCGGATAAAAGAGCAGATACACCAGTCGATACCATGATTCGTATATTGACAACTCAGTGGTTTTCTTTAATGAGCTTATTAGGCTAACTCTATTATGTGGATCATTAGTATACTCTTTCGCGACGCCAATCCAGTGCGAAATCGAACGATTCCCATACGAGGGCCACTCAGTCATCCCATCAGCAGTCGGCCTAAAGAGAAACTGATATACCCCTACAAGACGGAGAAACTATACGATCATACGTGAAAGGTAAAGATGATGCACCCAATAGAATGAATTCAGGTAAAGCGTAGAAAAAATCGCCAACTTCAACATAACCATCAACCAGTAGCCTACCTCCGACCTCATTTTTGCTTCTGCAACTCCAGCAACCCCCTCAGCGCATCCGTCTCGCCCTCCAGCTTCGACACATGCATCTTCAATGCATCCCGTTCCCGCTTAACAGCTTCTAGCTCTGCCTCCAGTTTGCTCATCTGGTCGACACGACGCTGGCGGTATCGACGAGCAGCTTGGGTGTTGAGCTCTCGTTTCACCACGCGGTTGGCAGTCTCCTTTGGGGAGGTCCCGCGCGATGAGGTCGACGAGGGGGTGTGAGAGACTGGCGTGGGCATGTGAGTTGCAGGAGCCAGCCGGGGAAGAGCGTTATTGTTCAAGATAGACGCATCAGGTGCGGGAGCTTCGCTGTCGGTCGTGGCCACGTGAGGAGGCGATATGGTTTCGGTCGGCGGGGGAAGTTGACAGTGTAAGGTGTTCAAGGTTAGAAAGTCGTCGTCGGTGAGGGTCACTTCGGATAATGGATCGCAGGAGTGGAACGAGTCGGTGGGAGGGATCGGTGCAGGGAAATCAGGAAAGGCGAAATCAGGCCACAGGTTGGGGTCGGGCTGGAGGAATTGGTCATTGAGATAGAGGTCTCCAGGGGAGTCTTGGAGATGGAAGTAGTCGGAATTGTAGTTGTAGTTGTGGTGATGGGTGGAATTAGAGATGCCGCGCCGTTCTGAAGACGTCGGTGGTCTGCCGGGAGGCCCATGCTGCGGAAGATACGGCGGTGGCCATGGTTCTATCCTTTAGACCGGGTCGTTGGACCCGGTGGGCGCACTTGAACGATTAACGAAAAGGTGAGCGCACGTCGTCTGGTCGAACGACGATTGAAAGGATAGGGAAGGGAAAGAGAAAGAAGGAAGAAGCTTGGGGGAGGCGAACCGCTGTTTAAAAGGACCGGTGGGGCTGGGCGGGAGCCTGAGGCATGCTGATCCGAGACCCATGCTTGTCTCACTTTGATCAGTCTATATATTCACTTGCAACCTGCAACCCAATGGCAAAATCAAAGAAAATCAAGCATCGGATGATGTCGGCCCGATCTCATGGAATGCTCTTCCTAGCTGCATCCCAGATCCTCATATATGCAGAGCATGTCGGCTACGGGGTTTCTTCATTGCTTGTACGGTTTATGGGGGGAGAAAGTTACATACCGGGAGCCATGCCGCAGCCTTACCCATCGATATCGTCCTCAACAACTTGATTCAATCTATATTTCTACCCTCACTACTTTCTATATATACTCTACATTCATGAACACAAATTAGTTACACAACGGCCCTCTACAAATGATTCTGAATGAGTCGAAACCGCATCATCCTCACTCATCTATATTGCAATCGCAGGGCATCCTGGATATCATCTCAACCAGACCAACAACCACAGACCGTGCAAAGTAAGCCCTAAACCCAATTCGGTGCCTGCCGTGAATGAGTGAAAATGACTCATGCTGAATTGGCCAATGATTGCCAGGAACCGGCCTGATCCGACCGACGATATCAGGATGGACCCACTTGACCTTAAATAACCCCACTGATTTGAGAATTGGCTTTGACCAGTGGGAGCATCCCCCGCCCGGCTCTTTGAGAGATGTCTGTTGGTTCTAGAAACTTGGTCAGGGCTGGAGAGAGAGAACTTTCTGACCAGAACTGGATTATAGAAACCCTGTTTTCATGTCGGTGCGTTTTCTTCTGGTTCTTTATCTCGAGGCTACCGTTCAGCTGGCGGTTCAGGCAGTCCTGAACCCGGTGGTACACGTCTTGGCGGGACGCCTAAACACGGCCTAAGCTGGTTATTTGCATGCCAACCTGACAGCGGGATGATACCTTCGGACGACTTCCAAAGCACTAACAAGATACAGACCAGATGAATATTTAACCCGTGCGATGCTGACAACTCCAGAGACGCAGGCCTCAGCCAGCACAGTTCTATATTGTATCAACATGACAACAACGCTTGTAGACATATCATTTCTATATACTCTATACATACTATAACCTGACGCATGCCATCAATAAGTGCTCGCGGTAAGAATAAAGACATAGCTTTAAGACCTACCCTCCAACAAGCAGCATAAATACACAACATCTCCTGAACTCTAAGCCCTAGACACCATTCTATCACTCCACTCCTCACTCCTACTCCTCTACAATACAAAAAAACATACACCATAAAATCTCTACCTAGCAGGCCCCTTCCCAGCACCTCCCACCCCAGGCACAACCCCCGTAGCCCAAACAACCTCCATCAACCCCTCCCCCACAAACCCCTCCTGCCCACCAAGCCACCCCCCTCCACCCTCCCAATCCACCGAATATCATGCGCAGCACCCATCAAATCCTGATCCTGCGCAACGTGGTCATTCCGCACCTCAAACCGATACTCCCTCCCCCGCTCATCCACAACACTCACCACCCACCCCGTAATCCCCGCAGGGTCAGCCACCGGCACACCACCACCACCACCACCAAGCGGAGTAACCGTCCCGCTGCGGTCTCCACAAGCAGCCACAACCGCCTTGCCATCCTGCGCCAGCTGGAAACTCCTACTTACATGATGCTTCGCATCGATATGGTAGTACCAGACAAGCGAGTAGGGTCCGACGCGCGCGTGGCCCCAGTACCACTGTGTGAGGTCTGCGAAGAGGGGTTGGAGGCTGAATATCTATCAAAACAAACATTAGCATTAGCTTTACCCCATACATCCAACTTTAACCAGCACCCCCCAAAACCCATTTTAAAAAAAATATATATAAACAGAAGAAAAGAGAATGGATGAAGACAAACCTGATCCGCGTACCCAGCTCCCTCAAAAACACTTTTAGTCCCATTAACAAGCACCTCAACCCTCGCCTCCGCACCAGCGACTACAGGCGCCCACCCCAACAGCTCCGTCAACATATACGATGCGCCCTCCTGCTTAACCCCACAAGGCACATGCAGCGGCGCGCGCGCGCGCATCGTAATACTAGCCGACACGCCCTTCTCAGGGACATTCAACTCCACAACAAGCGCAGATAAATCATCCGCCGCAAACCACTCCATCACTCCACCTTGAGCGCGGGCATTGCTCCCATCACCTATTGTGGAGAGCGTGAGCGCCCCCGCGGGGATAGTCTCCTGGATGAAGGATCCATCTGGGAGGAGGGCGTTGAGGAGGATGGCGCTGTGGGTGGATAGGAAGGCGGGGTAGAATTGGAGGATGATGGCTGAGGGGAGGTGTGGTTGTTGGAGACGGTGTCGAAGTAGAAGCCTTCGTAGGCGGTGCCGTTGTTGTAGAGGAGGTGCGGGCCCGCGAAGGCGTGGGTGTTGCTTACTGTTGTGAGGATTCGGGCGGGGCTCGGGACGGGGGTTGGGGGGAGGATGTAGGCTTTTGGGGGTGGGGTTGTTTGGTTTGGGGGTGTTGTTGCTTGGATGGTTGGGGGTTGGAGGAGGAGGATGAGGAGGAGGAGGGATTGTAGGGAGGACATCGTGTATACTCCAAAGTATATATTTGCATAGGATAGATACCGGTTTATATAAATGACAGACGAGGATAGATCTCCCAAATCACACAGCAGTACTTCCATCAACCTTTATATACTCCCTACAGTATCACATACCACACACCAAATCAACCAGACCTGACAATTCGCCCTAATTGCCACTATACCCATATAGGATTCTGCTGATTTTTACCATGGATCATAAATATATATATATTCTCTATATAAAAGCATATATAGTATTTAAAAGATCCTTTCAACCACGCAGCCGCTCGTCTCTACACCTCTCCTCCTTTGAACCAGTCGAAACGAGCGCGACCGGCACCCCTGGAGAAGCCATTTATACCTATACTACCAGAGGGGGGGGACTTGCAATATTCCCAGGGGACTGGGAATACCCCTGAAAATCCCTAGCTACATAGCTATCCCTAGCTATCCCTAGCTACCTCTCGCTATCTAGCTACCTAGCTACCTAGCCACCTACCTAGGGGTCCCATAAAGGATTACCCCTTGCCGAATAGGCTTAGATCTCCAAAGGAATCTCTTATCCCGTGTACTCGACCTAGTATATGCATAAGCTATAGACTTGCTTAAAGTGGCTAAGAATACTAAGTAACTATAGATATTATATATCTAGAGTCAGACTCAATAGATATTCTTAAAGATCTAAGTCACGGACACTCTAATTATTATATCTTAATATATATCTATTAAGAGACCTCAAAAGTATAATTATATTATTATATTATCTTACCTTTGTCAAACTGATAATACTCTTTATATTTATATATGAAATGCCAAAGCTTTAGTCATGTCCAGCAGGCTGCACCTCCCTTTTTATGATTAATTCTAGGCCTATAAAGCTAAGATAGACTAAGAACCACAGTTTTGGCACCTGTGTGGGGAGGCTTAGGTGGCCTGCTAGTATCACTGCTCTCTCACCCCTATACCAAGGACTTAAAGACGATCACGAACTCATGACCACAATGCTGATGCGAGCTGACGGGCCCTACTTGGGCCCCTCGGCCGTCAGCGTCTTGGAAGGATCCCGGAAACGGCGATATATTCAAGGATAATGCAAATCTCTCTCTCTCTCTCTCTCTCTCTCTCTCTCTCCCTCAATCAACCAGACCTGTGTAATGAGTTCGCAGAATCACACGCCCTAATGATATTTTCCCAAATCCGGACCTGCATAGATCAGCGAACACATTGCGCAGGGACACCCCCAATCACGATTGGATATGATCAGGATTGGTGGTCAGCATTTCTGCGAGCGGTGTCAGCAAGTGGTTCCCATAGTTATACACAATTCGTCAGTCAGTATATGGCTGAGTTTGTGTTGTCTTACTCATCTATATTTTGGGGCTGGACTTTGGGTTTGAATATGTTTGGTATATACGTAGGTACCATGGTTATGTGGATGTGCAGAGTCAGATACTGTATGTAATAGTAAAAATTAGCTAGAAGCTGAGTGTACATCCTAGACTTACTTCGCTGTATTGGATATTTACATGAACTTTTTCTAGTCCTGAAAACCCTAGATATGAGGTAGGTACATAGACACGGTTATCCAATAGAACATTTCAATAAGTATTTTTGTTATAAATATATATACTCAAATTCTAATCAGAAAACAACCCAACACCAACCATCAATATACAAATGCAATCAGTCCCTATATATACCCCAGCGCTATCAATGCTAATAGTCATCAATCATATAAAAACCAAACACGCCACCCTCCGCTAATGCTACACATCTAATCCACACCAACCCTACCCTACTCGCTACCATCCAACCTACTCACTATCATCCTGGAGCAACACCTTCAGCTTCTCCAGCTTATCCTCACACTTCACCTCCATGTTCATGACAACGTCCATACTGTCCTTCTTCGTGACCATCAGCTGCGACACGAGCCAGAAGTTGTATCCGTTTTTGTAGAAGCCCATGGACGCCCATTCGTGGGGTGGGATTGTCGTGCGTAGGGTCGACCAGTGGTCGTGCCATCTTGTTAGTGCCTTGCGGATCCCTGCTAGTGTGCTGTCTTCGGGGAGGCGCAGCTGGGGTCGTTTGTTGCTGGGATCCTCGGATGTGGAGTTCCGGTGTGACAGTGTTGGTTTGCGTAGGAGTGAGCCGAGGAGGGTCATGTGGGTGTTGATGAAGGAGTATAGTACTGTATGGTTAGCATGGGACCGTCACGCTTGAGCCAAGGGGCTTACGGTGCACTAGAATGAACATGTCGAACACGGTGCGGCTCGCCATGCGGACCGTGTCTTGTGCGTTGGCGGCGCTAGTTGCGACGCCATCGGCACCACCGGGCCCCGTAAAGAGACATTGGAAAGCCTCGTACACCGTCGGTTGGTCGCGCGTTACGTGGTAGTTGGGGTCCGCGAAAGGATGTTGGCAGAAGAATAGGGATTGGATCGAGGGCATGTCACAGGCGATTTCTGTGTGCGCGAGTCGGCAGGGGTAGTTTTGGTAGAAGGAGAAGGCGCAGTCGAGTAGCACTATGATGTTCATGGTCCTATATAGTCAGTATCGCCTCGAGGTATCGCAAGGCGAGGAACATACCGAATGCGACATTCTCGCCGGATCCAGAGCAGCTCGTGACTCCGGTCAGTGGCTCCGTGTCGACACTTCGACAGGCCCATCCGGCGCGCAACGTTGACCAGTTCACTGAACCGAACCTCCATGGCGCGATTGCGCGACACCCGGCAGCCGGACCAGTACTGGACGATCAAGATGACGAACCCCGCCTGGAAATTTTGAAAATAGGTCCAGTCGTTGCCCTCGTCCTTGCGACCGCCGGTCCCACAGAACGTGGAGGTGATATCGTTCTCCGGGGCGAACACGTCGTTGGAAAAAACGACCAGTTCCGCAAAGTCCAGCAGTCGCTTGGCCGCGCGCGTCTCCTGCTCATCCGACGAATACATGGCACCCATGAAGGCCACTCCGAGGAGAAGGACCATGGGGACGGTCTCCGGGTCGAACGTCGGCCCGTGGAGCATGGCCAGGCTGGGCTCCCAGTACCTGAAATACAGCGCGACGTACTTGCGTATGCGAGCGGTCGTCAATAAGGATTCCGCCATGGTCGTGATCTCTCCCTGGGTTTTCGGATCCAAGGGAAGGGACCATACTCGTCGCACTATGGCGTCGACCAGGTTGATGGCAAACGGTCTTTCCGGTTCGATAATCATGGGCTCCGGGACGGGCAATCCCAGGTTGAGATCCAGGCACGGCGCCACCACCGTCTGCATGGGGACGTCGGTGTACTGCTCTCCTAATGACTTGTCGGGATCTCCCAAGGGACCCGCAAAGAGCTCGAACAGGGAATCCTGGAAAAGCGAGAGCCCCGATGGATCGGGGTCCGGGACCTCGATCGAAGGCGGCGACTCCGACCCTTCATTCCCGAGGTAGTCCCCATAGTCCTCCATGCCCTTGCGATTGTATTCCAAGCCGCGGACTCGGTCATCACGGGGCGGCAGGAGGAAGTCTTCGGTAAAGCCATCGGTGCCGCCGTTTAAGAGAAATTGGATAGAACCGCGATCGGATGGGGGGCCGTCTTGTCTCGACGACGGAGAAGCTGAATAGATGAGCTTGCGCCTTTTATACGGATAGTTGAAGAAAGATCGAGGAGACGGATAGATGGGTACCTTCGTCCGAGGGAGAGTTGGGTCCATCCTTGCGACCGTTATTGCAAAGGAGGTTTCTTTTCTGGCAGGATCCGCACGGACTCAAGCCATCGCATCGGAGTTTCATGGACGTGCACTGCCGGAATGACGGGTCAAAGCTGAACCAGACGGGGGTTACCAAAGACCGGGCCATCTTACCGATTGGCAGGCATGGCGGCGGCGACCTCTCTGGCCGGTCTCAGGGATCTTGCGACCGGCCCGTTTGGCGCAGTCTGAATAGTGGTCGCGAAGGTTATCACTACCCCGGACGGAACCATCAGCGGACGGTTCGGATTCGAATGGAAGGGACGGGCCCCAAGAAGGCGCAAAAAAAAAAAAAGGCAAGGCAACTATAGACGAACCAGCGGGCAAACGATTCATGACAAAAGACGCATGAATAAGGTCTCACACCGGAGTCTGCGAAGCTCCCAGCCTTAGTCAGTTGACGGGTCCTGCAGAATCGGGACGGAGGAATGGAAATATGCCAGGGGATCTATATCTATGCAGGACACGGAGCGGGAAGGAGAGTGGAGGAGTGGAGGGGGTGGAGTGGGGGATGGGGAGAGAAAGAGCGGGAATAGAACATACGGCGGAGATGATGACGTTTTAGATGATCAATTCGGGTAAACCCTCGCTGACAGATAGTGCAGCAGAAGTGTTTATTGGAGGTGGACTTCATGGCGACAATGAAGTAATGTGGGGGAAGGCATACATCGGGGAGAACGAGGAACCGAAGAAGACGGGGAGACGGGGAGACGGGGGGAGAATGGGGGGAGAATGGGGGGGAATTGGGGGATTTATTATTAATATGAATATATAGGGGAAGAAAAGAGGACAAGAGAAAGAGACAGGAGAGTGAAGAAAAGAGAGAAAGAGAGAGAGAGAGACAGAGAGGGGAAAGAGATGGAGAAAAAAAGGGAAAAGAGAGAAGAAATCAGATAGTGAGATAAAATTCAAGACCGAGTAATGACGACAGATACGGGGTAATGGAAGGTAATTGATTTAGGCCGGGGTAATTAATCCAGCAGAATAGGTAGCAGTCATCAATCAGGCAGATCCAACACCACGGGTTGAGATAGACGTTGAATGATGGTGGAGGAGGGGAGAGAGGGGAAGTCCTTAATATTGAATGCAGTCATTTATTCTCCCCAATCTGACCATAAGGAAATCCAATCCAGTTAGTAGAATAAATAGTCGGTCATCATCACACTTGATACCCAATTATCCATCGTAATGGGGCCGAAATTGGAGGAAAGGAGAGTCCGGTGCGATACCCGTTACAGGACATTACACCTCGTATTGCTGTCTGATGCATCAACCTTCACCACGATCTTGGGATATCTACAGTAGTTTATAGTTCGGTGGATGATTTCTATAATCTATAGTCTACATTAAATATATCATCCCCTGAGTTGATAAGTATCCAACATCAAAGAGAAACAGAAGACACAAAAATGAGGTATAAGTTGGGGTACTTGGTCATACTTACAGGGGTATGAACCACCGATGGAACCCGTACACAGTATACCCATTCGGGTTAGATATGGATTCTTTGACGGCTTCTCCAATCCATCTCATCCATCTCCAATTCATCTTTCTCTGTACCTCTTCCAGTCCATATTAAGGGGGAGGAATTCAACCATACACGGCAGATGGCTCCCCATCTTCTCCCCGTTCCCATGACAGAGGATACCAGGGGCCATACTCCCCTAAACTATTACAATAGTCTCGCTCTAACCCCAAACCATCGGTGTCTTGGTCTGGTCTAAGTCTAGTCTTGTTCCACACGCACCCTCCCGGCCTGAAAACGCCTGTCGATCCCATTCTGCTCCCCTCCCCGCTTGGTCCCCTGGAGCCTCGGGACATCCTCCATGGCTTGCTTTCCATGTCACATCCCGGGATGGAGTATAGTTTCCAGGGTGTCGGGTAGAGATTGACTTTTCCGGTGGTCTGTTCTTAATGTCTAATCTATACCCGATCCGCAGGCCGGCCAATCCTGCCTGAGGACCCCTGTCAGGGCGGCCTGCCAAACGCCCCGTCCACGCCAAGCTAGCCCGATCCTGGTAACCTGAGTCGGACGATGGCGATCGATTGTTCAGCTGACATCCATGGGCTATGATTTGGGATTGTCGACGCTTGTTTTGTGATGGAATGCAACCTTCTCTGTTCTGATGTATACAGGTAGCAATCACAAAGCGCATCCTGGTTCAGAAGACGGGGCATGCCAAGAATACTGAACGCTACCATGACAGAAAATCCGGATACTGTCTTTGTCGAAATGGCGAGACGGCGTGTTGTGGCTTGATCTAATATCTGAGAGCAAGACAGACGTCTTCGACCCCGCTCATTAGCGAGTCTTGATGCTGGATTGGCTATAGGCGAGTGAACGCGGCATCCGATGTTTGCCTTCGATATGCACCTCGGAACGCGTTTGACCCTGTATTTTCTTTCTCTCCTTTTTTGCTTCTTTTTTACACCGTGACTCGATTGCCCTGTGGGACGGACTGTCCACCCCGGCTGATTGCAGCCCAGATCTAAATGCCAAATGACCCTGTTTCGTCACTTACCGTCATAGGCTTATCCGGTATAGTAAGCGGTAGGGCTTCTCGATTCTTCATTCGAATGACCAATAACGAGCTGCGAACCGTGTCCCGAGAGCAATGCTTGGTGGCACTTGTGTCACTCGCAAATCCTCTGGAGACTCAGGAGAGATCGCACGTCGCACGCTGAACACCCCAGCATGACACTACCCAGTGGGTCTATCCTCCCCGGGCCGGGGAGAGAGCTCGGCAGACTCTTCGACATTCGTCAAGGCGGGGCGTGGCTTGCAAGAAACCGGCCCACTCATCACCAACCCAATCATATCAGGGACTATACAGTGCCTTCGACCATCAATTCTGATCCAGTGTAGCCATTGAGTCATGGAACCTCTCCCCGCTGGGCCCAGAGTCCTTCCAGTGGACTCAATTCGTCACTTACCAATTATTGGTACACAAACACGGCGTGCAGGAGATAGTGTCATCAGCGGGTGCCGCTAACGGAGTCTCTGGCGGATGGGTGGCCGCTCCGAACGTCCGCCACAGCGCTTATACTTTCAGAGGAGTCATCTTTTACCAGCCGTCCCCAAAAGGGGATACTAAACCTAGCGGTTTCGCTAGTGGGCGTTGTGCCGTATAGTGGCTGGTCCCATCGAGATGTCGCGTACGCCTGGTAATTCCAGTCGCTCCGGCCTCCAATGCTTTGTGCTGAATCTACCGTGGAAACGTGGACGTGATGGCCAAGAACTGACCGAACAGGTGACGTGATCTGTTGAATTCTGTGGGTCTGCTCAAGCTTCGTGATAGGGTTCCACCGTCTTGACGCCGGTGGAGGAAAACCGAAGTGTTTGCCATTCCCAAGGAATCGACAGATTCCATGGCTACGGCACCGGTCGCCTCACTTCCAGCAGCGTGGTTCGAACATCTACTCGAGTGCCGTAAAGACGAATGATTGAACAGCCACGGAGAATGAACGTGAAAGTATAACATAACATCAACCAGGTACTATCCCACACATATTCTTTCTCTAATTGGCCTGTTAACGAAACCACGCTGGTAACCACTGATATCAACGTCCCGGGTGTTATGAATTGCCAAGAACATGTACACGGGGAAAAACCCCGATGAGAATAAGCTGGAAATCTGAATTCGCCCTCAATGTCACATGAAAGTGAGAACTGTGCCATTGATGTGCGAGCTCATATCACAGACTATGAGTGCTACCCCGAGGGCAAGCGAGTGCAATGACATATCCACCTTCAAGGTTGAACTATTTCCCAATAATGGCACTACCATGCCTGAAGTGGCAAGGTATGGAGCTCTTCTGGCCATGACGATCATAGACATAATGTTAAGTCATGTTGTACCACAGCTCCGGATATAGCTCAGGTATAGCAGGATTCCTGTTCGGGGTACATACCGGGAAACTCGACACGGAATCAAAGCTGTTCAATTATTGTGAAAACATCGCCGTTTAACTGGAAGCTTCAACTCGAATTGAGGACATATATTGCCAAACCAAGATTTCCACAGTTATTCTCAAATATGGATTTCGAATTTCCATGTTTTCGCTTCGGTTGTCCTCCGGGCCCGATTAACGCATTACTAGGTTGGCGAAATCCAAACCCCACCAGACAAGTTTTGCCTAAGGTGAATGGCGTCAGGATTAAAGTTCGCAAGACTAGCTTACTTCTTGGTATCCTCTGAGCAACGATCTACGGGCCGGTCGATCCAAACGTCTGGAAACAAACGCCATCACGATGACCTGGTCTTGTGTCGCGTAGATGCCAACCAGGCTAATTCGAGCGAGTTGATAAGTGACGATATACCATTTCCAAAGATGGAGACCACTTAGGAAAAGTCGGGCTTGCGTATGCGACGCAACCAGCACGAGACAATCAATTGTCTAGCGGATTACCAAGCGAATTACTGCAGGGGAGTCCGGTGGTGTGATACTCAAATTCAGGGTCTCAGTTCCCGTGGTTGCAAATCCCGAACCCGAACACCGCTCGCCCGCGGAATACTCGGCCCGTCAGTGTGTCCGCCAGGGGAAGTGGAGCATAATGTCGCCGCAACAGAAACTTTTCGGGGAATGGTTCCAAGGGATTTGATTGGTGTCAGCCCACGGGAAAGAGAGGAAAAGTTAGTAAGGAAAAGAAAAGCTTATGGGAATTTTCGCCCTTAACTCTCGCTTGCGGTGCGCTGACAGTTTAGACTACTATATCGGCCCCGAGCAGCCCTAAATACTCACCGTGGTCCGGGATCGTCCGAACATGCAGACTAGCTAATCATGACTTCCCCGCGGAAATGTCACTCACACCTTATCTTGTGGAGATAAGATGAGATTTTTGAATGGCCAGGGGATCTCAATGAGATGGACCCTCAGAGAAGAGACAACGAACCAGAGTGACATGATGTGCCATTAGTAATATAGTGGAATATCAGTCAATCAAGCCCGACCAAAAGCCGACTCGGTATTGTGGCGTAATCTCAAATACTTTGGTTCGCCGCTCTAGTCCCCATAGCGCGTCCCGAGGATGCGGGTGCCGATCATCAGGGACAAAAATCTGTGCCTACCGCTTCACATGCAGTCTGAATTTCCACACATATAACAAGCTCTCTCTCTCGGTGTGCGGGCACGCTCCTAACCCTCCACGTCCACCGCTCACAATGGCCCTGAAACTGGACGCGTTCAGCCCCCCGGAGGTGATCGAGATCATCTCGCGGGCCGGGGTGACCAAGGGCAACATGCCGCTCGAAAAGATCTTCCTCAGCGCTGTTTCAGGCGGCGGTCTGCTGGCATTTGCCTGTGGCAGTCTCCTCAGCACCGCCACTGCACCGTGGTTCCAGGATAATGCGCCGGGGTTGATTCGCACTATCAGCTCCATGGTCTTCCCGTACGGCCTGTGCATGATCATCCTGACGGGGGTGGATCTCTGCACGAGTTCTTTCCTGGTGTGTTATCCCAGTACACTGCTATATGGTACCGTCTAACAGAGACAGTACACCACGGTCGCCGCACTCCAGCGCCGTCTCCCCTGGTGGAAGATGCTCATGCACTGGTTCATCACCTTCTGGGGCAATCTCGCCGGCTCCCTCTTCGTAGTCGCCATCATCTTCGGCTGTACGCACCCCTCCCGCTCCTCCCAACATAACACAAACCTAACAAATCCACAGACGGAGAAGTCTTCTCCGCCGACCCCTACAAATCCCAAGTCATAAAATCCGCGACGGTCAAGCAAGTCACGCCCGACTTCCACCACATCTTCCTGCGCGGCATCGGCTGCAACTGGCTCGTGTCTCTGGCGTGCTACTTCGGCATGCAAGGCCGCGACCTCACCTCCAAAGTGGTCGGCATCTGGTGGCCGATCTATGCGTTCGGGTCACTGGGGTTGGAGCACGTCGTCGCTAATATGATGTTCATCCCGATGGCGATCTGGCTGGGTGCGCCTGATATCACGGTGGGGTTGTACATCTGGAAGGGGATCATCCCGGCGTTGATCGGGAATGTGATCGGGGGTGTTTTGTTCGGCGCGACGTACTACTGGTATATGTATGGATACCCGAGGGAGACGCCGACAGTCGAGACGCCGACACTTGGGAAATCAGCCGGGGATGTATAGCTTAACATATTAATATATAATAACATCTAGATGTATATAACGCTAATAAGCACAAGCAACAAAAACTATGAAGAATCATCATCATCCTCATCCTCATACAAATGATTCACAAACTCCCCCTCAACAGCATCATCCCCCGTAACAACAACCCACATAACCTTCTGCGCAATCTTCGTCTCCCTCTTCTCAACCCTCATCACCCTCTTCTCACTCTTAACCAACACCCTCGTAACCTTCGCCTCCCTCTCCCTCCTCAACTTTTCCAACCTCCTCTCCACCCCCCTCAGCTCCTTATCAAGATCATCCCGCACAATGCCCCGTCCCTGCAACGACTCTCCCAACGGGCCCGCCAATCTCTCCCGCGCCCTCTCCCGCGCACCCTCCCCCACAGCCTCCACCTCCGCTATCCGCGCATCGATCTCCGCCCCAGCCCGCTCCGCTTTCTCCGCCATCCGCGCCGCCTTATCCCGCTTCACCCCCAGCCCTGTATTCTGACGGGTCGTAAACCACCGCTCTTGTTTCGCCGTTACGCGTTTCAGCCAGTTATCGCTGTCTGTGCGCTCGCCGTCGAAGCGGATGGGGAGGACATGGCCGGCGAGGGCTTCCAGCCTCCGAACCTGCGGATCATACTGTTCTTTATTCCCCCTCACCTTATCCCCATCCTCATCCTTATCCTTATCCAATCCCTCCCCTCCATCCCCGCCTTCCTCTCGCTCCCTCTCCTGGTACCGCGGAGGCTCTTCCTCCCCAGGCCCACTCTCCCCCCGCAAAGGCGGCAACTCCAGTGTATCAGACTCAACCCCAATAGTATCCAGCATAGCAGCGGTCTTCAAAATCTGCACTCTCAGACCCTTCGGGGCAAAAAGCGACTCATTCGCGATCCGTAAATAAGCCTGCGTGCGCGCCTGCGACAGCTTAATAGATCCGTACTCGGCAGCAACAGACATACCCAGGCCGGCGATTTGCGTCTCCAGTAGCGGGAGGAGGTTCAGCAGGTGCGAGGTTGTGGATACGGCTTGCAGGTAGGGGTGGGCGAGCCAGGCGTTGTTGAGGCCGTCGATGAAGGAGAGGAAGTCGGAGCGGGGGATGCCGTGGGATGCGAGGTGGGGGGCGTAGGCGCGCGTGAAGGGGCGGTAGATGCTGCCGTGGAGGGTGTGGCTTGTTTCTGTGTTTTGGGGATTAGTTGGGTTTTGGGGGTAGGTGGTGGGGTTGGGTTTCGAGGGGGGGAATGAGGGGAGGGGGCATACGGGGTATAACGAGCGGAATGGGAAGAATGCGCGAGCGGCGGGGTTGGTCGGTGTCGATTTGGTTCTCGATGAGGGTTATGGGGTGGTAGGGGGGTGGGGAGGCATCGTTGTCTTCGGATTGTTCGGGTTGTTGTTGGTGTTTTTCATCGTGTATGCTGATGATTGATTTGGAACTGGGACTGGGCGGTGTTGTAGAGGTGGATGGTATGTATTCTGGAGCTGGAGCTGGAGCGGAAGCTGGAGCTGGTGCCGGGGCAGGCCGTCGTGGTATCGGTGATCGTTTTTCCATGCTGTATGGTTGACGATGTTGACGTCGATGTTGAGATGATGTGGTGAGTTAAGTTAGGTTACTGATTAGGATTCCCTGGTTGGGCTAATAGTTAGCGGATCTTCAGAGGCTGTGGTGGGGCTTGTTCGACCTATTATAGCTGGGTTGTGGAGTGGGGTGTGTTAACCTTGTGTACAATCTACATGCCAGGGTCCTATCTATAAATCTAATTCGACCATGGATGTAACTCCGGTAGCTGGGTGGTGGGTGGTGGTATGAGATATGTAGGTAGTCTACTGATGATATTTCAAGCTAATTGACTACTATGTCATGCGGGATATACACTGGATATGTTGGATGAACGGTGGTAAGTGCATATTGAGCGGGGTTGTTCAATTGAAAGAGGAGTAGATAAACAGCCCTATATCAGGCGTTGATACAGCATCACATATGCAATACAACATCCCAACCACTGCCAGCTACGCTTCCATACATATATCAAGAATCACACCCCCAACAACTTCTTCAACACAGAGCCCTCCCTCTCAAACCCCTCCACCTTCCTCTGCGCCTCATAAACCCTCCCCAGCAACCACTTGACCCTCCCCCCCACCTCCCAAGGCTGCTTCGGCAGCGCCCCCAAGACCCCCAACTCCTCCTCGCACTGCGCAATCCGCGCAGTCTCCCTCGCCGTCAACACCCCCAAAATCAACAACTCCATGCGTCCTCGCAGAGACTCGTTGGCCATCAGCTGCCGGAACACGGCCCGGTACACCGGTCGCCCGGGCCGGATGGTCTCCGGACAGCCGTTTTTCGTCGTGATGGTGATCAGCTCGGCTTGTTCTAGTGCGCGGAGGGTGGCTTCGCCGTTTGTGCTGCTGAAGAGGTCGGAGAGGAGGACTTGCGTGTAGCGGAGGGTGTGGGTCTTGGATTGGGATAGGGCGCGGATTAGGTACCATGCTTGGGCGGGTGTCCAGGGGTGGGTGGTAGAGTCGTTGAGGAGGAAGAGTTTTTGGATTTCCGTGGCGGATTGGGTGATTATACGGTTGACGGCCGCTGTTGGTTTTGTCAGTATATTATGTTCTTTGAGTAGAAGGATAGGGAGGAATACCTCTAGGCGACTCCCCCGCTTCAACCCGATGGGCCATAAATTCCAAGTCAGTCACCCTACCCCCCAGCTCTTCAATACAGCTTCCCAGCCCGTGCGCCTCTAGCTCGCCCTCCCCCGGCGCATCCGTATCCGCCAAATGGCTGAGCACGAACCGACGCGCCACGTCAAGCGAGCAGTCGCCCAGCGCAATCGTCTTGAACACAGCGTTGGGCAACGCGCGACCCAGCGGCTTCGCAAACGACACATCAGCCGTCAGGAAGATAACATGCGCAATATTCCCCGTTACCAAGCCCGAAGCCCACTCAGCGATCTTCTCGTCCACGACACCAGTCTCGCTGCCCGGATGCAAAAAGTTCTCGACCACAACGACAGGCCGCGCCTCCGCGTGCGTCTCAAGGTACTCATCATCCGAGAGATGCGCGTCGCGGTCCGTCTTCCGCCGTCCCTCGAGCGCCACAGCCCGCAGCGCCGTCGCCGTACTTGCCCAAACATTGCTCAGCTGCGCGTCCAGCGTCTCCGAGAACCCGGCCTTCGCGCCGATGACGCCCTGCGCAGCTAGATCGACCAGACTCGACAGGCTATTCATCCACGAAAACACTGGCCAGTAGCCGACCTGCGCCGCGGCACGCGCAATCTTCGCCGCGTCGCCGCGCGCCTCCTGGATAGGTTTGCAGTCAATCGTAAGCTTATACCGCCGGCCCTGCAGCGCGCGGTCAAGAACCATTTCACGCTTGCCGCTCCCGCGGGGGCCATGTACGACGATAAACGTCTCCGGCGTATCGCTCAGCCACGCCCGCAGCTGCGCGATGTCGGCCTCCCGGTCGGCCCAGATGGCTGCGAGCCCGCGCGGGTCAGGCCGGCCATCTCTCCTCCCGCCGAAGAAGGAACTGTATCGTCGGTTCGCCTCATCAAATTGTCTGCTTACCCAGCGTACGATGGCATTCTCCTCCGCCTGCAGCGTCGCTTTGATCTTCATTTCTATGAAGAAATGCCGGATCGGGTCGAAGACTGTCACTGTTATGGCTGCGACGAGAGCCGCCAGCAGCGGGATGACGATGCGCGGGTGCGAAAACACCCAGTCGCGGATCGCAGCGAGCTTGATCTTCCGCGCGTAGTTAATTTTCAACGTTGTGCTGTTGCCGTTGTACCCGGGAAGGGTGAACCCGTGCAGACAGCTCTTGGCGACAACGGCAGGCTGCGCGCGCGAGAACTCGACGTGCGCGTACCGCGGGGGGCTCTTCGGGTCGGGCTGCACGACCTCAACATTGCGCAGTTTGCCGTACCTTCTGAACAGTGAATAGAGAGTTTCAACAGTCACGGTCCCGGGGGTATCTCCGTTCATGGGGAGAAAGTCCACGCGCAGACGCTGGCTCGGAATGCGATACAGGTCTTCGATCCACGGGTGTCCGCGCACGGCGTGGACAGACGCTGTGCGGAAGGGACTGAACCATGGTCGGATGGGGTGCTGTGCGAGGTGCTCGTGCACTGCTTCTTCGATGGTTTTCTCTCGGCTTTTCTGGCCGGGATCTGTCTGCGACAACGACGAAAAGCGCACAAACGCGCCCCCTTCCAAAAACTGGGGAACGACCTCCTTAATCTCCACGTCTTGGGAAGCAGGAAACGCGCGCTCCACAATCCGCACGGGGTCCGACGCCGCAATTTGCGGTCTACCCAGACGCTTCAGGATGGAAGCGTAGGCGGCGCTGCCGCCTAGCGGGGTGAGCAGCCATTGGAGTTTTGTGGGGAAGATGTCTGATGTGGTTATTTTATCGAACTTTATGATTCAAGATAGGACTGCAGAAGACATACTGCTTATGAAAATGAGGCCATCGGTGGGTCCGAGCGCGATGTGGCCGGTCTCGAGACAGGTGGGTCTGGAGTTTGTGCTTTTTAGTCGGAGGGGTCTATATAAACGGGTGAGTTTGTATGAACATGGCGGTCTGTATCTATATGGATGGAGGATGGAGGGACGCATGCTGGGAGAGGTAGGGAATGGGAAGGGAAGAGGAGATGGTGTGATGAGGTTGAGATGCTGATGATGGTCGCGTGATGACGTCATATATTTATGCTGTCACGGGATCAGGTACATCAACAGGACTATAAGATAGATGCTTTGTTCATTTACTGGCAATGCACCTAGAAATGTTTGTATTATTATCTGTCGCAATACAAGATGCTTAAAATATTAATTAAGAAGCGCAGAAGTGTCCAAATATTCTTTTGTGGCCGAAATGTAATTGTAATTCTTTGCAATATCAGTTAACTGCACATGGATATACCTAGTATATCACACTCACTCCTACATAAAAACATACAGGATCAACTAATGTATAGTCCTACACATCAAACCCCAAATCCCACCCAAACAGCCCTTCCCCATCAACAACCTCCAACAATTCCTCCAAAGAAAACCCCACGCACTCATCCACCATCTCTCCACCCTCACCCCCCACAACACCCTCAACCCTATCCAGTACCTCCGCACACTGTCCAAGACAATGATCCGCTAGATCCCAGACATACCGATCTCTTAGATTTTTCAGAGCACACACCATCTCCCTCGCCAGCTGTAACGAGAGTGCGCTGTGCGCAGACTCATGAAGCGCACTCCGCAGTAGGAAAGTCGTCGCGGAGGTGAGGGCGTACGCGTTCATTGGGATCCAAAAGCCGGGGAAAGGAGTCTCGTGGAGACGCTGCACGAAGTGCACGATGGATTCTGCTGAGGTGTGGGCAGCGCTGTATTGCTCTGTGTCGGATGAGGGTGTCGTGTGGAGGTTGAGCTGGATGCGGCGGTGTAGTAGGGTGACTGCTAGGTGGGCGAGGCGGAGGTTGGCTGCGCCTGGGTAGTGGAGGTTGGTGTTGTCTAGGATGATGGGTTTAACCTCTGGGGGGAGTGTGTTTTCCCAGTCTATTAGGAGGGCGGCGAGTGAATCTGGTGTGGTGGTGGTGGAGGAGGAGGAGGAGGAGGAGGAGGAGACAGAGTCGACGCTGTAGACCTGCTCGAGAGACCTTCCCAACACCTCTGTTAAGGATACCAAGGATGTGAAGATCTGCGATGCAGACGAAGGAGTCTGCTCTGGTGTACACGACGGGAGAGGCACATCGTATTGGGAGCGGTGGATCTGCAGCGGAGTGCCATACGCCAGACTACACCTACTCAACCATCAGTATGGATCATCATTTCCAACGGAAGGTAAAAGAAGACCATCTCTCCTGCACAACCACCAACCACCAAATCCGCACACGAAACGCCTTCTCCGCGGGCGAGATGTCCCAACCGGACGGATCGCGGTTCAAACCCAGCGCATGGCTCAGCGACACCGCCATGCCCATCAGACCGCCGTTGCCAAAGACAGACGTACTGGGCCGTCCGCAGACGTTCAGAATAATAGCCAGGACAGTCGATGTCCCAGGGGCGAGGAACATCTCCGAGTGTAGCGCTTCGCAGGCTAGAACCCAGATGAAGCGACCGTCCGGGGGACGGGTGCCCTGCAAGGTAGGAGAGCAGCCCCAGTAGATGAGGGCGTTGGCGTACAGGTTAGATAGTAGGGCTGGGGATATCTTGTGCCGGTGGTTTGTGTAGATTTTGCGGAAGGAAGACTCGTCGAAGAGGGGGAAGCAGGGGTTGAAGTGGGTGAAGAATCTACCATCCCTTAGTTCTGCCTAGTAATGGTCCTAGAGAGCATGATATGCATACAGATCAATCAGGTCGTGCTCGTACGGCTCGATCAGTTTCTCGATGATCTGACATTTACTGCTTGCCATAGACTGGTTGCATGAAACTCCCAGCGGACGACGCTGCACTGTGTTGAAGAGGACCGGGCGAGCCCCATTTGCTGTCGGTCGAATCATGCGTCTGCGAGAGCCAGGCAGAGGAGATAGATACGTCTCGAGGATGGTGTTGTCGTCTGCCACGGCGGGGCTGACGATATGCGGATTGTCGGGGTTTGTTTCGGCATCGAGGCCCATGATATCTGACAGTTCATCGTTTTTATTCTGGGACCGAGTGCCACTGATATTAGACTGAATAGTGTCTTGGAGAGCTTTCAGCGTCACTTGGTGAGTTGATCCCGGCTGAGTTGCTCCATCGTTGAGCGTTGCTGCGACTTGTGGACGCGGTTTCAGCTGTCTGGCGGTTGCTGGTCTCCGGACAGACCTCCTCGTTCGAGATACTCTCTCCTCAGGAAAGACGCACTCCGTGCCATGAACTTGACACATAATACAACAGGGCGCATCTCGCGTTTTGCAGCGCGATTTGCGCTTTCTGCAGGAGAGACAGGCGGGGTGTCTATGGGAGCGATATGGTCTCTCCGTTTGTGCATGATCCATTTGTATACAAACACTGCCGTCTGAGACGATTGAAAGTCTAGAACATGAAATTACAAAGTACAGCTCAGAGATAACACCATACCTGAACAGGCCATGAAGATAAAAAGAGAGAGAGAGGAGAGGACATCTTCCCCGCGGCAAAGATCCCCCTCTATCCCCACACACGATAGGGATCTCCAATTGGCTGGTCTTCCCCGCGGCCATTGTCACCACATCTATATAATAATTCAATTCTACCTTCGACTTGAATACCATCCAACAACGCAATCAACTCTCCCAAAGTTTCCAAAACAAACAAACCAACATGTCTTCTTTTCTCGAAAAAGCCAACGCCCACCTGATGTACACAGGCGTCCCCTACTCGCCCACCCTCATCACCCGCGCAGCCGGCACAAGACTATACACGGCCGAAGGCCACCAAATCCTGGACTTCACCTCCGGCCAAATGAGTTCCCTCCTAGGCCACTCGCACCCAGAAATTGTATCCGTCGTGCAAACACACATCGCGAACCTCGACCACCTCCTCTCCAACATGCTAACAGCCCCCGTCCTCGCCCTCGCCGAGCGCCTGGCCCACCACCTGCCCACCCCGCTCTCCAAATCCTTCTTCCTAAACACCGGCTCCGAGACCATCGAAGCAGCCATCAAGATGGCCAAGTGCTACACGGGGCGCTTCGAAGTCGTCGCCTTCGCAGCGAGCTACCACGGCCTGACGCAGGGCGCCGGCTCAGCGACGTATTCCGCGGGGCGCAAGAACGGTAGCGGGCCGTGCATGCCCGGCCAATTGGCGTTTCCGGCGCCGTATGCGTTCCGCTCGCCGTTTCGGAGGCCCGCAGACGGCGGGTATGACTGGGAGACGGAGTTCGAGTACGGGTGGGCGATGATCGATCGGCAGAGTGTGGGGTCGCTGGCTGCGTTTGTGGTCGAGCCGATTTTGTCGACGGGGGGCGTGCTGGATTTGCCGAGGGGGTATTTGGCGCGGTTGAGCGAGGAGTGTCGCAAGCGGGGGATGTTGTTGATTTTGGATGAGGCGCAGACGGGGGTTGGTCGGACGGGCCATATGTTTGCGTTTCAGGACCCCGACCATGGGAGTGTTGTGCCTGATATTTTGGCGCTGAGTAAGACGCTGGGGTGTGGGCTGCCGCTGGCGGCTGTGTGTACGACTGCGGAGATTGAGAGGGGGTGTCGCGAGGCCGGGTTTCTTTGGTTGTCGACGCATTTGAATGATCCGTTGACTGCGGCGGTTGGGGATAAGGTGCTGGAGATTGTGGAGCGGGATGGGCTGTGTGCGCGGGCGGCGGAGCGGGGGTCGCAGCTCAGGGAGGGGTTGCTGGCGCTGCAGAGGAAGTACTGGTGTATTGGGGATGTGAGAGGGAAGGGCCTGTTGCAGGGGATTGAGATCCTTGCGGATGTGAAGACGAAAGCGCCCGGGGTCGAGCTCGGGCAGGCTGTGTCGGACATGGCGATGACCAAGGGGTTGTCCTGTAATGTGGTGAACTTGCCTGGCATGGGCGGTGTTTTTCGATTGGCACCGCCGGTGACGGTCACGGCGGAGGAGATAGAGGAGGGGTTGCGCATTTTGGATGAATCCTTTGGGGAGGTGTTGAAGGGTGTTTAAAATTTGGGTCTCTCATCTCTCATCTAAGGTGTATCATTGTTAAAGTGGCTATTTGTATGGCCGTAAATCTTCATAATATTGCATTCAAATTTGACATTCTTGCTAGGGTATATTCATTGCTGGTCATGGCCTTCATCGTCGTCTTTCTCCTTGATATTAAGATTATCCCACTTCCCCAGAAAATTGTCCATCGAGGCTTCCGTCTGCCGTGCTTCAGGCTGCTGCACGACCGTCAGGAAATGCGGATAGAAGCTGCTGAAGCCGTTGGCGTCACGGTCGCCCCATGTTTGCGTCTGGAAATCCACAAACAGTGCGTGCGTCTCCTCCGGAAGTGCCACTTTCATCTGCTCCGCCGATAGCTGGATCATCCGTATAATGCCTGTGGCCAGGGCAAAGCGACGCGCGAATGCTCGCCCCAAGACCAGAACCTCCACGAAAGGATTGCGGTTCTCGGGCTGATCCAACCCCTCCAACAGAGTGAATAGGCTTACACTGATCCACTGGATCGTCGACGGGGCCATCCGGTCGATGCCCCAGCGTTCTCGGTGCAGACCCAGGAGGTAGGCTATGCGTCGCGCAGTGGACATGCCGATGTTCCGTGCGCGCTCGCCCGCCGCGGGACCAAGAGTCGTGTCGATATTGGAGCGAAGAAAGCCAAAGATCTGGATGACAGTGGTGTGGTAAAATAAACTACACCGGGTTAGAACGCGTGGTCTACCTTTTCAGGGAAGGGAACGTACTGCAGACTGAGTACGTGTGGCACAGCGGCCGTTTCAACAGCCAAGCAATCTGGCAAGTTAGCATGCCATCCCTGCAGCTGCCGATACACATCCTCGACAGTCGCCACGAGGTCTGCCTGCGGTGGCCGGTCGGAACTGTCGTGGAAAGCTCGGCTGATCTGGATAGTGATGCAGCAGATATCGCACCAGCGGTCGAACACGCAGTTATGATGTCCAGTCACCGGGTCCACAGACCTCGGATACGGCACCCACACGTCACAAGGATCCCCATGCAATATGGACACACGGGGACAGCTTGGCGGTTTGACATCGATGTGTTTCATCAACGACACGGCGGCGGTACTGACCAAGTTAGCCAAGAAGTGCCCTACCCATAAAGAAAGAATGAGGAATGGAAGAAAGGAAGAGAGGACAGAGAGGAGAGGAAACGCACGAGCCAAAACTAAATATGCCCCACAGTGTTCGGTTGGCCACGTTCTGAGTTACTCTCTCCTCCTCCGACTGTGGGGGCCGGGGTGGATGCGCGGCGGCGTATTCCTCCGCAGAACGCGTGGCCAGATCCAAATACATCCAGCCCATGCGATCCTTACCCATAATAACCATGCTACTGTCATCAGGGTGGTTCGATGGAGCCCGGGCGAACAAGGACGTACCGGACAAAAAAGATCAAGAGACCTTGAATGGTCGCGAGGGAGGGAGGGGGATTGTCGCCGACATCCAGCAGCCGGCGTGCCTCCTCAAAGAACTGGTCCCCGCGGGATAGCATATCGCCCGGCACCGTAAACACATCTGCATAGTCCGAATAATACTGCGAAGTGCGGCTGGTCAATCACTAATCTTACCCTCCAAAAATCACGTCACGTACGCTAGCCTCGGCCAAAATGGAATTCACCAAAAAGGGCGAGCAGAAAGGGCTGTTTACGTCGCCCGACTGCATGGCCCGGACAAACACGTCCGCGTCCAACCAGTGAAAGAACGGAAAGGTCCAGGTCAACCACAGGGAAACCAGATGCGACACCAGGTCGTCGTCGTCCGTGGCCGTTGTCCACGGTTTGGCGGGTACCCGGTGCACCGGGATGTCGACCAGCCGTCTCAACTCCAGCATGCGTCTCGGGGGTCGCTGCGACCGGCCGGTAGTGAACTCCTCCGAGGAAGACTCGGAGGACGATCGCTGGATCTTGAGTTGGACCTCGCGCAACTCCGGCGACCGTTCAATCTCAGGCCGCGAAAATTGATGCTGCAGGAAGATCTGCAGGTCTTCCAACGAGGCGTTACTCCGGATGAGGTTCAGCAGCTGGGCCAGGCGCTTGGTCTCGCTGGCGCACAGTGCCTTGATCAATTGCGTCAGGATGTCTTCGGCTTGCTCCAAGCGATCCAGTTTCCGCTTCATGGCAAATTTGCGACGCATGTCGGCCATCTCATCCACGACGCATTCGATCCGGTTTGAGACGCAATGCTCGCAGGGCGGATCACCCCGGCACTAGATCACGTCAGACGGCATTCCGACATGTTCTTCCAAACTGGAAAGAGAGGTTACCTTGAGCTTTTTCAGCTTGCATGCCCGGCAGGCCGTGGTCTTGTGCTTTCGACCGGGTACCACATCGTCGGCGGACGCATTGGGCTTCTGTGGTTGACCTGGAGCAGGGGCGAGTAGACGGGTGGACGACGACGAATCGGACATATAGCATAAAATCTGCAACAGATTACATGAAGAAAATTGGGCCGCACAAGGGAGGCCAGCATGACATCCGGACCAGTTTATAAAATCAGGGCGGCTCTCTATATCGGGGACTGTAATTCCGAGCCTTCTAGGCCATCTCTTGGCGGGTCAGAACTATCTGCCGGGGTGGGTAGGATTGGAGGACCAATCAACAATTCCAGAAAGGTTCCGAATTGAGACGTAGTGGGAACCTTCCCAGTGGAGGGCATGATCCAAGAAAACTCTCTCAGGCCGTCATCCAGATCTCCGCGGAGGACGATTGATTGTCGGCAGGGTCGCATTCCATTGTGCGTATCGTCGTTTCTGGCGCCGATTTCGTTGGTGTCAATCGCTGACGGCACAAAGTGCCTGCCAATCAGAGGGTCGGGAGACGCATTAGTGCGATTATAGTTGTTTCTCTTCTCCATGTGCGTCGGGAGCCAAACAAAGCGGTCCCCACAGTGTTAGTCTGGTTAGCCCGTCGCTAGCATTTTTTGACTGCCGCCTTGATGAGTAACGAGGTATCGAGAGGAAGAGATCACTAGGTGGAATAAACCAATGAAACATGATGAGAACCAATAATAAAATAGAAGTGACCCAAATAAGATTAAAATCGATTCAATCAAATCCAAAGAAAGAAGAGAGCCATCGGACCTTGCGTATCAGGTATGACGGCCCGTTAGTAGCCTCCCATCTGTTTGCTAGTAGGACCCTCTCAAGTGGGGCGGGCGCCCCCATCATCGCATCAGAAAAGAAGCTGATACGGGAAAATGTTTGATCCGATCGCACGTCTGTCTATCCAGACCCGATCTAATGACATTTCAAGAACATATCATTCGTCAGAGCTCAAGATGACGAGTCCCAGACCCTTTTGTGCCCCAGATTCGTATCGTATCCGTAGCAAACAAACCATGGTCCCGATTCCTTTGGTACAGGAGTGAGGAGGGGGGAGGGGGCTCAGACCAACGGTGAGTGGTTCTAGTGGTCTAAGATAGAAACTTAACCCGACGTGGGAAGGAGAACGAGGTGTCTCAGTCGAGTCAGGGGCATAAGCTGTAGTGGTCTCCGATGGGAGTCTAGAGGAGACAGGAACAGAGGGATGAGGGATGAGATCCGACAAGTGAAAAGGAGGGGAAAGTGGTCCCGTGATGGTCACACCCCAGGCCGATGGGCACACACGATTGGGCCTGGAAGCTTCAGACGGACGCGTAATAATTGGCTAGATGGACGTCCGACTTGCCCAAAAAGGTCTATAGCAGGCTTAGCAGCTGAAGTCCGGCCCGGACCTGGGGGACTAAGAGGGTTAATGTGGAGCTAATGCACCTGTAGCGTACAGAAGGTGTCATCGCATCGATAACTCAGAACGCTAATTTTACCTCCCAACATCCCACCCGGAGAACTTTGCTTGAGGTGAGGGGAGTAAGGCTATCCAGAGACGTGATGCATGGAGGACAGCAATCCGTCACGTCGCCGAATCAATTCGCTTACACATGACAAATAGTTTGTCTAGATTCTCTCGGCCAGCTCGAAGGAAGAGGAAGGTTATGGCGCCGTCCTATGAGCGGTCGAGCATAGGGCATTCACGCGTCCAGCTACGAGTCGCCTCGCATGATGCGGACTGAGATTCTTTCATCCTCGGGTTTATTGTTCTTGTGATCGACAATGTCCCCCCTATGGTATTGTGTCCCCCGAGTTGGTACGCTACGGAGACACGACAGGGTCGAATCGGTTGGGGAGGCCGGAGCGAGGAGAGCGTGCGGGACAGGTGAAGCCGGGGGGGGGGGGGGATTTCAATTGGCATTTGTCATATGGAGGCTTATTCTCTTGTCATCGTGTTTATTCTAGTCTAGTGGGGGTGATGCGAGGCTGAGATGTAGTTTAAGTCTCGGTTGATAGCGCCAGCAGAAATTTTCCGGCTATTATGGATATCACGGCAAGGCCTCGAGGTTTGCCTGCCGGGTCAGTCAGGGAGCGCGGAACTTCATCCCGGGAAGTCCAAGATTGGGATGATCGAGAACGTGGTCCACTATTAATGGTAGGATTAATCCATCTGCCTCTATGATCAGAGAAGGACGGGGTATATCCTAGTCTCTGGCCCGTATATTCTGGTGCGCGCCAATCTCTCAAAGGGCGCAGTTCGATGAACGGATCAAGCCGCGTATGAATGTCCCGAGGGTAGATTCGCGAAGAACAGGAAGGTTCGGACAAGATCTCTCCGTATGCCACCCGTGATAGTGTACAGCATATATCCACAGTCCAGCAGAGGCCTGCCAATTTTATCCCGGCAACGTCGTTCTAAGTGGGTAATGACAATAGACGCGGCTATGGAAAAGGAAGGTGGAGTCGCCGAATAGTGCCGGGGGTGTTTCTCTTTCGGGGTGATATCTACGGAGTGCATTTTGGATACCACTCACTATACCAGTGTACGCGGATATTCCATACTTGATCCATTCCATGGAGTTCGACGACCTGCACTTGATCGCGCACCCAACACCTCACGGGTAAACACAATGGAGAAAGCGAGGAACACTGGAAGGGATCTAAAGACAACTGTCAGCCAACACACCCCAATTAAAACCCAACACGAACATAGCATCCCGTCCCCGTAGATACATCAGCTACAAACGCAACCGCATCACCGGGGGCTTGGGTGTAGGCAACCCAGATAGCCCATATGACCCCTGCATATAGGCAAACAGCGCTTGCATGACGCTAATACCGTTGGTTCGAGGACGGGGACCGGTCCTCGGCCGAGGATTCTAGCGCGGGCTCCTATCTCTTCCTATATTTACCACCAAAGGTTGTTGAGAAATTACTAATATCACGGGGAAGAGGTATACCCGATCTTGAGTCTCGACCACACGATACGCGGACCAGACACCATGACTTTGACGCATGAGGTTGCAATTACACAATCTAGGCTGACGCCTTGAAGCGGGGTCTCTCTATTGCACAGCGCAGCGTTGAGTCTTTCGAGTCAATGACTAGCAAATCATCGGGTGTATATTGCATAGCCACCACCATCTATTGCCAGAAAGAGGTTCCTTGCTGTCTTGTGCGCTCGATGCGGGGAGTAGCTGAACTAGCTACGTCCCCGCTGTATGCTCAACAAAATAGCGACCGGTAGCTCGAACCATTCAAACCAAATCAAATAGTTGAATCACATTCCAGTTGTATTCGGGCATAAATAGCCAGAGCCCGATTGGGCCCAGACATATCATCTCGAGAGATGGAGAGTTCACTACAGAGTATCTTAAGAAGAGAGAGGAACATCTTGATATTCCGACCCGACCAGGTGACCAAGGCACGTGCTGGCCCCTGTCGGTCAACGTGACTCAAGCTTTTTCTGCCTTGGGTGTCTTCACTTCACCTTCATCGTACAGTCGGTATACTTAGACACTGCATAGTATCTTGCATCTGGATCAATCAGTCAGACCTTTGACTCAATTTAGCGACACTATCTAGAGGCGTTGAGATATCTCCGCGGATATCAATGAAGACCCCTTTCGTGGCCCCTCTCGACCGTGACGGGTCCCTGCTATAGTTCAAAGGGCGCTGATCCCAATCCACATCCCCAACTATGGCTTGACAGGTCTGTACGGAAATACTTCCCGATGGCTAATTTCTGGAATGTTGAATTTCACGTTCGTGACAGGCTGGCTCTATTTACCGAGTCCACCTTACTCCACCGCAAATCTACAGACCTCCGACCGTCGAGCCATGCCCCCAGCTTATATGCCGACCGTTTATCGAAAGAATACCGATGTTATACTAGCATATCCCCATCCAGTATCCAGTGGCCATGCTTCTGGCAAGATCGGATGACGGACCCTGCACATCCCACCGCTGCGTCCTTCTGACCCAACGCCAGGACTTCGGACAGTACTTGGCACACGACACTCTGGAACATCAATTGGTCGAATGCACCACGCCATAGTGATCGGGACGTGATTATTGCACGGTCTGCACCCCGACGGGATGTGAGCCCTGGCTGTGGCCCACCAACCGACCCGATCCAGGGTTCGTCGGGCCAGGGCGCAGGCGGGACGAGTGGGGTTTCTCACGGAACCGACTCTGGCTAGGTGTGGGTGCTGGGTGTCTCCACCCAGAATTAGTCGCCAATAGCGCTGCTGCACTGGAGGTGGAAAGTGTTTACCGATTCGGAATTGTGACGATCTGCCGATCTCACGGGTTTGGTCGCCCTACCAGATAACAGACCGCGCTGCTGCGTCATGAGACCCAGCTTTGGGTTATGCAAGCGGGTCCAGAATGGAGACACAATTGGTATGTTAATCTGTGGGTCGCGGCAGTGGTTGACCAGCTAGAAGCCGCATGGACTAGTTGTCTCTAGGGCTGTAGGGTAGAAGACGTAGTGCGCCGCCATCACTAAATGGGGTTGTAGGTCCATCTTACACTTCGGCTTGAAGCGCTACCTCGCATGCTTTCTCCTCACTGCCTTCTTTCCACTCTTCTTCCGGTGATGCCCGCATCGTGCTAGCAGATGAAAACTACTCACTAGGGGAGGACAAGACCACACTAAACTCGCAAGGTGGTTGACTCCTCCGCTTTCGAGTAATCATCCTGCCTAACCATCAAGATGCCTTGACTACAAACTCCGCATTCACATTCGTGGTCATCAGACCGTCGTGGGGAGGAGCGCAGAATTTGCGAACGCTGTCTCGGCCGCTGGTTTTCCTCTCGCGAGATGCACAACTAGCAAAACGCTGCTTCGGCCCCAATGGCTTTGAACCCAGCGCCGAACAATGTGCCCTCGCATCGAATGTCACTGATATGCTCGCCGACTCGGCCTTCATTTCGCAGCCGCAACTTCGCGATGCGGCGCCGCTGTCTGAAGCCACCAAACCATTCGAGAACATATGTGTGAACCTATCCCGGGGAATAAGCGGATAATGCACCTGCTTGTCTGCTTGGCGCCATACGTCTTGGAGCTTGCGCTGTGGCTAGTCGCATGGCTCAGAAGCTGGTAGAACCCAAAGTGTACTACTGCCAGGTTACTAGCAGCGGAGCAGTCGGCGTTGCACAGCACATGGCTATCTAAAGCCTCGGTATGCCCTTCCTATGGTCTTCATTTCTAAACCTAGTAGTTCATCGGATAGATTGGAGCGTCAGATCCAGATGACCACTGTCCTAATCCTCGGCAGTTGTTCGCACCATACCCTATTTTTATGGACTGGTGTGGTAGAGAACCATCTGATCGGCTACACTGCAGCGCCATGAATTTATGCTAATGAATTCGGCTGGTCCATTGGCTTCCAGGTTTATTAAGAGAAGGTACTGACAGCGCAGGCCTCTATCGAGATGGACAAGACTTTCTGCCTCGGGTAGTTACTACCGATCTGGAAGAGTCAGCCCTGCCTGGCCCTGTTTGACATACACGTCCCCATGATATATGAACTGCATTGACACCAGGAAATCCCGCGCGGATCTGTCGTTCCAGCATCGTCATTAGAATGATTACGAGGGAGTATAGAGCACCCGACCTCCACCGTCCAGTGTAGGATAGATCATCATCCTGGTAATATTCCCAGGGCAATCCGGTCAGGCAAATTATCTACTCCGCCGCTCAATTAGCTTCAACAGTCACACGGCACCTGGACAATGACCAGCTGAGCTGTTTCCTGTTGTCTTATATTCTGAGCACATTATGACTGTTGTCTGTGTCTGTGTGAGGGCTGTCAGGTGCGGTGCCATAGCTTCGGCAACTTCCATCGTGGCTGGTATCATCTTGCGGATAGGACCTTCAATGCACTAGACCATAGCTTGAGCTCCAAGCGAGTTGGTGTCTGTCTATCTCTCGGATATTCTGCACAATAACTGAGATATGAATAAATCAGTTCAGATCTAGACTAATCAGTTGAGCTATTCATATGCATCCACATGTAATATGCATTAAACCATACCATAGAACCACCTACCTTGGATTCGGGTTAACCATCGTCACAGGTCAGCAGAGATAACGTTATACATACAAACCCTCACAACCGGACCTAGATAAAGATAAGAGCACGTCCAATGCGGAGACAATCACGACATCCTCCTCACAGACACGGGCGTAGACATCAGTTACGCGATGGGCTCCCTCGATGGCGTGTGCGGGGTTATCGATGAACCAACCGTATGAACCATCAAGTTAACACTCACAATCCGACCATATCACGAATTATATATCAATCAACACCAACAAAACTAATAACAACAATTGAGTATCTACTACACAGAAAATATCACCCCATCAAACACAGCAACAGCACAACTGACAATGGGCGACATTCGACCCCCAACCCCGGACAACAGCCCCAAGAAACAGATCCTCCTCAATGCGTTTGACATGTGTACTGTGGGACACTTATCGCCGGGACAATGGAAGGTAATCTCTTCCAATACATCTATAAAACTCTCTGTATATAAATCCATATATAGATGGATAAATATATATAAGTCAAACCAAGCTAAAAGCCACCAACCAGAACCCATCCGACCGCTCCGCCACAAAGCGCAAACTCAGCTACTGGACGGACCTGGCTAAGCTTCTCGAGCGCGGGGGGTTCAACGCCCTGTTCTTGGCTGACACCTACGGCGGGTACGATACCTACGAGGGAAAGCTAGACGAGTGTATTCGGCGGGGGGCGCAGTGGCCTGTTACGGACCCGACTATTGTATGTTCCTTACATGCTTATTATACTCCTTATTGTCTTTCGTCTTTGACGAAAAGTGAAAAGAAAAAGAAGGATCTAATGAATCTAGCCCATCTCCGCCATGGCAGCCGTGACGAAGAACCTCGCCTTCGGCATCACGGCATCAACCTCCTTCGAGCCGCCATTCCTACTGGCGAAACGCTTCTCAACGCTCGACCATCTGACGGACGGCCGCATCGGATGGAACATCGTCACGTCGTGGAAGAAAGCCGCGTTCAAGGCGATCGGGCTGGACTCACCGATTGAGCACGACGAGCGGTATGCGCAGGCGGACGAGTACATGCGGGTTGTTTACAAGTATTTACCCTCTCTCTATATACCCCCCTCCTCTGAAAAAAAGTAAGTCAAAGGCTAAGATCCTAAAAAGGCTGTGGGAATCATCCTGGGCCGCAGACGCCATAAACCCGACCCCATCAACAGACACCTACGCCGACCCATCCAAAATCCGCCCCATTAACCACAAAGGCAAATACTTCCAGCTCAACACGCCGCACATCGTCGACCCCTCACCGCAGCGCACGCCCTTCCTCTTCCAAGCAGGCACCTCCAGCGCGGGATCCTCCTTCGCCGCCACACACGCGGAAGCGATCTTCGTCTCGGGCCACTCCGCGTCCGTCCTCCGGCCCAAAATCGCCCACATCCGCCAACTCGCCTCCGAACGCGGCCGCGACCCGCGCTCCATCAAAGTCTTCGCAACATTCACGCCGATAGTGGGCCGCACGGACGCCGAAGCAGCAGCGAAGTACGAGGCGGCGCGCGCGAACGCGTCCATCGTCGGCGGGCTGGTTCTGTTCTCGGGGTGGACGGGGATCGACATCTCGCGGATTCCGCTGGACCAGGAGATTACGGCGGGGGATTCGACGGAGGGGAACCGGATTACGAGTTTGATGGAGACGCTGACGGCGCCGCTGGAGGAAGCTGGGGGGGAGGGGGGAACAAGGGCGTGGACGCCGCGGCTGGTGGCGGAGCGGGCGGCTGTGGGGGCTTGGGGCCCGTTGGGGTGGGTTGTGCGGCGCGGGTGGCGGATGAGTTGGAGAGGTGGGTGCGCGAGGCGGACCTTGATGGGTTTAATCTGGGGTATGTGACTACGCCGGGGACGTTTGAGGAGGTCGTGGAGTTGTTGATTCCGGAGTTGAGGCGGCGTGGGGTGTATGGGGAGGAGAAGGGGGAGGGGGAGGGGAAGGGCTGACGGCGCGGGAGAAGATCTACGGGGTGGGACAGCGCGAGCTCCGGGCGGATCACCCGGGGAGTCGGTACAAGTATGAGGTGTATCGTGAGGAGGGAGAAGAAGAGGAGGAGAGGTGATGTTGACGATGGCGGGATTAAGACTGCGCCACAGGAAGCGCCTTTCCAGGGAGGCGGCGCCACGGTCCGACGTGATCTCAATTGAGGATATCTTGTGCAAGGTCAGTATTATATAATACAGTTCTATATTATCCAGTATAGTCTCATGAATATTCCGTATATTATGTGGTAATTCCCATATTTTCATATCCTAAATATCCGACCGTTCCTACAATCCTACCAACTGGCAAATACTGGTCGGTTGTTTCATTGACGAAAATCGAAAGTCATAAAAAGTCATAAAAAGGCAAGAAGTATTGACGCGAGGGACTCCATGATGCATCACAGATGATCAAGTGGATGGTCTGACCCGGGTTCTGGAATGGTCTGGGTTGGCCCATCGCGATCAATAGTCTGGTCGATATGCTCGCTTGATTTGTCGAGGGGGGGAAGACAAAGGGCGAGATGTGATAGGCAGGGTTCGTCGGCTGTCAGGACTGAGAACCGTGGGTTGGTTCACATGATTCAGATGACTTATAAATAAACAGAAATAATGATAATAGTAATTTAATAGATAGATGTATAATCAATAAATAAATAAACAAATATGAAGAAGGAAGCATAAATAAAAAATAGTAAAAGGATAAATAGATCAAAATTGTGAGCCTGTTAAAAATATCTAATAATGTGTAATCAAGGCAGAAAGGAAATAAGGCAGAAAAGGAGAAAAACAGAGGAAAGAGGGGAATATTTCATTTTCTTACTTTGGATATTTCATAAAATCAATATCATAATTCAACCAAACTAGTCTCGTATTGTCCGAGCGATGCGACCCGGTTGGTCCAGGTGTGCATCCGTGCGGAGGCAATACGAGTTTCATTCTTTGTCTGATGGTTCAGGGGTTTTTTTGGGGCGATTCCTCAGATTGGTCTGAGAAGGATCCTCCCAAAGTTAGGTAGTATCCTCCCCTAGATCAGACCCTGTCTAACGGGGGTAAGTCCTAAGGGTACATCGTCTGTACTAATCCATCCACCTCCGTATAGTGACATGCTATATAGACGGGACACTTTTGAACTCCCAGTCGGACGATCAGGATCGTCCCAACTAAGCTTATTTGGCTCCACCATCCAGGGTCGATCAGTCAAACTGGTGATTCATCTTCCCAGCAAAAGGGGGGGGGGGAGGGGGGGGAGGGGAAGATCGATCGGATCTTCATGTGGATTTGAGGGATCCGTGGATGAACCGCTGTCAACCACGTGAGGAGTTCCCATCCAGACGATCCGGATGGATATCCATTACTCTCACCCTCGCCTGTACCAAAGGATCACCGAATGGGACCTCAGGAGTATACCTAGTAGTATGGTACAGTATGGTATAATATGGTACGGTATCAGCCGTACCAGACTACACCACTCAGTTCCAATCAATTCCATCCTTATAATCTTCTTTTTCCCCCGCAGGGCCAGACCGGTCGGGAAACTTTGATTTTATCTTCCCTCTTTCTCTCTCTCTCTCTCTCTCTCTCTCTCTCTCTCTTTTTCTCCTCCTTCTCTATCTCTAACTCTCTAACTCTCTCTCCTAACTCTCCTCTTCCTTCCCTCCTCTCCCTCTCTGGTTTCCTCCTCCATCCAACCCATCTTTCTTCCCCCTCCTTCCCTTCCCCGGTTCGAGTCGGATCGATCTGCTTCTTTTCCACTCGTCATTCATCCTTCTTTCCTCCCCGTGCATTCCTATTGAATCGTGTCATTCCCTCTTGGGCGTTGGACTGTTTGATCGGACGGGATTGGGTTGGAGAGTCAGGGTTGACTGATCATCACTATATATAACCTCTTCTGATTTGTTTGTTGTGTTTCGCTTTTCTTTTCGTTCCATTTCCTTTTTGGGTTTTTATCTTATTTTTCTATCATATTTTTTTTTTCTCTTTCTATTTTCTATCTTATTTTCTATCCTTTTTTTTTTTGCTTCTCAGTTTTTACTTTCATTTTCTATTTTTCTTATTCTATTTTATTTTGATTTTCCCTTCTCTCTTTCCTAATTTTTTTTTCCCTCTTTCCCTTTTTCCCTTCCTTTTCTCTTTCTTTTGAATCCTTTTATTAGTAAATACTCTCCCTGTCATCTGTCCGCTCCACTTCTTTCTCCTGTCGATCTTCATGCATCTCTGCCCACAACCCTTCCTTTCCGTTCCTCTAGATTGACCTGTTCGTTTGACCGTGATTGTCGTGGGTCCGACGCGATTTCGGGTCCCTGGTTTCCTCAGGCCATGTCTGGTTGATCGCCGCCTTCTGTTTCTTTTTCTTTGATCCCAGTCATCCTTACTTTTTCAGGATATGACTCTCTCTTAATCCATCATTCTCACCCATCTGTCATCCTCTGCACTCGGTTTCATCGGTCGCACGACGCGATCATCGCCCCTCCTGGATCCTCCCGTCGTCTCGGGGGGCCTGTCTGGCAACGGCAGCAGCAGCAACAACAACAACAACAACAGCAGCAATAACAGCCACCGCTTCTGGGCGTTGGGAGCTGATCCCACGCTTGTCCCCTACGGGTCCATTTCGGCGGCTGGTGTGGAGTTGTTCCCGTCCGTGTCGCGCGACGCACCCGCCAATCTGGCGGCTCTCGCGATCCCCCCCGCGATGGGGTCGGCGCTGGAGGCGCTGAACCCGTCGCCGCCACCGCCTCTAAGCGCCCGACGGCCCGCCGCGCCCGCGCTGCCCAGCTTCGAACTTCCAGCACCCTCCTTCAACCCCCTCCCCGTCAAGTACCCGTCCGCTTCAGCCGTCAACCCGGGCAGTGTCAGCAGTCTTCTGGACCCGATCCCGGCAGCGCACCACCACCAGCAACACACCCAACCGCCACACCAGCCCGATTCCGCCGCCCCGCCCGTCACCACCGCCTCCACTGCCGCCTCCACCCCGGGAGACACCTATTGGGCCCACACCCCTTACGGTTCCCGGTCGTCGTGGCCCACCTTCTCCCATCCCAACGCGTTCGTCCGTCCGCCCCATCAACCGCAGTCGTCACACCACACGACCTCCCCCCCGGGAGTCGAGTCGATCTCCCCGTCGTACGACCTGCACCAGCTCCCTCCCTTCCACCAGCAACCACCGCCGTCGTCGTCCCACCATCACCACCAACCCCATCACCCGCATCATCCAACCGCGTTGTACGCGACCACGCCGGGTTCTGCCCCGCCGCCGCCGCCCCTGCCGTCCAACGACCCCTACATGACCAAGTCGTCGTCGGCGCCCAGCTTCGGGACGGGTCCCCTGCTGACCACCCCGCCGTACGGGTCGGGCCTCGGGGTGGGACGGGTGGCGTCGACGCCGCACGCGCCGCCGTACCACCTCAACCATCAGCGGCAGCCGTGGCCGTCATACTCGCTGCCGGCGATGACGGGCCCGGTGATGACCAACGTGCACAGCCCCGGCGGGCAGATGTCGCTGCTGGGCGGACTGCAGGCGGGGTTGCTGCCGGCTGGGTTTAACAGCGGGCACGTGGCGAGCATGCAACACATGTACCCGCATGCGCCGCCGGGGCACGGGCCGCACGGGCACGGGCCAGGACCGACGACGGACCGGCCGTTCAAGTGCGACCAGTGTCCGCAGAGCTTCAACCGAAACCACGATCTCAAGCGACACAAGCGGATCCATCTGTCGGTGAAACCGTTTCCGTGCAACCATTGCGACAAGAGTTTTTCCCGAAAGGATGCGTTGAAGGTAGCCCTCCTCTCTCTCTATCTCTTTACTAGTAAAGATAAGAAACTAATACTGTATAGCGACATGTTCTCGTCAAAGGCTGCGGCAAAGACAGCAAGACGGATCACGTCAAGGAGGAGGGTTAGGGTCAGCGGAGAATGATGTAGTGTTTACTGTCTATTCTTGTATTGTATTTCATAGCGAGTACGTGAGACGTAGGCGTTGGGATGAACATAACTTGCAGGAATCAGCATTATTAGTATATAATATCGTACATCTTTATATCCTTCTTGGCTCATATCTTGCCTCTTCCTTGACTCATACCTGAGCCTCCTCAACCCTAATCTCAACCACAGCCTCCTTGTGAGCCTCCTTCTTAGCCTCAGTCTCATCATGCACATCAACCACCACATCCGAAGACCCCCCAACAACCGAAGTCCCATTAACCCGAATCCACTCCCCAAGCAAACCCACATAATCCTCCATCCCATAACTCTTCACCACCCTCCCAAAGATCCCACTCTTCCTCTCCCAACCCACCCCCAGATCCCTCAACAAAAGATCCACATACGGCAGCGCATCGAACACAAAGTCCGGATTCCGCGCGCCAAATCCACCGGGGTATCTCAGTTTCCCGAACTCGGTATGCAAAGCCGTCTCCCACAGCACATCGACCTCATCGAACTTCAGGTCCCGCCCGGCAGAGCTGAGTTCGCTCTGGACGGTGGCGCGCACGTCGGCGGGGCAGGATTCCCACTGGTGCATGCGCAGCTTGTTGCTGAAGTGCGCTGCGATCCAGAGGGACTGCGCTTGGGCCAGCATGGTGGTGTTGATTGTCATGGCGAGGCCCATGAAGGCGATGTTGTGCGTGTTTAGGAGAGAGGGCGGCACCATGAAGCGGGTGAGGCGCATGGGATGGGAGGCGGAGGCCGGCGCGTTGGATGCGAGGGGGGTGTAGGTTGATGCGGATTTTTTGGGAGGGGGGGTGGCGAGGCGCGGGAAGCGGGTGAGGATGTTCTCGGTTGCGGCGGTGACCATGCTTGAGGGGATGGGGTCGGGGTCGGAGGGGAAGCCGAGGGTTGTTGTTTCGGGGGAGCGGAGGTGGAAGGCGATGGGCGGGGAGTGCGCTTGCCAGCCTGTTGCGAGGACGAGGGCGTCGGCGTTGAGGGTTGTGGGGGTGGCGGGGTCGGAGGGGAAGGAGGGGGAGGAGGTGTCGGTGTCGGTGGGGGTGGACGGGTCGGTGGCGTTGGCGAGGGTGATGGTGCCGTCTGAGGAGAGGGAGGTGATGCGGTCGATGTGGATGGAGACGAGGGAGTCCGGGGCGGTCAGCAGGGAGAAGAAGTCCTGCTTGTAGTTGAGGATGGAGAGGCCCGAGGCGATCCAGAAGGGGGAGATCCAGGGTCGGAGCTTGGCTGTCTCCGGGTGGGCGTCGTAGTTGTTGGCGGAGACGACGTCCGACTCAAGGGTGCTCCAGAAGGCGTCGACGATGGCGCGGCCGATGCGCGTGTTGTGCAGGAGGGAGCGCGCGGTGGGGCTGCCGTCGGCGGGGCCCCAGATGCACGGCGAGAACCAGGTGAGGAGGCGCGTGGTGACGAGCTTCTCGAGCCAGCGCTTCATGGGGGTCACGTAGGGGGGCGCCATCCAGGTTGGGCCGTGGCCGTTGTCGCGGATGATCCACTCGACTTTGCAGCCTGCTGTGGCGGCGGCGTAGACGGCGTCCCAGGCGGATTTGGTGCCGCCGTAGACGGCGATGGTCTTGCCGGCGTGCAGGATCTGGTCCTGTTGCACGCGCAGGCTGCTGATGTGGAGGATGGGGCGCTCGAAGGTTTCTTGGCCGGCCAGGGTCGGCATGTAGGGCTTGGAGGTGATGCCGGTGCAGACGACGAGCTTTTTGGTGCTGATGGTGCTGGTGGACTCATCGGTGGTGCTGCGCGTGCGCAGGATCCAGCCGTCCTTGTCGTCGGCTTGCTGCTCGGCGTCTGTGACGGCTGTGGAGAGCCGGATGCAGGATGCGATGTTGAAGTGCTCCACGAAGCGCTCCATGTATTGCTGGATGACGGCGCCGGGGATGTGCTCGCCTTCCTTCACGCCGAACGAGTCGTCCATGGGAAAGTCGCTATACTCGTAGGTGCCGCGCATGTTGTTGGACTTGACGCCGGAGTAGAGGCGGTGTTTGGCCCAGACGCCACCGATGGACGACGAGTCATCTAGCAGGAGGAGGGAGGCGTCGGGGTGGGTTTCGCGCATGGTGCGCAGGGCCGCGAGGCCGGCCCATCCGGCGCCTACGATGGTGATGTCTTTTTGCTCCATGGTTGCGTTGGGTGTCCTTGTTGAGAAGGAGGACAGGGGTGGTGAAAGGACGGATATATGTTCCTGGAAAGAGAAACGAAAGAGAAAATAGGGGAGGAAAAAGGGAGGAAGAAGAACCCGGAGTGGGGGACGTGAGGGGCGTGAAGAGGAGGGTCGGATACATCCCCGAGGCTAGCAAGGGCAAACTTGAGCTGGGGGTGGACGATCACAGCACAAAACGTGTCTAATTTCTTTTATTCCCCGACGTTGAACAAGCTAATAACCGGCTAACGTCGAACCGTCGGTGGTGGATCACAACAGACCCTGTTGGAGTTGACATTGAGGCGGCTGGGAATGTTCTAATGCGAGGTCAGTTAGGGCTAGCTGGCCTGATTGGTCTTATATCGAACCCCCCTGTGGGGCAACGGTTGACACGACACGCTCCACAACAACCATTGGATCCGACGAGTTTAGCAGCAGTCCGGTCCGGTATCTCATTTGATCCTCTTCGTCCTGCAGAAAAATATTGGGTGCTGACGGGGTACAACTAATCCCCGACCTGCATGGTTCCGAATCCTTCGAAGATGGTGTCTCCACCCGCTGTCTCACCATCTCATTCTATTGCTATTTCCATCGTAGCCCTTCGCCTAGCCCACTGCAACAGGAGGCCACCGTTGGCCTCGACCCGCTCATGCGGAACGTTTTCTACTGCCTACTCCGGACATTGCCATCCCGAAGGAGTGGATGCTCCTGTACCGGGCATCTTGTCCCCTGGAAGGGGCCAGCTAGTCTGTCCGTCACAATCTGCAATCCTGCTCCCTGCGCCGATCAGAATGCGCCAGCATAGCGGCAGTTGGATATTAAGTCGTCGGGCTGTGTCCGAGCATGACATCTACTTAAAACATCCCCCCCCATGCTGACTACCTTGCTTTTGGACTGTGGCCAGATGCCGTTTGAACCCACCCTCGTTTGACCTTATTCAGGCCTATCATTCTATAGACCCTCATCTGATATCGGAAAAGAAACAGGGAAGAAGGAAAAGACGAAGACGAGGAGCAATGTCCGCTCAAGAGGACTTCATCGTCGAGGCGTTCACCCTCCTCGCCCTCGCCGTCCTCTTCATCATACTCCGCATGGTCTCCCGATGGATCATCACCGGTCCCAAGAACTTCCAAGTCGATGACTACCTGATGCCGCTGGCCGCCGTGGTCTACGGGTTTGAGACAGGGGCCGCCTACTGCGTCGGTGCCTGGTGGCACGGACTCGCCAACAATGCCATGACCGACGACCAGCGCAAGGCGCTCTCGCTCACTCCCGAGAGCCCGGAGTTTGCAATGCGCGTGGGAGGGTCCAAGACGCAGGTCATCGGGTGGTCTCTGTATACGTCGTTGTTGTGGTTGCTGAAGGCTTGCATGGCTGTTTTTTATTCGCGATTGACGTGTGTTCTTCTCTCCTAACTGCGGTTATCTTGCTATACAGCAACATCTGGTCATAATACTAATGGATATAGAATCGGCCTGGTCAACATGCGTCGTCGCATTCACATCGCATACGTTATGATCGGCGCAAGCTACATCGCCGTCATCTGCTCCATTCTGTTCGGCTGCTTTCCCATGCACAAGAACTGGCAGATCTATCCCGACCCAGGGAACTACTGCCAACCGGCCGTGTCTCACATCGACGTCTACGTGACGGTGGTTCTGAACGTCTTGACAGATATTTACCTGATTTCGATTCCGCTGCCGGTATTCCTCTACACCTATCCATCCCCTCCTATTTTATACTGGGCATAAATAAACTAACAAAATCAGGTCCTCTTCAAAGCCCGCCTCCCCATCCGCGAAAAATGCGAACTCCTCCTCATGTTCAGCGGAGGTATCTTCGTCATGACAGCCGGTATTCTCCGCTGTGTGTTGATCGTGACTGTTCGTTTCCCCCACACCTCTGTCTCCAGTACAATGCAATCAACATACTAATCTATATGTACGTACAGGCTGGCGCAGACGGCGCCCAACAAGCCGGCAGCTGGGCCTGCCGCGAGACCTTCGTCGCCGTCATCATCGGCAACCTCCCCATGGTCTACCCACTCATCCGCCGCGGCCTGCGTCGCGCCGGCCTGGTCGTGTCCTCCCACGGACCCAGCTCCTACGGTCGCAACTACGAGCTGTCGGGGGCCCCGGGTGGGTACTCGTCGACGGCGCACAGCGGAAAGAAGAAGCGGTTCCGGCACCCGTTGGCGCATGGGGAGTCGAACTGGCAGACGATCAGTGGGGAGGAGCGGTTGGTGGGGGGCAAGGGGCTAGACGCTCCTTACGACGGACGGGGCATTAAAGTCGTGAATGAGACGATTGTGGAGAGGGAATGATTTTGCCCCTCTCTCTTTCTCCCCCTTTTCTTTTATTTTTGACTACATCTTTCTCTGGTTTTTGTTTGCGGTTATCTTAGATGTTATGTCTTTTGTGGATGGTGTTCTTGATATTCGGCTGGGTTGGATATTGATTGCTCTTTATACAACTATTAATTAGACATCAAACGACTGTATGGCATGACCTGTACGTTTCAACAACCCTTCAACCTCATCCATCCCACGGGGTACCAGACAAACCACTGAACAACCCACAAAACCCCCATTCCCCTCCATATTTCGTAAAAACCAGCAAGGCAAAATCAAGTACAAGCCCCTTAATCTCAACCTCGCTACCTACCAATTACAAATGATAAATAACTTGGAGTAAGTGAAGCCCCACCCAGACCAACCCCAACAGCGGCCAACCCAAGACAGGAAACGATATTCAACATCATTTTCCGAAACAGGACACAGTCGAGAGGTTCGGATAAGCCGCCCGCCATCCGTCTCGGGAAGTCTGGGATCCACTCTCGTCGCATCAAGGGGCGGAGGGGAGCTCCGATGCCGGGGCCGGATTTACTGGGCTGGATAGGGGACTAGACTGGGACTCGTGGTGTATACTAGCTTACTGCAGGATTTTTGCAAGATCGGAGATTGACGGATTCCAGGGCCCAGGATAAAGTTCGGGACATTGTCTTGGAGGGTCGGTTAGTTTGGCAGGCTTTGAAGCTACTGCTCGACATGTAGACACCGGTAAAGTATAATAGATTGGTCCCCGTACCGGCGTTCTTCAATCTCGGCTAGATGATGTGGCGAGATTGTGGAGGAAGATACAATTTCGATTGCGATAAGAGAAGGGGTTAGTTCTAATTATATCTTGGTTAGAACCATGTGGATATAAGGCTGTTAAATTATGACTACTGTCCTACTTGTACTGGTTTAGCTTGAGAATGTCTATAGGGCTAACCTGTTTGAGAGGAGTGTGGAAAATTCTGCAGACTAGACCCTGTGTCGATCTATGGACTCCGTGGAGATGTTGTCGACCCTTTTTCCAGTCTGTGGAAAGGGAAATAATGCTAGGTAGTAGGTACTGTAGTCCAAGGATGATAGGGTTCGAATATATTAGGAAGAATCGCCACTCCGCTGCAAAGGATGGCATGGCGATTTTGCGCTCTGTTTGTAATTGTATCTATATTGAGACAGGATATAGGTGTTCCTAATGCTGTTTTATTTATATTGTAAATTTATTGTTGCTGAACAGTGAATGGTGAACATGTTCAGCGCATGTCACCTGATTTCCAGGGTTCTTTCCCCACAGATTCCATTTTGCTCTTCGTGTTTTGCAACTACTTCACTCGTCTGCAACTGCGGATGTCTACCTAAATAATCATCAAAATTATCAATTGACTGACTGTTTCCCTTGGTTTTTTTCTCATATTGTTCAATACTCTACTGACATGTTCCAAAAGCAATTATATTAACACCTATACAAAAACCCGTCATATCTTGCTATCTTACTACTAACTACATTCGTATTCACCCACAGATTGTCATAGGTTCTGCTCATCTGGTTATGAAGACCATTGTGGGCTCTTCCCTGCATCCACCTCCCTGATGTAAAGTACGCAAGATCAGTCGAGGAGAATCCACTGGACTTACCAGGGTCAGCCTTAGAAGCCCGGTGTGTAACATCGGACGAAAGACCATGTCAATAGAAGAACCCCGCTCTCCCGAGGTTGCCATATATCTGACGTCTGCCTTGAAGCTGACCCGCGACGGTCAACTTGGAGGTAGAGCCGGCCAGACACCTTTTGTCCGACCTCTTATGAATCATCCCGAGTGGTGATCCCCGTCTTCCTTTTCGTTATTTTGAATATGAAATGCCGAACCCCCTGCGCAGGTGGATACCAGGCTCAAAATCAAGTCCCAAGAAAGAAGTCCAGCCACCGCCACCCCCAGGAAGCGACGCAGAATCCCAGCAGGGGCAGAGACGGTCGCATGGATCGTCAAGCGACGTAGAGTATCCATACGGTCATCAACTGTCGCCTAAACCATCCAGCGACGCAATAGATCGGTACGGACTGACACTGCTGCGTGGACTGCCGGACGAGGCTGGATTCTCCATTGAGCACTACTGATATAAACCAGCGGCATTCTTCATCTGCTAATGAGTTGGCGTAGTATTGTCTTTGTTCACGGTTTGACCGGGTTCCCCTTCAAGACGTGGTACAATCCAGAGACAAACTTTCACTGGCCGTTCAGCGGGCTAACCATAGACACGGCTCGCGTTTTCGCTCTCGGATACGATGCAGACGTGGCCAGCATTTGGCAGTCAGTCTCCCAGCCGGGGATCGATAACCATGCGCAGAATCTGCTCGGTGCCCTGGCAAGGTTTAGAGATGACACGCAGTCTATTCGTTCGCGTGATAAAGTCCGCGGACTATCTCGTCCATCAAACAGCCAGGGAATTCCTGATGAATTCGGAGAATCCGGAGAGTGAAAGCGTAGAGGCGCCGTGGAAGGGGTTCCTCCGTCTCGTGGAATCGAACATTATCCTGGCGGAGCGATACATCTGGTACCTGCTGCTTGTTTCGTTTGAGACCGAGCTCCTGGAACACACATTGGTTCGTGACAATGTCGACCCCTCCGAAGGTCCTTGCCCGGGATACATTATCCGCCAGTACCTGAGCAAGTACGACTTCTTATCATACTCCGCATTGTCCTGGGCCACCCACTTTCGAGAAGCTGATATCCGCGCGCACTCAGCAACTTCGCAGCTGTCATGCGACCTGTGTAACACGCGGATGAAGCGTTTCCAACTGTGGCTACAGATCTACAAGCTGCTGAGCACAGAAACGACCCGGTGTTCTATGCACAACACGGACCTCCAGGTGCGGTGCCACTTTGAACACGAACGCGCCGAGTCATTCAGGAAGGCGATCATCCCTCTCCATATAGCAACCAAGATCGGCTCCGCGGCCGTGGTAAATTTGCTACTACGGAGTAGGCTGGGGACGCTAGGGACTCAGAGAATCGCACCCCGTTGCATTACGCCTGCGGTGGGGGGATCTCTGAAACCAAGGTCGGTCTGCTCTTGAACGCGGGCGCAGACCTGACGGCACGGACCGTAGGCGGACAGACGGCCCTCAACCACGCTGTAATGTTAATTCGTAGGAAAATGCGACACTATTGATTCTCTGAGGCGCCAACGTGAACACCCAAGACGACGGCGGGCAAACCCCATTGCACCAGGCAGCTCTGCACGGACTGGAAGAGATCGTGGATATTCTGATACGAAGCGGAGCAGATATTGATGCGATGACTGCAGGTCACGAAACCGCACTGCACCTAGCCTGTGTGAACGGCCACGCTGCCGTGATTGATGTCCTTCTGAAAGCCAGGGCTGATGTGACCGCACAATTAAACCGAGGATCGCCAATACACTTGTCACTGGGGCGCTTGTCGACCGAACCAACAACGCACCTATTACTCACCCAAGGGCCCACATCGATGACAGAGAACTCGACGGAGTAACCCCTCTGATGTTCGCTGTTGACCTCAGACAAGACCCCCTCATAGAGCTTCTAGTCCGTGGTGGGGCAAACGTGGACGCAGTGCCCACGCCCAGCAGAAAGACGGCGCTCCACATCGCTGCTCAGCAGGGTCTGGACGTCACCACCCTCCAAATATTAATGGACCACGGAGCAGAGCTCAATGCTAGGGGCGAGCGGCCCCAAGGTGAGACTCCGTTGCACATCGCAGCCCAGCACGGCCAGCACACCGCTGTACAGTTCTTGCTCGCGTCAGGAGCGGACGTGCGGGCTTGCGACGCCAATGGCGAGACGGTGCTGCACCGCGCTGCCGTTCCCTGGGAGGCAAGTGTGGCAATGTGGCTTCTGGACCAAGGCGCCGATATTGACGCCACGACACATGACGACACGACGCTCTCGTTGACGGCCCTCTGTGGGGAGAACAAGGCGGTCGAGGCTAAGATACAGGAAGGCGCCTCCAGCGACGATGTCAACCGAGCGCTGCTCTTCGCAGCTGGCGGTGGTCATGTCGGTGTGATGGAGACTCTGGTCCGTGCTGGAGCTTACTCGGAACATGAGCAGAATCGTGTCCGTTATATATGTTTGCAGAGAGAAACCAGGTGTCCGCGGTACAGTGGCTGTGCGCAGCTGGTGCTGATATCATGGCGCGAAATGATAGAAGTGAGATGGCCTTAAATGCTGCTTGTTTTGGGGGGTATTTGGAAGTTGTCGAAGTGCTTCATGAGGCGACATAATCTGGGGTCGGTTCTGTATGGCTTCCTTGATTTTTGATGAAAGATGTCCGATGCGAGAACGAGAGATGGCGTGCTTGGAAACTAGCATGAATTGTCTGATATATTGCTATAATTCTTAGTATATACCATGATACGCAACTCGAGTGTTACAGCTATCGAAGTCGCGAACTGGCAAGAAAGAGTATTCTATGATATCGCTCAATCTGGACAAGAAGCATTCTATACAGACTTCAGATGAAAACGGGGGCTGATACCGCCAGTCAATTCTACCATCCAAGACGTCCTAGAACCACCAGCGTATCTTACCTAGCAAGCACCATCCTCTTGACCAGCCCAGCCAGCCCAGCCCATCAATAAGCCCTAAACTCGCCATCTCCTACATCTCCACGCACTTCGCGCCAACAGGACAATCACACAAGCAAGCCTCCTATCACTCAAATGCCTCCCCAACACCCTCACCCACCCACCTCCTCATCCTCTCCCCACTCACTCACACACACCTCACAACCCACCTCTCCTACCCCCTCCATCACCGCCCACCTCCACATCATGCAAGCCATCACCTGAACACTCACTCCCGGCGCCCACCCTCATGGCACTAACTAGTAGCCACCACACCAACCAACTTCGTCGCGGGCCTGGCCCTCTTCACCGTCAAGTGGGGGGGTGGGGTGTTTACCCCGCGCTGCGTAGTCTGGTCCCGGCTCCTGTGCTGGTGGAGCCAATGCGTGTTGGTGTGTTGAACTCCGGGACTAGGTTTTCCCAGGGTGTGGTTTTTGCCGGGGTGTTTTAGTTGGCGGGACGGAGCGGGGTGGTGGTGGTGGTGGTGGTGGGGGATGGGCGTTGGGCTTGTGGTTTGGGGTCTGGGGTTACTGGGGGTGGTTACGCTTTTGGTGGGTGGGAGATTGGAGTTGGGGTTTGATTTTACTGTAGATATATATAGTTGTTGGCATGGTATCTATATATGGTGTAGATGAGCCAGTAGCCAGATAAATAGATGCACATTTACTATATTTCACGGATATAATCGACGTGCAAAATTACAGTCCTAACCAAGGATTTTCCAGATACTAAGTACCCAGAATAACCCATCCCCAACCCAATCAGTATATATCCCATACCCATAATAAGTCCAGCATATAGTGCAGTATTACCCAGCGGGGTCACCTCCCACCCCAAACACCCCACCCACATCAAACGCCCTAAATTCTCCCCTCATCTCGAATAGTCAACCAGCGTACTCCTGAAAGCAATGATCATCACCATACTATATCCCCTACAGTGAAAACTTCCACCACTAGCATCAAGACCCACGTGTTTGATCTGGTGTTGAATAAATTGTATGCGGGTAGATCCGGGGGTTGATTTTATGATTAGTATTTGTGGGTCTGTGGGGAATCATTATCTTTGCTTTTTCGGTTCTTTTTCTTGATGGATTGATTGATTGTGTACATAGAAAATGTTGATTGTGGTATATGTATAACATTTTTGAGATAGTAAAAACAAAGTAGAAAGAATAAAGATCGACATCACTCATCCATAGTCCCCGAGTCAAACCAATGGTCGTATATACCATCATCATACCAATGCCCCAACACCCCAAATCCAGCCCTACCCAACCACCCACCCTAAGTTTTCAAGCTTCAAGAAGCACTAACTAACAGTCTTCACCTCCGTAACCTCATCCCCAGCGACGAAAATCGCATCCTTCTGCAAACTCGCCTTGACGGGATTCTTCTGCGAGAAGATCGTAGTCAGCTCCTCCAGGGTGCGTTTGCTCGTCTCCACGAACAGGAAGTAAATGACGAGCACTTCGAGCGTGTCCCAGAAGATGAACAGGAAGTAGTATTTCCAGCCGGCGCCGGAGAACGCGATCCCCGTCACGAAGGTGTTGTAGAAGGAGGCGATGTTGACGAAGAACTATCATCATTTATCTGTTAGTTGCTTTTCACAGCGAGGGTAGGCAGTAAAGATAGTGAAAAGAAGGGGAAAGAAGGGAAAGACATACATTATTCATCCCCATCCCCTTCGCCCGACTCTCATACCGCAAACACTCAACCGGATACATCGCCTGATTAGGCGTCCAGCCAGCGGAGTAAATGAATCCAAAGACAAAGATCATAGCGATCTGCGCGCGCGCAGTGACGCTGCTCTTCGCGATCGGCCCGTCCGGCCCCTCAACGACATTCGTGGCGTTCAGCGCCGTGACGATCGAAAACAGCAGCACGACCAGCGTCGTCGAGATCAGCAGCTGCGGGCGACGGCCCACCTTGTCGGTGATGAGGGCGCCGAAGACTGCGCCGACGAACTGCACCACGTTCTGGATCCCCTGCAGCATGAGCTGCGTGTTGTTGCTTGTGATTCCGGCGCCGCGCAGCATCTGCGGGTAGTAGTAGGAGACGGGGCCGTTGCCGGACCATTGGCCGAAGAAGGCTACTTACGTTAGACTTGTTTTTGCCATGAGGGTGTAGGGAGGAAAGGGGGGTTTTACCCATGAAAATGACTAGCATGGAGCGGTAGCGGGTTTCGCGAGAGTTGAACAGCTCGCGGTAGTCCCACCAGCGCTTGTCGGATCCCGTGTTGGAGATGTCTTCGACCATTTCGCGGTACTCGAGCTGCACGATGGGGGAGTTGCGGTCGCCTTCGCCGTGGTATTCGGTGAGGACTTTGAGGGCGTCTTCGTGTTTGTCTTGGGAGATGAGCCAGCGGGGGGACTATCCAATTAGCATATATGATAGAAGAAAAAGAGAGAGATAAGAAGAGAGAGAGAGATACCTCAGGCAAAGTAAAACAAAAAATCAACACCAGCCCCGAGAAAATCATCTGCAGCCAGACGGGAATCCGCCAACTCATCGTCCCTTCCATCTCGCTCGTCTTCCAGGGAATGAACGTCCCGGGAATACCGCCACCAAACCACAGCACGTTATACAAACCCGTCATGGCACCACGATACGAAGGATGGGCAATCTCCGAGACGTACGCCGGACCGGCGGTGGCAGAGGTCGCGACGCCAAACCCCAGAATGAAGCGACCGGCCATGAAGCCGCCCAGGTTGTGGCAGGACGCTTGGACGACTGTGCCGATGATGATGAAGACGGCGCCGAGGGCCATTCCGACGCGGCGGCCTATTACTTTAGTATCTCTAAGAACGTTATATGGGGCAAGGGGGGGAATACCTTTGAAATCAGTAAACGGCCCCGCAGCGAACGACCCCACTATATTCCCAATAGTATAAATGGCATACACGATGCCGGTGGAAGGAGTACCCTCCGTCGGATCGAAGCCAAAATACTCGCGGTACTGGGGATAGCTGTTGATGGAGCCCATGAGGGAGCCATCGTAGCCGTTGATACAGGAGTTGAGCATGGCGACGCCGATACACCAGTAGAGCTGTCACGGCGTCAGCCTGATGATCCACGCCTCGAAAATGGCAGAGAAAGAGAATGAGAGACCAACCTTGAGCATACTCTTGCTCAACAGTTTCGGCTTCTGCTGCAGCGTCGCAACCGCCAACGCGGCATTGTTGACGCCGTGGATCTGCGCATCTGGTGCGCTGTCGAAACGCGAAACGGTCTCTTCTTTGTCCTTCATGGTGGTGGTAGTGACCGACCGTCCGACAAGATCAATCAAGATGGGTGGGTGGGTGGGGTGGGGTCCAGAGGAAATCTGGGGCTAGGGGAGATATTATAGTTCCTTATTTTTCATTCTTTATTCTTGATTTATTCCTAAGGTGGGCACATGTGATGTGCACAGCACAGACGTTTACCCATCAGGCTGAACGGCGACCTTGCAAAGGAAATAGAAATCCCTGGAGGAAAATCCCTGGGGGGAAAAAACCCCAGGTGTTGAACATCCTGGCAACATCCCTGTCGAGGGAAATGAGGTCCGTACTGGATAGGGAAGCTCATCTCGGTAAGGTAGTGTTTGTGGCGTCTCGATTGGGATGGGGGTTTTTTTTCCCTTGCTGTTCCTGCGTGTATGAATTTCAGGCGTGGATTGGACTGGGCATCATCCTTTGGCTGGACTGGAGCACGAGCGCTCAGACAGCAAAAAGGCTGGTGTGGCTGCATGGTGGATATCACTATTGTCACTACATGTTGATATTTGAAATCCAGGCTGACAGGAGAGACATGCGGGCCGCGCATCCGACTGCGTCCTTATAATGATTGATAATATAGATCAGGATAATGAGATTGTTCCGGTGCACCAATGGCGGTGGAGTGGAGGGAAAACGGTCCTAGACCCCGCAACGAAGCTGGTGTAGATTGGTGGGATTTCTCGAGTTATTTGCGCTAGGAATGAGTTGGAGAGTTCGAGACTCCGTCTGTAGGAGAAGTATTCTCTATCCTAGTCAGTATCAGTATTAGTACAAGAACACCATCCAGCTAACCATCCAACCCAACCAGCCTAAATACCTCCATCCAGTAACCAACCAAGTAGACCAACCAAGTACCTAGAATACAACCAAACCGAACCCAACCAATCCAAACCAACCAACCAAATCCAAAAACTCTCAAACATATATAGAAAACCATCAAAAAAAATCAAGAAAACCCCCCCATATTCCCCCTAATCCCCCCCATCTCCTCCCTCGAAACATACAAACTCAACCCCCCCGTCCCCCCCCAACACTATCAACAATCTCACTCCCCACCCCATCCTCCCCCTCCCCACCAGCAAGCACCAACCTCGCGCCCCCCGCAAACCCCCTCGCCACCCACTCCGGCCCCTCCCTCCCCGGAACCCTCCCCTCCCAAAACCCCTCATAACAAGACATGCTACTCCCATACAGCAGCGGGTTGAACCCATTGCACACGGCGTCCGGGATGTGCAAGACATCATGGAGTTCGAGGACGTTAGTATCGGTGGGTGCGGGGCCGGTCTGGACTGCGACGCGCACGGTGCCGAGTCCGGCGACGTGGAGTTCGGAGCTCGGGTCGAAGATGTTGTTGGAGAGGGTTTGGGTGGTGCGGCGGTAGGTTTGCGGGAGGAAGGTGGTGTAGTCGCGGGCGTAGTGCGTGTTGCCTTGGACGACCATCCAGTCTTTGGTGGGGGGTTTGGTTGTGGTGGTTGTGCGGGTGCGTTTTTCGGTGGGGGCTTCGGTTTGGAGGGCTGTGGTTGTAGTGGATGGGTTATGGGTATGGGGGTCAGGATAGGACTGGTCGTCGTCGGCGAGGAAGTCGTCTAGGGTGCGCGTGCGGAGCGTACTCGTCGTCGACGGGTTTGAGAGGTCCATTGTGTTGGTTTTCGCTGGTGTAGTTGACCAATTGGTGTTTTGAGGTGACGGGGCGTAGTATCAGTGAGTAGAGAGTAGTGTCAATGAGACAGATGAGATACAGCAAGACAATTGAAGTGGAGATGACGCGACGTGAGCTGGAAGCTGAAGACATCTAGGGCTTTGCGGCAGTATGCTGAAACCGGCAGGCGGTGGAGACCCACCGGGCAATCCGATCCGGTAGGTTGTCACGAGACATATCTGCCTGAGGTGTCTGTCTTTACCTATCTATACCTTGGTAGTATAAGCACTGATAAGTATTTGTAAATCAATCCACTCAATACTTCATAAAACAGCAGTAATCATTAAAATAAAGTATCAATAAATATAAACCATTAATAATAATAATATACATCAAGCATACAGCCGAATCCCACTCGGGGTGGCCACCTCCGCAGACGAAAAGCCGCACCGCGCATACCCAGCCTTCCCATCCCAGTCGCGGTCGTCCGCTGCCATCGGGTCATTCTCGATATCGATATCCGAAGCAGGCTCGTCGAACTCGCCCCACATGACTGGCCGCAGGGCCGCGTCGGGGTCGCCCCGGGGCGGATGGCATGCGGCGCTGATGGCGGCGCTGCAGTTGGCAGCGAGAGGGATCGAGATGGGGAGGCGGCGGGCGCCGAGGCCCAGAGCGATACAGACGGTCGCGAGGGATAGAACCAGGGTTAGGATGGCAGGGCGTCCGGAGAAGACGAACGTGCTGATGGGGCTGTCAACGCGCACGTCGCCGAATTTATCGTAGATGATGAATTGGGTGAAGAAGATGGTTTTGGAGAGTGTCCAGTGGAGGACGGTTGTCATCAGGAGGAGGGGAACTGCGTATTTGTAGGGCAGGCTGAGGTAGTATGTGGAGCGCTGGATGCCTCGTGGGTGGGATACGCGCAGCGGCATTCGTTGGAGGGCGTATTGGCTGTATTCATCGACGATGGCCATGCAGGTGAAGAGGTCGTCGTAGAAGAAGTAGAGGAGGGAGAGGGCGAGATGGGGCGTGTTAGATGCGAGGGCTTTCTTGCCGCTTAGTTCCCAGAATGAGGCATGTCGGGGGAGGTAGCCAATGAGGACGAAGCCCAGAAGTCCAAGGTAGGCAAGTGCACTGAGTTTGTTAGTTGTTGGACGATATACGGGCTGGAAAACCGGAAGAAAAACTTACAGGAGAACAGCCACCCCCCATTGGTACAAACTAGCCGCGTGGAACCACCGTTGTCCCTGTGGCAGCGCTTCCGGATAGCTGACCGTAGGATCACGCCTCGGCGGAGCCCGCTGGCGGAACAGCCACGGCAGCCACGGGGCTTCCCAGGCCCGTCCCACCGTCGACTTGGACATCATGCACTGGCCCGTCGTGGACGGGTCCGGGTTCGCCATGAACGACGCGATCGCATCGCCGACCGTGAGCAGCGCGCCGGGTTTGTCATGGCGCGCGATCAGGAACACGCACGCCACCTGGATCACACTGCACGCGAGGACCAGAAGCAGGCCTGCCGGCAGGATCGTCAGTTCGCAGTCTTCCGTGATCTTCTGGTTCAGACACCCGTCGACCTTGTACTGCGGGCTATTCAGCAAGTACGGGGTGGTCAGCGTGTCGAAAGCCTTCGCAGGTGTGCAGACCAGTCCCTGCTGCTGGATGACGGCGCGCTGCGCCCAGGTGGCATTGTTCCAGTGGGCCTCGCGGAGGAACTTCTGGAACCGCTCCAGGCCGGTATACGGCACCACCGACTCGGTGTAGTTGTTCAAGAGAAAGTCGTACATGGTCGCCAGGTCCTTTCGCATCTCCACGTCCACACCCATGGGAATCCCGTTGAGCAGGTGCGGGTTCATGGTGAAGGTCCCGTTGCGGATGGGGACGGTGACATTCCACTCGGGGATCTGCAACGGGACGAGGTCCGCCATCCAAGAGTCCGTTTCTGGCAGCGACCCTCCCGACGCATAGAAGAGGGAGCTGTTCTTCAGCTCGCTGGAGAGAAGCACCATAGTCCCCTGGCCGGTTCCGCAGAACTTGCAATCCGACAGCGGGTTGTCAAACTGCCGTCGACACGTCTCAGCATCAAGACGCTCAAACTGGCCGTTCTTCAACGCCGCATTAAACCCAGCCTTGTTCCACCCAAGCAGTCTCCCCAGACACCGATCAGGGCCCATCGAGTCCACCAACTGCTCATTAACCTCAGCATGAGCACTAGCCACAAAGGCATCGAACTGCTTTAGCGTTTTAGAAGAGTACACCGCGGAGTTGACCCTAACCAATTAGCCCAATCCAACCCATCAAACCACACCCAACACAAAAGCCCACGGGGGCGGGGGGGGAAAGAAGGCAAACTCACATCATATGAAACGGCACCGCGGCACTCACAACCCCCAAAACCAACAACCACCTCCTCCTCGACAACCTCCTCAAATTCCTCCACCCCAAACCCCCAATCACCCTCCAACACCTCCTCACATGCGCGCGATCGATCTCCGTCCGCGACGGCGCAGTCACCCACTGCAACGCATACACACAAGCCGCGACCGCAACACTCGCGACCGCATTCCCCAACAGATGGATCGCCGAATTCCACCCCTCAACGGCACCACACGAGCCCACATACACCGTCGCGCCGCCAGCCCCCTTACTGTGGAAGCGGGCGTAGGATAAGAGCGCGATTGTCGCTAGGAGCAGATTGACGAGCAGCGTTCCCGCGAGGACAGACGCCGCGAGGTCGATGCCCAGTCGGGGCATTTTGAAAATGGTGGTCGATTTTTGCGACGATGACGGGAACGAGGAGCGCCGCGTGGGCGAGTCCATCATCTGGATAGTGTCGCCGTCGCTATTTCTGCCGCTGGGATTATTCTCGTTTATGTTCTCGTTTTCGTTATCGGCGTGATTGATATTGTCGAACGAGGAGCTCAGGCCCGGGTGTCGAACGTGGTCATGACGGGATCCCCACATTACATTCCCCCCTTCCAGCTTATGACTGTTCCTCGAGTTCCTAAGAGTTCCTCGTTCTTCCCGCGGTGTGGGGTTCAAGATTCAGGTTTGAATGTCAGGTTGAATGACAGGTGGTTGAGGCTATCAGCGCGAGACCACCACGAGGTTGACTGGCAGTAAGCCGTAGATTAAGCAACTGAAATCTCTGCAGGTCGCTCGCCACTTCTTCAGGAGAACGCACGACGGAGAGAAAGTGAGACACGTTGGGAGAGAAGAGAAAAGACGCGGGAAGATCTGGTCTCGGGCGGTGTGGACACTAAGTCCTGTTTGGGCTTAGTGTTGATGGATCGGCACGTTACTGGATGAGTAATCCCTGCATAACTATGTCTGGGATAAGCTTCTATCAATCATACATCACATACTCCGTAAACACTCAGTTATGTAATTAGAAAAGCTTCTTCGCTCTATCAAACAGTCTGTGGTATCGCTCATGGCAGTCATCACGCAAATAACACCCCCTAGACAAAGCTACAACCCCATCTCGGCCATTCCCGACAAGATCGACTCCTGCGCCTCAATCATCAGCTCCACCGGGTCCAATCGCCCAAGCCCATCGCACCGCCCCCCGTGCTCCACCAACAACTGCACCAAGGACGCACCATCAGCACCATCGCGCTCCTCCGCCCACCGCACCAGTGACCGTCCGTCCTTGACGCGATTGGGGTCCGCGCCACGCGCAAGCAGCAAGCGCGCCATCTCGAGATTCCCCTGCTGGACCGCGAAAAACAGCGGCGTCCTGCCGTTGCGGGCGCTGCAGTTGACGTCGAGGGGCCAGCGCGCGAGCAGCGCGGATAGGAACTCGGTGTCGCCCTTGGCTGCCACCGCGAGGAGGAGCCGCCGCCCGCCGTCGTAGAGGTCTCTCATCGGGTCTGCGCCGTGCTCGATCAGCAGCCGGGCGATCTCGAAGGTCTCCCCCTCGGTGGAGTCCCACGATAGGGCTGCTCCGCGCAGGGCCGTGCGGAGGTTTGCCGGGCGCGAGGTGGCGCCGCTGTCGAGGAGCGCCCGCACGATCGGCGTGTCGGCTGCGTGCAGCGCCTGGGTTAGGGGTGTCGTGCCGCGCGGTGTGCGCGGCTGGTTTGGGTCGGCGCCATGCTGTAGGAGGGTGTTTACCGTTGAGGCGTTGCCTTGGTGTACGGCTGCGAAGAGCGCGGTGGTGCCGTTGTCGCTGGGGGCGTTGGGGTTTGCCCCGCCGTCCTCGAGCAGGACGAGTGCCTCGGGGATGCGGCCGTGGAGCACGGCGACGACGAGCAGGGGGCGCGGGCAGCCGGGGAGGTTGTGGACGACGTCGGCGCTCGCACCGCGGGCGAGTAGGAGCTTGATGGTGGCGATGGCGCGGGTCTGGTCGTCGTCGGTGCCGGGTCGGTTGCAGCCTGTGACGGCGTGCCAGAGAGGTGGTGGGGAGGGGCCCGTGAGGTGGGCGCCGCGGTCGAGGAGCAGGGCGGCGCAGCGGGGCGCCACGACGTTGGCGGCCCAGCCCAGTAGGGTGAAGCGGTTGGAGACGGTGGCCTCGAGGTCGGTGGTGCTGCGGTCGAGCAGGAGGGCGACGATGTTGTCGTGGTCGCCGTCCATGGCCAAAGTGGCGGCCGTGCGGTGAGTGTAGTCCTTCTCGGAGGGGTCGGCGCCGGCGTCGAGGAGCGCGCACACGGTGTCGTAGTCGCCGGATTGGGCGGCGGCCATCAGGGCCGTGCGTTCGCTGTGGTCGTGCGGGGCGACATCGGCGCCGGCGTCGAGGAGCGCGCGCACGGTGTCGTAGTGGCCGATCTGCGCGGCGCGCATCAGAGCGGTGCGGCCGCGACGGGCGGTATCGACAGTGGCGCCGCGAGCGAGGAGGGCCTTGACGGCGGCGAGGTGGCCCTTTGAAGCAGCGAGACTGACCGGAGTATTACAGTTCGTGCCGTGGGCCTCGATATCAGCACCCGCATCGAGGAGCATCTCCAGAGCGTCAACACGGCCTTGGTCAGCAGCAGCCATGATAGGGATCCGGTGGCAGCCATGCCGACGATGGACCTCCGCGCCGGCGTCAATGAGCAAGCGCATGATAGCCGTGTGGTTCATAGCGGCAGCGTAGAGGAGCGGCGAAGCGATGAGACGTGCGCGACCCTTGGTGATCTCCTGCTGGAGGTTTCGCGTGACGATGGAGGCATTCTCGACGGAGATCGCTGCGGGGAGGGTCGTCTCGCGCATACTGGTGCAGGCGTTGACGTCGGCTTTGAGACGGAGGAGTTTGCGCACGCTGGCTTCGTGGCCGTGGAGCGAGGCCCAGAGCAGGGCGCTGCTGTTGCCGTCTTCTACATTCAGCCGGTAAAGTTCTTCGTCGAGGGTTTCGTAGAGGCGGCGGCTGGTTTGGACGAGGGCATTCAGGTCGGACTGGTCGGTGAGGTTGCTCGTGATGGCGAGGAGGAGCTCGTTGGGGAGGGTTGTTAAGGCCATTAGCAGTTTTAATTAGGTATCGAGCAGATGAAAGACGAAAGTGAGGTTGAAGATGAGGGGTGGAAAAGACAAGCGCAGGTAGTAAGTTAACGAGTGGACGAGCAGCCAAATAAGCCCGCGGTTGAGATGCGGCTCTCTGTCACTCTCGAATCCTGATGTGGCTAGCAGACCTATCCAATCATGCCATGTCTCATCGCTTTTAAAGGGCATTCAACGTTCCTGTCTGACTCACGATCGAACGGGCGCGCCTGGTGCTTCGCCACTCGTGCGGGGTATGAGGCTGATGATCAGCCTACCGACAGCCTACCGGTGGCATTCAGGTCACCATCATTGGGCCATTCGTGGGCGATCCGGCAGGCAACCATGCCGACCAGCTGTATGTTGGATGTCAAGACCTGACCACGCGCCAATTGGTGCCTTGGGTGGAATGGTTAAGACATATGCTAGCCTAGTACACATCGCCGTTTTGTCAAGGTGTCTGTCCCGCTGGAGTCATAGGAGTGGGAATTAGGGCTCGCTCGGAGACCACTGCATCGGCTGTGTTACTCACGTCATCCTACGAAGTTTATACAAAATTTACAGAGAGCTACGTAGATGCAGGAAACAATCCGAAAATCAATCTTAAAATGAATAGTGTAAAGTCCAAGAAATATACCATAGTCAACGACCAAAGAAAGAATCAAAACAGATCTACGACTACTCATCCCCACCCCTACAACCCCCCCAAATATATCGCAAAAACAAAACCTCGGAAAAGCAATCCGTCTATTCATCCTGCCTAGTAATCGAGAAAAGGAAAAGAAACAAACATGCGCACTTCTGCCCGGTATCCCTGACCCAAAACAAAACACAGAACAAAACCCCCAGCTCCGAAATCGCAGGATTCTCAAAAGTCACACAAAACAAAGCAAGGCAGAGTCGGGACCGGGACAGACGCGGTTGTATCGAACAGTAATCAGCAAGAAAACGCAGAGAAAGGATGAGAAAGAGAAAAAGATGACCGCCAGATGACAATGAAGACTGCGGCGAGAAGCCCGCAGGGAAAATGCCGACGGCTGAGACATCGAGATCGGGTCGTGCAGTAAGAATAGCTGTCGCATGGAAGATAGCATCAATGTATCAGATGAAAACGAAAAGAAAATGAAAAGAAAACATCAATCGTGTATGTTGGCCAACCCATCATGAACATGGCTTCGCTTCTCTGAAACCCCGAGAAATAGATCCACGGGCAATCCAAACTCCGGCTCGTCTAGCGAGAACTCCTCCTGCGGTGGTCATCAAAGGTCTATCGTTTCGTGGCGTGCGTCAACAGGAACATGCGAAGGGATGGAAGTGAAGAAAAGAAGATGGAAACGGATCAAAAAGAAGAAAGAAAAGAAGGAAAAGATTAGAGACTCATGGTGAGCCATTCCCACTCCTGACTCGCCCCTTGGCCACCCGCAATGCTGTGGTTGGCCGGGTTCACCGCCGCCGGGGGCATGGCCGGCGCCAGCGGTACCACCTTGGACCGCCCCGAGGGGCCGCCCTTGCTGGGGTCCTCCATCTCGTCGGTGGCCTTCTCCAGCCGCCGCGGGCGTTTCGGAGCCACCGACATGGCGGCCCGCGCCTGGCTGGCTTGGCTCGGCGGTGGGCCTCCGGCAGACGCAATCGTGCTGGTGGTGCTGGTGGAGGTGGTGGTGGGGGTGCTCGTCACCGGCGTGGCCTTGGGAGGCGCCGCCGCGATGGGGACCACCCCGGGCGCGCGTCCGGCCGGGCCCGAGGACCCCGCCGGCGGCGATTCCGACGTCGTGGCGCTCTGAGTCCGGCTCGACAAGGCCGACGGCGCGGCTGCCTGCGGCACCGAGTTCTTGCGGGACGACTTCTTAGAGGACCGCGAGGTGCCCACGGCGATGGCGTTGGCGCTGCTGCGGTTCCGTTTTTTGATCACGTCCGTCTTCAGCGAGAGCGGCCGCACGACCCCATGCAGCTTGAGGAACAGCCCGCAGGCGTTACACAGCGGCTGTCCTTCCGGGTTGCGGCGCCACAGCGGCGTTGTCTGCGTGAAGCAGTTGGTGCACGTCGTCGGTCCGTTGCCGCCCGGTTCACCACCGCCGCTCCTCGGGCCGCCGGGGCTGGCGGGTCGGGACGGGGCCGCGCTGCTGAGCCCCGACTCGGGCGGGGTGTTGGGCGACGTGTGGGACGAGCCGACGGCCATGCTCTGTCGCATCAGCTGGGCCGCGTTGGGCGTGGACGAGGTGCGGGCGATCTTCGGCCGTCGCGGATCCTGCTCACGGTTCCGCACCTCGCTGACCGACGCGGCCGAGCCGTGCGTGCGGCCCAGGCTGCCGCCCGGATTCCAGTCCGCGGGGGTGTCCATCATGTCAGCGGACCCAATCGTGACGTGCTTGCGATGCTGTCCGAAGCCCGGGAGGGAGTGGAAAGAGGCGGGAAACTGCGTATCCCACTGCATGCCCGCGGCGATCTCGGAGTCGTCGCCGAAATCCGTCGGCATCGCGAGACCGGCCCGCCCGACGCCGGGATCGTCGTCTTCGTTGTCCGACTCGCCCCCGAAGGAGAACATAGCGGCGTGGGAGCCGGGCGTGAACTCGGTGGGATTCAGCACGTGGGTGGGATCGACGTGTTGGGGCTGCGGGATCGGGTAGCTGGGGGAATGGTGGTTTTGCTCGGGGGTGCTCTGGTTAAACACGTAGCGCGGCTGCAGGGACGCGGAGAGGTTGGAGCGCTGGGCGATGTAGGGAGGGATGCGGCGCTGCTGCTGCGGCTGCTGGTGGTGGTGGTGGGACCGCGACTCCAGGGGCATGTCAAAATACATGTTCTGCTCGCCATCGTAGGCCGGTTGCGGGGTCGACGCCGTCGACTGGTAGCCGGAGGCGGGTGGCGAGAAGAATTCGGTGGAGTTCAGGGAGGAGGCCAGCGGGGTGTTGGCGTAGAGGTTTCCAAACGCGTTGCCCGAGTTCATCGGCGACTCGCTCGGAGAGAAGGTGAACTGGGCGGCATAGGGACCGGCGGACGACAGGATCGGATCCTCGCCCAGGTTGAAGGTATCGAGGCCGAACGGCACGCCCGGCGAGGGGTGGTGGCTATGATGAGTCGGATGATGGAGGGCGAAGCCCGAGGACGACGCATCGAGGGCGTAGTCGGGCACCCCGGCGGACAGATCCGGATCGTGGGCCAGCATGGCGTTGGACACCGGCGGCACCTGGGGCGAGGACTCGGCGGGTCGCTTACGGGTGGGCACCTGCAGACCGTAGAACTGACGCTCGTCGATGGAGGTCTTCCGCACGCGCCGCGGGACGTAGCCAAACTCGCTGTTCTTCCGCGGGTCGTGGGCGGGCTGGGGGAGGGACGCGGGCACGGGCGTGACCGACCCACCCATCTGCTCCCGGCGAGACTTGATCGGGATGGCGCCGGCCATCTCGGCGCGGGTGTTGGCCGGGGACACCTGATCGGAGGGGGATTCAAAGGGCACGATGAAATCGTCGAGGCTCATGGGATCGGTCGGGGCTTCGGAGGCGGCCGTGGCGGTCGGGACTGCGTCGGAGAGACGCAGCTGGGCGATACCACTGGGGCCGGAGGTGCTAAGATTCCTCACGGGCGGTCTACTCCATCCAATGGTGAGTCACGAAGCAAGGGAGATGATGGGGTCATGCGCTGGTGTGGCGAACCACACCAGCGGCCCTGTTTCCGCCAGAGGAAGGAGACATACCTGAACTGCTGCCGTCGTTCCAGTTCTTGTCGCTTCAGACTTACGGCCATCATGCGCCAGGTCAGGTTCTCCATGCGTTCCTGGTTGGGGAGCTGCGACTTGGTTCTAGAATATAGCTTCCATATCTGGGTGGCCAAAGGATCTCGTTTCTGCTGTTCATCGGGGCTGTCGACGGAGCCTCGTGGCGTACCGGATTTCCACTCGGGAAATAAGGAATCTTGGAGCAAGCCGTCTTGGAGACGGGCGGAGTCCGGGGGACTGATGGGGGAGTCGAAGGAGAAATCATCGGAGAGTTGCGAGGCAGGATCGCGATAGCCAGCGCGGCCAGCGTCGGGGTAAGCCGCGGGTTGAGTCGGTCGCACGCCCCCTAAACCTTGTCCGAGGGTCAACCCGGACATGATCGTGCGAACCTCTCTGATTGGAGGTCGACGAAGATCGGGGGGGGGGGAAGAAGGGGGATGAGGTGGGTGTGGTAGAGATGACGATAAGGCGGGTTGGACAGAAGTGATAGGAGGAAGGGCAGAGAAACGCACGATAAGCCGGAATTGGGAGGGGTGGGTGCAGAGAAGCTAGCGGTCAATGGGAGGGAACCACCAATTTCCGGCACCAAAAAAATAAGAAAAAATAAAATAAAAAAAATAAACTAACGAAATGAAAAAAATCAAATAGAAAGTTAAATCAAAGGGAGAGGAAGTGGGAGAGTCGAGAGAAAAAGAGGGAGGGAGAGAGAGAGGGTCCGAGATGAGTGAAGAACGAGGCAGCACCAGAGAGGGGAAATAATTGGGGGCGCACGATTGGCCGCGATGACCAGCGCAAGCAAGGGCCCAAATGGAGTAGAGATGGGGAATGGAAGAGGAAGAAATTCCAGACTACCGCCGTAAACGAAGGACGGTCCAGGGTCGGATAGTTAATTATAATTAGTCTTGCAGGTGGCCGAGGGTGCAGGAGGCTAGCAGGGCCTAAAGTTTCGCCAGGCTGGAGGTTAGTGTTGATTACTGGAGGAGGAGTGAAATCCATGGATCCTTTCTTCTGATATTGATGGATCGAAGGGGAGGAAGGGGAGGAAAGGATAGTCAGTACCTGGAGAGGATTGATGATGAGGTTGATGGAGAGAAACCAGTCAATCTGATGAGGGATCGATGCAGATGGGAGAGTCGCGTGTAGAAGTGCAGTAGGCAGGATGGAGTAGTAGCAGGAAGAGTATACGACGCAGCCGATCCCGTGCACCGGATTGGAATGGGAACAATGATGTATCCCTCTTTGCTTTTCTTTCTTCTCCTTTAATCTTTCCTGATTAAAACATAAAGTGGAAAAACAGTTTAACGAGCTTTGATTTTCTTTCTTTCTTTCTGTCTTTCTTTCTTGATTCCCTTTCTGTCTGATTGACTGTGACTCAGAGGTTAAAAATTCAATGGACTGGAGGGGCTAGACCCTCCAGGCGCACATGGTCAAGCCAGAACGATGCAATGGATGTCACGAGGGATTGAACTGGAGATATCCAGATTCAGCTGGATGGAATTGAATGAGAGAGACGGGAGGAAGAAAGAGAAAGAGAGAGAGAGAGAAAGAGAGAGAGAAAGAAGTGACGGGCAGGAGAGAATAAGAAATGTTATGCTGGATGGAGGATGCAGTGGAGGAGAGACGAACGCGGTATTACTGGTCCGTACTTTACACCGTCCAATTCTGATGGGAACAGCGGGAACCAGAAAATCAGGCTCAGTATCTGGATCTACTAATGATACCTTG